ACAAATTCATACTAGGTTAGCAGGTTCCTTCCTGCGAACTCTAGGGGACCTTTACCAAGAAGGTACAATACAAATCCCTATAGGTAAAGTTTGCATACAACCTTGGAAGTTCCAAGGTTTAACTTCGCTTATTAGATTTTGACAGACAACCGCCGCAAAGTCCGCATTTTAACGTCGTCTCACCAACGCAATTTGACATACCTAACGGGCTACTAATCGCAGTACTAACCTGCCTACTTACACACCTACTTTAGTATACAGCGGGGATTTGCAAAGAGTCCTTTTTAGCACTCAGCACTTACCATGAAAGAAAACAACCTTGGAACCCCGTCTTCGTATACTAAGTAGCGCTGCAACACTAAAAGCCGATCAAGTTCTGGATACCAAACATTGAAGGCTGCAGAGATGGGATTTACCTTGCATCACGCCCGCCGCGTTACCTAGTACATACATAGCACTGCGCTCGTGCTGCACTACACCACTTACGATATGATATACCTCGGTACATAACTTCCATGATCCATACGGACTATCAACACTTTCTCGATCGGAAACCCTTGTGGATCTTTTTCTTCTTCTTAGTAACTTACCTACCACTTGGTCTATTACTAGGTAGGCTAGGTAAGTAGATACTAGGGACGCAGTTTAAGTTAAAGGCACACATGTAGGTGGCTTTGGTTTTATCTTCATTCCTTTCTTTCCCTTTCTCGTCTACATATCCGTATAACACTAGGTCAAACTAATAAATACGCCGCACGTCAACAAGAAACATTGAAGAAAAAAACAGGCTTATAGAAACATTAGATTGATACTGTTCAATATTGTTCAAAACCTCGGGCTCATTACTATTGACGGACCTACATACTACATACATAGTTGTATAATCCAAATTCTCCACGTCTCTATCCATTCCCCGCTCCACTACTGTCCCTTTCTGGGTCCTGGCACTCCTGGATAGCTGGGTAGGTCCTTGGTCATAGGTCTTAGGACTCGTCAAAGATTTGGACCACCCTTTTCCCTCCGTTCCAGGGATCCCATCTCATTCCAAGCTTTTTTCTATCCTTGATTCCTTGGGCCCTGGTCAGTGTCCGACCATGCCTCATCGATCGTCTGATGGAGCCAGATTTCTTTAGACCCCGTTCGTCGCACAAACAACACGAACCTTCTCAAGTACATTCACATTCTCACATTGACCGTCAAGTAATAGACCTGGGTGTTGAGACGTATGGTGCAAGCGCCGATTGTCAGTGCTCTCAGGCATGGGTAATCTCTTTCTGTCTCTTGTCTCTATTAATCCATGCTGTCTTCTCGCGTGGCCCTCCCTAGCTCCAGATTTATGTGCCATTTCTGTACAATTTTGGTAGTACTAACCTTCGTCCTTGTGGCGTCCCACTGCTGAGCATGGTGTTGAATCTACTTCACCAGTATGTTCTACTAATTTATCACTTATATCCACATCCACATTCACCCACACCCACATTCTCTGTGTGTTTCTTTTTCTCTCGTACCGTACCGTACCTAACTACATGTAGGTAGTTAGTTAGTAGCTATGTATACATAGTATACCTACATACTTACCTACCTAGTAGTAGTATACATGATATACATGAGATACATAATATCCCCTCTCACAACCGCGTGTGCACGCACACATATACACACACACACAGGGACCAGGCTGACCACACCTTAATAACATCTGTTATATACCTACATAGTATGTATTGATTTCTGAACATGACATGCCTACAAGGTAGCTCGTGCGACTTGATACTCTTGGACACCAGCTCGGCCTTGTACATCCATCCCCACCCCCATTTATAAGTACATAAGCTAGGCATGCTGTCACGATCTTGTCCCGGGGCTGTCCTCAAATTCTACTGCCTCAAATCTTAAGTGCTACCAACTTTGGGTTCATTATAGTTTGACGATACATCTTCTCAAAACCTTCCTCACAACGTGCCATCTCATTGGAATAAAAGAGAAGTACTTAGAGAGGTATGTACAGCTTGTTCAACTTCATACGAGCTTTCTCACTAACTGGTAGTGAGTGAAGCTTCACCCAGGCCTCGTCACGCCAACACAAACCCGCATAGCTTATCATACATCCACACCTACCATAAACATGTGTGACTTCACCAAGAACTTCTACATCTATACGTCCTGCCTAGATCCAGGCGCACACTTCTTCCGCACATCCTTAGACGGCAGCCGGAAACACGCCTGTCCTAAGGGGCCGCATGAACGCTACATTGTCCAGCCAGGTCAATGCCCATTGTGTGGATGACGACTCTAACGCAGCGTTCGTTAAATCTTTCTAACGATGCTGAACTTGGGGGGGCGAACCATACTCACAGTCCCCAACTTGCCTTGGCCAACGGCCTTTTTTTTGGGACGGATACGCACGTTCTCAGTGGTTATCCTGGGCATCATAATACGTAATCATTCGTCCCTCGCCATTCGATACCCTATCTTTTTCTATCTTTATTTTTTCGACTCGACTTAGTAGTCAACGGCACGGTGTTAAGGAAAAGGGTGGCGACCTTAATTCCGAGGAGATTCCACAAATCTTGGTGGGCCGCGCTCAGTTACATGGATATGAGAACTTTCGGTGTATCCCTCCATGGTAGCGTTGACGCCGCATACCGTAACATGGTAGCCTTCAAAGGGACCAGCAAGAGCAAATGCAGCCAACTTAGAAGGAGGGGACAGACCCGGAACGTAGGAATAGCAGGACTAGACACGTCCCCGGACGAAGAGGGCTCGGCGAGAAATTCTATAAGTGGCAGGCTGCTCATTGGAACGGGGTCACCACGAGCTTCGCAAGAAGTGCCACGCGGCGTAAAGGGTCATGGGGGGATTTTCATTGAAGTTGGATGATGCTCACACGAAGAAGACCTTAGAGGTATCATGAAAAACGGGATAAAGGCATTCTGCAGGATTGCAGCTTATGGATACATCATCCACAATTCTACCCAGAGGAGTTCGGAAAGGACTAGGTTAGTCCCATCTTATGGCTTGCTTCGCTAGTGACGGTCTCAATATCACAGATCTTATAGGGTATATAACACAAATCTTGATATGTATATATGTTTCATCGTCGTCCTGATCTGTATCCCGTGACACTAGTAACACTAGCATGTCTGTCTCTAGACGCACGCCAACCTAGGCGTAGAGTAAGCAAGGAAAATTACAGATGGGAGTGCCAACGACTACGACGCAGAATGCCGTTTCCGTCTACCTTCTGAGCATCTGGGCTGTTTCTGAAGGGCAACTTATTGCCGACCGTAGCCCTCGTCTACTCCTGCAGACGATGCCTACCTAATATCGAAAAGAAGGTGGAGTGTAGTCGTCCAGATTGGTTCACACGACCGAAGTCATTGACCGGAAGGGGTGAAGGGGTCGATGGCGTGCGATCGTGCGCATACGTGAGCACAAATATAACCCTGATAACGGGTTGGCCGGTGAAGTACATCATCTGTTACCCAATAATGGCTCTTGAGACATGGGGATGGTAGATCTCGCAGGTGGGCTATAAGGCGTCTCTTATATAGCAGCCCGCTTTAGCTGCGGCCAGGTATATCAGCAGCGTGTAAGCCATCCCTTCCATCAGTCTCAGCTGATGACCCAACCACATTTAAAATAGCCGAAATGCCTGTCATAGCCTTATCCCCCTCCACCCTCCATTCCCTTGCTCTAGAGCCAAGTCCTAGCTTAGCGAGGAGGTCCGAGAAGTTCAGATCCATCTTGGTTCAGAAAAGTAGGGGATGGAGAGAAGGACGAGTAGGTACTAAGATCAATTGCTCTCTCTCTATCTCAACTATCACTACTATCATGCTCGGCAGTAAAGCTCCGGGCGTGGAGCGCATGGGGAAGCTCAAAGAAGGACTGGAAACGTACGAGACGAGTTATTTCTTTGTAAACTGCACGTTCATATGTAAATCTGCTAGATAATAGCTCCCCACCCTTTCCACCCAAGAGGAACAGTGGCACAGACACCTGTGTGGTAGAAAAGGTCCATATCGGCCTGGTAGGCCACGGACTGAGACCTTGCGTTACGACCCAGCTTTAACAGGGTACCTTAGTATTGGGTTCCACAAGTCTAGGTAGCTAGACTATGAGGCTATCATCTTCCCGTTGTTAGTAGTGTAGCCTAGACGGGATGTGGAGCTCGCAGCGCTCTAACCGCTATAAACATAACGGGGCCGGACCCTTCGCTTAGGTCTACTACACCACACCTACACTAGATAGATGCCCCCTAAAAGCCGATACTTCCTGGAACTAATTCCCCAGAACATATATTATTGGTAACACACTTACCTACCAACCTACCGAGATACCTTAGTCGGGATGTGCGATGGCATTGGCCATTGATACCAGATAGATCGACAAACAAAAGTCGACTACACATGACACGGCTCGGTGCAACAGGGGTAGTAGAGGACTCTCTCGTACGAGTCGCCAAGGCATCTTAGGAACTCCCGGGAATGGCGTATGACTTGCATGAGATGGACGGTTGATCATGGTCGTCAGCGGTCCATAGACCAGCAAAATGCAAGATAAGCCAGCAAGGTAAGGATCTAGATGCTCAAGCTACCAACCAACCAACCAACAAGCGGAGAGGGCAGAGGAAGAGCCGTAACACACAACGGGTACAGGTACCAAATCACCGCCCAGCCCGAAAGACCTCCATCTAGTTAACCTTAGCGTCGGTTTTTGTTCCTCTGGTTTCTTAGGAAAATCTCTGGGCAAGAAGGGAAATATGCGGGGAACGTCAGCAATATTGTCTGCACGTCGAGGAAGATTCCCTGACACCGATCATTCACTATCGGTCATAGCTTAAACGGCAACCATACTCCTCACAGCATAACTACATAGTACCTACCTACGCAACGCCTAGGCCGATGATGTTTGGTCTAAGCACGCTACCGGCCAAGACACCTACCTACCCCCCATGGGCCTTGAACCGCATCTGTCAAGATACTGGATCCCCGATACATACGCACGCACGCACGCACGCACGCACGCACGATGCCATACTTACGAAAGAGTTGGGGGGAGCTAATGACATCCCAGCCCTTAACACGTCCCATCCCGTCCCGTCCTTACATAACGCCATGGCAATCTTCTATCTCTTTTCCTCTCTTTCTCTGTCTGTGTTTCTCCCTCACCTCTCTTTTCCTGTCGCGCTTTGGTAGCGAGTCGGTACGGACGGGCCCCAGTACAACCTCACGCGCACGAAGGCGTTGCACTCCGAAAATCGAGAAGAGCGGTCGCACAAACGAACGAAATAGCGAGGAACGATATGGGCTCGGCATAAAGACACTGCAAGTCTTCTGTTCCATTGCCTACTAGGTAGGTAAGGTATAATAACAGCACACTTAGGTCAGATAGGTACCTAGATAAACAGCTTTGCCGTATCCTATCCTCATATCCTTTCCTTCTATCTATTATTGTAGGTATCTACGTGATGGATCAACACATATATGGAATGGCTCCCCCATCTTTTCGCGAATACTTCCCTCCTCTAGGTGCCGAGAAGAGGCTACCATAGGTACCTTACCTACCTAATGCTAGCAAATCCGAAAAGGGGGATCACCACATGTCCCTTCCACAAATGTGGGTAAGCACGCAAGACAGGATGGCGAAATGTGTCTTCTTCTTCTTCTCTTGTTCTATTAGTTCTAGACTGCGGACGGACGTTGTTGCTTGCCGCTATTGCCTCATCCCATACCCCTGAATGGGGAGTCCCATAACGCTAGAAGAGAAAAAAAAAGGAGGTACCTACGAATAGGTACATACTAAGCCGTCTTGTCCTCCCCCCCAGCCACTGAATATTGATCCAAGAAATCATGGCGGAATAATACATTTCCGGATATAATATTTTATTGAACTTGTCCTTTCCCTATTCAGGTTATGAAAGGCCGTGCGTAAGCTGATGTCGAATATCTAGTGTATGTACTATTGATAGATGTATGTACGTGATATGGATGTCGTTATCTAAGCCAAGGCAAGTGAGGATCAGGTACGAAAGTACTTGAGAATATATATATGTAGACATGTACTCCTACATATGCATCGAGCCCGCACTGACTCCTCACTTGCATATCCCTATATTCCTACCAAGACCAACTCAGGTTATACTTATACACAACATTCTTACGACATCTACCCAGTCGAGTCTACGGTGTATTATAATAAATACGAATAGCTCTCTTGTACAAAAAACACACCAATTCTACGTCATGGCCTAACCTACCTATCTAGGTCGGAAGAGATATCGATTCGAATATACTGACTGCTAAGGATCTATTGTTAGCATAGCCTACTAACGAAAACCAAGGCCAACTAACCTGCTTGAGAATTCGCGAAACATGTAAGAGCTTTGCCTTTCCGTTGCATACATATCAGGGGGGGAAGTACCCTCCAACATATATGTACGATACATCGTGCTCACCCCAACACCCTCTTCCGATACTGAAGTCCAATAAGTCACCAGATGGCTCACCGAAAAGTTCTTGGTCATTACCTTCTTGTTTACGATGTGTACCTGCTTTGTTAACATGAGGATCCCCTAATTATGCCCATCTCAGAGACAAAATGTACAAATACATAGCTAGGTAAGGTACTTATGTAGATAAACGGAGCCTTACCATCTTCTGGTATCGAATGGGCTTACTCGCCATTTACGGAGTCGATTTCAAGCCCGGCACGATGTTCCGTGGAGAAGCCTGCAAAAGAAGAAACAACCCGACAGATCTTTTGTTACCCGGGTTATTAGGTACTAGGTAGGTATGTGAGTAAGCAGCATGACAGGCTGCGTACCTGGGTACATACACACCTATCTACCCAGCCAGCCTTCCGACCTACCGAATGTCTTGCAGATATCGCGCAATTGCGAATTTCAATACGCCGCTAGTTACATCCTAACTATCATCTGCACATGGATCGGTTGACACTGCTGGGATCCAGACCCAAGATCTTTGTAAGGCTCTTACATATGTATGTACAACAGGGGGGGGGTTCCCGTCCCGAAGTATCGGATACATTCTTTCTCATTTGCATACCTACCTAGTGTCTCCAATTGTTCGGCGAGAACTACCGAAGATGTGCAAAACAAAACCAGGTGCCGAGTTGCAAGTAGACCGGCCTCTTGGATCTTCTTGGTATCAGCTTAGTTACTTCCGGGTTGTTCCCTGCTGTGGAAATATAAGTGCAGAGACCTTGGTTGATGCCGACTAACGGTCACTAACCTAGGTAAGTAGGTAGGAAAGGTATGTAAACATGCCTATAGTAAAGACATTCTATTGTTGCCTACTTATCAGCTGAAAAGCCACCTCGTTCGTACATACAAATATGTAGTTAGGCAATCATTGTGACAAGTCGGCTGGCTGGCTGGCATTTTCATGCACCACACAGACAAAATGGACACCTAGCCTCCTGAATTTTTTATTTTTATCTTTTCTTGATTATGTACCTACCTAGTAGTGGATCTCAATTGCCCCCTTTTTTGTCTCAGGGGGTGAGAGGGTGTAACTGAATTATTGATTATCTCTCCAGATGCCTTTCTCAGTTTTTGCAAACCAGCTTCTCGTGGAATGGGAATACGTAACGAATACATTCATAGAAAGAAGACCCAAGTCGAATCGACGATAATCAGGTCTAACTACCTATACTGAGAACGGAACACCGAGGACATGGGAAAACCTATACAAACGAGATGGCGAGATCGCTATACCCGACATTCTAGAATCCCCTGACCTACTATACGACAACGTATTTGGTGAGGGAGGTCGCCGAAAATACAACGCCGACGATACAATAAGATTCGGTCCACACGAAGTTCAGCAATATAAGAAGCACCCGGTCCTAAATATTTCACTGCCTGTTTCTCGAACATGTAAACATCGCAAAGAATAAGACTCGAACACTAACCCTTTAGTTTGTTTCCTTGCCGCACCACTACTCATTACGTAACCGACGCTTTGTAAATATAAGACCAGATATATTTAGGTTCGAAAGGGATCATCGATGGAGAGGCCTCACGTTAAATTCTAAACCGACGTATCAGCCGATCCAGGAACATCATAAGCCAGCGTAGCATCACTGGCATTGGAAACTAATATCGATATTCGATAAGGGAGTTCGGAGTACAAAAGTAACCGTGGCCGTGAAAAAAAAAAAAGTTGTTGTCTGGGATATCTAGGTAGGTGATGCTTTGCCATCGAAAAAGGCCACACCGACGTGACGACGGCAACAAAAATGGAAATGAACATAAATCACGAGACCAGGCACACAAGCAAGGAAAGTTGCTTCCCTAGACAATATTCATAAGTACCTAAAGATCAACATTCTACATGGCGTAAACTGGTACTCTCCTTACGAAAAGAAACCGATATCAGCAACTCACCAAGCCAACAACAACCCCCAACCGATTATCAAGCGGCAGGAAGGAAGATGCGGCATGCATAGTCTGGCTAGGACCGTATTAAAAAAAAACCCCTCCGCCATGGCCGCGGTAGAGTTAGGAGCGGAGTTATAACGACCTTTGGCACAAGGCACTGCTGGTTGGAACTTTACACGGATGTACGGGCGGAAGTACTCGCCACCAAAACCGCAACTTCACCTCACAATACCCAGCTAGCGTGTTACCTTGCTCGATTTATTGATGTTACTTGTTGGGGGTACAGCTACTAGGTTTCGGTGGTCTAACCACATAACAGGGCACGCGCAGAGGCAGACGACGAATCGGAACTAGCCAATCGACTCGATTGGACTCGGCTGAAGAAGGCAGATGGGCGTTGACACAGCACCGACACATGTCGTTGCTCTACAATACCCGATCCCTCGAAAATTCGCAACGGCTTCCGCGGGTTGCCGTAGGTATAGCGGCGCCGATGTATTACGGGTACACATCATCATCAACAGCAAGGGGGACAATATCGATGCGAATCGTCACCCAGCAACCAGCCAGTATTGTCGAGCTTTTCCCAAAGCTAACGGGGATCCCTTTCCCCGGATGACCTGGATATTGGGTGCCTATGCATTGCAATGGAAAGGGATACCTTAGGCATGAGCCTGGATACTCGGGGATTGCAAGTCGCTGAAGCTTTGTGACTGACTACCTGGATCGCGAGACGTGGCTTGCGATGGTGTTCACGAGTCCCGAGTACGTACTAGTCAGGCCTATGGAATTGAATACCTAGATCAGGTGCCTATGATAAACCCTCTGCGATCGATCGCCCGAATACGAGCCATTGCACATAGTCAACGTTAATATCATGTTACCTTAGCCATCGGGTCGAAGGATGGTCTGGTACAGCATCTCCCTTGTTGCTTGCTGGTGAGAGATAGGAGGTAGGTGACAGGGCGAGCTGATCAACATCAAGACACGGGTCTGGACGGTAATAGATCACCTGGCTTTGACTAGAAATCTAGCCTGACTTCTACGTGGAAACCTAGGTAGCCTCCCTAACCAGCGAATAGATTGTGATGTAGGCGACTACCCCCCCCCCCCCCCCCTTTTCGACTGAACACTAGGGTAGGTTGCCGATCCCTCGCAAGTTTCCGGCTGAGATTTATATTTCCCTGTCATCAGATCAAGGTCTAAGCCATTGGTAAAGCGCAAACGCTAGTCAAATCCTACAAAGCAGGCTTATTGTGAGAAAGGAGTGGGGAGTACCTAGGTAGGTAGGTACCTAAGATACATATCTGACAGTGAGGGTCTCAGCCAGCTTCGAAGGCTGGATACGAAGTTAAGTAGGTATAAGCGGATGCAGATACATGAAGGCGCCTTTTACACCGGCATCTACTACTACTCAGTATCAGTTGTTCCATGTTTAGACATCCATCCTATCCGATCGCTGGGCGCTTGGTGGGAGAAGTTCAATTTTCACTCCCATTTGCCCCATTTCGAACTTAGGCCGACGAACAAGTAATCTTGGCTATATAGCATACTTGCAACTATACCTGTTTTAATATTGTTGTGGTGTTGATATTAGGAGAGGGGAATTGAATTGGTGTGTATCTGTACGCAGAAGTGCGTGCCCCTTTTCCCCATCACAGCTTTGACACCCCCAAAAGCCTCAGAGAGTAACATGCGGTGTGTCTTAGGATCAGCATCAAATGTTGATGCGAGCTGTACTAGCTGTAAATATGGCATGTAGCAGTATACCAGGAGTTCAATTGAAAATAAAAATGTTTTTGGTGGTATCATTTATTGGATGGTTGATATGTAAGTGTTACGTACCAGGTAGGTAGGTGCATAAAGATAATGTCGTGGGGTTGGTGATAGCTTCAAAATTTGAAAGAAATAGGGCCAGGCGCTTTTTTTTTCGACGAAGCTTAAATAAATGGGTAATGGCTTTGTGAATAGCTTCAAGGTTTGGATAAATAATAAAAATAAGGAAGAATAAGGCACCAAAAAAGGGAAGACCATATGGAATGAAAAAGAAATTAAAAAAAAAAAAAAAGAAAAAAAAACCCCCGACAAAAAAGCTCGGTACCCCCCCGGATCGAATCCAGTACCTACGAAAAACTCCTGTGATCAGGTCGTACTGTCAAGTTAGCGTTTTAGTGAAGGGACGCATCCAGCATATGACCAGTCGGCGGTAGTTTTCTCTAACCTCTTGTCCACCTAACATGTAGGGTCGGTTGCAAAATAGAATGCAATTGTAACTTATATACCCTACCCGCGAAAGCTCGGTGTATCCGGGGGGATTAATAGTCGAGGATTTACCGACGTGGTCGGGGACGAGGCGACATGGTTGGGTACGTGCCTTAGGTTGAAGGTTGGGGACGGCTGCCGACTAGGCTGGAAATAGGGGGTTTCGCTTGGTATCGTACTGTGCGGCTACGGTTAAGAGGGCACCTAAGTAAAATGTATCTTTAAATACTCTGGGTAGGCATCTACCCATCTTCCTAAGCGCTTACACCTCACACGAGTTACATCAAACTCCCCTATGTAAGCATCGTTGATAGTAGACAGAACAAGAACACCCCTATCCTCTCCCCCCTCATGTAAACCACCAGACTACGAAGTCAAACCCCATAGAGCACACGAAGAAACCACCCACAGATCACTGCACATTACAACAGCACACCAAGCTATATCTGTCGAAATCGTTCATTGGTATCATCGCTGACTAACTAACTTGCCCTTTCTTATTATCGATCCTAATCATCATCATCTTACATCTCTCACTCTCCCTCACACATACTTTTACACAAAGTCTGAACTATCACTAGGTAGGTAGACCGTACACCAATCGTCCCCCCTAACCTAGCCTAACCTACGCCTTCGAGCCCGCCGCCTCACCACCCGTACCCGCCGCACCCGCCGCAGCACCCGCCGCCAACGCCGACTTCTTCACGAGCTTCAGGCCTGCGAGCGCGTACACCAGGCCCTCGACCGCGAGGATAACCACGAGTGTGACCAAAGCGCCAATGACGCCCGCAACCGGGAGAGATATTCCATTACCCCCATCACCACCGCCATTAGCAGCATCATTGCCAGAAGAAGAACCAGCAGCGCCAACAGCAGCACACTGCCCCGTCGTATTCCCACACGCCACACACCACGCCGCCGTATCCCCCACCGCGAACCTCCCCATCTCCTCCGCGAACCTCTCCCACGGCAACACCGTCTCGCCCGTGCCAAACAGCGGGAACGGCGTCAGCGGGTTCGCCGCCGCCGTGCCGTTCGCAAACAGGAACCGCACCGCCACCTCGGACGCGTCGACCGGGCGCGCCGCGTCCGAGGCGTTCGTGACGAGCTCGAACACCATCGACGACGCGTAGTCCACGACGCCCGTGAAGTCGTCCGACACCTCGTGCAGCCGCGCGAGCCCGAAGAACGACAGGAACGACGCGTACGCGCCGAACTGGATGCCCAGCGGCGGCGGCGTCGCCCCCCCGCCGCTCAGCGTCGCGTTGAGCTGCTGCACGACCTGCGCCGCGAGCGTCGCGCCCGCGATGGCGCGGATGGGCTCCGAGGCGTTGAACGCGAGGTTGAACTCGTGCTCGTCGGCGCGGGTGCGGAGCTGTCTGAGCGTCTCGCTCGTCAGCAGCTCCTCGCCGGGGATCGAGGCGTTGTGGATGGTGGCGACGTTGACGTAGTCGAAGATCGTGTACGCGTTCTTGAACGTCGCCTGGCTGGCGCTGAAGGTCGTGTTGATGACCGGCAGCAGGTCCGAGTAGAAGGTCTTGGTCTGGGATAGGGTGGAGAGGTACGAGGACGAGGAGAAGTAGTTGTTCGAGCTGACGACGGCGTTGCCGCACCCGGAGCCGCCCTGCAGCCACTCGTTGCTCTCGGCGTTGGTGCTCGTCGACGCCGTCGCCGACGTCGTCACGGGGATGTACTGGTACCCGCCGAGCGGCGCCTGGACCTCCGACGAGTTGGCGAGCACCGACATACTAAGCTCGCCTGCGGGCGGGTAGATGCCCTGCAGGAAGGCGAGGGCGGAGCTCTGGAGCACGGAGTCGGAGGGGGAGACGACGTTGAGCTGGGAGGGGACGGCGATGTCGGAGCTGAGGCCGACGATGGGTGCGCTGGCGTCCGACGCGACGTACCGCGACCGGTAGAAGCTGCCGGACTGGAAGGCCTCGTCCGCGCCCAGCGCCGTCAGGTTCACCGGCGGCAGGCTCTTGGGCGTGCGGTCGCCGTGCCGGTGGAAGATGTACACGCCGAGCACGGTCTCGCTCTTGGCGAGCAGCGGCAGCGTTGCCAGAGACAGCAAGAGCGTGTTGAACCCCATGGTGAAGTTGTCTTGTTCCCCTGCGTTATCTTGGTAGATAATTTTTCTTCCTTGGTACGACTCTTGATCTAGACCGTATAGGACAGACAACACTATACGAAGGGATGTCTTCGTAAATTGCCTACCTACTAGGTACCTAAGGCAGAGAGGAGCGAAACTTGAAACCAGGAGTGAAGGTGGGAAGGGTTAACTTGAAGAATCACTTGAGTTATAAAAACTTCCTTCTCGCGTCCGTCCAGCCCCGCCTTGTTCGTTACAGGGCACCACATAGTTACATGCATGCACACACGCATGCATATACATATAATACAACGTTGAGCTACTAGGCCTTAGACCGGGTACAGGTAGCGGGTATGTAGACGGAACGGGCGAGCTAGGAACCTTGAAAGCGTAGAACGACCCTTCTCGACCACTGTGGTTTTTCCTTTACCTATCTAACATGCGATTTTGACAAACGCCTCCACCCTCCCTCCTCCTCCTTGGCCTCGAAACACCTGCCTAGTCTGGCTAATCGGCCAAGTGTGGGTTAGACAACCTGTAGATAATCTATCTAGGCACAGTGGGCACTGGGCACACTTAGGTGGTAGAGATTGATAAACTTTCGAACCGCGAGCCGCGAGCTGTGTCGGGAATAGGCGCCAAGAATGGGATGGATCACCGCCCGATTGTCCAATCATAGACTAGAACTCGACAATTTCTTGCATCTCCGCTAACTGTCCGGTAACGTCCGATACGGGAAAAGGGCCGGGTGCCTGGATTTCTCGGTCCTGACCTACGTAGTAACCTTAGAATATTCAATATGCAACGTGCAAATCCGGAATATTCTTGGATTATACATACCTAATAGTATGTGAAGTGGGTGGATTGGTGCTCACGTGGTAATAAGAATAATAAGAAAAGCAAGTCTCAGTGCCTCGTAGAGTAGATATGGTAGTTAGGATTTATAGGAGATTTATAAAAAGACTTACTTCTTGACTAGGAGCAAATAGTACCAAGACTATCGTATGATACTGTTTCTGTTAGTAAGTCGTAAGTGTGATCTGGTGAAGAAAACTAGAAGCAATACCTAGGTACATATCATACTGCACATAGGGGTATTACCAACCTGAATCCAAATTCTATCAACCCCCTTTTAAAGATCATAAGCGCTCTCCCCCTCCCCCCCTGATTACTTTCCAAGAACCAGGTGGGATCTATTGTATTAATGAACGCTAAAAATAATATAATCAAGCTCTTTAAACCGCTACCCTACCCACCTGATAGGTACCTACTTGCCTAGGTTAGGTGAATAACCATCTACGCTCTACGTGTACACAACTTCAAAACCGTACAATACTAACCTTCCCAGCTCCATCTTCACCCACAATCCATCTCTCATCGCCACCAATCTTTCCCTTTCCCATAAGCTCCCACCACATCCCATCCGCGAACCTGACCTCCCCTCCCCCTTTCTCTTCCCCTTCCTTCTTTGCTCCTGTCTCATCATCTATATCTTCCACCCCCTTATCCTCCTCGAAGCTGATCTTCGGCATCACGAACGACGACAGCGCCTCCATCATAAAGCACTGCCGCGCCACCACTCTCACGCCCGCCGCCGCGTCAACAACATGGCTGACCGTCAGGTAAGGGAACTCCTCGTGGCGCCAGCAAGGGGCCCAGCCCGGCCACGCCGGATCGAGCCCTTTGATATCATCGAGCTCCCTTTCCTTCGCCATTCCTAATTCTCCAAGGGCGTCGACGAACTGCGTCTTCGTCGTCTTCGTTGTGTCGGACCCCTTCTTCTTCCTCAGGAGCCTTCTTAGCGCTCCGGCCCGGGGACAGAAGCTCATATGCACGTCCCCGTCAGCGCAGCACTCGTCGGCCCAGCGCGGGCCGCAGGCACCTCTCGCGAAAGGGATACCCGTGCATCGTACCATGTGGTGGCGTGGCGGCGATAGAGACGAGTGTAGTCCAGCAAGCCATCTATGCTCTTCCTCGTGCACGTAAACGTTGCGGTCGTCAAGAAGAATCTCTCTGAGTGCGGGGGTATGCCGCTGTCTCAGGCCTAAAAACTCGAGATCACGCCATATGAACCTATTGACGACTGTGGGTCCTGGCTGGTCAAGACCAGGTTTATGAGCACCGTACGGGTCGAGGGAAGGGCGGTACGGAGATGGCGCAGAGATGTCCCAGATGGTGAGCTGTTCAAGTGGATCCTCCTCTCCCCAAGAAGAGCGGTTGGGCTGCCAAAGGTACACGGCGTAGTGCGTTGCCGTGTGAGTGGAGAAGAAACGGTCGTGGTTGTTTAGAGGTAGGCCGAGGAAGTGAATCTTCCACTCGGAGCGAAATGTGATATTCCACACGAATTGAGCTCCGGGTGATGACGGTGACGCATGCCACCGTTGCCGCCGTACGTCAAAGGCGGTAGCAAAATGCCGGTGTACGGTCTCCCTATCGTTCAACTGATGATAAGGCTCACGCTCACACCACTCGATAATGAGAACTCCGCAGACAAGTCGTAAACGTCGAACAGTCTTTTTCGATGAGTCGAAAGGGACAAAAAATCGTTGTCTAGTCTGCAAATCGTATGCAATGTGGCGCCCCGATACAATTTCCTGATACACCAACAGCCCATCATCCACGCACCAGGTGGGATCCCTATGTTGAAAAACTGCCGTGTTGTCATTCCACCTCAGCCACCGACTCCAGGGCGCGACACCGCGGAAGGAGCCCTTGGCCGGCGCTTCCTGGACTACGCTAATCTTCTCGACCACCCATGGCTTAGCGGAGCGAAGGTGGTAGTACCGTCGGGCCACCTTGGGAAATATGCTAGGCCAGTCAGGTATCTCGTCGAGCTCCTCCGCGGCCGTCTGCATCTCGCGGGAACGTGGGAAATGCCATCTCATGAGGTTCCACGACGTATCGTTGCTACTAAAGGCAGCGAGCCAAGACCGACTTACCCGACGGCATAGGACACAGTCTTGCGGTGAGAGGTAAGAACTAATTATTAGAAAGATATCATTAGGCAAATCTGTTAAGTCTTTTGTATGAGTAGTAGACTGAGAACTGTTAGTATAAGAATCCATGGCTCATAATGAAGTTGAATGTATGAATGTATGAATGATTGAAGAGGAAATGTTCAATGTTTATTGTTGACGAATCGGAAACTATGTATACCTACCTAGTACTAGGTATACATATAAAGTTAGTACTATGTACCTATCTAATGTGCAAGCACCAAAGTTAAAATCGGTCGTGACTTACATACATGTATGTACACGGATATATACCGTAATTTTACCGTTCCGGCTTTATCTCCGTGGTGATCAATTATTATCAACATCTCCGTGCCGACTCGGGCAACCTCGACGGTTATAACATATATCAAATTTACCATGATCTACACCAATGGCTTTCCTCTATTACTTTGCATGATTTGTGAGGTACCTACCTGCCTACATAGGTATTCAATACTAGGTAATCACAAAACTAACTACACCGTTCAAAATGGGATCATATAGGTATATAAAACGTCAAGATGCAACCAAAGCGCAACTTCATGACCCATTTCTCATTCTGTCACGTTATCCGTATTATATACAGCATTCATTTTAGTATCCCCCCTTTCCTGGTTCACCTCCTAATTATGCGTAGGCATGGCAACATCCGCCTTCCTCTCCAGCGCATCCGCGCTCGACCACATAGCCGTAACTGTCTTCTGTTGGGTATAAAACCCGACTCCCGGTCTGCCGTAGAACGTGTTCGCACCACCACCCGCGATACTTCTCTTGTTGCCCGTGAACGAGAACATGGGCAGAGGAACCGGGATCGGTACGTTGATACCGACCTGGCCGGCTTCAATGTTGCGGCGGAATGTCTCGGCCGTCGGACCTGACCGTGTGAAGATAGCCGTGCCGTTGCCATATTCGTTGTTGTTGATTAGCTCAATCGCCTCGTCCAATGTGTCTACGTTGAGACACACTAGTACTGGACCGAAGATCTCTTCCTTGTAGCACTTCATCTCTGGTGTTACATTGCTGATAATGGTCGGCCCTACCCAGTTGCCATTGGGATATTTCTCCGGCTTATAACCACGTCCGTCGAGTAGAATAGTTGCGCCTTCCTTCTCGGCGCTGGCGATCAGACTCTCGATCCTCTCCTTGCTCTGAGGGGAGATGACAGGGCCTAGATCAGCGCCTTCCTCGAAGCCACCGTTGACTGAAAGTCGCTTGGCACTTTCGGCTACATCGGAAAGCCATTCCTTAGTCTCGCCAACCATGACTAACGTGCTGAGGGCCATGCATCGCTGACCAGCAGCACCGAAAGCAGCACCAACGACGGCATTGATGAACTGGTTCTTGTTGCAGTCTGGCATAACTGCAGCATGATTCTTGGCGCCGAGGTTGGCCTGCACTCTCTTGCCGTTTGCAGACGCCCGATTATAGATGTACTCGCCCGCCTTGTTGCTGCCAACGAAGCTCACCGCTTTGACTTCTGGGGCGTCCAAGATGAAGTCAACAGTCCGGTGGGCGCCGTGAACTACGTTGATGACGCCATCAGGAAACCCAGCCTTCTTGGCTAGCTCAACCAATATCATCGCCGCACCGGGGTCCCTCTCGGAAGGCTTCAATATCAAGGTGTTACCGGTCACCGTAGCGATCGGGATGCACCACAATGGAATCATGGCGGGGAAGTCTATCAAGCACCGATTCATTAGCAGAAGCTCTCTTAGGATAAATGGCATATCATGTAGACGTACTAAAGGGGCAAATGGCAGCAACGACGCCCAATGGTTCTTTGTAGGTCCTTGTTTCCATATCCTTGGCTACTTCAAGCAGCTCGCCCTTCAGCAGTTCTGGTGCACCGCATGCTGCCTCAGCTACCTGCAAACCTCGCAGAACATCACCCCTGGCATCGACAAAGGTCTTCCCCTGCTCGAGGGTGATGCTAGCTGCTAATCGATCCCAGTTCTCACGAATTAAGCTGACAAACTTGAACATGATCTGCTGACGGGCTAGCACGCTTGTACTCCGCCATGCGGGGAAGGCCTTCTGAGCACTATCAACAGCAGCTCGAAGTTCATCATCCTTCATCTGCGGGACCCGAGTAACGAGATTGTTCGTGGCCGGGTCGTATAAATCAATAAACTCATCCGTTTTACTCGGTACAAATTCATTGTTTAAGAAGTAGGGTGTGTCTTCGGGCTTGGAAATCTTCTCGTGTGTCGTAGGGAAACTTGTTGCGGTGGAAGCAAGGGCACTCATAGGATGAGCTTGCTGAGATGCGATGGCTATCCGCCTTATGGCCGCCGTTTGAGATGCCATTCTTGGGGTGACCCGAGATGATAGGGAGGAAGAAGAGAATGATAGACGTGCGATAGTACGGCCAGCGCTGGTACTGATGTTTCGGGTACGTGCAAGGCGGTGCATGTTGAGTAGGTAGGTACTAGGTATGCCAAGTACCTAGTAGTATTGTAGGTATCACAGATTATAATACGTATGAAGAACAGCCACGTCAACCTGATTCACCGACAAGCGAAACTTCCAACCCTTAAGTTTATTGGCTTTGGTCCAGCCACCGATGCATATATTGGTCCCGGGAGAGAGGTAGCGCTATCGGGGCGACCAGCACCGAGGAGATGCTTGATAAAGAGTGATAAAGAGTTCAATTAGGTAAGAGGGGTCATGGCAAGTCACTGCCGCCGCAAGCCGAATACCCGAACACCGGATACCCGATACCTGTTGGAGAAGCTGGGGTATTTAGGTGGGTCTTACACCGTTTACACCGATTACATTGATTACATAAGACACTAAATACACCTTAACCAACTAACCCACTACGCATGTAACACACCACCAAATCCACGTTAATCCACCACTAAATACACCTAATACACCCTATTACACCAAGTACATCTATTACACTAATAGTGGGTATTAACACACCTTCAAATACACCACACTTACATCAAACAACCAACCAACTCCACCACCTTAATACATCTTAATCCACCCAATCCACCAACTACACCAACTACACCAACTACACCAACTACACCAACTACACCAACTACACCAACTACACCAACTACACCAACTACACCAACTACACCAACTACACCAAATACACCAAATACACCAAATACACCAAATACACTACCTTACTACACGTATACTATTCCACGCTTCTTACACATTAAGTAACTTTTCCATCTTCAACTGCCAGTTCTAGCACTGAATTTCTTCATATTTGATACAGTCAAGTAATCCAAGTACAGTGATGTATAAGTGTAATAGTGTAATGGTGTAATAGTGTAATAGTGTAATAGTGTAATAGTGTAATAGTGTAATAGTGTAATAGCAATAGTAGTAAATTAACTATACTACTACATAGGTAGCTCGAGTCAGCTCTTATATTTCTATCCGATCCCAAAAGGACAAAGTGATGCTGCTACCATCGCACCTTATGCCGGTAGTGCAATACCAACGACAATGACAATCAATACAATACAATAAAGTTATAGCCATATTCACATTGATTACCCCAATAATGGGGATTATTAGTTCTCGAAGCTGTACTTGAGCCACCCACCTAGAGCTTTCAAGCTTTCCCATCGCACGTTTTCATCTGAATCTTGCATCAACTCCATAATGCGGGCCTTCAAGCCAAGCTTCTCCAGCTGATATCTCTTCTCAGGCACCTCCTTAACTAAACAGCCAATATCATTGCAAGCGATGGCTAACACTGCTTTGTCGTTTTCCCATGGCTTCTTCATGATATCCGCCAATTTTCGTGGGATTTCACCGTTTTCGAAGTCGAGAATCTTCCGCGCATTCTCCACCCAAAAGACCTGATGGCGATGAGGTGGGGACCATCTCAAATGTCCTGATTGCACCTCGGCCACGTACTCGTCGAAGGTGGTCTTGGTCTTTTGGTACTCCTCTAGCATCTCCTTCAGCCTGTCCAGGTCTTCTAGCAAGTCTGGGTCTGTCAGGTGGCGGCCGCTGACGTTCTGCAGCAATGCGGGAAATCTAGCCAAAACTGCCGTTGGGAGTAACGTAGACGGGTTCGCCTCGAGAAGATTATACATCGTCGACAGAAGGAGCCGAGTGGTTTTTTCCTTCGGCGAGAGCCGTAGTAGCTGAGTGTATAAGAGAACGATATCGTATTCACTAATTTCCATGTTAGTTGTAGTGCATTTTGAACGTCGTAGCAGCCAATCTTTCATACTCATTCAACTCATCACCAATCTCTTCTGCTTCAAAACTCAACTGCCATAGGACTAGCAAGACGTGGTACAATAGCTGTAAACCAACCCCACCGCTGAGACCTTCGAAACCACCGCTCCTTACTGTGGTGTTGCCGCTCCAGAGACTCGCAGAAGATTCGCCACCGATACCCGCGGCTTTTCGGAGTATTTCGATTAAGGGTGCAACAGTCTCGCTTCTTTGCTTCCAGAAGAGCTGTCTGGAAGATCGCCCATAGAGGAGAGACGAGTACTTGGTAACAGCAATATCTTGTAGTCCTGCATCGCTAGAGTTCTTTACCAAGCCGCATAGGTAGCTTAAAACAAGGGGAAGAGCGTGTTCCGTCGACTGCGATTCGTCTCTCGAGTAGGCCATAAGAGTACTAAGAACAGTAGAGGTGAGGAGAGGGATGGGGTCTTCTGAATTGTTCGAGCGCGCGAGTAGAGGTAGAAAGTGTTGGTATGGGTCTGCAACTTTGAAAATTGCCTTTGCTAGAGCCGGGACGCCTTGAAGGATGTTAGTATATGTAAACTGTAGTTAAGAATGGCCAATTCTATCCCATCCATTCTGCAAAGGACTTACCATCGAGCAGGTCACTCAGTAAAACCAACAAGTTTTGAATGACATCGGAGCGCTCGCTCGCCAACTCCAAGACACCAGGCGTGCCTGGCTCTCCAACAAATAGTATTCGATATCCATCAAGGTCATCTGCCACCACTTGGTTTCTCTGTTCCCTCTTTACTTTGTCGACAGCCTTAATCTTAGCCAATTGAGCCTCTGTGATGGTACCTGCTCTAGCTGCGCCAGCCCAGGGAATTGGCCGTTGACGTATATTGTTCTGGAGCGAACCAAGATAAGGAGGAGGCTCGAGTGACATGATTGGGAAGGGAGGGGGCCTATAAAAGAATTATAAGTTTAGCGACGTCGAGTTTTAGGTGAACTAGAAGTGAGCTCGACGTGGCAAAGTGGTGTTAGTATTGCTGGTCCTTGGATGTATTATGCACATGCAGGTGAAATGTACAGATGAAATGTAGATGTGGTAGATGAGGTAGCGAAATGGCTTGTGGAGAACGGAGCTACGCTGAGGCTGGGGGCTGTGACACAAGGTTTTGGAGCTCGAGGTGCCATTTAAAGTGGGCCTATCGCTGCCGTCATAGTGTAGACATGTACATGCAACTCACTTCATGTTTTAACCTCAGTGCTTTCAATACTAGGTAGTAAGAAAAGTAGGTACGTACTTCACTTATACACATATGATGCCTCATTCAAAACTGTTATTACTTTTGCTACAATAGCCAAAGTGTTGCGCCAATAGTACCTGCTTATGCCGACCAATACGTAGAAAATATCAGACAATTTCCTACCCCATTCTTTGCTTCCGCCGCACCCAAACTTCCTGATTATCCTCATCCTTCTCATCACTTTTTATTCCAGCTTGCGTATCGGAGCTGGGACGTAACTGAACCTCCCATATTCCCAATTTATAATTGGCCCGATCTGCTCTCCCCGAGAACAAGTCAAACGACCAGCCATGCTTCGGACAAGTGATTCCAGCACTCAGGATAATACCAAAGTCCTCGATGTCGAACGGGATGCCTTCAGAGAGGGGATAGGAAGAATGCGGACATCGCTGCTCACTCCGTTGGTCACGACATCCTCTGTTCAAGCTGCACTTGCATAACGCGGCAGTTGCAATATTTGTGTGATGAGACTCACATTGTTAATAGCATGGACCTTGCCCTTGTACCTGAACACCAGCACCTGGTCTCGCAGTCCACCTTCAGGATGGGATATTGAGTCGCCCTCAATCTGGTGCGCCTGGGAGCTATCATCAGAAGGCACATAGAAGACTTTACACCCAGGGGTAGAGTTCTGCTCGGCACATGAGCGGTGCTCAGATAGACTGGCGCTACCCGAGTCGAAGATATCAGGTAATGACGAAACGAGACCGACACAGAACCATGCATTACCTCTCCGAGACGAGGCTGTGAATGGAGATGCCATTTCGATGTGTTTCCTGCATGTTATTTGTGATGAATTGTTGACCCTATATCTAGACCTATATCTAGATCTATCATGGGTGTGGTTAGTTATGTGAGATGCTTAGTGAATGATCAAAGTGAATACTACGCTAATTGGGATAAGTTACAACTTACCTATTACCTAAGACCAATAGCTTTTGAGAAAGCCGATAAGGAATAAAAGAATTCGATGTTATTCAAATCTCTAAGCTCATCTACTAGTACAGTAGACGTTACCGACCTACTGGTAGATACATACTTTGCAATATTTGGGAGTTTCTGGAGTTTATCGAGAAACTTACCTAGGTTAGTGTGTTAGCTCTATCGACTTTATTACCTTTTTAACCAATAGGCCAATTAGGGCTGAGAATTTACATTTATGCATAATCCCATATGATGCATGTAAATAAGTTTCTGAGACGAAATAGTTTAACCTTGAAGGAAACTTGCACGTACCGCATGCATGTGGTCATTTATAATGGCTGCCTGGGTAGTTATGTGCAGTATGGTCTGATGCTTAGGAACTTTCTCACAAGTCTGCCGTGAAATGTGATAAACAGCTAATATCCTTTTTGATAAGGAAGTACGCGAATGTTTCCCCTAGCCATGGCTTAAAGTTGTGTACATAGACGAATAGGCTCATTCATGATGTATCAAGAGAAGGGCATCACGTGATCAGATCATCGCCCAACTATTCATCTTTAGTATAACACAGCGTGAAGGTATATAGGTGTGTAGCTGTGCTGGGTTCATATGTTTCAATTAAGGTCTCCCTATTCGTACATAAAGTGATCGATACCGACAGGATATTATTCAATTGCTCTAGGCGTAGGGGTCCTCGGACACTAACTCAATGGACTCAAGAGCTTGCCCGAGGCGGAATTTGCATGACGGCAGATCGTTGGTGAGCTTACGGTCCGACGCGAGGATGGCATCAAGATTCCGCTTCGTATTCATTACATAGGGCGAGACAGTGCTATAGCGGTGATGCCCATGAGCTGAGCAATGGGATAGCTTCCAGGCGACAGGATAATAATTCAAGGTTCGTATGAAGATATCTCGACCAGCCAATGGAAGAAGAAAACTCGAAGGTTTGAACACTTGAACCCCTGCACACCGTAGGGCCTACTTGAACATGTACATATGTACATTTATGGATATCCACATGCATGGATTACCTAGTAGTTACTATGTAGGTAGTTATACATATGTACATTCAAGTGGGCCCTGTTCCCTGTAAGTACGAAGGTGGGGTGATATTGTTAGGTACCCAACGGCCTGAATGAGCTGGTCGGGTACCTGCCTCATGAACCTAGCTAGGCTAAGCTAGCACTAGCTTGCTATTATGTATGTACAATACCTAGTACCACTACGTCGTAGGTACCCAGTAGTATAATCGATTGTCGCTGTTACAACAGCAGGGGCCACAATCAACAAGTGCGCACATTACTGGATCTCAATGCCAACTCACCATCTCATTTACTACCTTGTCATCTTGCATATGACAATACGGTATGTAGGTAACAGCTTTCTTATGTATTTAAAAACAACAGGATAAACATAATCAATAGTATCAATAATGAGGTGAGAAAGAGGGAATATAAAAATGTAAAAGACAAATACAAGAGAAAATTGTAAAAATTTTGGTATGAAGTGGTTGATTTAATATCAGATCGTGACCCCTGTCGACTTTCATCCAACCCCTCGGTTTCCAACTTTTTTTTTTCTCTTATCCTTCTTCTCTCATCCATGAAGCTACACCCAGCCCCGCGGGATTTCTTAAATCGCAGCCACTTTTTTGGCCGTCACCCATCATCTCCCTTTAAGTAGAGGAGGTTGGGAAGTTGCAACCCACCCACCAGTAGTAAAGAGTATGCATTAAGGAAAGAAGCGAGAACTTGGAAGTTGCACTTTACTCTCTAACTTCTACCTTTTCACTTTTTTCCCTTCCTCTTTTTTTTTACTTCAATGTCCTGATATTCTTTTCGCATACAGTACTTTTGGGTCGTGCTTCCTTATCACCGCCAGTACCAACTAACCAGCCAATCCTCAACCACAGCAGTTATCGGATTGGTAAGAATATCCAAGCTTAAGACAATCGGTAGTGTAAGTCCTCTTTTTTTTAAACACCACCCAAGATTGCATTCCTCGCCTAGCGATTCGCAAGCTGATCAATCATTTCTTAGTTGTCGGAGGAGGAATTTTAAGAATTAAAAAATACAGGGTCAAACAGTCGGCTTCAAGTTGTCTCTCAACTTGCCCGCCACTTATATCATTCCGCATTCCACTCCCCTTGAGTCGCGTCCAGCACTGGACGAAACCTGAACAATATGCGACCAAGCCAGGCCCAACTTGGGCTTCTCCCGTTACTATTCACTCTCGTCGCCGCTCACCCATATCCTCGCGACGATGGCCAAGATAACGGCTTCGGATATCTTATGCCCCGCGCTTGTGCGTCATACTGTGGCGCCGACAACCAGTTCTGCTGCTCCAGTGGAGAAGCCTGCACCACCTCAGCTGGCGTAGCGAGCTGTGTTGCGAGCGCCGGCGGCGATGTCAATTTCTTTACTACCACGTGGACCGAGACGAAAACATATACTAGCACCTTCAGCTCTCTTCTGAGTGCTACAACCCCAGCATCAGGAGGAACCAACGGAGAACCGTGCGTTCCACCAGCAGGCTCTGGCCAGATTGCCTGCGGCACTATCTGCTGTGCGAATTGGCAATACTGCGCCCATGAAGGTCAATGTATGCCGAATGCTGGTGCTGGCTCGTGGACTCAATGGACCACGGTTGGCGTCGTGACCACTCAGTATTCAGCTCCTTACAGAGTCACCAGCGGCAGCACTATCGTACAAACCTCAGCACCCACTACCACCACCGGCACTGCAGCTAGCGAAACTACCACAAGCACCGCTGCCCCAGCTCCTGTCGCATCTACTAGCGGTTCGCTTAGTGGAGGCGCAATTGCAGGCATTGTTGTCGGCACGATCGCTGGAGTGGCATTGTTGCTACTGCTGTGTTTCTGCTGCATTGTCAGAGGCCTCTGGGATGCTTTTGCTGGTATCTTTGGATCTGGAAGACGAAACCGAGATGCGGAACGAGTCGAAATTATCGAAGAGCGATACTCGAGACGCGGAAGCAGACATGGTAGCGCCTACGGTGCTAGTGCTGCCGCTGCTGCTCGACCGTCTCATCGAACGTGGTTTGGAGGCGGTGGAGGCCGACCTACATCTGCTGCTAGTCGAAACGAGAAGCATTCAAGTTCCGGCGGCGCTGGCTGGTTAGCCGCCACTCTGGGTGGTGCAGCTCTTCTCCTCGGTCTGAGGAGAGACGAGAGGCGCAGAGCTGCCAGTCGCAGACCAGTCAGAACCGACATCGGCAGTTCGCACATCTCCGACTACTCCTCCTCCACAAACAACAGCCCAAGTAGGTTTATCACCAGAAAATGAAGTATAGAAAGGAGCGTTTACTGACCAATTTTCTTTCCACAGGTAGCGCAAGCTCGGACAGGAGAACGCACAATACCAGACGTTCGAGACGTTCAAGAGCGACGAGAGTTTCGAGGTCGAGAGTATCGCGACCCTCGAGATAGAAGCCGAATTTTCAACCTCAACCCCAATAATTCTCCACCTGTTATTTCCAACATTCCCCGAAATTGAAGTTTATACCCCTTCTCCCTTTTTTCGATCGCGGCGCGAATTGTTTATTTTATCACTCCGACACACACGTACATACCTATCACAAAACAGCACAAACACGGCGTTTTGACTTTCGGGATGCGGTCTCCTTTTTTCTCTTTTCCCTCTCCTTTTACTTTAGATTACCTAATCACGAAGATTACTGCTGCGTACGATACCGGAGACGAGATGAGAGTTCAACAAGATTTCCGTTGGAAGTTGATGAACTAATGAATACCATGGGAGATGAAATGAGAGAGAAAAAAAAACGAATGATGGAAAATCAAGAAACGAGTTTCCGAAACCTTTGTATATACGAAAGTGATGTCGAGGATGGATGGGGTGGATGGGCGGACATAATCTCAAGGAAAGGCTGGCTGGCTGGTTGGGGTCGGGTCAGGCAGAGTTGAAGAAGCTCCGGCATGATGCATGAGAAAAGCTAAGGATATAGGGATGGGTTGCTTAGCTTAGCTTGGGCTTGCCTGGACACGAACGAAGATGAGATGAATGCCTAGGTAGTGGATATGATAGGATGTGATGTGATGACATGCCTACCTACCTACATCTAGGCCATTGTGAATACGATAGATGATGAGTGGAAGACTTATGCTTCGTGGCAACTCTCATATTTACGTGCTTGTCTACATACTTGAAACAATGAATTATTATGGCTGCGTATATCGATCGATCGAATTTTCGTTTGAATTTAAGAATTGTCTTTTTTGTTGTTTTCCCTTCCCGCGAAGAAGAGTTAAGTAACTCATGTTGAGCAAAACCTAAAAAACCTTAGCTTATTAACGTCTCAACTCATTTGCCCCAGACCAGCTATCGGCATACATACATACATACATACATACAACTAGCTTGACGATATGAACAAGTAGCAAGCAGCATGTCCTACGAGCTAAACCAATTTTCTTACGTATAATAAGTCCAGCAAGTCTGCCTACTAGGTACCCATCTACTACTCTACCTAATTATCTACTCTGCTCAACTCAGCAAACCTACCCTTGATACTTCTGCGCAACATACCTATGTACATCAATCATGTATAGGGTTAGATAGGGTCGGTCTACTCTGTATATCGGCCCTTACCTTAACACAAATAGATTCAAAATACCTACCTAATTTCAAACCTCGGCTTTAGAAGAAATTCACCATTACCATTACTTAGTATTTTGGATATAATTGTACGAAGACAGGTCTTCGATACTCTCTCATTGCCTACGCATGAGAAGTGCTTGTGATCAAGACAGTTAGTTATAAGACGAGGAAAAGGAGTTAGTCGGGTAGGTAGGTAGGTAGGTAGGTGGCGCGTTAAATGGAGTGAGTGGCAGCTAGATATAATTGATGAGATCCTAATAATTCATCATGAAGTAGTTTCTACGTTAGGCTCCACTGGATTCTGGCGGTTGTGTGGTGTGTTTTTGGTGGTGGATTAGTGGGTTAGTTGGTTAACGTGTATATGGTGTATATGGTGTATATGGTGTATATGGTGTATATGGTGTATATGGTGTATGGTGTATATGGTGTATTAGTGTATTAGTGTATTTGGTGTATATGGTGTATTAGTGTATTTGGTGTATTTGGTGGTGGAGTTGGTTCAGGGTTCGGACCAACCCAACTACATCTCCGACCCCCTCTGGTGTATTACACTTACCAAAATTGCTGGTGTACACCAAAAATGGGTCTCGCAAGCCTCGTCGACGCCCTTACCCATACTACAGGTTGATGCTATTCCCAATCTCGCCGTCGCTCCCGTCCCTCCCGTCATTACCCTCGTCTATGCCATCGTGTAGCCACTCATGCCGGTGGTACAGTAAGCATGGACCCTGTTAGCAACACCACCAAAATTACTAGTAAGCACTATCAGTGGCTGGTACCCACTATAAATACACCCAATTCAATTACACGGGACATAAAAGTGTAATCGGGTGGTTTTGAAAAGTGGATCTGGTGTAGTTGGATTGGGTTGGATGTAATACACTGGATGTAATACACTGGATGTAATACACTGGATGTAATACACTTGGTGTAATACACTGGTGTAATACACTTGGTGTACACCGGTGTAATAGCGTGTAGTTGGTCCGAACCCTGAGTTGGTCGGTGCATTTAATGTTAGTTGGTTAGTTGGTTATGGAGTGCTTGTCTTAGACTTCAAGCCTCCATCCCTTTGCAGTCACTTATAAATTCCGAGAAGAAGCACATGCGAAAGGGAGTAACGACAGCAGGTATCTGCCATATCACGAATCTGAAAGAAGACCATATTATAGTTCAAAAGACACGAAGACATTGGTCAATGTTCGGTTCCATTTTTCGTAGCTATCTTGCTACGTGAGATGCAGATGAACCCCGGCGACTCCGTATTGAGACCCAGAAAGAAAACAAACCATTCATGCCCCATCCCGCTTAAGCATCAGTCTCGATGTTGCTCTTCTCAGAAACGTACATGCCGTCCAAGAACTAGAAAATGTTAGCATAAATCACAAGGCAGAACAAGGCATAAGGAGCCCGAGAGGTTGGCCAAGCGTACCTTTCGGATATCCTTGTTTCGGACTCTGCAGATCTGTTGAATGTCGGCGGCGCTTTGAGAAACATCCTCAAGAGAGTTGCCTAGGATTTGTAGCTCATCCTTCTGGGATGTGGAGATTTCGACGTTAACACCGGGGCGCATGGCGACGCGTCGGACGAGCTTCTCGCCGATGAAGTTTCTATTATTGAGCAATGGTCAGCTATCCTGTCTGTCCACTATTCATCCTCTTTCGTTAGGCCTGTCAAGGGTGAAGCATACCGGATCTCGACCTCGAAGTTGCCCGTCTCGCTGTTCTTCTCGACGTTGACGTTGATGGGGAAATGGGCGTAGACGTAACGCATCTTGTACTTGTAGCCCTTGGTGACGCCGATGACCAAGTTGTTGATGAGCGTGCGGACAGTTCGTAGGGTGGCGACATCTTTTCGCGATCCGTGGTGAATCTCAATGCCAATAACATTCTTCTTCGGTCGCGAAAAGTTGACGGCGATATGGCTCAGGTCCTTAGACAGCTTGCCTATTATCTCCCATTAGAATTTTTATTCCATTTCGCAAACTCAAATCGGAAAATTGACTGATATCGTACCTCGCGGGCCCTCGACGGTAACATTGCGGGACTTGATTGAGACCTTGACTATTGCGTTGACATCATGTTAGTATCCATTCGATATTTTCCCCAAGATTCAATAAGATAGATATATCGCTGCGCCACTGAGCACTCCAATATGTAGAACATTGAAGCGATTCCTCTTTACGTCCAGCACAAGTAGATTCGTTTTGAAGACGTACCTCCCTCGGGAATGTTCAGGGTCTCGAGACTGTGAATGTATCGCATCTTGACGGTTCAGGTTGAGGGTATGGCGGGGAAAGAAGTTGAACCTAGAGATGGAAAAGAGGTGAGTAGGTTGCAAAGAATCAATCCCAGCAGATGCGGGAGTGTTAAATTAATTATAAAACACAACGTTTTCCTCGCAAGTGTATGGGTGGGTGGGCGTGCAACGTACCTGAAGATGATGTCGTCGTTAATAAGAAAAAAAAAGTCACCAATTCCTAAAGTCGAGAAATCAATTGAGGAAATTCGGTTGTGTGGCCAGTCGCTAAGCTAAAATTGTGGATAAACCACGGGAATTTTGGTACAACGGTACCGGTGGGCCTACACCGTGAAATCCATTAGGGTTTTTTCGAGATTACCTAAGCTGCTAAGGTGGGTGGCACCGTGGCAGAGGGTTGGGTGGCTATGCACTTTAAAATCAACGTTTTTGAGGCTGAAGCTTTAGCTTAAGCCACATCTGCAATAGTTAGTTCCACCTATGACAATTGAAATGTGGGGCTACGTCCAAGATGCGAGATCCGACGCAATTCATTGAAGACTTACAGTACATAGTACATACAACAACGCGAGTAAAGCAGATACTGTGAGCTACCTCAACCATCACATAACCCTTCTCCCTATACCCGATACCAGATACCCGATACCAGATACCCGATACCCAATTCTCGCCCGATACTCGCCAAAGATGTCGTACTTCTTCGCTACCCCGGTAGACATAGATATCGTCCTCGAAGACAGCGATGAGCGCCAAGTGGTGGACATAAGAGAAAAGCAGCGCCGCGAGAAGGCGCCGCTGTATATGGATGGCGAGTCTGTCAAGGGGCAAGTCACGGTGCGCCCTAAGGATGGGAAGCGCTTAGAGCATACCGGAATTAAGGTCCAGTTCATCGGCACGATAGGTTAGTTAGTATGGTTTCGGTATTGCGCATTACGAGACTTGTCTTTCTTCCCTTTCTTCCCTTTATTTTATATACGACAGGAAAGAAGACAACAAAACTAACGAGGCCCCTCAGAAATGTTCTTCGATAGGGGCAACCACTACGAATTCCTCTCCCTGAACCAGGAGCTCGCGGCGCCGGGCGAGCTGCAGCACCCGCAGACCTTCGACTTCAACTTCAAGAACGTCGAGAAGCAGTACGAGTCGTACAACGGCATCAACGTGAAGCTGCGGTACTTCGTGCGCGTCACCGTCGCCCGCCGCATGGCCGACGTCATCCGCGAGAAGGACCTCTGGGTCTACAGCTACCGCATCCCCCCCGAGATGAACTCGAGCATCAAGATGGACGTCGGTATCGAGGACTGCCTCCACATCGAGTTCGAGTACTCCAAGTCAAAGTACCACCTCAAGGACGTCATAGTCGGCCGCATCTACTTCCTCCTCGTCCGCCTCAAGATCAAGCATATGGAGCTCAGCATCATTCGGAGAGAGACCACGGGGGCCGCCCCGAACCAGTACAACGAGAGCGAGACCCTAGTGAGATTTGAGGTGAGCCTTTCTTTCCTTCTTTCCGTCTTTCCTTCCCGTTCTATTCAGAACAATTAACCCCCCCCCCCCCCCCCCCCTTCCCTTCTTCCCCCTACTTACCTACCCCCAATAAGACTAACCCAAGTTACCAACTCAACACAGATAATGGACGGCTCTCCCTCACGCGGCGAGACCATCCCCATCCGCCTCTTCCTCGGCGGCTTCGACCTGACCCCGACGTTCCGCGACGTGAACAAGAAGTTCTCGACGCGCTACTACCTGAGCCTGGTCCTGATCGACGAGGACGCTAGGCGCTACTTCAAACAGTCCGAGATCATCCTCTTCCGCCAGCCCCCCGAGCTCGCCACCGGCGACCCCCAGGCCCTCGTCTCCGTCCCAGAGTCCACCCGCCAGATGCCCTTGCCCGTACAATAATGACTGACTGATGATGAAATGATGATGCGCGGCGCGGACGTACCGACCGGCCTGGATATGCTGTGTCCATCTTATTTTTTTATAATAAATCTCATGAATTGCAAATACCACTACCCCCCACACTCCTACCACTCTTACTCCTCCTATCACTACTACCACCCTATCGACCTAGACCACTGTACATTTCTTCTTCTTCACCCGAGATCGAGATTCGAGCATCGAAGCATCGACGGCGCGGCGTTTCAATGTGTTACGGTGTTCGTTTAGTTAAGCATCAATGTGACCTTATTTTATGTCAAGAGTTGTTTAAGTTTTGTTTTTACTAAGGCGTTATTTCACGAAAGAGGGAAAGGGGTTGGGCCCAGGATGGGGGTGGGGGGGGGGGGTTCATAGCTTTCATCTTCTACATAGTTTAGGTAGCTTAGGTAGTCAAACTCATTAGAGGCTTTCTTCGCATTATTTCTTCTTCCTCTTTTCTTTTCCCTGGTGCCGTTTTGTTTTTGTTTTTTTGGGAAAGGACCTGAGCTGAGGCAGACTTCATCCCCCAGGAGGTATCATCATCAACTAATTACCTAACCTAGTAGACAAATCCCAAATGTTGTACAATCGTTTGTGTGGCCAATTCCCGTCCAACGCCTCAATCAGAGTATCTCCATCTCGTCGTCTGCCGCGAACCCAAATTGGTTGTTGTCAATCGCCGCAATGCGGTCCAGTTCATTCTGATATTCCTTCCGGATATCGGCCAGGGTCACCACTCGGCGTTTAGCGAGGTTGGGATCGGGCCCGAGCTTGATCGGACGCGGCGGTCCCTCGAGCGTGATCCATGCCTGCTTCTCATCAACGCAGCTGAGGACATTGATGAGCATTAGATATTGTCGCGTGACCAGCGTGTCCAGAATATCGTCACCCGTCACCTGATCACCCTCCCCGTGCTGCCTAAGCCTCTGAATGCGATCAAGTAGAATGGCGGCGGCGCCGCGATAATCGTTTCGCTTGATACGCCAAGCGTACAGAATCTGATGGTAAGGGACACCGGTTATGACGTCCACTGCTTCTTGGCAATGCTGCTCGAGGATCTCATCCACGGTGCCTTGTAGACCAGGGAAGGTCAAGTTGACTAGTTCTGAGTTGTGAAGGTTGTCGCACATGCGCTGAATGAGCGCTCGCAAGCATGAATGCTGAAGGGCATGGTCCTTCATTGCCACCACAGTGGAATGTGCCAACTCGAATTGCGACGTAGATATGGCACCGCTAAAGAGGCGACATTGGAGTTCTGTTCGAACCTTGTCTGCATCTTCTACTTTGTTGTTGACAAATTGAAGGGATAGACGGGCAAAGTCCACCACGAATGAATATGCCTTGTGTTGCTCAAACAGAGCAACGAGATGTGCGTAATAACGTGGAAGTCCTGCATAAAGAAGGTTCCATTCCGTTTCGTCGAGAAGGCCACTGCTATGTCGCTCAGGGGTTGGCTGAGGGACGCCTAAGTTACGTATTAGCTCTAAACATATTCGTTCATTTATTAAAAATTCAAAAATGGAATATCACTTACTCATGCCGTATGCCGCCTTCTTGAAATAGGTGGCCGCAGATGTATAATCTTTGAGAGCAAGCTGCACACGCCCCTGAACATAGGTTGAAAAGGGATCGCGGTCGCAGAAAGGAGTTAGCTCAGCGGCGAGATCTGCCCTATCTCTAACGAGCAGACCACACTGAATGTATTGGGGTTGCAACTCTACATCACTAGCGGGAGCGCAAAGATCCGCTACAATATTGGTAATGATGGAGGGCAATGTGTCTAGCGCAGTGGATTGAAGATCGGGTAGTCCGAGCAGGTGTCCCACGTTGCCCTCGAGCGCCGTGATGATTCTATACTCGTCAACTTGTCGTTTAGGAGCTGCTGGAGAGCTGCTGGACATGGAAAACGATTTATCCGACTTCAGGAGTGGCATAGACATTTGGGTGTTGGCAAGCCATCGGAGGAGTTCGAGTCTCTTCATTATGACGAGCAAGTTTCGATACACCACACCAACCTCGACACTGTGGTGAAGAGCATCTTCTGGGCGCTCGAAATCGAACTCCATATACACGAGAAGAATCAGCTGGCTAAAGCAGACGTTCCATTGCAGCTCAGCCATATCTTGAACTGCTCGGACAACAATCTTCCGACCAAACTCGGTAAGAGGAAGTTCAGTTGGGTGAGGTGAATCCCAAATCTCATTAAACGTTGCAAGGACTCGATCGTACAACCGGGTCGTAACTAGACTGAAGTTTTGACCAAGAGCATCGGCGACTTGCGCGCAGTCTTCGTCAGAAATTTGACGCCAGAATCCTGCCTTGTCTGAAACGTATTGAAGACGATCCTGGTCCGTTTTTGTCGTCTCTTCGAACATCTCCGGGCGAAGGACGGAATGGCAGACTTGCAACATGCTATCCGAGAAACCATCGACAAAATTTAAACCGGTGGAAACCAGGGTGGGAGCTTCAGTTGATCCATCAAATTTCAAATGTGGGTTGTAGCATATCGATTCTAATTCGCTACATTCTCTGATAGCAGAGATGTTGTCAGCGCAAACTACCCACGGCATACCAGACTCCGATTCGCAAGATAATGCAAGCGCCTCGCCCCTTGGCTTGTCCAGCTCAAGCAAGATCCGGTAGAATTTTCGCCATTGCATCTCACTGGAGGTTCTAAACTGCTCATGATCCATGTCGCCAGATGATGTTTTGTTTAGGATCGAAGTAGAAGCAATGGCGGAACAGACAGCCTCGGCGAGATCTTGACCACTGCGAGAAGAGCTAGCCCGCCTTCCAATCGCCCCTTCATACGTACTTATCGCAGTCTGGATCGTTGTCTTGGGAAATCTCCCTGGGGTGAAAATGAGCTGCAGCCACTTTTCTGTGGGATCGGTAGGTTCAGATGAGCTGGAGAGCTGGGCGGTAGGTATAGCCGTGTCGGAGAATACGGATCGCCAGTTTTGCCAGGCATCTGGAAGTTCTTCCGCTAGGAATGTCAGTCCTTGTACCCTATACGCCATGTTGTTCTTCCATAAAATCCACATCCTATATCCAGTAGATGCAGAGCGTTCTGCCACACTGAAATCCGCCAGTGTCCAGACATCCGATCCCAGAGGAGGGGTGGGTATTAACTGGTCATCTGGATAGAGATCATCAACCTCAACGAGGTTTTCGTTGTCCGACTTTACTCTCCAAAACTTGAACTCGCCTGCGCCAACCGGTGAATAGGTCACGCATAATCGTTTGCCCTCTGTAGAGCCTACGATACGGATCAAGTTTGTTTGCGACGCATCCAGTTGCCACTTGCCAGACTCTTGAGGATCCCGCGGGGCGTTTAGGAGGTCCATGGCTCCAAGGATGAGGCCACTATTGAGGTTCCAAATCCGTAGGCGGTGATCGAGGCAGACTGTGAAGAGGAATGAAGCGTTGTCCAGCCCAAGGTTGGTCTGAACTGCTGCCGCCGCCGCCTTAATATCGAGGTCTCCCCGGCCTCCCAGTAAACTTCGAAACCAGCCCTTTGCATTGTAAAACGTTTCCTTCCACGGTACGTGGGGTGCTAGATATTCATTACGAAGTTAGACTTGTAGTAACATGCAAGGGGGTCGATAGACAAACCATGATGCGCTACGTTTCTGTCAAAACGTATGTGACCACCATCAGACAAGGTCGCAACCAGCTGATCATTGTTAACTGCAATGAGTCTGTAGGGGTGCTTGAAGTTGCGGAAAGCATTGGGCTGGTAAATATTGCAAGCATCTCCCAATCCGGTCTCAGCAAACGAACGCTTGCAGAAAGAGTCTGGTCTCAAGAAGAGGGTGTACAATTGATTGGCGGTATCGAGAATGAAGATACTGAGGGCATCGTGGTCCGTAGGATCGCAAAGGGCAACACAACTAGGTATAATGCGATGAGGGAAGTGGAAGTTTAGGATGAGATTCGCGTCGGGGGCCTTCTTCGGTTTGTAGATGTCAACGGTTCGTATACTGAAGACAGTATCATCCTCTAGTATACGCCAAAGGAAAGCCTTTGGGAAGTTGTGGTGTCGTCGGTAGTAAATAGAGGAGGTTGTGGCTCGTGAAGTCTCGCTCTTATTGATCGGTTTGGAGGGTCGACTGGAATTTCGCACGCTTCGACCTTGAGAGCTGGTGGTAGAAAGCTCTATGTCGACTAAGTATGAAGAAGACGACGGCTCCAAATTCAGGCGCGTCTCCTTGAAAGAATACGTCGTAGCAGCCATACTGAAAACTGAATGCGACGCCCTTTGGAAGGGATCAAATTGGTTGTGAAGGTTGCATGTAGAAGACGCGCGCAGTTGATCTCGAAAACAATCAATGTTGATAATTGGTGTTTAGTTTTGGGTAAGGTATGTAGGTACAATACAATACATGGTAACTAGTGGTAAGCAAGCTAAAGTCGTTGGTATTGTCTTAAGCTTTAACGTTGATCTTATCGATAATCTTTTTTTTTATCGTGCACGCAACCGGCTAACCTAGTCAAGACTTAAATAGTTAAATGGTTCACGTGCTTCCGCGATTTCTAATTGTTTTCTCACCACTTTTCGCGTTATCGCGTTCCTAAAGTCTCGAGAATCCCGACCTAAATTAATACAACCTTGGAACTCTTTCCAAAAAAAAGAATTAAAAAAATCAATTGCTCCTAATTCCTCCGTCCTAGCCTTTCGAATTCCCTCAATTTAACTAATTGTGAATCGCCTATACTTATTTGTTCACCTGCAGAGATGTCACAAGAATATGACGAAGGTGCAAATGGCGAAGAGAGTGGAGTCACTGGCCCTGGCGCGCCCACGCCTGTCGCCGCTCTTGAGGTGAGTTGCTTTATTCTAGCAAAGGTTCCGACGGAATGGTACTGACTGTTTGTTGCTTGACGTAGGGACTTGCGGGTCTAACAAAACGTGACTGTCAACTCCTAGCAGAGGGAGGTTTCCAGACTGTGGAATCCGTCGCTTACACTCCAAAGCGGGCCCTGGAGCAGGTCAAGGGTATATCGGAACAGAAAGCTGTGAAGATACTTGCTGAAGGTGAGTGTTTGCTACCTATTCAATTAGCGCATTGTGTTATGTCCAAAATATGGCGACTCAACTCATTACTAATTACTAAATAGCCTCTAAACTGGTCCCCATGGGCTTCACAACTGCAACGGAGATGCATCAACGAAGAAGCGAGTTAATATCCATTACTACGGGGTCCAAAAACCTGGATACTATGCTCGCTGGAGGTGTCGAAACTGGCTCGGTGACGGAGCTCTTTGGTGAGTTCCGTACGGGAAAGAGTCAGATCTGCCACACTCTCGCAGTCACATGTCAACTGCCATTTGACATGGGTGGTGGTGAAGGCAAATGCCTCTATATCGACACAGAAGGCACATTCCGACCTGTACGACTTCTGGCGGTTGCGAATCGCTATGGCCTGTCCGGCGAGGAGGTCCTGGACAACGTTGCCTACGCCCGGGCTTACAACTCAGATCATCAACTACAATTGCTAAACCAGGCTTCGGCGATGATGTGCGAGACCCGATTCTCCCTACTCATTGTAGATAGTGCCACATCTCTCTACCGAACAGATTTCCTCGGCCGAGGAGAGTTATCTTCCCGACAAACACATTTAGCCAAGTTCATGCGGACGTTGCAGCGACTAGCCGACGAGTTTGGAATCGCTGTCGTCATCACCAACCAAGTCGTGGCGCAAGTTGACGGTGGGCCCAGCTCCATGTTCAATCCAGATCCGAAGAAACCCATCGGCGGCAACATCATAGCCCACGCCAGCACAACACGTGTCAGTCTGAAGAAGGGCCGCGGCGAGACGCGTATCGCCAAGATCTACGACAGCCCCTGTTTACCGGAGAGCGACTGCATGTTTGCTATCATGGAGAATGGCATTGGGGACCCGGCGCCCAAGGACATGGAGAAGGACTGAGAGATGGCGCGCTAAACGCATTGAGCAATGGACATTCTCAAGGCAAAACCCTTGCATTACATTTTTGAGACACGGCGAAGGGGACGAAGGAGGGAACGGGAAACGAGGAATAAGCTACGGGATATGAATGATTGCTTTTACAGATGACTGGCATGCATGGCTTTGGCGTTTCTCAGGGGAATCAACAGCATAAACGGCATAATGCTTGGCCTTTTCTTTTAACTTGAACGTTTTGCACTGGTGTTATCGTCGTGGAAATAGTTCAGGGTGGACGAGCACTACATTGTAGTAAAGATGGCTTATCCTCTCTAAAATATGTAGATACACGAGTCAACGATAGCTGTCTATACATTCAGGTAGGCACATGTCTACCTTTGCTCAAACCCACCCATCATCCTGCCTAAAGATCATCTGCCTAAATACCTATAATCCTCACACGACCCAATCTACCAATGACGAGTGGCCGATCATCTCAGCTGGAATTTTTACTTAATAGACCCTCTATTATAGTGCAGGGTTGCTGGAATTCAGCTTCACTTAGCGCTGCGCTATAACATGACACGAGCTGACGCGAAAATCTCACTAACTAACAAGAGAAAACTAGGTTAGGGGGTGTGTGAAAAATAAGGCACGTGTAATAAATGTAGGTAGTTTAAATCAGACGTCGTCCTGTCGTCTCTTCACATATTTCATGAGATACCCTACCTCCTTGTTTGTTGTTGTAAACCAACCGAAATTCACAAATACATACCTCGATAGCCCAGTCAGTCAACAGTGACGATCAACGGAATCATCGGAATGCGGAGGTATGGAAAAGTGGGTGAAGGGGAAAACCTAATCTTGTCTTCACTTAGCGAAATCTGTCCTCCCTTTTTTCCTTTTCCCCCTTTTCCCCTTTTTCCCTTGTCAAACTATCATAGTCTACTACCAGGTCGGTAGATAGGTGAGGTAGGTAAACATAGATTTGCGCTCCCTCAACAATCAAACGCTTTTATTAGCTATAAATGAGTATCACGATGTTTTTAGCGCAAGCAGTTAAGTCTACTCTTTCTCAATGTCCAGTCCCGTATGCACAAGATTTTCCGCCATTAATTCTTCTCCAAGATTCCCCTTACCCCTTCCGGTATTCCTTCCTTTGTGTATGAACGCCGATGAATGCATATGGTCCCCCCTTTCACCTTGATGCGGTTACCCAATGTTTGGAACAAGATGTTATCTACATCGCTCAACAGTGTGGTTGATACACAGCCGAGGCAAGTAACAACACAACGTTGAGTAACGGTCGTACAGTGTTATCGTGACCTCCTTTATGTGTTACACCCCATACCTATCACGCTTTGTCACCTCGTCATGGATTGTCCCTTTGACGATCGATCACGATTCTTTTTCTGGATCTTGTTACTATTCCTTCTTGAATGAGTCTCTTCCATGTCGATTTGGCTGCTGGGTCGGCTGAAGGTACCAGCAGGCAATATTTCAAATCCTGCGTTGACTTTCCTAGATGTTGTATTCGCAAAGGAATCGCCAGAGTAGGACCGATGGGGTATTGGCCTATTCGCAGCGAGCGGGGGTCGAGAAACTGAAGGCATCTCGCTGGAAGAGGGTGTTTCGAACGGATTCCTCATCTGCTCGGAATACATGCTAAAATAGTCCACGTGGGGTGCCGAGGGATCTTGGTCTTCCAGGGGGTTTAATGTTCGAGGCGTGGGAAGGGTGGTACGTCGGAGATTGGACACGTAACGCATATTCGAACGACGAGCACCTTCATCTGACGATGTTGAGCTGCGCTCTACCATCGTCCTTTGTTGCGAAGATACCGACGACTCAACGCTGGAAAATGAGAACGAATTGGTGGGGATATATGTTTCGACTTGCTGATCCCCAGATATATCATGTTCAGAGTGGCTCGATGTGTCAGCATCCATTGTGTCGTTGAGGGTAGTCTCCATCTGACGGCCTGACGGCCCCCTGGGTCTATAGGTCTGCCGTGTCTTGTACGGGTGGGCTCTGACGTGAGATGGCTCTGCGCCGGTTGGAATATACCGATCTGTCAAACTGATTGCGGGACTCGGCTGTGGGCTTTGTTCGGGTGTTTGTTCAACATCAATGACCGTCGTTTTAAGTTGTACGGGCACCTCCCTTTCTTTCCCTTTTCCTTTCGATCTACTTTCGGGTTCGAGGGTAGAGGATGAGGCAAACGACGGACTAATTCGACCGATCTCGACCGGAGAGCTGGGTCGCGAGATCCAAATACCGTCGACTTGTATACCACTTTGGATTGCGCGCACACCGAAGGGAATGTCCACTCGCTTGCCTACGGGAAGGCCACTCTTCTGCATCTCCAGTTGTCTCGTCCTCTTTTCTAAGTCAAGTACTGTATGCTTTTTGAGGAATCTACTCAACCACCACAGTTTGACTAATCCTGCCATGAATACCACCACTATTGCTGCGGCCAGGACCTTTTTTTTTCCCTAGATATTAGCGACTGGAAAGGATTTAGGGCCGAGAGAAAGCGACGACAGGAAGAAATATGGGAAAACTTACAAAGGTCATCTGCTGCCATAATTGCCAATTGACAAAAAAGTTGATCATATTGAAGATGCTTAGGATAAGACGATGTCCAAGTCAAAATTATCCAAAGCAAAAACAAATGATCTGAGGGGTGATCCAATGAGGGGCTAGGGAATGGCAGCAAGAAAACGAATGTTCATATACCCAAGAAAAAAAAACGAAAGAAGAATGATTGAATGTATTGAGGCGTGAGAAGAGGCGTGGAAAGGAGTGTTTATTAGGCCGAGAGCAGTTGAGGCGTTGAATCGATGAGGTCACGGGTAATTCGAGGTAGAAGGGTATATGTACTTTGTGTGTAATATCGATCAATGATGTACACATGCAGCTATACCTCCTCGTACCTCTCTTGTACCCAGCGCCTTTTAAAAATAGAACCTTCAATGTTGCTAGGTTAGAACCTTCAAAGGTCAAGGTCAAGGTCAAGTTCAGGTTAGAAAGAGTGGGAACCACAGATGTACATACATGTATGTATATATGTATTACTAGGAGGTTGAAAGGTCAACTGGCAGTTGCGATTGAAGTCAGGGACGCAGATCTTGTGACAAACGAGGGGGATTTTATGATCGAACGAGAACTAAAAGGGTAGGTGGGTTAGGTGGTAGAAAGGGCAAGCACAACTTTGGTGAGTTTTCCAAGCCCTTTTTTCCCTTTATTTCCTTTTTTTTGCTTTTTTTGCTTCTTCCGGTGTAATCTCGCAATAGTACTGATAGTACTTCAATGTTCGTACTATCTTCGTACTATCATCCACCTAATGTAAGGTAAAGCTCAAACTTCTCCACGCGGAATAAACGGAGTGGCTGATTCTCAGATCCTTCAAATATTGGTCTGAAGGGTAACCGTTGAACCAACTAGCTTTCCTTGGCTGCGCCGACGGACCAAATACGAGGGGCTGCTTTTCGACGTTGTGTACCGTCGATATTTCGGAAGGGCGAATAAGAGATTCCACTGGATTGCTGGATTACTGGATTACTACAGCTGAGGAGGAAACACCACACAAGGCTGGAGAGCTGAATGCCAATGAATCCTTCACCTGATGTCGATCACCGCCGCAACTTTTCCAGTGCTGGGCCAAGAAGAGTAACTTGGTGCACAAAAGTCGGCCGTTGAAGGTAACCTTGAGACGAGGACCGGCCGATATATCTTACAGATGGGGCCTGTCGACTATTTTTTTTTCTTTGTTCTCGAAGCCGGCTTACCGTTGGGTTGCTGATGGACTTCCCGAATTATGCGTGAGGTTAGGCGAAGGACCGAAAGAGGTGATATATTAATTATAGAGGCCTGGTCCAGTCTATATTCTAGCCAGCGATATAAGAATATAGCCGGAACAGAGCAACGCGCGTTCCCAAACAAGGGGCCAGGGACGATGGATTCAGACTACGCCGCAAACCAGAAAAAAAAAACACCGCAAAGATGGTCGTCCACGGACGGTAAAAGGGATCCTGTAGTCTCTTCTCTTGCGACGGTCTAGCGGATGGACTCTTCTACATACACACGTATTCACGTCCGCAGATAAACTTTACTTACCTTCTCCACACGTAAGACATTGGATTACGGATACAATCTGTACAAGCAGTACATACAACTCCGATTTATATCGATATTTCATCAATACTGACGTATCCGCTAGTAGTTGCGTAGATGGCTGCCATAAGACAAAGCTAGGCCTTTCTATACGAAGTCAAGTACGAGAGAATGTATCTCCTAGCAAACAATAACGTGCTGTTGGGTGGCTCGTGGATCTCGTGGATACTCCATACAGCCAATACAGCACGCCATGGCTCAGGGTGGGATGACCTGAGATAAAATATGTACAATGGGGAAGAAAAAAATAACAGCGACCCGGGCTAGCCTGCATTCAGTCTGCATATGGTATTCTGATTTCGGCATAGGCTCAAGTTCTTTTACGACTTCCCGTGTGACATAGTGAGCCAACCGGTTGAAGTCTGAAAGATTAGGTAGGTAGGTGTATGGAAGCACGGTGTCAGTTATGGCCATGCCACGGTGCCAGCAAGCCACGATAGCTGCAGGTCGCCGGTAAGCACCCTACCGCAATGCGTTCCCGGCCCACGAGAGAAGCTTGATAAATAAAGTATAGACTTTACCCGGTGACCAACATTGAAATGTAGCATGGCCCAGGGCTCGGGGCTCAGGGCAAGGTTACGATGAATCAAAGATAAATAAAGCATACGTACCCCCTTGCGCGCAAATTCCTGACAACTATGTATGGATTCACCTTCAACAATGACACCATCGCACTCTCTGTATTGTGAGTTTTCCATTAACCAGCCCCAAATCAGCTCTCCCTTGCATGGCGCTTCGGTGGTGTGAAAGAACACGATATCGTGGGCATTAGCGGCAACTTGGCGAATAATTGGAGATTGTCGTGCTGGCAGCCTGTGGCAAGACCTCAGGAATGTCTTAGATGAATTCTAGCTGGCACTAATAAGCTCTGACTTGGAACCGCGCGCAAAGTCGATCTTAGGATAAGTATCTCAAATACCTACGTATCTGAATGAGATATCCAAATCGAACAACCTGAGCGAACGGATTAGTAACGAAGGCTATTTTGTCACATCCATGTCTATTCTCATTGCGGGAATAGACGCCCCTCCCAAGACGGGAAGCCCCTCGTGGGCCTCGTCACCTCAGCGCTGGGACGCCGATCCTTCAGACCTTCCTACCCAGAAGTAAGAAACTTATTACCTACCTACCTACCTAGCGTCTAACGTCAATAGTTTAAAAATAATCATAGCATGAAAAAAGATTGAGACAGCGGAATAGGAACAGACCGTCAAGAGATAAAAAGAGGGAAAAGGGAAAGGGAGAGAATATTATTATTTTTTGACCAATAAGAATCAATCGGTATGAGTTCCCCTATCCGGTAAAATGCTTGCACATGTGGACGACGGCTCGCATCTCCGTTCTTGGTGTTACTCAACTCTCACTCAGCTTGCCATCCAACCATATTTAATAAAGATACTGAATGGGAAAAAAGGGTCAATATTTAGCGAGAGGTACATACATAAGCGTATTCGCTCCCCGTTCAAAGCCAACTCCCGTTCTCACGCACGAGCGGTAGGAGATGTAGATACTCAGATGCCGACAAAACGTAAGCTGGATATTACCTGACCTCAGCAAAAGTTGAGTTGAAGCAAAAACAGGTATGTGCTTCACCCCCCTCTTCCCCTTCTCCCCCTTTCCCCGAGTTTCGAGCGTAATCATTGAAACAATGGGGGGGGGAAAGTTTCCGGTCGTCTGGGACTCTGGGTAAGTCCAACCGTTCAAGTTGTACAAATGAGGCTGAGATGTCTCAATATTTATCGAAAACCCCGAGCTGCAAGCCATGGAAGGACGTAAATCTCAGGTTTGGCGCATATATGAATGAAGTCAAGCATAGGTACCTACCCAGTTCGCTGTCGATCTAAATTGGCTATATAAGACTCGATCGACTCGATTCGCAATTGTATTGATCATTGTGTATCTATGATCAACATTTATTATATCCCTAGGCCTCGACGTTGTTGTTGTTGTTCACTTTTGGTCCCTGCGGTTGCCCTAGGTGCCTAACCTAGATAGATGTCAAGATGCAGTTCCATTCGGGCATAGTAGCAATAGCACCTAGCACTTACGCCGCAGGATACTGCCATAGGTATGCTTCCTACGATGCAATGTGTACGTAAGAGTATAAGAATAAACAAAACCACACCGATACACTCACTGATCTTTACTCAAAATCGTCTTTGAGCCTCATATGACTATAAATTCTGACAATTCACATGATAATGGCCGCTGACTTGTATGACAGGACTTACATGATATATGCTTGAGTGAATATTACACCACATTATTACATGTGAATACTACTTAGATGCAAGAGCGCTTATGCACCAATCCAGATGCCGATCTCAAGCCGAAACTAGAGCGATCTTATTATATAGCCGGGTCTTGTGGGAGCGAAGAAATTAGTCATAGCAAGAAAAAAAAATTAAGATATTCCAAAAGTTCGAAGTGATTTCGGTTTTGATAACGAGCATCAAGAAGAAGAAAAAAAAAAAGATGGCAACGAACGGTAACCATATCCTCACGCTTTCTTGCCCGGACAAGCCCGGTATTGTTCATGCCGTTACTGGGCTTCTGGCAAACCAAGGCCTCAACATTCTAGATTTACAACAATTCTCAGACCGGACGTCTCATAACTTTTTCATGAGAGTTCATTTCGGCCATGTTGAGTCGACGAGTAGCTTGGAGGAGCCAATGGCTGCGCTAGCGGCAGAGTTGAAGTTGGAACAGTATGACTTCAGGCCGGCGAACAAGAAACCTAGGGTCTTGATCATGGTGTCTAAGATTGGGCATTGCCTAAACGACCTGTTATTCAGGACGAAAACAAACCAGCTCGGCATTGAAATCCCCCTGATCGTGTCCAACCATCCGGATTTCAAGCCTCTCGCCGAGAGCTACGAGATTGACTTCCACCATCTCCCTGTCACCAAAGACACGAAGCTGGAGCAGGAACGTCAGATTCTGGAGCTGATTAAAGAGCACAACATCGATCTTGTGGTGCTGGCTCGCTACATGCAAGTCCTGACCCCGGGGCTTTGCGAGGCGATGAGCGGCAAGATCATCAACATCCACCACAGCTTCTTGCCGTCCTTCAAGGGGGCGAAGCCATATCACCAAGCGTTTGATCGCGGTGTCAAAATCATCGGTGCCACGGCGCACTTTGTGACGGCGGACCTGGACGAGGGCCCAATCATCGAGCAGAGGGTTGCGCGCGTGGACCACAACATGAGCGCAAAGGAGCTGGTGGAGGAGGGAAGCAATGTGGAGAGCCAGGTTTTGGCCGCCGCGGTGAAATGGTGGAGTGAGAAGCGAGTATTCTTGAACGGACACAAGACCGTTGTCTTCAATTAATATTATATTTAATTGGCAATGCGACCCCTATTAAAGCATGACTACAAGGGTTTTCTCTGGCCGAACCGGAGTATGTTTCATTTGCGCAAAGTCCGTCCGTGTCGAAAGCTGAAAAACAGCCCTGAAAAGTATAGTAGCTTCTGGGTCCCTCAAACAAAGAACCAAAGAACGAGGGATTATGAGGTTAGCTGCTAGTTAATATTAGGCCATTCGAATCCCAAGAATACATGTGGTTTGCATGTCTAGGTAGGGATGCATGAATCCCGTAACAGCACATGGCAACATACGTAGCATGCGGCCCGGGAATAGAAAAGCCGACTGACGGCACTCTTTCCGCACGCACTGCCGCACGCAGGACCTGGCTCGAGCTTACAGGTTACAGGGCTTGTTAGGCAGCTGAAGTTCATTACGGCGTGGTTGTTTGCTAGTGGCGAATATTGTTGGGTTTGATTATGTCAAAAGCTGTCCATAGTTCGGGCTGGTTTTGTTTAAAAACTAGGCACGTTGGCTGTGAGCAATGAGCATCGCCATTCGCAGATCTTTCCGATATGAACAAAGGGAATCTCACTAGTTACGGCATTACTAAACATAGCCCTAGAGGTGATAATGTATGTACGTCAACAACCACAGACGATCAGTGACAGGCTGTGTATGTAGGTACCCTACTCTAGTACTCTAGCCTACCCAGCAAGTTGGCAGCAACATTGAACCCAGCAGTCCAGCTACCCAAAGCTACTACATGTAGGTAGATGTTGCTAGGGTTCCGGCTGTCCGGGTATCTCGGGTCTTCAGACACAACATATTGTATAGCGAGATACGAACAATTGTGGATGTGTGTAGATGTTTACTTTGTAGTAGATCAGGTAGTAGTAGAGTTGACCAATAAGCAACTCAACAATAAAGTTAATGCTGCTGCAAGAAGGGATTTATGGGATAATGTTTGGATCAGTGTAATGCAGGTACCAACATTGAAGTTGAGTTACATACATCATGATGTATGTATTGTACATATGTATGTAGGCGTTGTGAGATTGAATGTGCATAGCCTATGGGTACATACTACATACATAGTAACTATGTAAGGAACAGGGATAACCCCACAATCCCATCCAAAGAAACATTTAAACGCTGTACATCTTGTACACGTAAACCTTGAAACGGGTTGAAGTCTTGAAGATCCTATACGATCGTCAGTTCTAAGCTTCCTAGTTTTCAAAACCAAGGCCAACCTAAGATACATAGTAGAGAATAGGAAGGAAGGAATAAGCAGAGCAGATGTTTAAACAAGTAGACAGGGTAGGTAAAGGTAAGGTACGATCGCGAGTAATGCGAGAAGAAAAAAAATTAAAGTCGCATAAAGTCGCACAACATACCGCTATAATCCACCGCCAGCCCTTTCCTCTTTCCGTATCTCTGGCGGTAAATCTCTCTTGTTTCAAGGTACATGTACTTGCCATCCTTATTAATTCTTACAATAATACATACAAGGACTGACCGAATCTTACAGAGTCCTTACTATAGGTGGTACCCAGTACCCATTTCAAATAAAGGTACCGATTCTACCGAATAGTCCCAAGAAAGGTCTAACCTTTATCATCAAGAAACTTACTTGCCTTTAGACATTTTGAGGTTAGGAAATAAGGAAACATCTGATCCGATTGGACTTACTATACCGACTCATTTCAATTCCATATTTCCTATTCCATATTCCATTGCGATCACTTGTCGTTCGACTCCGACTTGGACTTGGACTTACACTTACACTTAGACTTTTATACTCCTCTCTTTGATTCCTCAATTCCTTAAAAAACACTCTAAACACAATTCTTAATTGTCAACCTGGAACATATAATTGTTATTGCTTCTTTATTTTGCGCAATACTCAACTTAATACTATAGCCCCAAAATGATGCCAATTCGTAACCTTTTCGCGAGGCGCTCCGGCGTTCTCACCGTTACCGAAGTCAAGGACGAAAACGTCCGGCCCGGAGCGCTGAGTCCCAATTCTGCCCAGTCCGGCTTCGAAAAGGTCGACACAATTGGCTCAAAAGCCTCCTCCTCTCTAAGTATACGAAGCACCAGAAGCCGGGACAATGGAGACTACAAGATGAGTGGTTAGTTTGAATTATATATCTCAACGGTTTTGCGACAGATGAATTGACTTGTCATTATACTTTCTAGTGGTAAACGATAGCGGAGTCTATCTGCCGGTATGATATGACCCCTTTTAGAGAACATATACAGTACCTATGTATAATAGGTAAAGCGCGCTATACTTACCATATGTCTCATTTTAGCCATCACCGATGGAAGACAAGAGCCTTTGGCCCAGACAATCTGCTGCGTCTCGAACATCTATGGACACCCGCAGTAGCTTTGGCGACATTGAACACTTCTCCATCTCTCGCGAGTCCTTTGACTCTTATCGCCGCTCTTTTGTAAGTCGCATCTACCTAGCCTATTCCCTAGGTATCTGATAGCGTAGCCAAGCTAATCGAATACGAAGGACATATCGGCTAGATCGCCCGTCATGGTCAATGAGGCCTCTCGTCAGAGCCTCGACTCCGCCCAATTACATCGAATACCCCGATCATCTATCAGAAATCGACCTTGGGATCCGCCAACCGCGGAAGAAGGGTTCGAAGATGTTGGTTTGAATGATGACCAGAAACAACAACCCAAGAAGAGGGGTTTCTTCGCCAAGTTCTCCGACTCTCAAGAGTCCGGTGTGCACTCTCAGGGTACTGGGATGTCTCGATTCATCCCCGGACGAAAACGAGCGCAAAGCGGCCAGGGATCGGAATTAGGCCATATCGAACGACCGAGCTCCCGCCAGTCCATTAAAGAACAAGAGATGCAGTAATACCCGATAGAAGATGAGCGGAACAACAGGAACCAATTAATCAACAAGATATGCATAGATGAATTTTGTGGCGTTAGGGCGGTAATTGGAGGGGGCATCATGATATCCGAACAATCGTTTGCCCCTCGTTCAGGGGTGTTTATTCACATCTAGTCATTCGCTTTTGTATCTGGCGGGCTGATAGATGGTCAAGAACAGAAGGCACATGGTTTACTATGAGAGCCGGGGAGTCCTGGGGGCCTTTTATGTTAGGTCCCATGGAACGAGTAATGAATTATAATGGGAATGAATGATGTATTGCATATCTGTTATGAAGAATCAGATACCAATTCACTTAGTTTAAAATTATATGCCTTGCCTTAGACTTCGTCGATGCCTGAACAATGACTTACGGTAACTCGGTGGCAATATGGCGATTGAGGAACTGCATAACCTAGTTCAATGTTCACATAGTTATTTTCTTCCAATTTGGTATGTAAGATGATGTCAATGCATATACATAACTACTTAGTGAATGGATATAGTGGATGCATGTAGTAAGCCTTATTCGTTAAAAGGGGATGGGGGGGTTGAAAATATCCAGATAAGACAAAAATTGTTTGAATTTTGATCTTATCGAACATTAATATAGTGAGTACACCAATCTACAGTACATCAGATACCTAATCATTCCTCTAGCTCGTCAATTCTCAACCGTCTGTCTGTACTAGATTTTATTAAACCCACTTACCACTACTCATCATCACTCCTTCATTCAATAATGGCACCAAGACGACCAGATAAGAAACCAAGAAGGAGGCCAGGGTTATCTCGAGCGGTCGGTGGCTCATCAAAACCCGTCGCTCCCCAAGCCCTTGTCAAGACGGCCGAGCATCAACTCGAGGAGGGCAATATCCAAGAAGCCCTTGACTTAGCCTGCAAGGCGCTGGAATATTCAGACGCCGGCTCGGATGACGAGTTAGCATCCGTTAATTTCCTCGGCCAGATCCACCTAGACCTCGGCGAGTTCGAGGCGGCACGATCATACTTCATGCGCGCTGTCGCGCTAGACGAGGATGGATCCAAAGATGAGAAAATCGGTGGTGGGCCGGAGAAGTTCCTGTGTCTGGCGCAGCTGAGCGAGGAGGGCGGTGCCGACAGTGTCTCGTGGTTCGAGCAGGGCGCGGCGGCGCTGAAGGAGCAGATTCAGAACCTCGAGGAAGTCAGACGGAAAACCACCGAGCAAGAGTTGCAGATTGGCGAGTTCAAGAGGAAACTCGCCATGACGCTATGCTCTATCGCGGAGGTATACATGACGGACCTCTCTTGGGAGGAGGATGCAGAACAGCGATGCGAAGCCCTGATCACGGAGGCGACGATGGTGGCGCCAGAATTTGCTGAGACCTGGCAGACGTTGGCGAATTGTCGCATTTCGCAGTCGAGGTTTGACGACGCCAAGGCAGCGTTGACCAGAAGTCTCGAGCTATGGATAGAGCTACCTCCGGAAGACCCTGCTGTACCCGATTTCCCAAGTCGAGTCGCTCTCGCAAGATTGCTCATGGAGGTGGAGATGGAGCAGAAAGCTATCGAAGTGCTCGAGCGACTGGTTGGTGAGGATGACGAGAGTGTTGAGGTTTGGTATTTGGGCGGTTGGGGTCTGTACGTCATGGGCGAGAAGCAAAAGGCGGGCGATTCCAAGGAGGAGGATTGGAAGGCGTCGTGGATATCCAGCCGTGTGTGGCTCAATCAGTGCCAGCACCTATACAAACTACAAGACTACGAAGACGAACCGCTAGGAGAGCATGCGCAAGAACTTCTTGGTCTCATCGCTCAAGAGTTGGGAGAGGCGCCAGCTGGCGAGGAGGATGGAGAGGACGAGGACTGGGAGGATGCCGATGATAGTGATGAGGAAATGAAGGGCTAGTTCTCTACGTGATAATGAAAGGGTTTAATTATAGATGGAAGATACCACATGATCTCTTCTAGGGATCCTGCTTGTTCCGGCACAGGGAAAGGGTGGCGTTGGAGATTTTAAAAAAAGGGGGCGGATGCTTTCATCATGATCATGTCCATAAATGAGGCGGTCCTCTCTTGATTTACCTATTCACACACAAACTTTTCTTTCCTAATACGCCCAAACTCCGAGCAATGCTGGACTTTTGAATCCGCAAATATACGAGTGTCCTATTTCCATCCATCCACCCATCCTTATGCCTCAACCTTGAGCTTCTCAATCTGCTCGGTAGGAATATCCTCTTCATCCTCATCAACCTTGCCAACCAATCCCCGTTCCCAGAGCTGCCTGCCCGTTAGTCGCACCGGCTCCTTAACCTTGGCCTTCTTCAACTCCGCGAGCTTCTCTTCCTCCTCGTTTAGCCGCTTCTCCTCCATCTCCTTCAGGAAACCCTCGCGCCACTTCCAGAACGTCTCCGGCGTCACGGGCGTGCCGTGGAACTTCTTGTTCTCCTCCCGCTCCGCGGCAAGCAACGCTTCCTCGCGCACTTTGGCGACGACCTCGCGCCGGTCGAGCACCAGCTGCTCGGCGGCCTCCTTGAGCGTCGTGACCAGCGTGAACACCATCGCCATCCCCAGGTTCTCCTCGACGGTGGCCTCGAGGTCCTTCAGCAGCTGCGCCTTGTCGCCGGCGACGGAGAAGTAGGGGTGCGGGACGGCATTTTGTGGGGGGGACAGGTCGAGGATGGGCGCTTCGTCCGGGTAGTCGTCGGGATAGCGCACGTGCAGGATGATGGTGGGGGGCTCGGTGGGCTCGTCGCCTTCGTTCTCGTTGTCGAGGAGGTCGAGCTGGATGGATATGCGGTATTCGTTGTCGGAAATGTCTTGGGAGAGGGTCAGTCTCTATTCCGTGGCGGGGTATCGAGAGATGAGATGGAATAAAAAGGAAAGTGGATTTATGTAACTACCTGTGATCTCATCCGGGAATATGGAGTCAAGAACTTCACGTTCTTCGATCTGTTCTTCTTTTCCCATGTTGGCGCAAAAGGCCTGCGACCTTGATTTGATTTGCTATTATACTATAAAATATTGATTGTTGTCCTTGATACGGTAATCAGTACTAGGTAGGTACTGTAAGTAGGTGGAGGGGTTATTTACCCCGGTGCATCGGCGCCATTCTCTCAGTGCTGTAAATAGTGTAGGTACCACCCAGGTGGGGCCGTGGGGAGTCTAAGAAAAAGTAAAGCTTCACCGCCCGGCAGTAAAAAGGGGCCCATTAAAACTTTTCTAGTTCAATGCTTGTCGATAGACTCGATACTACTAGTACAGAGAAAAATCAAAGAGCTTATCGTGAGAAAATCGAACTTGAACTTGAATTGTACCGATCTTGTCGCAAGTTTCACTCACACCCCCAACTCTCACCATGGCCCCCAAAAGTGAATTACACGCAAGTAAAAGAAAGCTTGCTAATGCCAGCAAAGAAAAATCGAGCAAGAAGCCCAAGTTCGACAAGAAACCCCCACGCAAAGAGGAGCCTGAGGATGTGAGCGACGAGAGCGATGTTAGCGAATTCTCCGATTTGGATAATGGAGGTGCGCCATTGCACGAAGGAAAGTCGGAGTTGGGTAGTGATCTAGTCCATCGGTCGAGACTAAATGACAATGAATCTGGAAAGGTGTTCGAAAAAGGTGTGTGGAACCGACAAATGTATGTTGAATGACGGCTAATTCAGTATACCTAGGTCAAAATTCTCGCGAATCCCACTTAAAACAGAAGCAACTTGCCTCAGACCGCAGAGCCCAGAAGCCCCTTGCCGATGAATTACATCGAACGAAGAAGCTGTGGGAAAGATTACGGTTAAAGTCCAAGGTTCCGAAAGATGAGCGACAGAAGCTTGTCGAGGAGCTTTTCAGCATCACCACCGGCCGCATGAAGGAATTCGCCCTCAAGCACGACTCTGTCCGTGTTGTGCAAACCGCCATCAAATATGCTACACCCGAGCGCCGCAAGATGATCGCGAAGGAGCTTAAAGGCTCCTACACTGTGTTGGCCGAGAGCAAGTATGCCAAATTTTTGATCGGCAAACTTCTCGTCAAGGGCGACGAGGAAGTGCGAGATACCATAGTTCCAGAGTTCTTTGGAAAGGTTCGAAAACTCATCAATCATCCCGAGGCCTCTTGGATTCTTGACGATATCTACCGTGGTATTGCCACCAAGGAACAGAAGGCCATTCTATTAAGAGAATGGTACGGTCCTGAGTTCCACATCTTCCGGCATGCAGAGGGGGACAAGGCTACCCCGACAGCCGAACTTTCTCAAATCCTTGCAGAGAATCCAAGCAAAAGGGAGACAACTATGCGATACCTTTTGGATATGACCAATCAACTTATCCAGAAGAAAATGACTGGTTTTACGATGCTACACGATGCCATGTATCAATACTATTTCAATGTGAAGCCAGGTTCGGAAGAAGCCAAAGAGTACATGGAGATGATCAAGGAGGACGAGAACGGCGACCTGTTGAAGAATATGGCCTTCACAAAGTCTGGTGCTCGACTCGTGTGCTTATTACTTGCATACGGAACGGCCAAGGACAGAAAGCACCTTTTGAAGGCGTACAAGGACACCTTCCAGCTCATGTCGAGTGATCCAAACGGACACTTAATTATTTTGGCTGCCTACGATCTAATCGATGACACGGTATTGACCTCCAAGTCCATCATTACAGAGTTACTGGGCAAATCAGAAGGAACGGAAGTCTCCAACCTCGCCGCCTGTGCCAATGATCTGAATGCGCGCTTAACCATCCGATACCCACTCGAGGGCCCATCTAAGGTCATCTTTGATGCAGGCCATGCCGATGATCTCAAGCTCCTAGAGCAGCTCTGGGAGATTCGAAAGACTACTAGTAAGAAAGACCCTGAAATTCGGCGCAAAGAGCTCGTCACAGCCATGTCACCATCCCTGCTAGCTGCCATCGCCTCCTCGCCCGTAGATTTAATATCTACCTCCTATGGATCTCAACTAGTCACAGAGGCTCTCCTCTCTTGTATTGGTGATAAGTCTGAGGCTTTACAAGCTATAGCTTCTACCGCAACGGGAGACCCAAATGGAGAAGAAGAAGAGCCCGCTGCTGATGAGCTCGTCCCTCAAGAGCCCAAACAAGAGCACATTTCCAAGGCCCCTCACGGCGGCCGTATGTTCAAGACTCTAATAGCTGGTGGCCATTTTGACAAGGCTACACGTCGCATAATACCAGTTGATCCTCCTCTCAACTTTGCAGATATCCTTTACCCTTTCATTAAAGACCACGTCGTAGCTTGGGCAACAGGCCCGAGCTCATTTGTTGTCCTGAGTCTTCTAGAAGCGGATGACTTTTCACACGATAAGGAGCTACGAAAAACACTAAAGGCGAGCAAGAAGTTGCTAGAGAAGGCAGCAACGGAGGAGACCCCTGAGCAGAAGGCGGCGAAAGAGGCGGCGGAGACGAATGGGGATGAGAAGAAGGTTCCCAAGAAGAAGGGCAAGAAGGGAGGGCCCAAGGAAAGGCCTGTAGGGAATATGGGCTCGAAGCTATTGCTTGAGAAGCTGAATGGTTAGTTTGTTATATGTACCTTAGGTAACTTAGATAGTTATGGGTTTCGAGGATTCATGGTTGTGTAAATACTACAATCTTGGTACTCACTTCGGTCAATAATTCGGAATAGGAGGCCATGGTGACTTTATGATACGTTAAGTGTACTACATACTAGTAGTAACGGGCTATAGTCCAGATCATTCGTTTCACGGCCCATGTTTGTCCATGACGTATAGATATAATGTTAGGAGCACTGATGCATGCCCAGGTACATACCTATGTAATGATTTTATGTATATGGTGGTTTATATGGTTGAATGCCGTTCTTGACGAGATACAAGCTAGGTACGTGGTTACTCGGGTACACGCAGTGCCCAGAGTACGTTTGGGAAGCCGAGGCGGGGGCGTACATGGTAAAACCTGCATACATGTACCTCCTAGTTACATATGAAGGATACATATGTATGTTTGATGTTGGGTTGGCCTTTGTCAACTAACCTACATATATCCTGTATAAATAATTATTCTCCATTTGGACGTCGTGGGATATATGTTGTCGTCGCCTTGGCGTACGTGGGTAGGTAATGTCCCAATTATAGATATAATGATTCCCAGCTTTACCTAAACTAGTTTTTCTACAGAGAAAAGTTGTATTTGGTTTTATTTATGAGGTTGAGAGGGTAGAAAGAGAGTATTATCTGTGTAGGTATCTAGTAGTAAGGTGAATATAGATGTGTTGTACCGTGGAAGACTCGTGTAGAGCCCCGGGTCGATAGAGCATTTATTTAGTTTTATATTTGTATGACGAAGTAGTACTGCGTAGGTCATCTAATGATATTAAAGGGAGAGCGAATGTGTTAATCATGATGCCCTTTCTAATTTATTTGGTGTTTCTCGTTCACAACTGCCCCCAAAGCCACAGGCAAAATTATGGAGGAGACGACGAGCACGTTTTGATCCGTGACTTCGTAACCTAGAAAAGAGGGGCTACAATCAAAGGTGTATCGTGCTACTGGAAGCCTACGTACATACTTATAGATCGTTATGTTTACCCATCCCGTCTCTGGTGCCTGTATTCGGGCCTTTGCTGCCTGTGCATGTTAGACTTGATTCCACTTGTCCTAGATAGCTAAAACAGATGCCAACAGGCTAGGCGAAAATGGATTTCTACAGTGTTTACTGTATTTTTATTAGGTTCCCAAGCCAGGCTTGGTTGAGGGGGCAGTTTGGTGTATCGTGCCTAACCTTTGGCCTGAGGGGCTACCTTGTACGGGGGTACTTGAACAACGTTGACCTGATCACAACAATGGTGATTTATTTAACAAATCCGAATTTCTACCGAGATTTATCTGCTTTATGTGCTCATTATGAGGTACTATGTATCGAGGTTGGGGTCCTGGCTGCCCAGGTGTTAATATTCTCACCACCACGCTAAACCCCCCTAAGCCCCTGAATTGAGTTTTGCACTCAACCACCACAGTGATTCTACCTAAGTACCTCAATATTATTATTTATTTATCTATCTCTGTGTTCCTGACACATCAGGATGAAACAATTACGGATTCAATAGACCCACTGTCAACTATATGAATCATTTTTTCCCATGCCACCATAGCTTTCTTCCCACTTGCTTCTTCCACAACCAAAACCAACATCGCCAGCATCGTTCTCTAATAATATATATTAACCACCACCCCAAGCCATACCAAAAGGTATGAAAGCATCTGGTAAGTACAAATCGCTTCCTTGAATACTTGTGATTGTTTAATCAATTCGTCCTTTGACGTAGGCTACCTACCATGGGACATCAGTGATCTTTGTGACCACACGATGACCCCAAAACAACAACATAGCTTTGGCTATGTTCTGGTAAGACATCATGTCCATTTTCGCATTCATTAGCCAGAATTAGTACTGACAAGTTATCGTTAGTGAAGTTGTGTCAAGGACCTCCATCAACTATCAACGCCCTACTCTCTTGGTAAGCCATCAATCTAATGCCATCTAACAGGAAGCACCACTAACAATCAGCATCAGTGAAGTAATATCTGTTACTTTCATCAAGTCTATCACGGCCGGATGTTATGTCATATTGTATAGACACACAGGTAAGACTTCCACCGCATCTTCACATCTAATATTCATCAACTTGAAGAAGTACTGATAGAATTCTTGAATGAAGACAACTGATATCCCTTCAACAAGGCCATTGATTCTATCATTAATCTTCTGAAGACCATCCCCCTCTACTCCCAAAAAGAAAGGAAAGAGATAGAACACATTCTACTCTCTCATCAGATACAGGTAAGACATCAATCCGATATTAACATCCATCGAGAAGCAACACTAACAGATTATCTTTAGTATAGTTATGTCAATTATCAACAACAACAACAACAACAACATCTTCTTATACTGACTGATATATCGCCTCTCTACGAACAGGTTAGACATCAATATAGTCTTGTGTAACCAGGCCCATATGCTAACAAATCATCTTTAGGGTAATGATAGCCTCGCAAGATGACATCTCTCAATGCTGGTTATTTGCCCAGGTCGGGAATCTGTGAATCAGGCTTCGTCTTTTACCATTGCAACAATGGGTTTGTCGGATGCTGTTCCAGTCCAGCTTGCGACCAACCAACCTGTCCCGATGAAGACCAGCCCCAATACCAACACATCGGCCCAAGTGCAACAGACAACCCCCAAGAAAGTGTTTCTTGGCTGCCAGTGTCTACAACTACGCCAGGCACTATTACCCTGGTTTTTTCTGAAAGTACTAGCCCCCCAATCGCCGGTCTTTTGTCTCCGTCTAGCAACACTATAGCTAGTACGATGACATTGACTTCACCCCTACAAGAACCGAGCACTACCACTACAGATAGCCAACGTTGGAATGATGCTTCCTCCCTCTCAACAGCAGCACTAGTGGGCATATGCGTAGGAGGGACTATCGGGAGCATATTCCTGCTGACCATCGTATGCCTCCTCATCCGCCGACACTATATCGCACATGCTCATTCATCTGCCACCACAGTGTCGGTGCCTCTATATGTAGAGAAGACGCCGGATGAGAGGTATATGGCGAGCTACCACGAGCGGCATCCACAAGGTTATCCCTGGTCGCCATGGCATATACCGACGCCACACACCACACGCTCTGCTCCCTCTACATAGTGTGCCAACTAACTACTATCTCGGCCTCATGCCCCGGCGGCGGCGGGATAGAGGTCGAAAATGACTCGCCCCGGTGGTGGAGAAAATCATCCCAAAGACTTATGCGAAAAGTCATCAATGATACACACCATGAAGCCAGCCGACAACTTTCTGGCGCTGTTTCGTACCACTCCGCTCATTTGTATCATTGACATAGTACTCCTAGCTTTTTGCAACGCTAGCGTACATGGCCTCGTCTTCTTAATCTTGCGTTTGCACCAGCCACGAAGCGGAGCCTAGAAGACGCAGACAATTCCAACATCTCGCCGAAGACTATGGAGGCTACATATACATGTACCCCTCTTTGTCTTAGCCATCCAGTGGGTGGAACTTTGACACTTACATCAGACGGTTTGAAGAGACATATACAAAGCAATATCAGGGACGAACACAGAAAGATGCGTCTTGTGGCACTTACCAACAAGCCTGTCTGCCCACGACCCGAGAAAAAAAACGCGAAATCGACGCGGGAGGTTGACCTGGCTTGGCCTTAACAAACTAAAGGCACCAAGCCAGGTCTATTACTAACGGTCCTGTTCACAATATCTCGAAGGCCATCACCTGTTTTCTGGAAAAGGTGGAAACCCTTCATCGCCCCCGAGCACCTATTATCGAAAGCTAGGTATGTCTCACAAGACCAGAGATCGGTGAGTGAACGACAGGCAAAACGACGCACTTGCGTCGTTTTGCCTGGTTCGCAGGTTCATCTCCCCGCCGATGGTTTCCACGTGCGTGAAGTATCACGAAATCCTGGAGCCCCCTGGTCTACTGCTACCCCTACTACGGTAATCAAGAAGGAGTCATTGGCGAAGAAGGAGCCTGTAGCCAAGAAAGATGCTTGGGGACGATGAGTGGTGTTAAGGATATGCCATGGACTCGATATCCTCAAACTCCATAAACCTCCCTCCTCGAGGGCAATAACCATTACATCACACTCCTTCTTCGTTGCCCACTCAACTGCCAACGGCAGCCTCCGAGCACCAATGGGTGGCCGAGCATCGTCGTACCCTCCAGCAGGAAAGCGACAACCCACCTCAATTTACGTGGGTTATCTGCTGGCTGCCCTAGGCGAAGACCTAACATCAAGGTCTTGCTACTCTGATGAGTTACTAGGACAGCCAAGTTGATCTCTTGGCAGAAGTGGTGGTGTGCTCGCCACCCCCGACGAGGTGGCAGTTACGACAATCACAGGAAGCCTCCTTCGATACACAACGCGACCTCAACGCGACCTGTCGGCAGTTCAAATAGCCGTTGGCACCGGCAATTCTAATGGCAAGGCTGGTACTGTTAAGAAGATCGTCCCGACGGGTATCGCTGCACCTCGCGATGTGGTGCTTGGTGAGGAACGAGAGGCCAAACATACAGTCGTGCCTCGCCAAGCACCACATCGCGGGTTCTTCCCGTGGGAGGAGCCGGAAAAGCATGGCGGCTTTCCCATCATGACGATGCTGCCACATTGTTGCGGCGACCGCCACTTTCGCAACTGGACTTCGGGGGCTGGTGGTGCCATACTCCAAACAGTGACAGGGCCACCTGTCACATGCCCTCCTAGGAATTCGTGAACCCCTCTTCGACGACCAGGGTCGCCGGCAGGGTGAAAACGAATTTTATGAGAGCAGAGCAGAGCTACCAAGGACGGCAACTGTGCCGAGCATTCCTCGCCCCTGCCGCCCGATTTTGGGTACACAGCAGAGACGTACGCACACATGGACGACACCGAAAGGGAAGCCATCGTCGCCGAGTACACCAAGGATTCTCGTCTCGCCAAAATCATCGGCGAACTGAGGGCTCGAAAGCAGACACAACGTTCGGCTCGCAATTTCAGATACGTACTCGACGACAACGGCCTCCTCTGGACAGAGGGACGGGACGGCCGCAGAAGGCTTTGTATCCCTGAAAGCCGAGTCCAGGCGCTGTTCGAGGCGGTGCACGATGGGAAACATCATTTTGATACAATGGCAGAGAGGACAATGCAAAGGACATCGTCTATGGGGAGTCTTGTGGAATCACCTACATCTAGACTTTAGTCTCCAACTCCCTATCACACTACCTAGCCGGGTCTCTATCTAACTACGAAATGGTAGCTCTAATGACAAACAATTAGAACACTGTTTGACCACTGTCAAGCGAGACAGCCAATTAACGCGGGGTGCTGCGCGCCCTGGGTCAGTGAACTCCTCCTGACGCCAACTACGTGGCCTGTCAAGCAACAGCAATGCCTACTCGCTAGATAGGATCCAGGGGCCACATGAGGATGAGGGCGCAGTCAAAGGGATATGATCATCAACCCGAGATGGAAGATGAGCAAAACGCTTAACGAAATGCGTTTCCTTTGACGAACCACACTGGCCTGTCTGCTTTACGCACTATAGCCACGGCCACCAAGGCGCAGTGGACTGTTCAGCGCGAATGCCAATTACTGACCGCAATGCTGATGGTCTGCAAGGGCCACGCTGCGGAAGTCGACGGCCAACACGAACCGGACGTCGACTTCCGCAGCGTGGCCCAAGTCATGCAGGGCCACCGCATGGAAGCGTATGTGTATACGCTTATGGATTCGAGGCTTACGACGTATCGTGAGATTACTACGATGGCTGAGACAGATCAGTCACATGAGTGCAAGCAGAAGCACCACCTCACTACCTGGTAGGGCATCACGCGTGGATCTATGCAAGGCACCTCGGATATTATCGAGATGTTGGTGAGCGAGTGTATCCTAACATTCAATGAGTTGATGTGACTCAAGATGCGCATGATGGATACCGAGCCATGCGAGCTTCACAAGCACGATTCGAAGGTAAACTGCGCCAGCCATCGTTAAGCATCGGTACAGATGAAGTTGGTAGTCCCCAGTTGGCGATTGGCTCTCAAGCCATCCCTGGTTCTTCGGCCCTCACCCCCAAGAGCACGCATGATCGTAACCTCGTCCGTGAAGCTAAGGATGGTCTCTATGCGTTACCTCCGGTCGAGAATCCTTGCCATTGAGGACACTTATACGAGCTCTTCGGCTCCCCCATCACAACCCGGGTGATGGCACGACACCAAAGACACGCGCGATGTCGTCGCTGCAAAGACATGCGCGGTGTCAATGTCGCAAAGTCGCAAAGACACGCGCGACATGTCGCGCGTGTCTTTGGTGTCGTGCCATCACTCGGGTTGTGATACGAACTTGTCTAGTCAATCCCCATTTGGCGTCTACATGAAAAGACTCTTACTCTGCTCTTGCATCAGCTGATGTGTTTGGTGTAAACCAGAAGCACTCGAGGGTCTTGAAGACATTACGGGTGGTAGAAGACAGAGTCCCGACAATTTTGCTACTACGGTGGCGGTGGAAGAAAAGGGGGCACCAGCCTCGACGCATGGGGTCGGTGTCACTCTTGTCTATGGCCTGTTTTGCATCATCGGCCTTGTCACACTTATAGAACTCCTTCATGAGGATTCGGATGATCTTGGAACAAGAACGCCAAGAGAAGTAACCGGCAAGCTGATTCAGGTATCAAACTACAACAGGCTCAGACCTCTGCCTGACCTTCTCTTACCTTCGACTTGAATCTTTTTAGGGGCAACAACTACTTCATTGGCTTGCTGGTGCTCTCGACTACTTTACCTACCTACCTACTACCACTTACCTGATGTTGTAAACCTGAAAGTATGGCCTGGAAAGGTGCGATTCCAAGTTATAAATCGAAGTTGCAGAAAGCTCTGACCTGGCCATTATCTATGATACCAAAGATGCATGTCAATAGGTATATGGGAGCAGCCAACAACACCCCGATATGGGAGGGTGTCTATGTAGATGCTACATGGACTCCATGTCCTGTCCGGCACCTGCTGCGTCCAACAACAACAACCTCCACGGTCACGTCTTGGACATCCTTCTGCATCGGGTCAGGTTTCAGCTAGAATGACATCTCGGCCATTAACCTCTATTGTTACCACGGAAAATGATAAGAAGCCAGTTGACCTACCTGTCACGAGGCGGAAACCCAGAGGACACAGAGCATCGATGTGGTTGTGCGGGGATCTCTAACATCTCTCGGGGGTTATGGAGGCTACATATACATCATAGATTAGAATAAGAATCAAAACTACTGTATGGGCGCTTATATATGTATCAATGACCATAACGAACATTTACGTTCCCTAAAGTTAACGTGTTACCTATATCTATGATTGTGAAGATTTGTAAGACTTAAGTAGCTACCCTCTTTACACCCCCTTTCATGCTACATGATGGAGGACATTAGTTTATAAAATAAACTAGCAAATGACTCACAAACTCACACAGCAAATGGATGACCTCGCTCCCCACGTGAATTGCCTACTCATGGATACTGTAGCTCTCTCCCTTCACAGGTCGTCAACTTTAGCCTCGCAGTGAAGTCGATGTCACATCATTCACTATATGTATCTTATATCACGGCATATCACGGTAAGGCTAGGCGGCTATGCATGCATGCATGGAAATAGTTAGTAATTACGCTGTTCTTAGGCTAGCTAGGTACCTAGGTAGCCAGCGTACCCCCTTTCTTTATATAACATCACCATCACCATCACCATCACCATCAACACCAAGATGGGCGAGGCCAGTGATATACCTACAGTAACTTATTACATACCCACCATACCTTAGGTACCTACCCATAGTGCAGAAATCATAAACTAACTTCATACCTAGGTATCTATCAATACCCAACCCAGCTGCCACTTTGGAATAGCGAAGACATCAGGGAGTTTAACTTAGGCATCTGAGTAAAAACCTACCTGACCACATTTTTTTAAAGACATTCAACAACAGACACTGCATCATGTTACTTCATGTTACTTCATGTATTAATGTATACCCAGTACTCGCTGCTCTAAAAACATAGCAAAGTCATGATAGTTGATAGGCCCCTTCCTCGCGGAGCCTTATTCCCTTTACACCTCCCCTGCCGCCAACAACAACCAATGGCTAGCCACTACCCCTAAGCAAGCAACAAACTGCCCACCCCCACCCCTTAACTCAACTCAGCAAAACATAATTCCCCTCCTCCCCCCCATCCCTACCACCATCACCATCACCACCACCACCACCCACCCTCTCCAAAGCCCACTCATAAGAGCTCCCGAAGCAACCCAGACCCCCCCTCGCCGGCGGCAGCAGAACCCCGAGCGACTCGCACATGATCTGCTGCGCCGACGTCCGCGTCATCAAGCAGTCCCCGAGATCGAGTAGGCCCAGTATATCCGAGGGCTCCCGGAAGAACTTGGGTTTCAGCGTTCTCGCCTCCACGGCCTCGAGCTCTTTCCCGTGCGAGTTTGCTGCTTTCTTCCATGCCGCTATGGCGTCGTCGCTGAACCAGGCTCCCCACGTCGTTAGGAGGCGGATACGCGCTTGTTCGGTCCGGGGACCACTATCTAGCGGCGTGGCCGTGGTGGCAGCAGCCCGGCGAACGCTTCGCCGGTACTGGAAAACCCCAGCGGTGTGATCATCACATCCCCAAAGCTCCATGATTTCCAGCAGTGGCATCTTGATGGCAGCAGCGCCCGCCGCCCGGATCAGGTCGTCGTATGGCAAGCCGTCGCCGGGCGTCGTTATCGCGGACTGCGACGATAGCGATAGCCGCTTCAGGGAGTGCCACTTGCACAGATCCGCCGCTAATATAGCCGCGTTCTTCAAGACGGCGCCGGGCCAGAAGGGGCTGAAGAACTGGCATGCATCAACGTTGAGCGAGGCGTACAGCTCCTCGAGGTAGAGGCTCGAGCACGCGAGCAGGAAGCCGTGGCCGCCAGGCGGAGAAGGGGGGTGCTCGAGTAGCTTGTGGGTGGTGCGGTGTAGCCTGCTGTCGTGATTTTCGAAGATCGTCAGCCGCTTCAGGTTTCCGGCGTACTTGATCAGATCGTTGAAGAGGATGTCGTAGTCTGCCTCCCGAATAGCCTGCGCCAGGATGGGTTGGCCGTGGGGCTGGATATGTTCAGTTTCGAGGCTACGCCAGGGTTCGAATACGAAGCTTTCGATCCTGGTGAATACTCTCATGATGGGCAGCAGCGTGTGCGAGACGGAGAACCCCCGGTAGAACTGTCGTCGGATAACAAGCCCCTTGACGATCTTGGCCCTGGGAAGCTTCTCTTCCATCTTCCGAACGGCGGGGGCGAGTAGGTCGAACTTCAGCCCCTTAGGAGGTCCGAAGACTCGCAGATTGGTTTCATCGTTAGGGAAGGGGACTCGAGGAGCTGAAGCTGGCTGTTCTCTCCACATGTGTGCATTATCACGGGATTTCCGCAGCAAGCCATACCAGCCCCCGACGCCACCCCATGCCGTGTCATCCATCCGAGCACCTAGCTCCTTGTAGTAATGACACTGATCATCCACGGAGTGGGCACTGAGCTCCAGGGTCAGGCCTTTCATTCTATTTATGAAGGGTTCCGTCCTTTCCCAGTAGGCTAGAATATCAGTAAGGTCCCAGAACATGTTGGTAAACATCCTGTTGTGTCGCCGTATCTCCTCGTCCGACTCCCGTGTCTTACATCTAGAGCAATCGTACCGGGGGAGTTGGACATCTAGCCAGATCCACTCCACATACCATCTTCTACGGCCATGTACTTTATCTCCGAAGCAAAAGACGTCGTAGCGGGTGAGCAAGTGTATGTGTTTGAAGTTGATTCTCTCGAAGAAGAGCTGCCATTGTTTACAGACGGTGGCATAGGCGGAATGGAGGAGTTGGTTGCCCCATTTCAATCTCCTGGCTGGCAGAACCAACAATTTGAGAATCATGTCCCGAATCTCGGGGGGAAGACGTGGGAACGAAGCCTCCGTCATCTTTGCTTGTTGGCTTTCGAAATCTATGATGCTCGTGAGTTCCTAAATGATATCCATAGTATCTGTTTGATAAGAGCATTGAAAGCGTTGAAAGCATGAAGATTGCTGGAACAATGAGTGTTGCAAATGGTGAAGTGATGAAGTGATGAAATGATGAAATGATATAAAGTACCTACCTAAACTATGTACGCATTCAGCTCCTTCTATAGGTAAGTTTGTCTAGGTTTGCCTAGGTAAGTGAGTTTATAGAGCATGTACAAGTACCTCGGAGTGGTTACCGAGGCTTCCATTCTTTTATTTTCTTTAGTAAGTTGGGTACATGTAGGTAGGTAGATTAGGTACTTACTACTCGCGATACCTCTCTACCTAGTACCTACAACTTGACATTAAAGTCTTCAACATCACCAACATTAGAGGGAAACCCTTTTGTTTGTTTTTTTTACTAAAAGACAAGACTTGAACGAGGAAAATCAACCAAATGCCAAATTTTCTTCTTAGCCTGACCTTGCGATCTTATGGGGTATAAAACATGAAAAAGGAAACAGAAATCAAGAAACCTGCCAATTTCTTTTCTGTAGCCGTTTATCCTGCGCCTTCCAGTGCAATAATACCAGTTTCCTCTGGCCAAAGTCAAATTGTTCAGAACGCTCTCTCAAAATCGTTGCCACTCTACTCTAGAGCCCTTTATCGAATCTCTTGTGCTTTGGATACGTGCATGTCTTCGACACCTTTGTATAGGTATAGGAAGTACCGAATAAACTGTCAGCAGTTCCGACAGACATGCCTAACCGTTAGGTAGTCACAGAAAACACTTCGAGATGTGATTTGGATAGAGTAGGTAGATGTCCATGTATCGTTATCATCGAGGCATGAGTTTGTACATCTCGTCTAAAACCTCTTGGAGGTCCTCGTCGCTAATCTTGTCATTAAGTGAAGGGATGAGGTACTTGGCCTCCTCGGCTGTCTCACAGCATAGCGAACCTGTAAATTTTTGAACAGCCGGGTTAGCTTCCTTCTATCACCACAATTCCTGGGGGAAATGTGTGTGATAGATTGAACATACCAAGCTGGGCTCGCTCGAATTTATGAAACTCTTTGTGAGAGCTCAATAGGCGTTCGACGGCCTCCACGTTTTCCTTCTTCTTAAATCGGGCAAATGTGTCGAGGTAGTCAACCGTCTTTGTCAACATTCTAGGGTTGACATCAGGTTAGCCTCTGTCTAGAATTGGACCAGTCGCCTTCATTGCAAAGATCCGGCTAACAAAGAAGAACTGTAGCATACTCTGTTTCGTTGACATTTTTACGATCATTGCGGCGCTTAGCGACAAGGGCGTTAATGACCAGGGCGGCCTCAGAGAGTGTGAGAGTGTCGACCTCTTGGAATTCACCAAGGTTAAGTACGTTGGTGGCCTCCTCGTTGCCGGCGGGCTGCGCTTTGGCGCGCGAGGTAGGAGGATGATGCGACATCCTAGAAGTCGGTCGGTGATTGATACAATCGAGATGGTAGTTGAAAATGAATGGAGAATTAAGAAGGATTCTATTTTCGATTGATTTAGTGATTGCAACCGTTGTCGGGCTCCGTGAATTTGCAATCTGAAGGTATTTCTTGAGTTGGTCGCAAATTTAACGCGATGAGATGGATGAAAATGCGACAGGTCAAGAAAGAGAATATCAGCTGTTATTAGTTGAAAAATGCGGCTGTACTACTAACTAGGTACTACGTGCAAGGGTAGGATTAAAATGTGGACCCGGGGGAAGCTTCAACATTCAAGTTGTTTTAAGTACTATGTACCTGCGTACCTACGTACCGCCTCACTACACTAGCGCCGCTGGCAGATCCAATCCTTCAATGTTTCTGCCTCAGGAGTCAGCGCTGCATTTGAACTTTCAAGACAAGGGGTCTGATACTTTCTGGAGAAACTTCGGCTAGTCTGGGAACGTCAGCTGGGCTGCCAGACACCTAAACATTTTACAGCACTGAGGTGAACAGTAAAAAGTTAGGGGATGCCATGTGCTGAACAAATTGGATGTATTTGATGTTCATGACTTAAAACTTGAATACCATCTCAATTTACTCAATTTACACAGTTCCACACCCATGGATTTTATGAGTTCTCTTATCGAGCACCAATTGAATATCACAGCTTTTGATAAGAAATGCGCAGGTAAAGCGTGCCGGGAGCTTTGAAGCCTTATTCGACCAATTTGAAATTCAGCCCTTCATTCATATTATCCATCCCGTACCATCATAATACCATGTAAGCAAAAGGAGACATATATCTATCCCGCTCGAAAATAAACAAGGAAAAAAAAAAAACATCTGCTAACACATTTCCAGGGCTATCCTAGCTCTCATCGTCATCAACAAGGCCGGAGGTCTCATCTATAACCGGACCTTTGGCGATGGCCTAAACCAGCTCAATACAAATGACTACCTGGTCCTTGCCGGTACCTTCCACGGGTGAGAACTTCCCCCCTTCTCACTCTCACTCCCAATCTCAGGCTCACCATCTCAAAATTAGTGTCCACGCCATCACAGCCCGGGTCAACCCCCTCAAGTCCCTGATGTACTCGCAGCACCAGCAGACCATCCCCACCGCGGGAGGCGTGCCCGTACCAAGCCGGCCGGACCCCCCCTCGGGCCTGGAGGTGCTCGAGTCGGAGAACTTCCGGCTGCAGTGCTTCAACACGTTGACGGGCACCAAGTTTCTCCTCTTCACCGACAACTTGCAGCCGAATGTGGATTTGACCATGCACAAGGTCTACGATCTGTACTCCGACTTCGTCATGAAGAACCCGTTCTACCAGCTCGAGATGCCCATCCGCTGCGAGGCGTTCGAGAGGAAACTGAATTCGTACATTAGGGAGATTAATAATTCTCGGTAGTGACTACAGCGTTCTATCACGGGCTTATGGGGAAAGAGGGAAGAGGAAAGATGGATCTTGGCAGTTCGAGGGAAAGAAATCCCGAGTTAGTTTATTGCATTGTGGCACGGCGTTTGGAGTTTAGAGGCCTGGTATCAATACGATTGTGATTGAGTCTCAATAGAAAAACTGCTGCTATTTTCCTGCGGGATAGGCAGCTCTCCTAATTCATCACTAGCAGAAGCCTCAAGTCTATTATTACTGTACAAGCCCAACTCCGTGATCATATGCCGACGAGAACGGAGTTAACTGGCCGTAGATAAATAAGCAAGCCTACGACGTATCCATCTTGTCATTGTCATCTTTCTTGCTATCTTTTTTCTCTTCGGCAGACCCGCTTCCGCTTCCGCTGGGCTCGCCCTGCTCATTCAGCAGTGGCTGATTTTCACCATCTTCGTCTATGCCCTCTAACTTGGGCTTCTTAGCGGCCTCTGCATCCTTGGCTTGCTTGGCCTGTCTCGCATTCTCTTCTTCCATACTCATGCGTAGGGCAAGTGCCAGTTCCGGATCGGCACTAGGGTCAAAGTCGAAGTCACCAAAGTCACCACCGCCACCTTCGGCTGCAGCGCCGGCACCGCCTGCAGCTCCCTCGCCAAGTAGGATAGGTGTGGTTATTAGTTGATCACTTAGTAACTTTCCGCTGGGTGGGATGACAACGAGGTGCGAATTATCGTTGGTCTTAACAGCGGCGTTGAAAGCCTCGAGTTTCTTCTGTACGTCATCGTCATCTAGGTCGCCGAATAGAACAAAATCGATATCGATATTTCCCTTCTTCATCTTCTTTGCTAATGAAACTAACTTCTTCTCGTCGTCGGCTACGGGAGAGCATACGAAGACGATGATGCGCTGGCGTTGCGACTTGTTTTGTCGGTGCTTCAATGCTAGCTGTTCGTGGGAGTGTCAATGATGAATTAGCTTGGGCATCTTATGTATATGTCTATTTGGGTTGGTTGTGTTCGTGATAATACATACACTGGCAATCTGGATACCTGTCGCAAGGTGAGAGGAGCCGGAGATCTTCTTTTTTGTGCGGTGCAAGCCATCGAGAAGCTTGCCGCGCTCCGTCGTCAAGGTGGACAGAACTTCGGGTCCTTTCCCACCCATACTCATCAAGCCGACGGAAGACTCGGGGTTGGACTGGGTAATGCTTTCGAACGTGATATTAATAGCATCCGCTTGAGCATCGAACCTAGAAGGCTGGTAATCGCCATTGCGGCTACTCTCGCTGTTATCCACAACGATCATAACTGCTTGCAACGGCATCTTGGCAGTAGTTTTCCACTAATATAAATCGCTGCTTGCGTATATGTGCATGTATTTAAATGATGGGAGAATCGGTTTGTCGTATGAGGCTATCAAAATAGGCCGTAATGAGGTTGTACGGCCGTTGTAAGGTGAGGTAATGGAAGTTGAATGGGATAATGTGCAAATGGTTCAAGTTCCGTTGCTAGGATTGGAAGATGCAGCTCCAGGGCTAAAACAAAACGTCAGGCAGGTGCAGCCTAGGTAGGTAGGTACGAAGTTACATTCTAACTACTGTGCTTGCAGTGCAGAATACTAGTAGAGCTCGGGCCACCCGCACATAGTTAGTGTAAACTTCAATGTTGAAGTTTTCAAGTTCACCTTGAAGTTACATACTGTAGTTACATACCAAGGTTATGTAATCTTTACGTTGCCCCCACTGATCAAGAGTGCCACTTTCAACAGTGCCATCATCCAAAATTATCCAATCATCAATTGATATTTTGCTAGAACTTACACTATTCCTCCGCGCGCACCGTAACTGTTTTGTTTACTTGCACAAATCACTGCCGTTTCATACTCGACACGCTGAATTCTATTTTTGCATATCATCATACAACGCTCCGCAAAAGTCTACTCCAGTCTCCATCCATAAAAGCTTATTACAAGATAATAATAAAAAGGAAAACGCTACACGATAGACGCGTCTTGGTCCAGAACATTACCTCTTATTATCTATCTACTCTTCACCCCCTCCAACAACAACAACAATATAACAACCATACAACAACCAACTTGCAAATATCCAACAGCATATCAACAACATACCAACAGCATTTCTAACAAAATGGCACCCATGAAGGCATCGCGAAAGCGCGCGTCCGATTCTATGGAGCCAATTGAGGGCCTAAAGGTTTCCACGATGCAAGGCACGCCCCAGAGAAGCCCCATTAAGAAGAGAAAGTTGGGCATATCACTGGCGCAGAAGCAAGCTCTCATCGACAACCTTCAATTAGAGAGTATGAACGCGACGTTAAATCTTAGAGTCGGTAATTCAGATGCTAATTTGTTATAAATTTAGTCACTGAACGCGCTCGACGACTTAGAGCTCAGTACAATATTCAGGCCCAACAGCTCCGATCGCGTGTTGAGATGCGCATCAACCGCATACCTACTGCTTTGCGGAAGGCCAAGATGGGCGAGCTACTCTTGAAATCTCTACAGCCGCCCCAATCACCTTCTCGACCGGCTAAGCCAGCGGCAACAGTAGTAATGGCCGCAGTGGCTGCACCCAAACCAGCTGTTCCAGCAAAGGATGCTACATCAGCCAAGCCTGTTGCACGAAAGCCAGTTCCCATTAGCAAAGTAGGAGCTGGACGCAAGCGTCTGAGGTAAGAAACCTATTCCGTGTTTTTTCCCCCCTTCCATGATTTTCCAACTAACATCACATAGTGACGAAATGTCTGGTGCCGATAAGGAGAACCATAGTGATTTGGTCGAGAATCCCAAGAAGAGACCCCGCGGTGTTATTGCTAAAGATTCTGCATCCACCCAGCCTGCTCATGTTCTATCCCCTGCATCTTCCAACACGCGACTTGTGCCTCGCCCAACGTCTCCAGTCAAAACAATGGCTAGCAGACCCGCATCACCCATGAAGGCACCAGGTGCCAAGACTTCATCTAACCTCATAACGAATATGGTTGAGAAGGCAAAGGCCACTCGACCGCAACCTCTTACCAGGAAGACTACCACTGCCATTTCCTCTGCAGCAAGCTCAACTAACGGCCCAGCTCCCACACGCTCACGACAAGCTGCCACTAATCCCCGTCCGCCGACCGCCGCTTCTACGCGTGGCAGGCGAAAGGTTAGTGGCACGAGCGAGTCCAGCGAGGGTAGCACGACAACGGTGTTGAAAAAGACGACTGCGTCGAGAGCGGCCAAGACAACGGGTCCTGCCGCGAAGAAAACTGTGATGGGCACGATCAAGTCAGCTACAACGAAGAAGCCACCTGCGCCCAAGGCCGCGGCTGCAACTGCGGCTGCAACCACGACGACGGGCACAGGAAGAACTCTTAGGAAAAGAGGTTGATCGCTTCATTCATGGCATGAATTATAATGTGTAATTAGGTGTTTTGCCTATTGGCGTTCAATGGTTGGTGGGTGGGTTAGCATGGTGGACTGGACCGGCTGGATGGACGGATGCATGGTTATGGGTAAAAATAAGGGTTTAGGGTAGGGTTAAGGATTAAGTCAGCTCGCAATGAGAACCTTGTTGGCTTTTGCTATTCAAATACCCGCCTCTTGGGCTGTTCCGCACCTATCCATAACTTAGTGATATGTATGGGTTTTCCTGCTTCGTTGGTATGATATAGTATAGCTGAAGGTAACATGTCCCTATCCCACCTTGACGACACGTTGATATGATGAACTTAGCCGGCACTAGCCCCTTTCTTCTTCTTATCATCCACCAGCTCGATGTTGTCCTCGGGTATGTCCTTGTACTTCTCGAGCAAGAACTCCTCGATCTCGTCGCTGACGTCGCCCTGGACCACGATCTCCTCGCCGCCGCTGGGCACCTTGGTCACCGAAGATCCCGTGGCAAACTTCTTGCCGAACTCTTTGGCGACCTTTTTCAGGTCGAGGCCGAAGGCTTCTAACCCGGACACGGCAGTCACGAACTTCCGCTTGTTACGCTCCACCCGCTTGATCGTCACGACGCTGTTCGCGATCCGGTCCGCCTGCTTCTGCTCGGCTTTCTCGGCCTGCGCCGCTTTCTTCTGCGCGTCCTTGGCGGCGCGCTTCTGCGCTTCGACGGATAGGGAGGCTGTTGCTGCTTCTAGGGCTTCTACGGGTGGGTGGTTATGTCAGTAGGTGGGTTTTGGTGGTTTATTTTTGGATGGAGGGAGGTATGGAGTTAGGTAGGTATGTACCAGGAGACCATATTAGGTCATATAATTCCCTATGAGCTTTCTGGAGCCAATCCTGGCATTTCTTGACGGTGCCTCCGTATTCGCAGTACTACTTGTTTCGACGATTAGTCTTTTTTTTCTTCTATTCTATTTTTGGCACTGGCTCGAGGGTATGTAGGTGTCTGGTAGGCTATGATTAAGGAAGTGTCGTACCTCCGGTGGTAAAGTGCATACTAGAAAATGCACATGATCAGCTACCTAGTTCTTCTCTAGCTACGTGGTTCTTTTTTTGTGTTTGACTTACCGCCGCAGTAGATAACATGGCGGCTTTGTGGCTCGCTGGGCCCTTCTGGTTGCTCTGTATCGGCCATTCCTTGAATGTGAAAGGTGAAGAGGAAAAATGCAGGAGGTGTTTTGTTGTTTCGCAGATGTTTGTTGGTTGGCGTTAGTGTTCAATGGATCAATATTATAGTGTATGTAAGTATAGGTAGGTCAATACATATGAGATGGTGGCAGGTACGCCAGAGAGGAAAGTGCAAAGCACTGTGGTCATGTATTTAAGAACATTTCAGTAGCAAGGTCTAATCCTTAGATCTTATCCTTTTAATACACAGATCTATCCACATTTATCTAGTACCCCTACACCGGAAGAGCTGTAGTGATAGCCTTATTTTTGGTTTTTGGTTTTTTTTGATAATTAAAACCTTTATTGTTTTTAAAGTTATTTTAATCCTTTTATTAATTAAAACGTTATTATTAATTAAAAGCTTTGTTTTAAAAGTCAACGTTTATTTAAAAAAAAAAAGTCGTTTATTTTAAAAGCCGTTTATTTAAAAGTTATTTAATTAAAAAGTCCATAATTAATTTATTTAAATTAAAAAATCTAAAAACCGTTTATTTAATTTAAAAAGCCTATAATTTATTAACCATTATAATTTATTTTGTTATTTCTTATATAAGATATATTATATCTTATTTATTTAATTAACTTCTTATTTTAAAAGACTATATTTTTAGCATTTTATCGTTATTTAAATATAGCGTTACTTATTTTTAATATTTATTAAATAGCTGTGTAATTTAGGAACGTTTATATTAAAGTTTATTAACGTTATTAAAACAAAGCTTAGAAATATTTAAAATAAGCATTATTATCCCCCCTTAATAAATAATAGCAAATATGTTAAAAAGAAAAATATAAAATATTATAATTATATATTTAAGAACATTTTAGTAGTAAGGTTTGATCTTTAGATTTTATCCTTTTAATATATAGGTCCACCCACATTTATTTATATGTAGACAAAGCGCGGGGTTATCGACATCGAGAGATGATAAAGTCAAGTACCTACCTAGTACGTATGGTGGGGTAATTGAATACGCCTGTTTTACAAGAACGGCGCGGGCGAGCTAAGTACATAGCAGGTACAACATGAACCTTGAAAGAACATTGAATGATTGAACAAACCGCCGTGCGCGGACTTACTTTACAAGCCACACTTTTTTACGTGAAGCTAACGCCACAACTGTGATACTACGGCATCTAGCGTCGGGCCGTAGCGCCCTGTACATACTTCTTCTTCAATGATACTCTTCTTCTTACCAAATATTATAACCTCGCCAAGCGATACATATGCACTACTTCCCGTCTACCATAAGACTCTAAGTTAGCCTGCCATCTCAATACCGTGAGTCAGCATAGAAGGCGGTTAACTATATCAATGGAGACGGCGAACACGTTAGCGATCCACGCATTACCCGAGAACAAGCGGCTGGTATAGTGTCTATCTGTCTCACTAGCCAAAAGTTGTTGAGCCATCCTCGGCGCTTCAGTGTTTATTCTATTGGTAATGAGCATCAGGGCCAGCAAACACTGAGCTGGCTTTGCTGTATAATATTGTATATTATTGTATTGTGCGGGGCATTATTATAACCATCAGCGCGGTTGTGCCGTTTGATTGCATAGGTAATCCTAGCAAGTCCAGCAAAGATCGCGATCAGAGATTGGCGACTACCTATACACAATCCTGTTCACACCTGGCAGTCATGCCCAGATCAGAGAGAGGAGGCAAAGGTCGGAGTCGTCCAATCCGATCTTCTGGAGGCTAGGACCTTTTTCCCTTTTTGTATTTGCAGAGACCGTCTATGTGTATGTATGTACATACATGTATGTGGTAGATCGGTGAAGTCACCATTCCTCGCGCCACACCACAAATGAACTGGCAGCCTGGGTTACTCTTTGTCCGTCTTCTGAATTCTGGAATGCTGAAATTCTGGTTATCCTGCATGGTTCATCTCACCACGAACATTTCTCATCCAATCGCGGAGAATCACAACCCATGCTGGGCGGCTAAGCGCTCACTGAACGCAGTCTTACCTTATTAGTGTCTGGAGCATCCAACATTCCTCCAATCAACTATTTTCTCTGTTTTCTTCTTCCGCGCGCCAGTTTGTTTATTGGTCGACCTTGGGTGAATTTTCTAAAATTATATTATCTTGTACCATCTCGGATTGCTTGTGTATTGATCCTGATTGGGTATTGGTATCGACTACTCGACTGATCCCACCTCCACGACTGACCTGAATGCCCCGACTGACGTTGCCCAACGAGATGAACCAGTCCTTTTTCGGTACTACTATTGTACTCTTACACCCAAATAGGATGTGCCTCTGGTGAAAACCTGTACTTGGTCATGCAGTTCAATGTTGACCATGCAGCTTATGGGCTGCTACCCATCCGTTACCGCTATAGATCGTTGAGTCGGAAGCGCTCAGTGTTGACTGCGTGCGACCTCTCTCCACACGATAGCCGCTTGCCATCCATCAAGCCTACAGTCATAAAACTACTCGTTTCCGGCCGCTTGGTAGGTCTCTGTTTCTTTCACATTTTTGTCCCTTAAGCTTCCTTGAGGTTGCCTCATTTCATAATTTGCTTCGTTGAACGAAGTATTACAGTCGTTAAAGCTTCTTCTTCCTATACCTTGCTTCAACGACGCTGGGCGTCATTTCTCATACCAAATTATAAACGTTTGTATTCGTTCAGTTTACTGCTCTTTATTTCATATTACGAAATATCTTTAGTATTTCTTTCCCCATATAAAACAAGAAAAATGACAGAATTATATCTCCTACCGTCGAGCACATACCAACCTCCCTCGCCTTCGCTGGCACGGAGGCCTGGGAGGTCACTTAATACAATAATGGAGGAGGAGTCGGAAGGATCACAGAGGTCGACGATGTTAAGGAATCAGCACACCAAGAGCACTTCGTCTAGCGAGATGATAACAATGTGGCTATCCCCACGAAGTGACCATTTCCCGACACCTCGAGGCATTCATTTCATGTCGGCTCCCATACTGCCCGAGTCTCCATCGACTGTCTCTGCCGATGAAAGCAACTCACCGTCGACAGACTCTTCAGACCATTGGAATAGGGCCAGCATGAGCACCGTTGTTACGGAATTTGACGATATATATGATATTTCCGATGAAGAAGACGCTCGACGTGTAGCTTCGAGGAAGTCCTCGCTAAAGCGCCGAAACAGCTCTCGCAACACGGCACTCAAACGATCATCAGTTCAGTCATCGACCTCGACTAAGTCCCTGCCACCCTTGGTTATCCCAGGACAGAAGGATGATAATGACTTGGGGAGGCCAGGGCTCAAGCGGCTCTTATCCCCAGTTCCCCCAACGCCGCCATCCAAGGTTGAGATGTCACCGGCTATGATGTCCTTCTTGAAGGCCCAGCAAGCTCAAGAAGTACCAACTGTATCCGCACCGCCATCCCTCGATGGAAGTCTAAGCTCCGATCAGATGGCAGCCATGTCTGCTCCACCGACACCAATAATCGGAGCGGAGGAGGATTGTGCTAACAGAGATTGGTCCGGCGTTCAACTACAGCCTGGTGCTTTGGCTACTTTGCAGGCATTATCCGGGAGCGAAGATAGTGATGACGAATACCCCTCCGAGCAGGTCATCGAGATATCTCAAGAGAGGATGCCGGAAATGTCACAGTCGCAGCAAACGCCACGCTTATTAACTAGCATGACACGGCCGGCTTTGGGGCAACAGCATCAATCTCTCAATGGGTTGACGAGACTTGATATTCCTTCACCGGGGGGCTTTTTTAATGGCCTCTCTCCCCGAACGAGGCACACATGGCATCTACCCACAATGACTCCGGATGACGCTGCGCCTCCTACTTCCACTACCGCAGAACAATTCTATCGAGCTCCGTGGAACGAACCTGCTCCCCAAGTACCAGCACTGCCTACTGTTCCTGTTATGCCTCCTCCTCCACCCCGGCCTCAGCGATTTGCAACTGCTCCCGTCTCATCAGCGCCGGTCGAGCAAGTTGTGGAATATAGAGGCACAATGTCAGACGGCATGCCGACAGCGAGGCGAATTATCGAGCGTGTCGTCGTGGCTGGAGACAACATTACGGATGAAGTTATTACAGCGCGACGCATTGAACAAAGCATGCTTCCAACTTTCTCTTCCGCTTTGCCTGAGCCAATGAGCCCCAATGAGGATGTGACCGCTACGGAAATTGTCACGATAAATGATCCCGAATTTACCAAGAAGCAAAAGGAAATTGCTCTCTCCAATCTGGATCGGACCGAAATGTGGCTCATGGCGCAAAAGGCATACCTGCAGGGCATTCTTCCAGAAGACGAAGTCAAGCCACAGGTAGAGCCCGTCATAGAGACTGCCGCAGAGGAGTCGGAGACGAAGGAGCCCGAGTCTGAGGTAGCATCCCCGGCGCAGAAGAAAAAGACGGTCCGCTTCTCCGAGGTTGCCAAGCCGAACATCCCCAAGACGTTGCCTTCCAAGATCGGACGGCAAGAGTCGGCATACTACCGTGCCTATCAGGACCACATCATCCGTTCTCGCAGCCATGATCCTTTTGTCCACCGACTCCCACGCTTCGAAGCCCTCCAGGCCCAGCGTACCTCGTTGCGAGAGATGCACCGCAACCAGCTCCTCGGCAAGTATCAACTGTCTGTGATGCCGCAATCTGCCAAGAAGCGTATGAGTGCCAACGTGGCTCGTGGTGATGATATCATCGTCGATGACTTTGAGAAGCTAAAGCGGGAAAAGGAGCAGGAGGCATTGTCGCAAATGTCCATGGCAAACTGGCACGTTGGTGCCACCAAGGCCCTGTGCGGCGGGCGTCTATTTTCCGCACCTGTTGCTAAGCGCCTCGCTCGCCTCTCCCGCATTGGTGGTCCGAAAGACCGTGCGCGCATTCTCGACCTCGGCGGTCAGGCTGCGTGCGACTGGGCTTGGAACTGTGCCATCATGTACCCCAATACAAAGGTATACACGGCGACGACCAAGGCCATTCGACAGCTGTCCAACTCCAACATCCGCGGCCCCCCAAACCACCGCCAGGTTGCCGTGGAGCGGCTCACGCGGTTGCCATTCCCAGACGCACACTTCGACCTCGTCTCGGCACGCGAGCTACAGTCGATCCTTAAATTCATCGGCGAGAACGGCGAGGACGAGTGGGACAGCTGCCTCAAGGAGTGCATGCGGGTGCTCAAGCCCGGCGGATACCTGGAGTTCTCCGTGCTCGACTCGGACGTTACCAACGCAGGCCCTCTTGGCCTCGCCAAGTCGGTCGAGTTCGGCTTCGCCCTCAAGACTCTCGGCTACGACCCCTCGCCCACCCGCATGTTCCTCGGCCGCCTCAACCGTGCCGGCTTCGACGGCATCCGCCGCGCCTGGGTCTCCCTCCCCATGGGCCCCGACCCCGCCGTCCAGCGCAACCGCAAAGTCGCCCGCGACAGCACCACTGGTGACGAGCGCCCCCTCGTCCTGGAAGCGATGGTCTCCGGCAGCACCGAGGCGGCGGCCCCCATCGCGGGCCTCGCCGGCAGCTGGTCGTGGGAGCGCTGGCTTCTCCGCTGCGAGATGGAGAAGGTGGCGTGCGAGTCTCGTCTGGGATTCCTCGAGACCGAGACCGCGGAGATGCGCGAGGCGGGGAAGTGCCTCGATGGTGTTAATGAGGTCCTTGAGGAGGGCCGTCGATGTGGTGCTGGGTTTAGGATGTTGAATGGGTTTGCGAGGAAGCCTCTTGCTACCGAGTAGATCTAAGAAGGGAAAGGGAAAGGGAAATGGAGTTTTGGGTGGGAAGATGTGAGTGAGCAAGCGGAGCTAATCGATCTCTTCGAGTCTGAAGATTGTCTCTTATGTACCTAGGTATGCATGGTCGGGGTTGGGGGTCGGGGTTTGTGTTTGGGAAAGGGGGGGGGGGGGACGAATACATGTGTGTATATGAGAGATATGAAGTGCCATGTATGGACGGTTTGACGATGATACCCCGTTTTGGAATTTGGAGAAGCAAAGAAAGCAAAGCAAATATAGTTAAACACATACCTACCTATACTTGAGGTGGTGGAGGATAACAAATACACTCCGCTACGCTTGAGGATATTTTAATATATAGACCTTTTAATGTCTATAATATGCTGGTTTCACCTTGCTGCTTCTCTTTGTGATGTTGAGGTGTGTTATCTTTATGGCCGTCATGTGGATAGCCTCATAACCTAATCTGCTTACTTGTACCAATCCATCCATCCACTGTCTGATCTTGATACTAGTCCCTGTTACCTACCATATTAGCCTTGCCACTCTCTCAGCTCCCAAACCACACCACCCCGTTCTCGGTCTATGCAGCTACCTAGTTAGGAAGCTCGTGGTGTCGCGTGCTGTGTAATGCAGGTACCCGTGGCTTTTACTCTCTACTCCTCCTACCTAGCTAGCTGGCTGGCTAAATACTTACATAGGTACCTAGCCAATATCCACGACAAGATAGGAAGCAATTACACACACACACACACATATATCTCCCTCAATATTTACCAAGGCAAAGCACCTAGCAAGCCAGCGGAAAGTCCCATTTCGGCGTAGGCATTCACTATACTCTACATACTACCTAACCTATATCTATCTATCTAACCTACCCACCCACCCCAGCTGGGTATGTGACCTCCTTGCCAATCTTGCCCTTGAAAGAGTTCGATTCCGGACCCCAGAGCACAAGCACGCACGCACATGGGGGCTTCCCTTTGTCGAGCATGGTGTGCGCTGTAACCCCCACTAGGTTAGGTAGGTAGGTAGGTAGGTAGGTAGGTAACTGAGGCTAGGCTGGGTTAGGGCCATATACATCATAGCTATATGTACCTACCCCAGCTTAGGACGTCACCCCCCCCCCCCCCCTGTTTTCTTTTCAGCTCAGCTAGGTAAGTACGATGAACGACATGGGACTAGCTACATTATGAGGGTTCTCTCCAATATCATGATACCTAGTTACTTACTCTAGATAGGTACTTATGTAATCCCCATATCTCACGATCACGATATAGTGTAGGCAGTTCGTCGTCATTTTCAGGTAGTAGATAGGCAATAGGTAGTACGCCGCATGATTAATAAAGTCCTGATATTCATATCCTAGCTCGTATGCACAGATACAACGTCCTCGTCAAGTAAGTAGCACTAACTAACACGCTGGTATCTTCCGAACTCCTGCCTACCTACCTACCTACCCACCCACCAAACTACACTCCTCCATTCGTTATGTATGTACCTCCCTTATGTACACAGATTCCTTCCCTCCCTCCCCCCTTTCTCCCCTCCCCATATTCCTAATCCCTGTCCGAATCCAAGTCCATCTTATCCACTCTCCCCGGTTCCATCACGTTGGCTATGGGGTTGTCGAGGGGTCCCTTCCCTTCCACTCTACCCTTCTCATCGGTATCTTCTATTGCCACCACGATGCTTCTATCATCGTTCTTCTGTGGCGTCGATACGCGATCTTTGAGCGCCTTGGGCGTGGTGGGGACGATGACGTTCAGTACGCAGTCGTCTAGATGTTCGTAGAATTCTTGGGCTGTGGAGAAGCGAGTCTGGCAGATGGAGCATTTGGCATCACCGCCGTTGCGAGAACTGTTCCCGGTGACGATCATCTTTCGACTATTAGGTGGAGTTTGTTCCACATTGTGTACCGCGGTCAAATGCCGCTTGAATACATCAGCCCTATTAAATGCCTTTTCGTAGGCTGTGCCCGGGCCTGGGCAAAAGGGGCAAACCATCGTCCCCTTATAGTGGGTTAATGCGTGCCTATTCTTGTCGTACTTTCGTGCGAACCCCTTGGTGTGATATTCGCAACTCTCTATCGGACACTTCTCGGGCCGTTCCTCCTGGTGCGTTAACATATGTGCAGCTAGATCCTTGAAGACACGACCACAGTCAGGGTGAGGACATCGGTTCCTATTGTCTTCGGCTTTGGGTATAATCGGACTGCTATGGGCCGTACTCTCCAAAGATGGCGCAATCGATGGTGCCAGTAATGGTCCTTGGGGTGGTGCGGGTGCTAGTCGAGGAGCTTCCAAGAAAGAGGACTGCCGGGGTAACGCGTATTCCTCGATCATCCTCACATCATTATCTTCTTCTCCACTAGACGTGTCATTTTCGTTCACATCGATGGACTGCCGCACTTCTCGCATCCAATCTTTTAGGACCGTCATGGGAGGCCAGTCGCCACTGGCCTTGCCACTTCTATGTGGGTGGAAATGAGCTCTACGTAAGTGAGCTGCGGCATTGTAATATGCGCCGTAACGCTTCTGTGTGACGCAAGCCTTGCACTTCGAAAGGGGTATGACGGGATGCGGGGAGTTGGGGCTGGAACTTTGCGGTTCCGTACAAACCCATCTCTTCACCAAAGAAGCATGTTTGGCATCGTTGTGTCTCCGAAGTTCATGCTCACCGCGGAAGCCCTCGGGATATTCATTGCATTTGGTGCAAAACACCCGCCGGAGTGGAGGCCGCTGATAGGAGGTCGTTCTGAGCTTGGAAGGAGAGCTGAGACCCCTCGCAATGGCCCGGGTGAACACTGGATTTTCCCCCACGGTATGTCTTCTCCCCTGTTCGGGGCCATCAAAGGCATAAGTCGCTGGCAATATTTCCTGGTCGCTTCGATTTGCCCATGGATCGATCGGGCGCCATTGAAAAATGGGCTTCCGGGCTTCGTTAACTTGGCCAACCACAGGCGGCTGCTGGTACGAAACGTGCCGATAAATAGGCGTCCGCTGTCTAAAGAAGCCATTAAACCCAGCATTTTCGTCGAGATAGCCACTTCCAAGTCCAAGAAGAAAATCCTTAGATGACCGAATTCCCAATGCAGCCCAATCATCCTTGCGAATGGCAGCTATCGTACTAGCAAACAGCGCGCGGTCATTTCCTTCCAAGTCTAGGGCTACATCGTCAATGATCATTGGTGTTGACCAAGCAAATACACTCACCAACGCCTTATAGACACAGTGCATAGTCGTCGCTCCCGTGGACATGGGAAAGCCACCTTGCGCCTGTGAAGAAATCGCTCGCGAAGGCGTAGAGATAAGATCGGCCAGGATCGTCCTCACAATGCTGAAAATACAGAGCGATACGAAAACAGCCAACCAGCTCTTCGGATCCGAAATAACCCTACGCATAGTCGTACTCTCGAAGGACTGCAGGAACTGGACCATGCAGTTGTATATCAATCGGTTTCGTCCCTCGTAGTCTATATCATCTGGTGAACTCTGGGCACTGGTTACGTTGGTTAAATTGACCTCGGTACGTATCGACGGTTCGGGTTGCTGTAAATCGTAGAACAAGATCTCCCTCAAAAGTAACTTGGCGCGATATAAAACGGGATATGTCATCGCCTCCGATTCCCGGCTCTCCGACAGGAAACCCGTGAGTCTGAACAACTCCCAAAATTGGAAAGGGACTCCTTCCGCATTCCAACTTGCTGCTAGCACTTTTAATACCGGTGGCGGTTTATCCCTCGGCTCTTTCGAATAAGTTGCCAACGTAGGGTTTGGCATAGGCAAGGATGCCAAATCTTCAGTCCACCAGAATCCATCATCAAAGTCCAGGTGGGTGTTGACCATATCCGACATGTTCTGGCTTACAAGGTAAGTCCGTTCAAGATAGTCGTTCATATTCCGTCGTCTGGCTAGAGGTGACGTGACAGGGGTATGTACTTGTCTCGGAGACAGGGCTTCTATTCTCGTGTAAGTGTACATGACTTCGATAAAAAGAAAACTTACAGGTGCTTATATTTACCTGGTAGCATGTAATCAGCTAAAGCGACCAGAGGGCCACGATGGCATCCGAGTGTACCCCAAAACTCATCACTGGCAGAAGTTGGGGGTTCGGAGCAAAAGGCGCAATCGTCTTTCGAATCGCACTACCAACTATAAGCATTTATCCAATTCGATGAGAAATAAGCTTCCTTACTGGCTTTGATTGGACCTTGCAACGAAGACACGGTCCAGTATCCCGCGGCAGCCTCAGTTCACCTATAGATTCGAGTCTCCCATGCCCAACTCTACTTCGCTTCAGGGGTGGAAGCAAAGAATCGGGCTCGGAATCTATCGATCTTCTAGGCTGAGGAGGCAGCTCACTTCCAAAGTTGAAGACAATTGCCGACTCACGTCGATCTCTTGGTGGGTGGGTGGCGTTGGCCAATGGAGGGAGGGAAGGAGGAACAGAAAGTCTCGGTAAGGTAGCCGGCGAGCTCCGGTTGATATGGTCGGAGCTGAATAGTCGTGACGATGACTGATCTGAGAATATGATCGGGGGGATGGTACCCACTGATAGGCCCGAGTCCCTCTTTATGGAAATAGTATGCTGTTTCAGGTGCTCGTCTCGCTCCTCGGGATTCGAAAACCCGTAGATATAATACACACATCGGTCATCCCAACACTTGAAGGATGCCTGACGTCTTGATATGAGAGGTATGGTTTCTCTCATCCTCCATCCCCGAAATATGGGATCATGAAATGAGATGTTCTTATCCAACCAAGCATCGTAGCCAGGGGGTGAATCATCCTGGGCGAATAGCTTCAAGGCATGCAAGAATTGCCCATCATGGAGATCCAAACCTATTTTTGTGACGACATTCCACGTTAGGTAAGAAGAAGAAGGTGGTGGTGGTGGTAGTGGTGGTGATGGTGGATGTGATGTGATGGTGAAGGTGGTGGTAGTGACGAGGAGGATTATGAAGAAAGGAGAGAGAATAACAGGATAGTCCAAAACTACATACCTTGATCTATTAAGAAGCTCTCAATGCACTCACATCTATACTGCAGGGTGCGGGCTTCCTCGACATCAGATAATATGGGAACAGTACCGGGAAAGTCTTGAGAAAATTACGCATCAGAATTAGGCACGACGCCAATTATATATAAAGAGTATAAATACGAAGAAATTGTATTTTTCTCCCACGCGCACGAGACTAAAATGGAGGCACTTACTTTGACTTTTGGTATAGGCCTCCAGAGCTCTCAGCTTCCTCCGGAGCATGTCCAGCTCGAGCTTACTGTTTGGGACATACTTGGCTGGAATTAAGGCGGCCAGTTTCGCCTGGATTTCAGCTTGCTGCTCGAACAGCTGTCTAATCGTGGGGTCTAAAGACGGATCAAAGCCGGGTGCGACTTGAACTTCTCGGCTCTCGAGCAGCGAGCCGCGACGGTCTAGTCGAGGCTCTAAAGAGTCGGCCGCCATACTCCCTCCTCTGGAATCCTGCCGTTGTTGCGCCGTGCGCCAATGTCCACAGGTCGGACCTGAAGCTTAACTCTTTTTTCTGTCTTTCTTTAAATAGATTTTCTTTTTTCGCCTCTCTCTGCTTTATACTTCTTCGCCTATTCGATTTTCCGTTTTCCGTTTTCCCTTTTTTTGATAAGCCTCTGTCTGCCTATGCCTGTGCCGTATATAGTATATATATATATATGTATGATATATATGTAAATGTATATGTATATGTATATATGAAATATACACACACCACACAAGACCGAACGGCGAACTGAACTGTGCCGCAACAAGCGGGCAAGGTTTTTAAGACTAAAGAAAAACGTAAGGCCACTCTTCTTCACGCTCCTTCTCGCCTTACTATCTTCTTCGCTCGCGCAGACTCACTTCCCGCTTGCGCGCGCAACTTGGCGGTACACATCAACTGCGGTTTACAAAGGACGGAAGGTCAAGTATAAAAGTGATGTTCATGGCGGAAAGGCCGGCCGAAGGGGTTGTAAAGGGAAGAGAAGAGAAAAGGGCAGGGACTGCGCCTCGTGACGAAATGGGCCAATAGTAATAGTAAATTTAAAGATTGGCTGCAGGACGCCTGTCGGAGACGATGTTGCGAGGGGAGGGGTGTTAGATAGGTATGGTTAGATGTGGTTAGATGGATTAGACGTGAACGTAAGAAACATCTGGCTGGATGGATTTTTTGGGGATCTTTTTTATCGATGTAGTTATTGTGTATTGTTTCCTTGTGGGGGTTTTGGGTAAAAGAGAAAGGAAGGGATAAGAATATAACCTCTTCTATTTCTCTCTATATCTCTCTTTTTTATTTCTCCCTTTTCTTTCTTTCTTTTTTATTTCACCCAAGTAAGATGGGTGTCTCGGTATCAAGAAGGAAAGAGTAAGAAGAGGCAGTATAAAAAAAAAAAAAAAAAATAAGAAAATAAGAAAAAATAGGATTAAAAAAAGATAGCACGCAACTTATTAGCTAAGAGCTTGAAATTGGCTAATAAGTTTTGGGGTCGTCGCGATCAATCAATCAAAAAAAATATATACCGATAGTATGTACCTAACAACCTTCAAGAACTTCAAGCTTGTACTACTTTAATGTAGCCTGGAGGACCAGTGGAGGTAGTGGGAAAGGCTGGCTAGACGAGAAAAAAATTGGTGGGGCGACCACTGCGACGGCAGATTACACATGCACGTAAAAAGGCCAGCTGCCACCATTATTTCCAGGGGGATAACCCCATATTAAGATACTATGCGTGTACTAGCTGCCTAGGTACCTACCTATTAAGTACATACTATGCAAGATGACTGATAATCAGGAAGGGGGTGCAAGGTGTAAAAGCAAAGGTGCAACGCCTTGCAAGGATTCTAGCTCCCGGGGTGCCGGGGTATTCGGGAGGTCGGTGCGGAGCGTCGGTATGTACCTATTTAGTCGTCTTACATACATCCCTAGGTACCTACATGTAGGCCTATGTAGCCTGGAGGTTATTATTCAATAATTATTGATACCTCCAGGGCTACATAGTACATCACTTGATAGTATAATGGATATATCAATAACTACTTACATAGCAAATACTCACTTACATACATCAATTGCATACATGTCGGTACCTAACGTCATTGCATTAATATGCGGCGTCATCCAAATTTATGTGCCTCCTAGGTTATTTGGATGTTGAAGGGTTCAATGTTAAAGAGGTTAGAGAGGAGGGGTTTATAGTTGCGATTCGCAAATTTCGAAACCATTATTAATAATAAGAAAACAGGATTCAAGGGGGGCTGGGGATATCTTGGTTAATGGTTAAGCTTATGGCAGCTTGCTTTGTTAGTACAATATCTAACTAACTAACTACATATCTATCTAGTATTATATTAGTAGTTATCTATAATATCTACTATGTAACGACAATAATACCAAGGCGGAAAATTAAAAGAAAAAAAGAAAAAAAAATTAAAAAATGTGGAGGATAGTACCGTGGATGTGGGCTGATGGGATGGAGATAGAGTCTCGTTTCGTCTCTTACTGCGATATATAGTGGTTTAAACCATGTCACTCAGCAGACATGGTTATGTAAAGCCACGTAGGTACAATTTAAAGTAGCTTCAATGTGATGTTTTGATAATGCCTCTATAAACCTCACAGCTGGAGCCCTAAACAACGCCTAGACAAAGACAGAGACAGGCCAACTAATGAAATGACTTCTTTCTTCCGATAAAACGTGCTGCTGGGACCACGGTGTTAACTACTACCTTGATATTCCAGGTTACACAGATTGTCCCTTAGATTTTATGTATGCACATATGCCTCATTCCCTACTTACATACCTACAGCCTGCTGAGAGACTAGCAAGAGACTATGTACTAAGAGTTCCCTTTAGGTAGCAGCCAGGTAGCTTATGTATCTACCTAGGTAGGCTAGTTCATATGTCTTATAATACCTCCAGCCTTTTATATTATGTGACCTTGACCAGGTATTAGTTATATATAACCTTGTATGCAAACAATACAATTCATCGACTATCCCATCTTTTCCCTTGACTAGAAAGCCTCGCCAGACTTGCTCAATGTGTGATCATAAATAATTATGCAGGTCAGGTGTGTATGTACGCATGTATGTATGTACCTATTCAAGGAAGCGTCCTGGGCTGCTGGAATACAGACCACCTATCATCAGCCCGCTTAAGGTTTCTCCAGGCGGCTAAGCATTGCATTGCTGACGAGACGAGGGTATTAAGACAAGACGAGACAAGAAAAAAAGGGACCCATCTACTTCCAGATGTCCCCACGTTGGAATCGGTGGATAAGCCGAACCCATAGGCCACATAGGTGGATTATAACGTGAGGTAGTATGCGGTTTGCATCAACGGTATGTACATACATGCCTACATGTAGTTAGGGTATGTATACGGTACAATGGAACTAGGTATTAAGCTGCTGCTGCATGCATCCATGACAGGCGGGAAACTCTTTTTTTTTCTCTCACAGTCAGTTCAGTCCAAGAAGAGCTGGGCTCGGCTGGATGTCCAGCTGTAGGCCGAGTCGGCGCTGATCATTGCTACCTAGTGCTCACTGCAACTTCGACAGCGTTGCTGAGCTGTGGTACAGTGGCACTTTGATATGGAAAAGCCGAGAAAAGTGACTAGGGTTCAAAGTTGTAGGGGGACATCGGGGGAGACCAATCATCGACCCCACGCAATCACGTTACCATCGACTCCATGCCAGTCAAGTCCCTCTTATCTACTAACATCCTAACATCGTAGTATGTACCTACTTTACCTTACATATCTACTCATCTGTCTACTCGTACCGACAGTAGCATCTGTAACATCTACCCGTGCGTACAGTAGATGGGGTAGTAAGTAGACAAGGAACATCAGCTTATTTTAGTGTACCCATCTTCTTTCGATACCAGATGACAAAACAGTAAGGTGTCATCTCAAGGGAGAGCCCGTGTCAGTGCAGTATGTGTATGCTCTATAAAGCTATGCTCTATAAAGCTATAGCACGGGTAGACATTTTCTAAATTTGATGTTGGCTACTAGATCAACTGCCTAACCTACATATGTAGACTATTTAATAACCCAGCTAACCTAACGTAGGCCACCTAATGTAAGGATTGGCTGGGGCACTATCAAGTATACGGGGTGCTTATTCAGGTGCAAGGTCGTGGTCATGAGTTACAAGACTAGCTAGCATTTGCCTATCTACATGATTATATGTAGGTATGTAGTGAGTAAATGAAGTGTAATAGGCGAGGCGTTTATCGGCATTGTAGACGATGTCGAAAGCTGATAGGTAGATCTTTACGGTCATCCGTCGAACAGGATATTCGGGGGGACACATCCGGAGAGAGAGCATTGAAGGGTACAAGATAACTAACTGTAGTAGTATAACTAGTATTAACTACTAATAATTACTGCTAGGCATAATTCGAAATGTTTGTCGTACTAGTAGTCGGTACCTACTAGTCAAGTACTACTAACCTTGGAACCTACTGTACAATGGTCCTACATAGCCCTAGAGTTATGTAGGTATCAAGCTTAGCATTAACACGATACCGCCATTAGCTCCGTGCCATCGAGAACATGGCGCCGTGAGCGGAGCCCAGCCCAGCCCAGCCCAGCAAGCCTCAACACCAAAAGTGCGCACCCGACCGCCTCAGCCCGGTAATTTACTTGCCGCTAAACAACCGCCTAGCTGCCCTAGCATCAGCTCCAAACAAACCGTCCATGCCATTATTTTGGCTCGCCTTTCCCACACACGCTCTAGACCCATTATCCCACGCCCTTAAACGCCCTCCCGCCCTCCCTCCGCTTCACCTCAATCTCGATTCTCGATCAGTGCTATATTCATATCACCCACCCTAATTTTAAAAATGGTGCGGTAGCAATCGGTTCCAAAATCACAGATATGTTCTGGCAAATCAACAATCCTGTGCGAGACATGGCAATATTCTGTTATTTGCCTAGAAGCAGATCAGACATACAATACAGCATCTGAGCGGGACAGGGGTTAAAAGTAGTGTGTAGACAGGTTGTGTAGGTAATAGGTATTATGTGAGAGCCAGAGCGATACCAGTACATCGAATATGTATAACTACAGGTAGACAGCAAATTTAAGAGGGGGAGGGAATAATAACAGTCAACCACGCGGGAGAGTATCGGACGTCGACCATATGATCCGGCACATGCATCGAATTTGTGCTGATCCCTTCCTTACTTAGGAACGTCATGTTTCTTAAGTGCATTAAGAAGTGCCGAGGGGGTCTGGGCGAGACGAAGTCTCGTCCACTATTCTCCGTTCTTGTTCCTTCATTGGGGTGAAGGCTGTCCTATCTTGTCTGGACTAATTGACCGTTGCAGAGCATACCATATGCAGCCCTTCGTTCGCATCTCATCGACTTGCCTCATGCGTAGGTATCTTCCGTCCAAGGTCAGACGAAAGACAGATGGACAGATCAAGGAAAGAAAAGAAGAGAAAAAAAAAAGGAGGGCTTGATTTTTTTTTTTCAGCGCTTGCTGAAACCACGCACTTCCCGCATCAAGCAGCCGGGTCATATGTATCGTTGACTCCGATGTTGCGCTTCATACTCGTTGAGGAAAGCCGCGCATCCTTCCATCCCCCCTGTCGCAGATCTTTTTCCCTATCTCTCTACGATTATACGTCCGATAGTGAAAGCAGCGGAGTTGAAGAAGGCAGGCTAATGAATAGGGTGGCAATGAGCGAAATCGCGTGCGCAAATGATAGAATGGCAAGGGCAGAAGGCGGTCAAGGTTAGGCGACATGCAAAGCTCACCAGCAGCAAGCAAGCAAGCACTCAGCAGCATTCAGCACTCAGCACTCAGCAAGCACCAAGCACCAAAGGCCGGCACCAGCAGCCAAAGTTGTCACTTGTATTCGAATCATGGCCCTCGGAGCACGCTCGTCACACCTAGGATTGCGCGTCGCCAAGAACTCTCTGCAGACGGACACCTAGATATTGGTAGAATATTGGTAGAATTAATGAGTTTATGTGCCTAATGCAGGTAAGTTAGGTAGCTTATGTAGGTTAATGGACCAGATGACAGATAGGTTAATAATCGATTTCATCAAGTTTGATAGGTGGTGAAATTGTGTGTGTGAAGATGTAAAGTTGATGGAAATTGGAATATCCTCATGTCTAGCCTCAATACTGCTGCTTCTACATAATACATACTAGTATTAGTAGGTACATATGATAGCTAACAATGTATGAAAGAAGGGAACATTAAAGAAAAGGGCAGGAAAAGAAACCAAAAAGAAACCAAAAAGAAAAGAAAAGAAAAGAAAAAAAAAGATATTAGCCTCCAATTAATTGGCTAAAATGTAAGCAGCCCCCACTTAACGCCTCGAGATGGTTCGCATTAATTTGATCTCTTATCTGTGCGCTCGGAGCCACTGGCGGAAGCCTGCCGATTCTAACTTCCCTCAGCTCCAGCCAGCTCCTCCTCCCTTCCAACATTAATGCAGTGTAGTACAAGCACCCAAGGTACTTAGGTACGTATTTATGTACTTGGGTACCTACTATGTAGTACATCACTACTACAACATGAATCATTCAATGTTGATGTTGCGCAACCCCCTTCTGGGGCTGCGTGCGATAAGGCGATAAGGCGATAAGTCGTCATTCCAAAACCAAACTTCAGACGTCCCTTTTCGGCCTAGTCTCAACTTGCCTTACTCTCAGCTGGCCCCCAAAACTTCAACTTGATATTCCAGTTTTCTGCACCACATGCCGACTGCCACTTTCGTATATTGATCAAAGGTAGGTAGAGGATTAACTATAAAGATGTACTAGTAGTCACGAAACCCCTATCACCTTTAGGAAGAACGGTACGGATGTCATGTTAAAGTGATTACAGTGTATTTATTTCGGCCGATAGGAGATCATGGATTCGGACGCAACGGCGAGTAGGGGGTATTCGGTCGCGTCACATAGATTAGCCCCAGATGCTATACATTCCATCAAATATATCAATATTTTACATACATGAAATCACCTTGCCAGGCGGCTCTTTCCCCTCTTCCTCTCCAAGGAGGGAGCCCAGGATTTGGAAGCGCGTCCGAGAGCAGAGACTCTCAGCTCCCGTTTGTTATTATTGTATGCCTAAGGTATAATAAGGTCTACCATTTTTATCTCATTCAAATGTAGCAGCCTATTTCTCTATGCATTCTCTTACAGTATTTAATTCGAGCTCCATATCAATACTAGCATTAAACAGTACTTCACATATTGTTTATATCAATCCGTGAACTAGCCATATAGCTCACACCCGTTCATGTTACGCAGCCCTTATATCAAAGTAGGTAACCGTTAGCTATATCCGATGTTCACATGCCGCTTCCTTGCCATTCACCCAAGCTTCAATGTTCGAAAAGCTGACATGAACCTACTCTCAAGCTACAGGCTCATACCCCTTGCTACCCATCATGTCAGCTCTCTCCCCAGTAAACTTTCAAGTTTACTAGAGAGCACAGTAGCTGTCATTAGACACCATTCGTGCCTACTACCGTGCTGTATATGCCAGCCACCAGCTTCGACTATCATCTCTAGTCTCTGCGCCTCTGACATAGTCGCGGCCATGGAACGCCATCGCATTCAGTACCCACATTACTACCACTCTCCAACCCCAAGGCCCAGCAACCTCCGCGAGCGGCAACAGCAACAGCAACAGCAACAGCAACAGCAGAAACTCCTCGGTATCGGGGCACAGTTCGAGGCCACCAACACACCAACTTACGCCCAGAAACTAGAAATCCCAGAAAACTCTGCAAACAAACCCCCAACTCCCCCATCGCACCTTCTCAGCGAGGCGCTTGGACGGGGTCCAGCCACCCACACCCTCCGGATCACGCTTCTAGGTTCCGACACCGTCGCAAGTTTGACGCTCCAAACACCACGCACCAACAACTAAAACTTAGCTGGTATTGGGGATTTGACTCGCTGTATTGTACCTAGAGATGACACACTTGTGTGTGTGTGTGTTGTAGGTAGGAGGAACATACCTCGACACCGACTTAGTTCCCAGACGTTGGGGGGTGATGAAGAGGCAGCAGTGAAGTGAAACGCGTAGTTAGATGGCTGTTCTCATATGGTATCCGATATACCTACCTAATGGATAGGTACTTTCCATGACCCTTTTACATGTAGTCCTACTGAACTATGTGAAGACCCCTTTTACAAGGTGAAGGAAGGCTGCTCGTAGCTGCCCCTGTATAACTACTTCTTGACAGTTAACTATGTAACTACCTAGGTACGTAGGTATCTGCTTGCTGGCATAGAAGCTGCTTCGGCCGTGGAGCAGATAAGCCATTCCTAGACTTATCATAGTTCACCAACCTTCCTTGCCAGCTCGTCTAGATTCTGGGCCAAGGCTGGGATTCAGGTGCCTGGGCACATATGTATTATAGCCTTTTCAAATCACAACAAAATGATTATCAAATGCATCTAGCTCAAAGTATTAATTAGTTATGGGGTGCTATTCTGCTTTAATGCTCTCTATAGACTTGTCGTCCCAGTCCATGTCTAAAGACGTTTTGATGCTCTGAACTCCATGCCATCTAATCTTGGGTCTTATATACGTAGAACCATCGTTTTAGGACCGTGAATGCAAGTATTGTGTAGGTGAAAGATGTAGCCTCTGAGATTGGCTAGTATCTAATTGGAATCCTTGGAACGCCCATCGAGGCTGTAAATGTTCCTTCAACCCCGAGGAAGAGTCAAATCTACTCCGGTTGCGCCCATCTCGTTTCTCGTACCGACAACTCCTTTTTCGTAGAGTCATCGGAATCTTTCGTCGCTTCCCTCCAACCCCAGTACTCTCCCAGCCTGATTTCGGCGTATTCGGCATAATCGAAATCTATATGCGATATGGTAGCCTGGATGAGCGCCCATATACCCCAGTAGAACCCAGGCACACCACGGAACGTGTCAACTTCGGCTAGTAGCCTTTGCGTCTCGGTCTCCTTGTCTACACTGCCAGATTTCCCAGGTAATAAATTGAAGTACGTATCGACATATTCCCTGATGAATTCCAATCGCTGGGCACGGGTTGGTAGGACGGTGAAGTCACAATCGAAACCACCCCATTCGGCAAAATGATTTGCTAAATCGAACGCGGCAGGTGAAGGAGTAGCGTATTCGTAGTCAATGAAACTGACCGTCTTTTGGGGAGCAACCCCCTCGGTTACACCATTCGAAGAACTCTGGGGCTCAATGATAACATTTCCACTCAAAAGGTCACAATGCGCAAAAACAAGCTAAAAGTCATGTTGATCAGCTCGTGAGACTATCTTTGGGGTCTGGATGATGGAGGTACTTACGCCGTTATCCCCTAATCCAGGTCGCTGGCTTAGCTCTTCAACGAGTTTAGCGAGTTCCTGCTGGAGCGTCGCTTGTCTCGCTCGCTGGGCATCCGTTTTGGTAGGAAGGGCGAGTATCCATTTCTGCATGACAGTCCATACATTGGGAGAAGGCTTTCCTGGGACAGTATAGCCTGTGGTTGTTGCATCGTGACCGTTGGCATGTCCATTCACCCCGTTGCTCTGTGCAGGTGTCTCATAAATGCAAGGGATAGTGGCGTGCCACTGGGCTAGGCGCCTTGCGACGGCCAAATATATCGATGGCGTTCTTAAGTCTGCAGGTTGAGTGACGGTCCCCTGAATATAGCGATATATCATGCCATTGTCGAAGCGGGCCAATAGCTCAGGGGCTAATCCATATTTCATCAATAATTCGTGGTTTTGGGTCTCGCGGTGACGGTCTATTAGAATGTCGGTTCCATGTCCATACGCCCGTAGCAAAAGGGCTTCTTTATCAATATCCTCCTTGGACAGCCCATCTTTCCTATTGACAGCCTTTAGCAAGGTGTTCGTGATGCCGTCTTTGAAGGATGTAAATTCGATTTTGGAGTCGGCACTGGACCATTCGGGGCGTAAGGTAAGAATAAGTGCACGAGCTGAGGATTCAGAATTCGCGGTATCGTATGCTAGAGGGATATGTCGCAATTGGCCCAACTGGCCCTTGGCGTCTCCGTTGCAATGGTGTGGAGGCATGTTAGACAAGTAGGTATCCAGTATGTAGTTGCGTTCTTGGATGATTTTAGGAGCACGGGAACAAAGTCGTGAAAATCCTGCGACAAGATGGGGTCACTTTTTGTATACCTCTTCTTCTCAACGTCGCCTAGTGGATATAAGTAGGTATGTATGTAGGTAGATAGAATGAGTGTTCACCGCTCAGCGCATGGGTGTGCTGTCACAAACCAGTGGAGTTGCGTCGCAAGATCAATAAAACTATTCTAGCACAGATGGCCAGATACGTAAGTATTAGGTATGAAGGGAGTCTGTAAATATATCAAAGAGAGAGAGAGACAGATGGGATCTAAAGATTAAAGATCCAAACAAGATGAGAGAATATGACGTTTTTTTTAATCGATCATTGCCTAGTACGTAGAAATGGAAGTGTGAGTGCGTGTGAGTGTACTGATGATGATTGAAGGACGAAACGTCATTGCCTTGCAACGAAGGACAGAAAACGGTAGTGTAACAAGAATGTGTGAGGGAAGTGATCGACGGCTGGTCGGCTATCAAGCCGCCTGTGATCAGGGACCAACAAAATTGATTAGATTAAGACCAAATCTGCAGGGGTTTAACAGGGGATGGCAGGGGTAGCTGCAGCCTTTATGATCTTGGGAACTCAGATAACTATGTAACTACATACATATGTACACACATATGTAGGTACGGAGTAGGTACAGTACATACTATGTGCGCACGCTACCAAGAAGAGTGATAATTAGGTTCAAAATGATGGCATATCTATAGATATTAGATATGTGTTACATAAACAATTCAATTCAATATAAGCTTTTTAGCAAAAATGAATATCGAGTAATCCTAGTACATTAGTCACGAGATCAACTACCCCTCTTGCTATGTACTTTTATGAATTGATTCACGACTAACTACAGTAGGTTCGGTGATACTATCCAAGGTACCTAAACTCGGAAACTTTCAATGATATCTTCAATAACTATTCAAACCAAAAAGTAATCAAGTCAAAACTCAGGGGGAAATAGTTTATTCAAAACCACACGTGCATACAAAACGCCCATTCAACCTTATCGAGTACATATGTACCCATTAAGCAACCTGAACATTACCCCTTTTACAAACCTCTTTAACCATAGCCAGCTCATGATGCATAATACACATTATCATCGCCCGTTGATTACATAACATACACTATAACTTGAAGGTAGATAGTGAATCATCCCTTTAATCGTCTTCGTCGTCGTCATTCTTAGGTTTAAGTCCAATACAAGTCTTGATATATCGAACCAATGCGTTGCCCCAGTCGCCTATTGCCGCAGCCCAATCGTCCATCACATCACTGAAGAACATGAGTAGCCTGCTGAAGAAGAACAGGCTCACAAAGGACACGCTTGCTATCACCGCAAACGCATACCAATATGTGCTACCTGTCCAGTATCTATACAGGTCCTCGATCTGTATGGAAAAGTAACTCGTCATGAAGCTGATCGGTAGGAAGAAGACGCTAAGCTTAGCTAACAGTGTCGCACTTCTGGTGAGCCTTGCTGTTGCATTTGAGTCCTTTTGCTGTGTCAGGTTGAAGTACTACTCAGAAATTAGCCTCGTCACCCATACGAAGTAACAACCACCTTCCACCTCTCCTTACTACTTACCGTCGTGGACAATGCTGCTATCTCCTCCAGATACCCTTCGATCGTGTTCAGCATAAGGTACTGGAGCCGATCCCCGAGTCTCTCGAAACGACTCAACGCCGAGTTCGTTAAGAATACTTTGCGTTCCGGGTCCGGGTGATTCCCTACTAGTGAATCTGGTTTACCGACCACCATGATTTTATTTATGAGGTTTTTATAATTCTCGAATAAATGCTTGAACTCTCGAAGGTCCTTGCTTAGATAATGGAGCGTCGGTATAATCTCATAGCTCTTGGAAACTTTACTTCGACGCTGCGGCAGTCAGTGGTTGTGCTACCGAACTCTTAAGAGATTTAACTTACTGTACTCTCTAGGATCGTGTGAGTCTGCGTGTAGAATGTTAGCGATGCTTTTGCAATATCATCCACAACTCAGCTTACCATCTCTTCTAGCTCTTCTTCAGCAGCCTTTAGAGGGCCGGCCGCAACATAGTCTTCAAACAAATAGTAGAAAAGGTTGCTTGTTCCTTCATCGGCCAAGCTGCCCACTTCACTGTTGTGGAAGACGGACATAATAGATGCCTGTCGATCCAAGTCTGGCCGATTTGTAGGTAGTTTGCCTAGAGGTGCCCGGACCGAGCTTTGGGCAAGCGGATTTTCTCTATAACGGTCAAACCCTTGAGCCGATAGCTGCAGGAGGACATCTAATGTATGAGCTCTGAGGTGCCTGAATTCCTCAATGCGCCACCTTTTCTTGTCTTCCTTCTCCGGCACTGGTTCGAATGACTGCCTCTCATGGATTGACAAGACGGTATCTAAGCTCAAGATTAATAACCGGAACTATCATAGTAGCGATGGCGTGATACATACGGTTGTTACATAGCGCGAGCCATTGCCAATGCTTAGGCGGCATGATACTGATCCGGGGATGCTCGCGCTCTGGTATTGGCCGTCTATGAAGCCAGTTTGATCCGATGCAGAAGGCTGTTTATGCAGATGATGTTAGTATTTCTGGGACTATTAGGAGCACCCGGAGATGAGATGATTGCCACGGGAAGGACATGCCTTTCTGTGTTTGGTCCGTGGAGAAATAATTGACTGTATCTTTCACTTGTAGATACAGAGCTATATTATCATTGACCTCAGCTGAGGCGACAGGCTTCATCGCAGAGTTGCCGTTCATGACCTCGCCCCTCTCCGGGTCATTCCGAGCCGGGTGGTGGTGCAGCAGGTCTCTCATCCTATGTCTACGTCGTCGTACATCTTCTTGATGGGTTTTAGCGGTCATCATCAATCCGAGCAACCTAGGCGAGAATCCATATTTCTCGCTAATGGCGACCATCTCCTCTCTTTGCACACTGGGATCCCATACATTGCTGTGGTGTAATTAGTTAGGGATATATATACTGGTTTTGGGTATCTTGCTAGAAGATTGAAACGCACATCCATCGGATCGGATACTCTTTTTGATCATCGGGATTTTGGTTGAGTAATTCCTTCATATGTTGAGGACCAAGATCAAATGCAATACGGGCCTTCTTGTATCCGAACTCAACGACGAAATTCTTGCTGTCCTCATTTATCACGTGAGACTCGGCTTTCTTAAAGGCCTCTTCCTGATCAAAGTCTTCAAAGTTGATCGCCGCAAGGCTCTTCTCGTCGAGGTCGTCGTGAGAAGCCATGATGTTGATTGGTCAGGGTATTAGAATGAGGAGGGGCAGCTATCCTTTAAGAAGATGAAGAGGACATATAATATCGGGTAGCATATTGGCACAGAAGAGAGAGAGAAGGCGAAATAAATATATTTACGATAACATTGAATCTATCACAAGGCTGTCCTACGTATACATAGTACATAGTAGTTATCTACACCTTCAGCGCTCAGCGGCTGACCAATGGCTCACAACAAGCAGGGATATATGCAGGTGACATGATGTCGTGATTGGTGGAGTTCCCATGTATGTTACATGCATATCTGCGATATCTAATACGGGTTAACATGCGCAAGGTTGATTTATTGATTATTATGGCTATGTACATAGCCACTTTGGCTCAATTTTGATACTTTGAGAAGGCAAGAACTTGAAATATGAAAATATAACTAACTAATCGGAATATTATCATCAAATAAACATCAAATAAACATCATATAAACATCAAATATTTCCACATTTATCGCATCCATAAATATACAAATAGAACAACGCCAGTCTGACTGCGGGACTATCCGCCAAATACCTACTGCATAGCCGCCTACCTACATAGTACATACAGACAATATCGCACCAACATGTCCAATATTGTTCAATGGACGGTCGAGCTCTGACTCTGCAGATGTTGAAAGCTGTTGCTTTTACCTTGACCACTACAATTCTCTCCAGTTGGCTGCCTTGAAACACGAATCCGACGTTACGTAGGTTTACCAACACATGTTTTATTTTATTTCGTTATAATTTAGCTACTCTATAATACTGCTGATACTTAGACCCGGCGAGCAATCCGTCCGAGGCCAGTACCGAAATGAGGGACGGTGGCGATCAACACCATGGTCACCATGAGGCCTCACCACTCTCATTTCATATTACTGGTGTTTAACTACACTAACTATGTCTTGAGGCTCGAGGCCAAGGCGTCCTCAAAACATTATTTTACCTAAGTGCAACTGTAGTCGAGCCTGCAGTAGAAGAGGTCGTCAAACCCATCGAACCGCGCCGCCATGAGATTCTGTCATGAGATTCGATAAAAGCTGCGGCTTCGCAGACGTCATTTAACCTATAAAAAAAGCTTGAATGTCGATGAAATATGTATGCATTAACATCAACGTCCCTGCAAGTGGGTTCTTCCATTATGCCCCCTTTTATTCCTTTACTATGGCAGTATTCCTTCATTGCCGTCTACTACTAACTATGTAGTAGTATAACAGACTATTAACAGTGACATAAATGACATAAATAAAATAAAATGAAGATTACCCCAGAAATATCCTCTAAACGATCCACTAAAGGGCCCAGCTGAACCGTTCATCAGCACCAACTGAGGGTAGTCAAGGCAATTCAGGCTCGGCGGCGTAATCAAACCCAAGACCCTAAAGAGGCAGCACCTGGCATCTGAAGAGCTAGGATTGGTCCGTAGCAACACCGAGTAATTAAAAGATCGTCCTTCAGGAACGCACCAAAACGCACCAAAACGCGACTGGAGTCTCTCACAGGCTCTCCACAGGCTCACACAGGCTCACAGGCAGGTCCATGATCCTAGCCCTTAACTATTACCATACTGAAATGCTGCTGGGTTACTGGGTTACTTTGTTTCACAAAAACCTCAAGCCGTGAAGAACGATGATCCCGGCAAATTTCTTCCGTCACTCCTATCCATCACCGGCTTCGCCTATACAGTACAAACATACTCACATGCAAACAATGATAAACGTAAAAGGCCCCAGTCCAGGAAGTCTTTGGAAGATGTTTGTCTTGTCCAGCTTCTGCCCTCTTTTCCGTTCCCTGCATTTTTATCCCAATACATCGATAACTTGAAGGTATTCAATCTCCCTTCTTGACCGTTCTTTTCAAAAAACCCATCATTCATTCATTTTGCAACAGATATAAAAGATTACCTGTGGTATCTTTAAAATCTCATCACATTCATTCGTTCTATATAAAGGGGTAAAAGACAATACCTACACACACATACACAATATACCATAACTTAGGTAACCTACACATCCATCCGATATTCAAGATGTTGTCCAAGCAGCAAATCCTATACGCCGCTCTAGTCGGTGGCTCTCTTGTGCATGCACAGGCTGCATACCCAACCTGCATAACGAGCTGCATTAGACAGTCCGGGTGCGCACCCACAGATGTGGACTGCATGTGCGAGAAGGCCAGCGACAAGTTCCTCTCGGACGTGACCATCTGCATGAACCAGTGGTGCCCGGCGCAGACCAAGCTTGCAGATCTCCTCGGTCCCATCCAGGCCAAGTGCGATGTTCCCCAGGCCGCCATCGCGGACGCCGAGGCCAAGTCAGGCTTCGACTCCAGCAGCTCTGACTCCAGCTCGTCTGCGTCAGACAAGGCCAGCGCCACTGGAGGAGACGCCACCCCCTCGACCGTCATGAGCGTCGGCTCCCCCGTCCAGCAGACCAAGTCTGCCGACTCCTCCGCCACTGGCACCGCCGCCGCCAGCAGCGCTGTCCTAGCCGATACCACCGCGGTCCTGTCCCAATCCGCCACCGCCACAGGCTCGCTGCTCATCGCGTCCGCCACGGCCAGCTCTGGCTTCGCTAGCTCCACCGCCTCCTCGTCATCGTCATCCTCGAGCTCCTCTTCCTCGAGCTCAAGTGCCGCCAGCAGCAGCGAGACCCCCGAGGGCGCCGCCGCTTCCGAGAAGGCCTCACTGTTCGGCGCCATCCTAGCCGTTGCCGCCGCCGTTACCTTCGGCTGGTAAACAACAAGCAGCCCGACACCGTACGACGCTAGTTAGCTAAGCCAGCTGCGTCAAAGGATTTATGCTTCTTCTATTTATTTATATATATTGGATATATGTACATCGAGCGCTTGCGTGCGTAGTTTGTTGTTGGCTATTTTATTTCCCCGTTATGCATATATAAATGTATATACATAATACCCCCACCCACCCCTTTATCAGCTACGTTTTTTGGTTTCCCTTCTACTTCTGGATATTAGACGGGTGGTGGAAACGAAACGACGTAGACGTTTTTTTTAAGAAGAAAGTGTTGGAGGACATGCCATGGCATGTATAAAAGGAAGAGAGGAGGAGAGGAGAAGGGATCGATCGAGCTTACGAAAATCTGACGCTTTTGCGCATGCGCATTAAAACCAAACATATACATAACTACCCCCTGAAACTCTTAGGAGTAGACGAGATGAAAGAAGCTATGCGAATCGCGGATATAATTTAGAAATATATATATATATATAAATATTTACGTAGGTAACTACCTAGTAGGTATAAATATATATGCTCAGAAGCTTGACTTCGAAAAGGCTGGTCCAAATTATCTAACCTACTTATCTACCGTCCCTATGCTTGATGATAAACTTCCTGTTACTCCCTAATAATTGCTTAGGTAGGTACCTAGTAGAACCTACGGGGGTGTGAAAATCCTACGCATGAAATGAAAGAATAAACCAACCAATTCTTCCTTCCAATAAAGAGTTGGCGTCGACCTTGAAGTAGATATCATCACATCTCTCATTAGCACTGAGGTGGACACCTTGGTAGGTACGTGAAAGTAAATAGTAATATGTAACATATGCTATGTGATACCCAGGAAACTTAAAATTCAGGGGTCAAAGATGCAAACATCTCGCTTTCACGATATCCCTTGGCAATGAACTCAAGGCGAACACTTATTGGATTTTGAAAGGTTCAAACATGGATGGATGGTTAATTAGCATGATTTCGTTACATGTAGCAAGAGCTATATAGGTTATAGTCAGAAGCTAATCTACTACATCCATCGAACACCATAGCAACAAGCCATCAACTCCATAGATTCTCGTTGGATATTCATTGGACATCCCTTGATTCTTCCGATCCGAAACTCGTCAGGAAATGCTTGGGCTAAGACTTGAAGTTGACTCATCGGGTGCCAGTGTTTGATCAAGAATCTCTCGATACCAACCAGCATCTTGCTGTCGCCTCTGTCCGCTAGTAGGTGACGGCGCCGTGATGTCCTGTTCAAGAAAGGTTCGTGCCGCAGCCTCAGCCTCCTCAAGTTTATTCGTCTCGTCCTCCGAAAGATTGGAACATACTACTTCAAGGTCCTCGTTTCGGGCTATCATGAGCATCAACGATTCCGCCCTCTCCACGATCGCCTGATCGATACCATTCATCGCCGCGCACCGACTACCAAAACTCGAGACACTTCTACCCGGGGCCAATTGGAAAAGATAAGTAACTTGATCTTCCATGGTAGGGGCGTCGAAGTCCAATCGGACATCCATATGCCCAAAAGCCAGCTCCGGGGTTTCTACTAGAAAATCGCCCTCGAATATCTCGTGAAAGTGCGTAGCGGCTAAAACCTTGGGCCTCTCAGGGCCAAGGGAAGTGAAATGGTCTAATACTGCTGTGACTAGCCCTGCACCATCTAAACTGTTTGTGCCCTTACCAAACTCGTCTATGAGCACAAGGCTCTTACGAGTTGCAAAGTTCATCGCAAAGGCAACTTGACGAAGGTCGATAGAGAATGCACTCTCGTTCTTTGCCACGCTCTCGCGTGTAGCGATACGTGTAAGTATACGGTCAGTTATCCCGATATAAGCTTTCTCGGCTGGCACGAAGCAGCCAATGTGTGCCAGATACACAATGAGCGCAACCTGCTTGAGATATACACTCTTGCCAGAGTGGTTTGGACCCGTTAGTATAAAAGTACTCGGGTGCTCAATCGAGTTTCGCTCAGTCTCCGTCCCAATCTCATTTTCCGTCTCCTCATCTTCGTCACCAGGTCCGCTAGCAATGTAGCAGTCATTCGCAATGAACGATGGTACTACTAATTCCTGCAAAGGATGGCGACCACCTACGATATGTATAATATTCTGCGTCGTCATTTTCGGCACAACCCAGTTGTACTGCCCACAGCCGATGGCTAGTGCAAATATGCTATCGAGCTCGCCAAGGACATCCGACGCTGCAATGATGGCCTCCTGTTGTGCTGATATCTTAACCGCAAGTTCATGGATCAGTTCGATTTCCCGGTCTACGAGGAATTAGTTGATAGTCAAGAGGTAGTATATGTGCTCATGAAAAGGGGTGCTTACCAATAATCATGCAGTACGCATCTCCGAAATGCTCATCCATATCCTTCATCTGTCGATTCTTATAATAGACACAGCCCTCGGCTGTAAACATTCGTTCCCATACATCATTCAACCCTTCACCGTCGTAATTCCCTTTACCCGTCTCGGAGTTGAGTGAAACTACAGTCAAGAAACCGAGCTGCGGGAAGAAAATGCAATTTTGAACATACTTTCGGGCCCATTCTGGTAGTTCGCCTCTCAACTTCGCTATGACGTTCGTTAGGAAATTCTCCATGCCATCATAACTTCGTTTTAATTCATCTAGATTAGCGTCCACGCCCTGTTTCACAGCTGTCCTTCCACGTTCGATAGATTGCTCAAAATCAATGGTTTGACTGATGAGCTCGCCTACTTGACAGAGAGGAAGTGGCTGTATAATATCGATAACCTAACTATTCATGAGAAATATACATACATTATATGTTGAATAGTCTCACCTTTCTGATAATTGCAACCTTTTCTGCCCCTGGCAGGGTTCGGAGGGAATCCCTGAGTCGTAAGCTGTATGCGGCGAACATCTGTAAAGAAGCCCAAACGTTGTTAGAAATAGTAATCTTGCGACCGGGAACATCGACCCCCCTCTCTACATTGGCCATGGCTGTCTTCATGTTTTTGATCTTCTTGAGTTCGTTGCTCAGCTGTACGAGGATTTCCGCATTACCAGGTCGCAATAGGAACTGTATCGTCTTCTGGCGGGTGTGGATCAAGTCGATATCAGTGCTTGGCCGTAAGAATATTTGGCGGAGTTTCAGTTTTCCTTGGGGGGTGCGAGCTAGATGTTGGAAAAGCCCATATATGGATAGGTTCTCTTTGGCCCCAGAGGAAGAACTATTAGGACCCCTTTGATGACTATTGGGGTGGTATTCTGATTGTAGGATTTGGAGAGAGATTAGAGTATCAGCGTTTACAAACATAGAGTCGAATAATGCGAACATCTCAACGGATCTAATCCTGAAAGCTACTAGGGCATCGGGGTCGCCAGGCAGGTAATGAACGGTTCTCCTCCGTTGAAGATCGCCAAGCACCGCGCCAGCGCAACCTATCTGCCGTTTGTTAGAATCATAATTAAGGGGGGAGATGCTAGACAGTGTAATATTACCGTAAGTCGACTATCGAGGTTGATAGAAGTTCCAAGGCGCATTAGACGGCCTTGCCTTGAATTTTCTTGGCCACCAAGGCCATCGGTCTCATCCACATAATCGTCAACTACGGACGTGTAGAGTATGCTCTGGTGACCTGGTGTTTCAAGGTTCAGTCCTAGCAACTTTTCCTTGCCGGGATCGTAGCGAAAGTCGGTAGAATTGAGATTTCTCAAGATGTAGGCACTCTGTAGGTCACCTAGCAAGTTGATAAGTACCTCTCGACATACTCTCACTTCGAGGGATTCAAGTCTTACCCTGGTTCCCATCGACCCCTTGTGCCCCCTTAGCAAGATAATTCGCTAGCTTTTCAGAGGACCTCGCAGAAATAAGCACGGTAGTGGGATTCACATGGACAAGAAGTGTTTCTACCAGGTCAATACCTCCCATAGCAACATCCTCTAGAAGAAACAGGGCTTCTTCACATGCAATATAGTAGCTACAACCAAGATCGCCATTGTCTTTCATGTCGATTGCCATGATGGTTTCCCTCATTGCATCTGCTTCTTCATCAGACAGTGTATCGCCAGAGCATGAAGCGCCATTAACTTCAGGTTGACGGTTTGTAGGGTTTGACGAGCCTCGACTAGATGGTGGACGTAGGGACAACCGTTGTCTTTGAGGATGAGGGGGGAGTTGAGGAGAAGATGGATAGGATTGCTTTGTGCCTCTTAAGCTTGTAAGACTTGAATTTCTTGAAGAAGCTCTGTTTGATGAGTTGGGAAGTCTCGGGGGTGCAAGCCCTCGGTTAGGGGTAGAGAAGACACGGCCATCAGGACCAGATCGAACAAACACCGAGCTAGACTGGCTGAAGAGTTGTGTACGAGCTGACTGCTCGGATGAGGCCCTGGATGGGGTTTGAAATCTTTGGCTAGATGCCATGATGCCGCCTTTGCTACCGTCAAAACCTAACACAATACTACATACATAGCAGTATAGAGGAAAAGGACGAATCAGGTGATTGATTGAAAGATATCAGGATCACTCGATATATACAAACTACTATGTATGAGATGAGTCAGATGATACTGAAGTGTATTTGAGTTTCAAATGTTTGGGCTCGGCTGGTACTTAATACTTCAAATGTAGTATACCTCGTGTGCTGGCCTTGGAAAGAGCTGCCACTTGAGCTTGGTAGGGCTATAGAGGATATCGCCTTCCTCCGAACGAAGTAATTCGCGATTGCTACTTCCGACCATAACGCAATACATGTAGCAAAAACACCTTCACTTATACTTTCACTTATATGTACTGTATAAGCTCTTGACTTTTCCTCCCGACTGTTCCGTCGCCCTCGATATTAAATGTCTGGACGTGAAGCTCATTCAGTCTTCACCCATTCATCAATTTCTCTCCGCTGTTTCCGAATATCGATGAACCCTGGCCGGCTTTCTAGTAGTTGAAAGGGGTTTCCAACATAGTCCTTTTCCACCTCTCCGCTGCTATCCAGGAAGCCTGCCTCACCCTCTCTCTCGATCTTTCCTGCCCATACGCGCCATTGGATTGGGCGCAACTTCGAAGTACCCAGCACTATGCCCAGACAAATGATAAAGGTGGCGACAACCGTCTCGATAGTAATATCAATTGGTAGGGTGTTGGCTGGGCCACTATGCGATGCCGTTAAGGAAACGAGTGATGCAGCTCGGTGTGTCTGGAGAACGGAATGCTCGTAGGCAGAGTAGCAACTAGAGAATGTAAGTTATTGTGAGTAACATTTCGTATATGTATGGTTTCCATTGGAATTCTTACGCATCTGCTAACAGTAGCAGCCCAAAGGCCGTGGTTAATTTGGAGAACCAGGTCATCTTAATAGGTGTTTGGTTGTTGCAGGGCGATAAAGACACGACTAATTAATTATTCATATTTGCAACGTCAGAAGTTGTTGCGTAATGTAATACATTAACTAGTTAAAGGTTAGCTATGTAAAAAACATGCATAAAGTGAGGTAGGAATAATGTATGCACATAGAAGTGGGTCTTATTCGGAATCAAGCTATTATGTATTAAAGCAGTATATAAAGTTGTCGTCGGTTATACTTACCTATCGGTCCGTTATGCGAGGCATTTAGGCCATTCAACTACGGACTGAAGCACACATGGGCACACTGGACAATGTAGTTAGACCTCCAAGGTTTATAAAAAGTGCAAGAGCAGCTGAAAACCCCGCAATGTAAAGGGAAGCAGCACCCCGCAAAGATCGAAGCTGGGCTGCAGTACTTTCAATGTTCGTCATTTAACAGGATCCAACCGTCTTTTCCTTATTTCTCTACTACTATTGCTATTACTAGTCATTACCTACATAGTTGTAGTAAGTCAACCCGGACAAGCAGCAAGCCAACAAATTAATCAAGTCAAGCCAATTCGCAAATCATTGCATCATTCAGCCAACATGCCTCGTGTAAGTTTATTGAACTAATTATTATTATATACACCATGTGATTTTTTCATATTTCTACTTATTTCTCTAAACTTACCAAAAAAAAATGGCATTTATAGGTCAAGTACATCCTGCTCGACTGCGACAACACCCTCTGTCTGTCAGAGCGTCTGGCTTTTGAGGCTTGCACTGACCTAACCAACGAAGTTCTGGAGAAGTGGGGCAAGTCTGAACGCTACACTGTTGAGCAGCTCCTCGAGGACTTCGTGGGCCACAATTTCCGTGGTATGCTCATTGGTCTGCAGAAGAAGCATGGATTTACTATGACTCCGGAGGAGGTGGATGCATACGTTGACCGTGAACTTGGCGCCGTTACTGCGAAGCTGAGCGAAAAGTGCCAGCCCTGCCCCGGCGCACCTGAGCAGCTTGAGGCGCTCAAGCAAGCAGGGTACCCCATGTCTGTCGTCAGCACCTCAGCCAAACCCCGCGTCGTTGCCAGCTTGAAGAAAGTCGGCATTGACCACTATTTCCCCGACGAGCATGTTTACAGCGCTGCCACTAGTCTGAGCCCTCCTTCTAGCAAGCCTGACCCGGCTATCTACAACTACGCTTGCAAGCAGTTGGGTGTCAAGAATGAGGAGTGTGTCACTGTCGAAGATAGCAAGAGTGGTGCTACTGCCGCTATGCGTGCGGGTATCCCTCTGATTGGATACGTTGGTGTCTACGGCATCGAAGAGGGTAAGGAGAAGATGGAAGAAATGGCCAAGATCCTGACCGAACAGTGCAACGCCAACGTTATCATGTACGACTGGAAGGAGTTCCCCGAGTGTTTGAAGAAGATTGAGGCCTTGTGATTTGCTCATTGGGACATTCCTGAATGTCTGGAGAGCTTTTACCATCGCATCCAATCATCGTGGACGAAGTGCGGAGGATAGAACTGAGGCCCGGTAAATCTGTGCATCGGCGGTGTTTTCTTTTGCAACTGTTTTAGCCTTGAGGGAATGCGTTCGAGTAATCAATGCTAGCAACCGACATCTCGACGTCGACTGCTAATCGGACTACAATCTGAAACCCTAGGAATACCTACTGACTTCTTGTTAAATACCGTACAATAATAGATAACTTGCTTTTCACTCACATTTAATTATGACGTGACTCAACCTATCGCAAGCTGCGTAAAATAAGCATACAAGCCAATGCGAAGAGCTATATACATAGCAGCTGTGAGTCTGTGACGTCGACAGATATAGATCAGATCACTATAACTAGGTAGATATTATAGGCACTACTGTATAATATGTATAAGTGCTTGAATCCCTGTTGAGGCTGTGTTTAAATGCCAGGATTTTCGCGAGTTTTCAGTTTTTTTTCTCGTATTCAGAACTTCTGATACATACCACTGAACTTACAACTCCGTAGTCTTAATCTATTAGGTTAGGTTAGGTTACCTCGGTGTTATGTATGTACATATATATATGTAGGCAGTAGGTACTAGATGTACATACAATACATTATGTATGTGAGACAGTGAGACTTGAGTAGCAGTGCTGCAGTGCCGCCGGGTAGGTACCTACCCAGCGCGCTAATGAAACCTTCTAGAGAGCACTAAGACCTCAGCTCCCGAAATAGTCTCTTCCCGACAGCTAACGGGATTCTAATTAAGAAACTCTAGTTAGTTTCGAATATTACCTAATTCAAGGAAAATGGACAATGGAAAAGGGGAAATGGAAAAAGGGGGAAAAAGCAAAAGTTATTAGCAGACAAAGCTACTGTATCAATACTAAAATTCAAAGAACTTCGAAGCCAAACTGCGAAACGAAAATCGATAATAGACACGGCGAGAATGTGATCAGAATTCCTGCAAGAGACCAAAGACAAACAAACAAACATCCAATAACTATCTATTACCTAAAATTATCCGAGTTTGATACCTACCTAGGTATGCCTTCCTCAAGAAGTCTTGGCTATATGTACATACCATACCACGTACAGCTTAGGTAGGAAGGCAGGTAAGAGATCTCTTACACTACACTACATGTGCGTATATCAACACAAGATGTAGGTTACGTAGGTAACTGTTTTGCATCATATTCGTTAGACGACAGCATCAGCCAATGGGTTCCCACTTGACCACCAGCGACTTCGCCCAAAAAAAATTTTTGGTTGAACTCCAACTAAGTGTTTGCCACATGGCCGTCGGACACGATGCAAGTGGGATTCGAACAACGTCAGCCTGGAACACCTCGGGTAGATCGCACCTCGTATTTTTTCCTCCTATGTATGCAGTAATATGTCTGTCTGTCTGTCTGTCTGTCTGTCTGTCTTAAGAGAGTGGTGAACAACACAACCCCAATCCCCTAACCTAGCGTACTCCCGAGCCTGAAATTGTTGCATTGCATTTGGTATTGTACGCGCACCGGGATATATTTGGACTCCAAGTTGCCTCTTCTCCATCTCAGGCAGTAAGTAAGTGCACATGTGGGCAAACCCGGAGTTCGCTTTGTGTAAACTACCTACAGCCTACAAGAACATTCGATTTCTTTTTATCCCTTTCATGTGTTTGCCTTCTGTAGAGGACAGCTCGGTCACGCAGTCCAATGGCTATCGACTTAGTTACTACTTCGGTCTTTTACACAAGAAAAAGTTACGTATGCTCGTGGATGTCTTTGAATGCAAAACAACCCCATAGCTGAAAGTCTTATGGATAACTATGGCTTAGATGGGCACCATGTGACGTGAAAAGATCTACTAGGCTTTACCAAGTAGGAATTAGTTAGTTAGGTCGGAGAGGAACATTGAAAGCTTTCAATAAAACAGCAGAGTGTGTAATAATTATTATTATCATCACACAGCCGTTATGAATCTGAGATGGGTGTGTTACCTGATTTCTTTTATTTCTCTTTTTTTCTTTCCTTTTCCTGGTCCCCACCCAACCAACGCATGGTCAGATCTGCCCCTGATTATGCCACAAACAGTTGGATAGTAGAACGACTCCCCCGGTCGAGAATGTATACAACATTTCCTGTACAGTATGAATAGGGGGCACAATGACATACCTGTATTGACAAGTTCATTTAGCTCTTTTCCCTCTCTCCCCAAAGCAACTATCTGCCATCATACCTAGTATCTATTGAATATTACATAGTATTAGAGATCTATTCCAAAAATTAGATATTTGGTCGTACCATTAGATTTATGATAGTCGTCTAAAATCTGCTGTGACGAATCTTTTATTGATGCCGCATGAATGGCATAAACGGCAGCTCGCAATTTTAATTCCCAGTCTGGGGGCCCTTTGGCTGACAACGTCCCATCTGCAACTTGGCCTGCCTGCCTGCCTGCCTGGCCTGCCCCCCCCTTGCTCCGGTTGGCAAACCCGGCCGACCAACGAAAAGGCGAGAACCGGGGATTGGCCCCCCTGGAAGAGATCATGCATAGCAACGCGATGTCGACACGAAAAAAAAAATCGAATTAGAATAAAAAAAAATCACACACAGCTTTGGTGCTGACGAGGCTTGGAGGGCGTCTTAGCGCTTCTCGTTCTGGATCGACCCCCTGGTCCAATCGAGGCGACGATCCCAAGCTGCAAACAGGCTTCCCCAGGGGCGCTAGCGAGAGACCCGTCTCGCATTCATTTCCTATTAAATAGAGGCTCATCCAAGCTCTTATTTATTTTGGTTCAGAGCTTTTTGTATCTTGCCCCGTTCGCTTTTTCGTGCCTTTAAAGACCTCGTCACTCGCTCGTTCTAAAAAGGTCATCTTTTAACTTGGCTTTGTTCGGTCTTTCTTGTCTAGTACACTCGTTCTATTCTTCGCAATAGCCAGCTAATACCTAATTGTCTCTCTCGCGAGTTGTATATACTACAATCCCACATATCCTCAAGATGCGTTTCTCCGTCATTGTCGCCGGCTTCTTCGCCGCTGCTGCGAGCGCCCAGTCCACCGAGACTGCTACCGCCTCCGTTTCCGAACAGACCAGCACCGTAGCTGCCTCCACTGCTACTGAGACCGACTCCAGTGCCACCTCTACTAGCAACGTCGACCCTGCGGAGAGCTCTGCACAGTCCGCTACCATCCAGTGCCTTGACAACTGTGAGCAATCATCTCGTGCATAGATTGTGTCATGCCTGATCGATAACTAACTTGCATTGCGCGTAGGTGATCCTGCGGATGTCAGCTGCCAGGCCGCCTGTATCTCGGTCCCCAACCCTGGCACCCAGGGCGTGAACCAGACCACCGACTGCGTCGCCGCCTGCCCTCAAGGCAACGGCACCGCTTCTGACAACCAAGCTTACAGTGACTGCGTGACCCAATGCATCAGCCAGTACTTCTGGTCCAGCAGCGCTCCCAACCAGGCCACTAGCACTGGCAGTGTCACCGGTGGCTCTACCCGCTCTGCCACCCCCACCGTTACTCAGGTTGCGTCTACCATTACCAGCGATGGATCCACTATCGTCACCTCCGTCTCAACCACCTTGGCCCCCTCTGAATCTGGATCTGGATCTGACTCCGCACCTACCACATCCACCCAGGGTGGTGCCGGTGTTGCTCTCTCCCCTGTCGGAACTGGCCTTGGCCTTTTCTCCTTCTTGGCTGCCTTCCTTGCTCTATAAGGTTAGCAATTGCTAAGGTGCGATAAAGTATGGATGCTATGGGTTACGGGATATGCCGGGTAGTAATATCATATAATGGATGGGGCGCGAAAAGAAAATAATATCAGTGGCGGAGCGTTGGTAATACCTAGGACATCACTGTTAATTGGATACGTAATAACGTTGCATAGAACGCGAATATGAGCTTTCTATCCATATACCTCCCGCTTCTTCGCTTGCCATGTGTGACTCTTAGGTTCTCTTTATAAAAAAAAGTGTTGGCTCTTTATCAAGACATCAAATTATCTAGAATAATTCAACGTTTGGACGTGGGCACTACTACGGGAACATCACTCAACCACGGCAGACCAAGTTGTTTCATCTCCACTGCCAGCTGAAAAAGATAATCAAGACTATTGCATCGCAGATCAGCACAGCTCAAGCTTCTCCTCTTTTTTGCTAATAAAAATGGAGATAGAACTTACCTTTCACACATGGTCTTAGCCTTGTGTACGTTATCACCCCACACGTAAACACCGTGCCTGCGAACAAGGACCGCATAGGTGTCTGGGTATTGGTTCATGGCATCTTCCAGAAACTCAGTCAGGTCCTCTTCGTGCGCCGTGTTCTCGATCACGGGGATCCGGAGAGTGTCGTGGTAGCCTAGATTACCCTGTTTCTCAAAACCCTTGCCAAAGCCCTTGATCTGCTCGATATTGTTGATCTCAAAGAGCTTATCCTTACCAGGACCCTGCGCTTCCAGAAGCAAGGTTACCAGCACGGCCCAATGTGAGTGCGTGTGGATGCAACAACCGGCACCCCGCTTGGTGAAAGCAGCCAGGAACAGCGGTGTGCACTGTGACGGCCGACCACAAGGCGGGGAGCGTAGGTAGATGCGATTCTTGAGATCCGTTTGCTTGGATAGGGCAAGCACGTAGATATCAGTGTGCTTCATGAGCTCCTTCTGGACACCTGACGGCGCAATGTATACTAGATCACTATAATGCGCACATGTGAGAGAGTGATCTTGAGGTTATTTGCATGATTAGAAGAATTAGAGAAGGCATTGGTATCAATCAAATACAATGAATCAGATTACAATAATAAAGCCTCACTCGTTGCGAATAGAACATCCTCCTCCGGTGCCTGTAACCCAACCCAATGTCCAAAACTTGGCGCATAGAGAAGGGATGAGGTTGGCCGGATGGTTAGGATCTTCTGATGTTATGTAATGGTCGTCCCCCATTTTTTTTCCTTTAATTTTTATTTTCCCTTCTCAGTTCCTTTTCTCTAATAAGGCTTTGATTTTATTTCCGGATCACCGAATGGGTTGCTTGGTTGCTTGGTTGCTTGGCAGCTTGGGTAGGTGGTGGCTATGCTATAGGTTGATAGGTTAAGAAAAGGCCAGGCTGGCCTCTTGGGTTGATAAAATTGATAGAATTGGAAAGATAGAGTAGTAGTAATAAGTATGTAGGCAAGAAGAATAATAAATATTCTATTCAAGAAGGAAGCTGATTTATTTAGCAAATGGGGTTGACGAGGCTAAAGTCAAGTATCACGGCACAAATCTAATCCTAGTCTCTTCCTTAAATCAAACCCTGTTCCCCACTTGCTGCAAGCACGCAACATTAAAACTTACGAACTTTGTATCAAGTTATCAACCCATAACTACATACAACATAGTACATCTAGAAATAAATGTGAATACCTTACATAATAGTTCTAGAGATCTTATCAAAAAGCAATACCGTTGACATACAGTAAGTACATATGTAAACGTCTAAACTTTAACACTTTCAAAGCTTTCAATTGTAATACCAGGTGGGTTCCAACTTCTTATATATAAGTAACTAGGGTAGGTACTTATGTAGTCACAATAAATTCAATTTCTCCAATTATCGTTTTATACGTCACACAATGAAGCCGATAACATAAAACTATTTAGGCGTGGCATGAAAAGAGGTTGAAGCTGAACATGATATTGACTTCCTGAGTAAGGTACTACATACATAATTAGGGTATCATCTCGGCCAAATTGGATATCAATCAGATGTACTACCAATTACTACCAACTACTACCGTTGACATAAATAAACTCCAGTAAGCAAACATGCATAAGCCCCTAGGTTAGTATCGTTGATGTTGACAGATTTCACTATTATAGTATCATTATCATCATTAGATTGTCTATTCGGTTAAGGTGCCTAGTTGGTAAATATATATTCGGTACTCGTATGTGCCTGTACCCTAGCCTCGTCAGAGATACATATGTAGGTAACTACAATACAAATACAAACTACATACCTAACATTGAAGGTGACTAAGTGCGAAAACAATCAAGCAACATCATTGATATGTATACTCACATAAATGTACGAATATGTATGTATGTATTACATGTAGGTTATGTACCTAACAATGGATACAAACGAGCGCTGTTTCCTAGAGATTCTATCAATTAATAGTAATAGACATGCACAGATGTACTACTATAGTAGTTATATGTAGTAGTTACATAGTTGTCCCCCGCACTCCAACCTCCAAGGTATTGTACATTTGTACCGCTAATGTACATATGTATCTTTCGATCCCCGACATCTACCTGGTAGTGACCAATCAAAAGACGGAACCAAATCACCGAAAAGAGTACGTACTGTCTTTAGGCCACGTTTGCTTGGAAGGTCCGGCCAATAATTAAAAAGTTCACGACGAACATCTACAGAAGCTTCTTCCCCGAGTCTTTCTTTTTCTTCTTTCGTCGTTGAGCTCTGGGAGTTCTTTTCCAATATCACTGTCATCGTCCACCTGCAAGATAGAAGAGAACCAAAAAGATAACCAATTCATCAACCAAGCAAGCCTTGCTAGCTTTTCATCATGAAGTTTAACTCGGCTATCGCTGCTGCCATTCTGGCATTCGGCGTATATGCTGATGATGCCTCCAAGGTTGACAGCACCGAATCATCTTCATCTGTCGCCGCTGAATTGCCAACATTCACTGTAAGTGCAAGCGCTATGTCCTTCTATTACAGAAGAGAGAAAAGAAAAGAAGAGAACCCCCCAGAGAACCCCCACTACATACCTACCCTTACCTACACACATTTGTTCAATTGACCAGTTTTTCATCCGTGCTATGGGCCTCGGCTAATGTTTCCTTCTACAGCCCACCACCATCAAGGCTCCCTTCCTAGAGCAGTTCACCGATGACTGGGAGAAGCGATGGAGTCCTTCGCATGCAAAGAAGGACACCAAGGGTCAGGAAGAGGAGTGGGCCTACGTCGGCGAGTGGGCTGTCGAGGAGCCATATAAATTCAAGGGAATGGAAGGTGATAAGGGTCTTGTTGTCAAGAATCCCGCCGCACATCACGCCATCTCAGCCAAGTTCCCCAAGAAGATTGACCCCAAGGGCAAGGAGTTGGTTGTCCAATATGAAGTTAAGCTTCAAAGTAAGTCAATTGATCTAAACTCTTTGTTCGCCACATGATCTAACTTCCTACTCTTTAGAGGGTCTTGAATGTGGTGGTGCATACTTGAAGCTTCTCCGAGACACCAAGTCTCTGCACCAGGATGAGTTTAGCAACGCTACGCCGTACGTTATCATGTTCGGCCCCGACAAGTGCGGTAGTACCAACAAGGTTCACTTCATCTTCAACCACAAGAACCCCAAGTCTGGTGAATATGAAGAGAAGCACCTGATGGCTGCCCCGATGGCTACCACCTCAAAGCTCTCTGAGCTCTACACATTGGTCATTCGCCCCAACAACACCTTCACCGTCAAGAAGGGTGGTGAGTCTGTCCGCGACGGTAGCTTTTTTGACCAGTTCTCCCCGGCTGTCAACCCAGAGGAAGAAATCGACGACCCCGATGACACAAAGCCCGAGGACTGGGTTGATGAGGCCCGCATTGCTGACCCCGAAGCTAAGAAGCCAGAGGACTGGGATGAGGATGCACCTTTCGAGATCGTTGACGAAGATGCTATCAAGCCCGAAGATTGGCTTGATGAGGAGCCCTTGACCGTCCCTGACCCCGAGGCCCAGAAACCCGAAGACTGGGAGGATGAAGAGGATGGTGATTGGATTCCCCCTGTCGTTCCCAACCCCAAGTGCGCCGATGCCTCTGGATGCGGCCCCTGGACTAAGCCGATGAAGAAGAACCCGGACTACAAGGGCAAGTGGACTGCGCCTTACATTGACAACCCGGCATACAAGGGCACCTGGGCTCCTCGCAAGATCAAGAACCCCAACTACTTCGAGGACAAGAACCCCGCTAGCCTCGAGCCTATCGGTGCTGTAAGTATCTCCAACAATATCACCCTAAGTGCTATTGTGACTAACCTCATTGGTGTAGATTGGTTTCGAGCTCTGGACTATGCAGAGTGACATCCTTTTTGACAACATTTACATTGGTCACTCTGAGGAGGAAGCTGCCAAGTTCGCTGAAGAGACCTTTTTCAAGAAGATCGCGGCCGAGAAGGCGCTTGAGGAAGCTGAAGCGCCCAAGAGAGACGAGAAGCACTCGTCCCCCTCAGACCTCAAGTTCTTGGATGACCCCGTCCTCTACGTCAAGGAGAAGCTCGACCTGTTCCTCACCATCTTCCAAAGTGACCCGATCCAGGCCATCAAGTTTGTGCCTGAGGTTCCGACTGCTATTGGTGGCCTACTTGTCACCGTCATTGCCCTTATTGGTATCTTGACCATGGGAGGTGGTGCTCCGGCTGCCGCTAAGAAGGCTGGTGCTGGTGCCAAGGAGAAGGCTAAGGATGTGAAGGACAAAGCCGCTGAGGCTGTCGCAACTGGCGCTGAGAATGTCAAGTCTGAGGTTAACAAACGTGCCACACGAAGCCAGTCGTAGGTTCTAGTAATGGGAAGGGGATATCAGATGTGTAGGTGACATGGGAACAAAAAAAAGGACGACTCGTTTCGGCCTAATGAGTGAGGACTGCCTGGAGGTAGTCTACACTTTTATTACAAGGCAATGCTTTCAGTTTTGTGACTTCAAGTTCACTTTGCATGGCGTCGGTGTATATTACACAAACAAATAAATTTGGTTCACCATTAATGCAATTTCGTATTCCATGTTACAAAGAGACACGCACTTGTTTTCAGGTACGTGGCATGATTAGGTCATTGATCAACATATTTCAATTAAACATGGTAAAAACATAAACTAACTAACTTGTCATTTGTTCTTCTTCTTTTTACCCTTCTTCTCACTAAATACCAAACTATATTGACAAAGGAGAATCAAAAACAATGTGAATATTCCAAAACATTGAGCCGCTTATTCAACACAAAAACCTTATACGTCAGACGATGGGGAGGGGTTCTAAGACAGGCATGATAGGGCGTCTAGGCCAGGGAGTGGGGCCTCGCGGTTGTTCCCATTTACGTGGTTCTCGCGGTGGCTCTTGAGTGGTAGGAGAGTGCACATCCCTGGGGGCCTCGGCCTCGTGAGACGCCTGTGTGTCGAGGTCGAGGTTGAGGTTGGGGATGGAAGATGAGAGGAATCCCCTCCACCAAGCCTGAACATCCCGCTTCTCTTCCTCCGTGATATAGTTTCTCATAGACTCACAGCTCACACATCTAGCAGGCAGCTGTTTTGCCAGCTCGCTGTAGTACGGTTTGTCCTCGACGCTGTTAGCCACGGGGGGTTTCGCTTCTAGATTGGGCTTCTCGAAGCTGGGAGACCTGGGGCTGGACTTAGCTGAGGGATTGCTCTTTCTGTGCACAGCCACGGGGATTTTAGACGGTCTAGGAGTATCCTGACTCCGGCCCTGACTTCTCTGCGAATCTCCGCTCGGGCGTCCTGGGGCAGCTACTGACGGCGTCTCAGGCAGTGCCTGGAAGCAGCAAGGACACGTACGACCACGACGCTCTTTCGTTGGTGAAGAGCTTTGTGAATGTGTGTCAGGGGACTGCTTAAGCCCCCTGGCGGAGAGAATCGACGCCTCGTCTAGACTATCACGTCCATGTGACAGGAAGTTAGGGTGGACTCGCGGGGCCTTGGCGCGGCAGCGCTCGTACTCGTCACGGAGTTCTTGCTCTGTCAGTTTCCACCAGCATTGCTTCCGAGACTTGACTGGGTCAGAATCGGGTTTTCCAGCCCAGACTCTGCAACTCTTGCCCGCCTCCTGGGATTTACTAACCGTTGGCGAAGAAGGCTTCTTATTTGGTTGCGGGATCCTGCTGCGGTACCTGCAACACTTCGACTTCTCGGTTTGTTTCTGCTTCGCCCTATCCTCGTGGTGAAGTTTCCGGGGATTCTCCCACCGATCTTGTCCCTGTTCGCCTAGCGGGGGCTCTTGGTTTGGCAGCTTAGAGATCGAGAGACTCTGACCTTTGTTATGCCTCGGCGAAGACGACCTCTTCACCATCTTTCGTAGCTTGCCGAGGAGACGTGAGAAACTCATTTTGTGTACTTTTATTCGATTTCTTTGGCTAATCAAAAAGCTCTCTATCTTTATCAAGGGGGGATGATGACGACGATGATGACGTTCGTTGCCTTGGTCCAAAAGATTCGGCGACCTGGCTCATTTATATCCACGGGGAAAGCCGACTCTGTTAGAAAACAATCTTAAACAATCTTATTGTGTGAAAAAGACCGAGTCAATGGCCTTTATCGTTATACTTATCGGATACCTGTGCTTCCGCGAATTTCCCTTGTTTTATAACGCCTCAGGAGCATCCCAACAATGAATTTCATTGTCTTGAGAGTACTTCCTAAATTGCTAGCGAACAAGCATATTCTGGAAGAAGCCGCATTCTAGCCAGGTATATATGGTACTTAAAAGAGCATTTTCTCTGAAACATGAATAAACCAGGCGCGGTGGTATGTCTTCGTGAAGTACTAAGATGTGTAACTGAATTATGTATGTATATGAGCAGAGCTCTTTAACTGCCATATAAAACCCCCCTTTCCCCCCTCCCCGTCTCACTTATCAACATTGAAGGCACACAGCGGCCTTGTATCATAACAGTTGGGACAGGCTTTGGCATAGTAACCTTGGAACACTCTAATCCATGCCGTCCACCATGTGTCATGACTGGCAGCAAGAGTATACGGAATGCTGTCACGTTTCCAGAGAACTTGTCCACTGTCCCTCATACTACAAGCAACGGGATGCAGCCAAGGGCTTATTTGGCCGCATACTCCATAGTAGTGCCAAGGACAAGGAACACTGTGGGCATGTGATTCCTCACCATGGACAGCCAGTAGCCTTTTGCCATGACTGCACAGTTAGGCATAACGAGTTCCGGGCAAGATACGTAGGTGATGGGACGTTAAGAGTCTATCGGCCAGTCGTAGATGATAGCTCTACAGATCCATTCAAGCAACGCCGCGAACAACGTAAACAAGAAGCCTTAGAGACAGAAAGGTTAGAACGACTAGAACGTAGGCAAAACTCCCGAGAAAAGGAAAGATCAGATCGAGATCCCCAACCTAGAAATCTCGCACCTACAGACAAATCCTCTAGTGTTCCGATCTGGATACCTGAACTTTACGATAGGCAACAATCTCTAGCACGAAACGAGGCCTATGCTAGAATCGTAAAGACGGCACCGCCTGTGAGTCCTTCACGTTCGAGCAAGCCTTCGACTTCTCAACCCCTTCCTAGCAAAGCCAAGAAGGAAGAGACCACCGCACCGCGATACCGACAAGCTCCAAGTAGTAGACCCCAAGAACATAGTCGCTTTATCTATGTAGATCGAAAATGGGCCTACGAAAAACCACTGCCGCCGCCGCCTCCGAAAAAGGAGGAAGAGCCAACACCAACACCCCCTCGCCATACCTGCAGAAGGCTAAGTGGAAGCGGATCAACAAAATCCCAGGCAGAAGGGCCTCCTCCTACTACCCTGCGTCGCACGCCTATCCCGCGATCTAAGAGGCAGTCTAGTCACGCACGGCCAGTGAGCAAGTACACGCCTCTCCCGCGACCCAAGCGGAATTCTGGCCGCGCGTGGGCAGCGAACATCCCACGAGGCCTGACCCCAAAGTCCTCGCGTACAGACCTGCGGGCCACCGACGCCAGCAAGACCAGGAACGCCCCGCCCCTGCGGCGAAAGCCGGGACAAGTCCACCGAGCCTTCTACCGCAAAACACCACCCCCCGTGCCCCGCCTCGCACCGAAGCGGCCCGCGCCCGTGGCCCCGTTACCGGAGTACCAGGTTTACCTGAACGCGCTCAGCTTCGCGAAAAACTCGCCCCCAACATCAGAGGCCGCCGCCTCCACTGCTGCCTCGACAAAGAGGAAGGGGAAAGGGAAAGCGTCAGCATCAGTATCAAAGAGCAACAAAGTTAGGATGCCCTTTGGGCGAACCACCAACGCCACCACCACCAGTACTAGTACTGGTAGGAGGGGCAGTACCAGCAGCATCAGCAGCAGCAAGCCCAAGCTCGCGAGAGAAGGGTCTCTGCACAAGATCCTGCGCCGGGGAGCCATGATGCTGGAGCTGGAGTCAGCGCCACCACGCACGGCGACCCCTGACTCGGACATTAGTTTCTTTTGTCAACACTCGAAGCAGGTGAGCTTATATGGTACGGTCTACTAGGTCCTACCCCCTCCCCCTTATTTCTTTATAAAGGAAAACAAAAAGAAACAATACATAGAAAGGAAAAGAAAAGAATAACGAAACCAAAAAAAAAAGGGAACGATGAAAGAATACATCATATTCATCGTTATTACTTCGTTTAACACTAACTACTCATACTCATTACAACTCTCTTTCAGTCCTACAGGTCATCAGTAGGTTACCTTACCCAGCACTCACTACCTAGGCAACTGCCTAGCTAGTGTCCCCCTATAATTAACCCTTGGTCCGCTACCCCTTAACCAAATGGAAAATGCGGTATATGCTTACTTTGGTGTACAAGTGACGTAGGAATTGCAACAATTATCTTTCCTATGTTAAATTATCGCAGTTATATCTATATATATATGAGTTGTATGGGAATTATATATCACCTAGGTTAGATGCGTTCTACCACGTGTATAAGTGTATATATACCCACATACAGCATGTTTTTAAGAATTAAGAATTAATACAGACATTAATGTAAAAATAATACTCCGTTGCTCCATGCTTGCTTCACGTGAATCTTCCACATCTCATGAGGGGCTAGTTCAGGACGATATGCTATGGTACTGTCTCTCATTCATTTGGATTTCATATACATCCATAGCAGAAGTGAAGAGTAGTCATGAACCCACTGCAGAGTCCCTTAGTCCCTTAGTACTAAGCACGAAATGTCAAATTGTCAGCCTGACTGGCCTTTGCCGTTGGTTGCGATTTAGAAGCTCACTGAGCGTCGCCGAATAGGTTGCAAGCTACCTAGCCTCAGGGCTCTTCTTACGAGCTCACATCTAGTTAGATGCAACAAAGGATGAAATGGGATGGCACTAGCCGTCACCGCTTTGTCGTGCGAGACCGTCGCATACGCATTATCTTTTCTTGTCTCCTGTCTCGTCTCGTTGTAGTTCATTGCGCTTTCCCATTCTTTGTAGCCTTCTCTGCGTTTTTCTTTTGGTGATACTTGGCGATTTCGGCATTAACCGCTTTCGCGACGCGGTCTTGTAATTCCCGCCTGTAGCCGAACTTAAACAAAAGCTCGAGCCATACGAAAAGGGGTGCTAGGAAGATAGCTTGAACTAGGTTATCCAACAAGGCCGGCGCCCGACCCTCGAACCAGTGCCCCATGAACTGAAGCAGCCAACATGTTATATTCACGGCAATGGCGACGCGATTGGTTAGGGATGGGTTTTCGGAAAGGGCAGAGTTCGTAAAGGCGGTGGCGCCGAGACATATGAAAGCCAAAATGGTACCAGCGACAGGTTCGAGGAGGACGTATAAACCACCCCACAGCAATGCAGCTAGGGTGCCTAGGTTAAGGTCGAGATGGGATATCGTCAAGGCCTTGGGTAAGGGGATAAGTGTACCACTGTTGGCTGCCTGTCGTAAAGGAGTCGCGGGTGTTAACAAGGTCCAAGGGCAAAGGGCACAGAATAGGGGGCAGGTTAACAGTGCTGGAGGCTAAACGTACTAATGTGAAGGCGGAGAATAGAATCAAGGGGACGCATATCATATGAATGGCGACATTGACGGAATTGCGATGGTAGGCGCCATACTAAGAGATATTTGGTCAGTGTTGGGTACTAATATTATTAATTGTTACAATTTATCTCGAAAGAAATTAGACGCACGAAGGTAAGCTGCCTTTCTAGGTTAAGGGTCATGATCGGAAGATGTGCCTAGGCTTGATGTTTGGTGGTTGAGGGGAATAAAGTAATAATGAAACAAACAAGAGCGTGTCTTGACGCGGTGGGATGATGCAATGGGACGATGGTAGGTAGGTACAGGTTAGAGGAAGAATTGTGAAGATTATCGTGATGATGGAGGTCGAAGTATAAAGAAAGCTTCCCTTACAGACATGGGACATTGCACAGGACATGGGGGATTAGAATTAGAATCATTGGATTAATAATTTCAAACATAAGGTTAACTAGCTCCTTGTTCTTTTTTTTTTACTAATAGTACATATGTACACTAGTAATCGCCTGTTATTAGTGGCACACTTGGTGGCACATACAGGTACAGTACCTTAGAAAGGTTCAAGGTTCAAAGTTGTGCATGTGCATGGGCTCATCTTTTACTTGTTCGGGAAGATAATGTACATATTAACTACGCAGTACTGGAAGAACATTCAACATTGAAGTTCTTGCACGTGAAATGTACAAATTCACAGAACACAGATATAATATACAATATCCTCGATGATGATATTATATTATTCAATGATCCCACACGTATAGTAAATAAATAACAAAACAATAACCAAAAAAAGAAAGAGCATCTACTCAACAGACACATTATGATGAGAGTGGGATTCGAACCCACGAGGGTTACCCCACGAGGAAGTGATGTCAAGGTATACCTTAACCTCGCGCCATGGACCAACTCGGCCATCTCACCATTGTTTTCTGATTTTCTTATAGAAGTATTTCTCTCTTCTTTGTCTTTATATTCTTATCCACCTGTGTGGGTAGATGGTGTGTGTGTAGGGCTGCTACTAGTTAACATTGAAGTAGACTAACCTAGGTACGAACAACATTGAAAGTTGAACAAAGTTGAACAAACACCTTTAGAAGGTTATGTAGCTTCCCGATGCTGTCATTTGGTAGATGGGGTATTAATGTCAAAATATGTTCGCAGAGCCTCAATCGAATCTTCATACACAATTGCAGATGCATACTATATATATGGCATGAAAATATCAATACCCGACATATCAGAATTCAAACATTGGAGATTGATGAGGCTCTTACAAGTTACTGTTATACCTACATGTAGTAGGTACAGTACTACTACCTAGTAGTTAGTAGTAGTAGTACAATACTAGGTACAGTGTCATAAACGGTACCTACATCATTGGGTAGGTACACAGTACGGCGCTAGTACTAAGTGCGTAGATGTGGATCCAAACCCCCAGTTCCCACATGCAGATTTGCACTAACCTGTTAAGTAAAGCACCTTCAATGTTCTTCACTAACGCGCCTCTTCCTTTCATCTACATGCTCTCAACTTTACTTGAAGCAACACTGATTTTCCCTCTTCAATCCTGTTGCCAACCGCGCATCCATCACAGCAGGTCCACTAACTTCATTCTTTTCGTGTATTTCTTGACACTCTTATGATACCCTAGATTTTCTTATTCTTCTCCTCGCCTTTCTTAGATGCGCCCGGCAGCTCGACATTCAGCTCCGTGCCACTTCAGCCTGTACCCGTACCCACCCACCACCGCCAGTTGATACGAGTCCTGGCTACAAAACACCATCCAACGATTCATCAAATATAACCATACGGCAATCGCAGCACATATACGTGGCGAAACTACTGTGCTAGCACTTGCGGCACGATCGCACGCGATCAAGATCCTCCGACCGCTCCTACGACGAGAAGCAGCACGATTAGATCAAATTAACTAGCAGTGCTGCTGATTCCGAATAACCAGTTACCCGATCCAGTATCACCCGAAAAAAATCCTGATTATCGCATTGATTGAACAACCGTCACGATGTTTTTTCTTTATAACCTTGAGCGACGCGTTACGCTCCACCCTTCTTACTTCGGTAAGAATATGCATGAGCTGGTGACTGGCAAGCTCTTGAAGGATGTCGAAGGCACATGCACTGGAAGTTATTATATCATCTCTATAATGGATACTTTCGATATCTCTGAAGGACGAATCCTTCCAGGAAGTGGCCTGGCCGAGTTCACTGTCGGCTACCGTGCCGTCATCTGGCGCCCGTTCAAGGGAGAGACGGTAGGTTTGCTTTCCTGAAAACGGCATTTCTTAGACTATGCTGACTTAGGTAAGATTGATGCCATCGTCGTCTCTGTCAACCAGCATGGCTTCTTCGCCGAGGCGGGTCCCCTCCGTATATTTGTCTCGACCCACGTGAGTTTCCCACTGAGACCCTGGTAATTGCTATACGAACTTACAAACTCCATTAAGTTGATCCCCCAAGAAGTCAAGTGGGATCCGAATGCTACGCCGCCTCAATTCACCAACAACGATGATACTACTATCGAGGTCAATACCCAGGTCCGTGTCAAGATAGTGGGAACTCGTGCCGAAGTCGGCGAGATCTGGGCTATTGGTAGCATAAAGGAAGACTACCTAGGGTATTACTCCTCCTTTCCCCTCTCATTCATTGTAGCATCTATACTAACAGTCCGATCTCCAGCACCCTGCAGAACTAGACGAGCCCGGTCGTATATAGACCCAAAGGTTCTTTGTTTTGCTTGGTGTCGTCCTTGCATTTGAGGCAGGACAATGTTCACGTCCATGGATAGCATACAGTCCATAGGATACAGACGGGAACTCCTAAAGACAGTTGGCCTTGATAATTGTAGTGCTCCATATGCACTTCTATATGAGAGCAAGGTAAAGTCTCGGACGTTTGTGACTTGTGAACTTGTACCTGCCAGGATATTAGTCGTCTTCATGGCTACTAATAATCTGCAACAACCATGACGAGAGATTCGTCATTATATCCCAGGGAGTACATACATGTGTATGTGCATTTGAAAAGATTCACATGAATAATGGAATCAAAAACAGACACTGATTTCTATAGCATTTCGGGAATGTCATGTCTCTTACCTGGTCAGGGGCCATAGTTTCCACATCAAAATACATGAAGGCTATTGGCTCTCTCTCTCAGTTGACTTTATTCTTCCTATCCCATAGCAGCTTATGTGACCCCAGGTGCTAACACCAGTAAGAAATTGGTCGGCCACTAATCATTTCTAAAAAGTAAATTTGCGTGTGAGAATGCTGTAAGCTACTGGAGAGGGCGGTTGATCCACCGAGAACCATGCCGGTTCCATTACGTGGAATATCATCAGTGGTGGTAGCAAACAACAAGGCATTTGTGACTTTTCTACTTATACTTGGTAGGCATCTCGTTTCCTTGTCACTGGAGATAGAAGAACTCTGGCTCTTTCTCTATTCTCATGTTGTGCTGTGACATACATAAACCCTAAACCTACCTAGGTACCTATATATGTACCTTAGGTAGCCACACAACCACCAATAATCTCAACCTTTCGCCTACTTATACTAAGTTATGTTAGACACAATCCATTTAAACTTAACATTCTCTGTAGTAGGGACGATAGACTGTCGCTATGAATCCTCTATCAAAACCAAAGTTCATCCGCCCGAATCTAGTTCGAGTCTCCCTGGAGACCTCTGCGCTTGAATATATTTCGCGGAAACAACGGGATGCTAGACAAATTATCTACTGTCTCGAGGTGCAAGTTTCTGTTCTGGTCGCGAATATAGAAAAGGACTCTCGATAGAAAAGACGACTGGGTTGAGTTGGATAGGTGCGGGTCATTTCAATCTTCGATGGGGAACGACGCCTCAAAAACGGGTTCTACACCTGCCAATACCGACGAAAATAGACACGAGTCCTCACAAGAGCCCTCTCTTGCCTCACTCCCAGCTTCTCTAGATCAAAGCACCATGAGCAGGCTAGAGTGTAAGCGATATCAGGTACCTATTGCCATCACAACAACAAACACAGAAGAATTAGCGAGAGCGAGCACAGGAAGATTGAAGGACCTCGAGCATCACCGAGATCCCATCGACACTACTATCAACGGCACTCACACAACAAACCTCAGTAGATTACCGCAAGATAGTCGACAACTTGAAAGCGTCTTGGGAAATATGTCGGAAAGGGATGGAGCTATCTCCACAAGCACCGATCAAAGCCATCAATCCCCTGAGTATCGAAGGGAGTCTACTACGAGTACCCAGGAAAATCCTAGTACATATGAGAAGAGAAGCCCACGCAACGGAAAGTACCTAACAGTGCCCAACTTATACCAAGATCGCGAGCAGCCTAGGTGCCCGGCGTGCAGATGGACGCTGCTCGGCAAGCCTTGGACTTCGCCGAGCCTCCCGATTATCGCAGTCACGGATCTGAATGGCGTGGTAAGATACCCCTACGACCACATGTATTATACGGATGAGTCGGATGAGAGTGACGATTCGGATGTTTGGGATTGAGGGTATGTGACGAGGTCCGTTTAGGGAGGTTTTTTTGTCATTGTCCTTGTTCTGGTTGTTGGAAATGTTGGAAAAGGGGACATTTCGCCGTCGACTTTATGATGGTCAACAAATGAAGGATTGGCCTTATCGTTACGGTGTCAATACTCGAATATCGTACGTGCTAGGTTTGCTAGAGATGGAATTCGATAGTCTCGAGGAGATCCTAGATAAATGTACGAGTCGGTCTACCTAGGGTTATGAGGCCCCCTGGGTTACCTCTCGAGAAGGATGGCTTCCTATGGTATCGAAAGATAGAGAGCAGTTGAGCAGTTGAACATTAGAAGTATTGGGATGGTCTTTCTACAGCTTGTATGATAACTGAATGGATAAAACAATAGAGACAAAAAAGACAAAAAGACAAAATTCGTTGCAAGATAGGTACCTAACAAGAATGGGGGAAGGAGCCATCTACTATGTACACTTGATGCTTATCTGAAACGACCAAGTATCTTCATTAAAGTAATAACAAACCTTAGAATATTAATGATGTAGACTCAAAGCTTAAAGTACATCTACCCTATGGAGCCATTCCCGTACCCCGATTTGCCCGTCATCTTCGGGCACTAGGTAGGGCAAGTCTTGGCCTCTCCCTTTTAGGCCCCCTTTTCCCTTTTCCCTTTTCCCTTTTCCCCCTTCCCCCTTCCTCCTCCCTTCATCAACCCTAATTATGTAGTTAGGTAGAGGTCACCATTATCATTCGAGATCATACTGAAAAGTCCAGTACTGACAAACGGCGCCTTCATTGCCTTCACTACCATATCGGCGATGGACTCGGTTTAACTATTGTCTCCTTTAAAATGCCTAGGCGGGTAGCAAGAGTAAGATTTCAAAAACGAGATTATCATTAGCAGCAAGCAAAACAGGGAACAATAACTCGCCCCCAATAAGATTAGAACACATTTCGGTAATATTATGCGAGCTCTCGCGACGGAATATCTCGGCATAGCCCTGCTCTACAGGATCACCCCTACCCATGTTAGGAGCCCAATATTGAAAGGCTGCGACGATTTGGATGGCCTCGACATCGCTCTCTCGACACAAGGGAAGGGAGATTTCGTTATACCACTCACGAGATATCGAAATACCATGTACCTACATTAGGGTTCGAAGAGAACGAGTCCGCAGATCTAGCCACATTATCCGTCAATATACTACACGCACTCTAAGAACACCGTAGGCTTGTTTTCTTCATCACTGCCTCAAGAACCACCAATGCAACACATATGCATACCAGAATAAACGTAATGCCACGCTGCAACCCGAAATGTTACTATCCGTCGATCTACCTATACGACTTCTACTTTGTTGGGCGATAGAAACGTAATAGTGATGCAGATGCGGGTCATCAGCTCATTTTCTGACCAGCAGGATGGAGCATATCTATTTCATGTTAACTTTATATGATCTGGTTTCCCCTCGATTCTCCGCCATCCCAGGAAGCCGGGACAGACGCCAAGCCTAACAGAATTATCGCGGGAAAACTAGGTATAAAGGCGGCCCGCACCGCACTCGTGATTCGATATCAAAGTGCTGAAGATCGATCTGTCGGGTTCAACTCATGAATCACAGATCGAAGGTGCATAGCGCTTAAACCCCATACAATACAACTCTACCCGCACCCGAACTTGACAGATTAGGAAGACCGGACCGAAGACTGCTCACTCTTTTTGATAAACCCACTTCAAGTCAAAAGATGACCTGTCATGCTTAATCCCGTGACGAATAACTGACTTGTATCTACCACCATTGTACCTACCGTTGTACCTACTGTTGTACCTACCAGTGTAGCTACATGTAGTCGGGCTCCCATGTGATCAGGTGAGACGGTCGAAAAGGGGCGTGCTATGCTAACATAGGTTGCATACTAGGAAAGGCTAATGGACCCGATGGTTTGGAGCCGCATTTGACGAGACCAGTGGAACAAATCAGCGTCACGCTGTTGGTTGGGTCGTGAATGCAACGGCTTACTGGCAAGGGTGCCCTTGGCGAATCCTACGGGTTTCCACAACAAACTGTACAAGTACATTGCATAGTACCAACCTGCCATCCTAGACTTCCCCAACCCGCTCGCCGTTCTAAAATCCAAATGTTGTTGGCATTTCCGTTCACTATACCCTGTGCCGTCCTGTACTTTTGGGGGTTCACCAATGCGGCTCCGTTCTATATGACTCCGTATCAACTACCTTTCCCATCAACACCTACCTACCTCACACTAGCTTATACTCCACCCCTTTCGACTTCGATCTACAACCGTTCTCCAAGCCACCTAAGTTCTGAGGAGAAATTGACCCGCCTACCCCATCACCAATATTTCTAGTGGCTTCCATCATCCCCAGGGTCTCCATGATACATGGCGAGCTTTCATGATGAAGAGGGCCCACATTATCGCTGGTTGTACATACTGACACCCATTTTAAGGCTATGGTTGGGGTACTAGAGTGTGTGGGTGTAGGATCTGCTCCTATCCTATGTCGCAATGCTGCCTTGCCTTTCACCAGGATGACCGACATTGTGGTCTGGGTTAGCTCATATACCGAAAGTCTGGCCACTCCGCAACCATCATTCCAAACAACTCGTAGTAAAGTCTTTACGAATATCAACTGAATGTGAAGATGGAGGGGTTTTAGCCCGACCCCCTTATTTAATTTCGGGCCAGTTGTCACGATGTAAACTCTTCATCAGCTAATGCATGGCGCCATAACGATACTTGGCGGGATGCCAACATCATAGAGCTTCTCCACGTCAACAATAAGAACCGTCACTTGCCTTGATAGCCTTTAGGGCCTATAAAAGTAAGTATCGTATTAACATGTTCTGGGAGGGGAGGGGCTATATTCAAGGTTGACTCTTGTTAGTTCCCCTTAGTGATGTAGTGAACCCGTGGTAACGAAACCCATACCTGGCCACACCCAAAACAACAGAGTATGTTCTGCGTTGTCATCTGTGAGCCGTGGATGCATGATTATAAGCCTTCGACATTCTGTCTTTCTTCTAAAGAGGGGACTAGGGCCGCCTAGGCTACATAAAGCATGTCGGTGGAAAGTCGGCATCTCGTATTAGTTGATACGGCAGTGACTATACTTCCAAAGGAAAATCTACAGGAAGTTCCTCCCATATTGAAGGCTATTAGGGGGGTGGTCGATGGCAAACTAAAAATCATGTCTGCCCTGTTAGATAGGAGAACTACTGGCTGTCATACGTCTAGCGAGTTACACAGTCACATTATAAAGTTGGCCTTGGCTTTTGAAGGGGAAATACGAGTCTTCTATGATTCAGAGCATCGAGATCGGGTTTCTCATGGAGAGTAGTTAATACTTGTTCAGGCATACTTTTCCCTTGAGCAAGTGAAGGGTGGGGGGCTGCTTACCACACATATCGTTCTCCGTCGAAACAAGCTCATGGCTGCTACTCACATGCCAAGGGTAAGAAAAAGGGGGGGTAGTAAGGAATGGAGAACAACCCCTTCTAGTCCCCAAAAAGCAAATCATGCACCAGTGATTATATCCTACTCGGCCCATAAGTTACGTTCATGTAGCGTGGCTTGACCCTGTATGCAAAGGACGAGCAAATGAATCTTTATGTTTTGCTTTTACTCGGAGGCAAAGGCTACATATGTAGCCTCTAACGCGTTACATATCACCCACTGTGACCGAAGTCGATAGTTTTGTGGTACCGGTGAGTATATAATGCCAGTCATCCGAATCTTGTACATGATGGATACGCGCCAGGTTTGCGAATAGGGGAGCTGCCACAAACCCAAGCCTCTGGAACCAGACACACAAGCGGAGAAACCAACCATGTTGGACTATAACACCCTTTTGGTTCCAGCAAGCAGACGATAAGCTTGATACGAATGTTGAATTTATCGCTTATAGCCTATAGCTCGCGAGAGTAGGACAACGCATTCGCCAGCCGTGGTCTGGAATATGTTGTTGGTTGTTGATCGGCCTTGGAGACACAAAGAACTATTACGATATTATACTCAAGAGGCCAATCAAGATGGGAACTCGGGGTTATGATGATTTGGGATGTGTACATCGCATCTAACCATCCAGCACTACGACACCAAAGAGCTTGCCTTTCCACTCAGCTCCGATGTACTCGTTGAAGAATACCTTGGGATTACGGGACTATACTTGCGTCCTGGATGTCGCGCATGCTTTTAACCCTCCTCTATTCATGCGGGTTCAACCCCCACACTGGCAGCTTACACCCGTGAAGCAGACCGACGGCCTCCGTTCGGCCGTTGATACCAGGACATGAACTCATTTGGCTCAGTCACCTGTCTGCCTACCTACCAAACCGTAACACACACGCCGTCGATCTGTCAAGAAGAAGGGCTGCAAGACACTTAGTTGTAGGTCCCTGTGGCGAAAACGTCTACTTCGTCGGTTTCACACTTTATAAAAGGACCCCCTGGCTCGGGACTGACATCTCGTAAGGGTTAGGGGAAGCGATTACTTGAACCACCGACCATCGACTTCAAAGAATTCCATCGTACCAGTGCAAAGACTACCACTACGAAATCACCATGCTTTCTGCCGCCCGTCTCCGGGGCCGCGTGACTCCTATTAGGATTTCGGGCCCACACAGATATTCCTTATACTTCACACGACAACTAGCCACTCACGACCAAAACCTAGCTATACCCGAGACCGTCCCGGTACCCTACTCACGATCACCACCACCACCCTTCCTCCCTGTGCCTCAGACATACGCAAGACCTTTGGAACGTGACCTGTTCTGGCGGAAGATTCCCCAGTGGAGCAATCTGGCTGCGAGAGATTTCATGTCCTGGGACTGGAATCGAAAGGTAAGATTAATACTATCTGGTCATCGAAACCCGCTGAGTTTTGTAGAATGTTGTGGAGAAAGAGAAAAACCTGCACGAATTCCTCGACAACGTCCTCCCGGACGTGGTTCCCCGCGCAAAGCACCTGGGAGGTGTCCAATGTCGGGATGAGTTCGTGACTGATGTCCATGGCGGGATGAAAAAGGCTTCAATGAGTGTTCGGGTCATGTGAGTGACCCTAACCCTTATGATATTTCCCCCTGAACGAAGTTGATCTAGACCTAACATCTCACAGGCCCTACGTACTGAGTAGGATCAACTGGCAAGACCCGGCCAACGATCCGCTGTTCAAACAATACATCCCGTTAAAGTCCTTGATGATCGACGACCACCCCATGCTACACCACGACTCATTAGCAGAGCGGCGTGACTCGCCCGTGAGCAAGCTTGTACACCGTTACCCTGATAAAGCCCTCTTTCTCGGTACGAGCTCCCCTGTAACTATGCTATCAACTTGCCTAGGACCTACCTACTAACCGGCTCCTCCAGTGACCTCCGTGTGCCCAACGCTTTGCGTGTTCTGCACCAGGGCGTACGGAGTCGGGGCTCACACCGACGCCGTGGTGAAGGACTTCACCAACGCCAACCGCGCGGAGATGGAGACGGCGCTTGCCTATATCCAGAACCACGAGGAAATCCACGACGTGGCCATTTCCGGCGGTGATACTTTTTATCTTGCCCCGCACATTCTCGAGGAGCTCGGCGACCGCCTCCTTGCGATGGACAATATCGACCGGGTGCGGTTCGCGTCCAAGGGGCTCGCCGTGGCGCCGCAGAGGTTCATCGAAGAGAGAGATGCGTGGACGGAGGCGCTGGCGAGGCTATCAAATAAGGCTAGGAGGATCGGCAAGCAGGTGGCGCTGCACACGCACTTCAACCACCCCAACGAGATCTCTTGGTTGACGGAGCAGGCTAGCCTCAAGCTGATCCAGCAGGGCATCACGGTTCGCAACCAGACGGTCTTGCTCCGGGGCATCAATGATGACATCGATACTATGTCCGACCTTATTAGGAAACTGTGCAAGATGGCGATTCAGCCGGTGAGAACCCCCCCATACCTACCTAGGTACTTGATATTTTATTCACAAAGTACTAACAAGTTGGCCACAACGCAGTATTACATCTACCAATGCGACATGGTCCCCACCATCGAGCACCTGCGCACGCCCCTGAGCACCATCCTCGACCTGGAGGCCCAGCTCCAGGGCATCACCGCCGGCTTCCTCATACCGAAGTGCATCGTCGATCTGCCCGGCGGCGGCGGCAAGCGGCCGGGGTCTCTCCACGAGTCCTACGACCGGGAGACGGGCATATCCACCTTCACGCAGCCAGCGCTCAAGGGCAACGGCAGGGAGAACAAGGTGTACAAGTACTACGATCCGGTGGATACGCTCGATCCCAAGATCCGCGATAGCCTTGTAAGCTCCCTTAGGGAGGAGGTGCGGAGATCTCAGGCTCTGAAGGAAGAACGGGAGCGAGAATCGAAACAAGTTATCTAACCTAGGTACCTATGGGAGATTCGGTGGCTGGACCCGCTGAAAGGTATGTAAACTACCTACCTAACCTTAGACAACTATTCTGAATGTGACAATGAGCGTGGATGGCGATGTTGCGCATGATACCTAGTAATAGCTCGTGGTGTATTGGAAATCGGCCAAATCTCACCCAAGTCTCCATATCCGTCGGTCACATCACCAACTTTTTTTTTAGTGTAATAGTTAGTACCCACCTTGCCATCTGACATGGACGTTCATAGGTATGGTATGTACGTATGTATGTAGGTAGTTTATTTTCATCTTTGGTTTTACAATCTGGTTTACTCCGATGTGATAATCTGCGATCTCGTACGAACCATCCAACCATAGTAGCCAGTTAATAGTTAGTTAGTCTGACCAACCAACAAAAGTCCCATCCATCGTCTCCATGTGTTCGGGAAGAAGGCTAAAAAAAAAAAGAAAAGAAGAAAAAAAGTCGCGCGTTCGACGGGTATCGGTTAATACTACCACGTCAGCGTTCGAAATGGCAGGGGTTCTTACACGGGACCCCGAAGATGGACTAGTATGTAAATAGTCAACTTAACTGGCGGCTACTATAGCAAGATAGTTTGCCAATGAAGCCGTAGTTATTATCTAAACTCGAACGGGGGGTCCTAGCGCCAGGAATCTGGAGTCTAGGAGCTTTGGCAAAGGATCGGGGTTTTTGGCAGGTCGCCGTTCGCTAGGCGGTATTTGTCGATTCAGCTTTAACTATAATGATGTGCTAACTAACTATATCGTACTATGCAGTGTAGTGTAGTGTAGTGTAGTGTAGTGTAGTGTAGTGAGTGATGAGGTTTGTTATTTTTTCTGATGTTGATGTTGATGTTGAGGTTGATGTTTTTGTATATTGTATTTTTGTATATTGCATTTTTGTATTTGGTATCTTGTACTTTGTATTTCGTATCCTGTTGATATTGAATATGTCACATCACATGCCTTCTTACCTAGTATATCCATACATGCTTGAGGTATGTATGCAATTACCCTTTGTAAAATTGATGATCGCTAGGGGTGAGACCTGAGGATGCATTGGCATGACAAATGGAGAGGAACATTGAATGTACTTTGTAGAGCATTCTGAGAGAACATTGAAGTGATGTGATTTAAATCGGAATTATCCACTGTGTTAGCTGTGTTAGGTGTGCTACCGTACTGCTACAGTGCTACGTAGTACAACTTACTTAACTGAAGCCTACTAGCACAGAAGTAAGTGGGTAATGGCACTATGTAAAGAAAATCCGAGAAAATCGACTGGGACAGGCACGTCTGCTAGTTCGAAAGCACGGGCCCAGGGGCACAGGCTTATATAGAAATCCATGGGATGGTCTTGTACGGCATAGTATGATACACTTTGATCATGTAACTGTCCAACGCCTAGAACTGGTAAAAGTACTTGGACGTTTAGTACCTGAACCAGGTTGTCCACGTTTTTCTGACAGTTGGAACCCCACAAAGGGCTGGATATGGCTTGCCCCCCTCCAGTTTTTATCTCCTCAAATGGGCTACGTATTCTGGTCCTGCTAGCCCGATATAGTTTAGCTGACCATTCCACATCAGAACATCCTCTCCAATAGCGACGCAGCTCTAAATTCACTTACATATTATAAGCCCATATATACCTAGTGGTGCGGCAAATCACGGTTAAACAAACAAGGTCAGGGGTTAAAGAAAGGGTAATAGGGGTGACATGGGTGATATGGGTGGCATTGGGTGATATGGGTGACATGGATAACAAGGATATTATTAAAAAAAAAGAGACAAGTGTGTCAGGGCAGTCCAGGGCAGTCCAGGGTTCCAAGTTATTACATAGTATCAAGTCCAGGGTCTTTTTCAATCAATTAGCTTCTTCTCTTTGTACTATGTATGTCTCTGTCTGCCTGCCTGCCTGCCTCTGTCTCTCTAACCCAGCTCTCGGAAATCGGGGAACAGAAGCTACATACCTTACCTAAGTTACCTTACCTTACCTTACCTTGTCTTTAGTAGTAACTGCCTTCTATTAGGTCAGGCCAGGACTCAGGAACGGCACTTGCTCTCTATATCCAGGAGGCTTTGTGATGCTACTGTAACCTTCCTCACGTAGTTACCTTGCTACCACTTGTACCGCTGTAGTGATTCCCAGCTTCTTTCTGTTTCGTTTCCGACAACGATACGGAACCAGTAGAAGTTGAGACTACAAGACTGCTACAAGTACTCAAGTGATAGACCGAGACACAGACACTAGTACCTGCCAGGTACTTGGGTTTATCGTCACTGCTCATGATTCCGAATTTCCTCTCTTTTCTCTTCGGATTCCAAGTTTTCATTCTATTTTAATTTGCTTCCATTGGCGAACGCATTTATTCTTCTTGTTTTATTTTACCCTTTTTTGGTTTTATTTTTTATTTTTTATTTTTTTATATCCTTTGTTCATATCCATATACCAACAACCAACCATGTTTTCTCGGGAGAAGGCCATCTAATAATTCTGATCAGTCTTGACTTGAACTTGAATGACGACCAGTTATCAATCAATTCAAGCCAATCAATACTGAAAAGAACGAATTCCAACCAAAGAAAAGAAAGAAAAGGGGAGGAAGAAAACCACCACCACCAACACCGACAATATGCGACACCACCCAACTAGTTACCCTATGGGCGACGGGAACTATTCAGACTTTCAGTTGCCCGTTACCCGTGCCCGTGGTAGCACGGTAGATTATCATAACAGTCTTCTCGATCAGACTCGACAACACCGGAGGTCACAGACGCAACAATATCACACGAACCCGAATCATTCGCGTACTTCACTCAAGCAATGTCGACTATGGCTGCCTCTATCGAATCATCACAAGGAAGCTGCAGGAACACCAGGCCCAAGAGCCCTGACACCAAATCACCATGATTCCGGGAGAAGAAGTAGGAAGACGAAGCACGAGAAGGAGCATCACTACAGTGAACTGTCGTTACAGCCACATCCACATCTCACGAGAAAGGATATCGAAGAATTCGAAGCTCTGCCCGCTGCTATCAGACGAAAAGTAAGTCAAGCCAAATTTCCTAGTTGTATTTTCGTTTATTCATTTGTAATTATCTTTTATATTATCTTTTCATGCATTTTTTATTTTATCTCTTAGTTTTTATTTTGTACACGTACGTCTTGTATGTTTGGAAGGATTCTTGTTTTTCTGCCGGAAGGGCCAAGCTCTACGTTCCATTTTGGATCGGATCAGTCTGCCAAAAAAGAATTGTAGAGGGGAAGAGACGCGCCGGTGGCGATTTGTCTGTACCCAATTGGGATATTCCGTGCAGGCATCAGGGAAAGGGAGGGTAGCTATGAGCTATCGTATGCCTGCATATTGTAACGCTTTGGACCATTACGAGCGCAGTTCATCCGCATTACGATGCATATCCTCATGCATCTATGCAGGCATGGTCTCTTAGCCTCCGTTCATAACATTTCGTACTGTACCCATTGTAACCTTTTACTATGCCCGTTCCTGCATCAGAGCACACCCCGTCCCGTTCCATTACATACATACATACCATACATACCATACATACCTAACACACCTTACACACACCTATTTACCTATCTTTACATACCTCTTTACATACCTACCTTACATACCTTTTCATACCTATCATAACCCTATCAACATATCTATGTAAACACAACAAATTTGCCAGTGTCTTTGCTAAATTCTTACCCCCCTTTTTTCTCTTATAGTATTTCTCCACCTTGGAACGTTTGCGTCTCGCTCAGACCTCAGGCATCTTGGACCACCCCAACGACGACGATAACAACGACCTCTGTGCACAGCGTCATAGATTTCGAGGAGCATCTTTCTCTGGGGCCGGTGCCGGTAATCCGTTGGAACGTCCTATTACCTCACCTTCTTGTCATCAACACGCTTTCTCGGTCGATTCTGCATTCCTGGCCAAACTTCCCGCTAAGATTAGAGAAAAGCACCTGACCAGAGAGGAGCAAATTATCGTCGCCAAACAATTAAGGCCGAGCGTCATATTGGATGCTGCCGACGAGGCTTTCTTGAAGATTGGCCGCCGTGCGACCAGACGTCCCACCCCTCCACCAAATCCCCCGACGCTTTCTTCGTCGGGACGACCCAGTATGGAGTCTCTACAGAGCGATTACGCTTCCCCCGAGGCGCAAGATGCGCTTCATGATAGTTTCCGATGGCTAGAAGAAGACGAAGACCTTGATCTCACTCTCGGTCTGGACGACTATCATGTGAATTTGAAGGAGTCAGCGACCATGCCTCCCCAAGAGCAGCAAAGACCTCCCTCCTTCCGCCGACATATGTCCTTCTCCAAAATCCCATTCGGTCGCCCTTCGTTCTCTTCGAGCCGACCCGCAACCAAGGATGCCACCACCCCTATCACCAGTCCGATTTTCCCAAGCCCATCTACTTACTCAGATAATGGACGACGGAAATCTAGGGCGCTATCGCTTATTACCCCGAGACATGCTACTCATGAGTCGCTTTCGTCATTCGACCCAGGAGCAGCGCACTACCAGGATCCCGAGGCTCGCCTAAAGCTACGAGTTTACCTGGCTTCGCCACAAAAGTTTGACGAAGCGATCGAATTTGGCTTCCCTTCCAATGATAGAGATTTACCGAGCAGCAGGGACGATTTTCGAGGACCGCTATCTGCAGACTCGGAGAAGTTTAAGACATTTCTAGAGGATGACCAATCATCTACTTGCAGCGAGGACATGTCGCTGCCGGACCCCGAGTCGCCCAGGACACCCAATGAGCTGGAAAAATATACCAAACCTCTCCAAGTACCGCCCCCCGCCGAGGACTATAATCTGTCTAGGGCCCCAGAAGGTTACACGCAAGTGTCTGCGGCTTCCCGTGAAATGACGTTGCGCATGACACTTACGCGACCTGATCTACGAGCATGCGATGACCAAATTTATGGATGGCAACAAAAGAGGTCGCGGCACACCCCGGGCAGGCCGTCGCAAACGTTTGGATACCGTGAAGATACACCTATATCCACGGTGCACTCCAAAGATGGTCAGAAGGAAAGCATCGACAGGATGTTTGCCGAAATTGATCAGGAGTTAGGACCACACAGCTCGACCGACAACAATGTAATGAAACGCATCTGGAATCGAGTACGGCGCAGTTAGACATGGTGGACACGACCCAAGAATGAGAAGCCGTCTCATCGGATGGACATACATAACCTTACTCTCACTACGATATCCCGACATTCCGACGTTCGTTGCTCTATCTTTTACTTTTCCATCCATCTACGTGGATTTTATTCAACTCAATCGAGTTGTGCTAGCTATCACCAATCAAGCGTTCATGTACTCTGAATCAATCATTGCCTGGAGTTAGGAGGAGGGTGTTGAATTATTGAATTCCAGTAATTGGCAAAGAATTCACAATAGTATTTACTGTCTAAACTGTCCAAAACTGTCATTCTTTTCAAACAAGGGTACGAGACATGTGTTAAAGAAAGACCGTGGTCCGAGTCACAAGTCGTAATAGTGATGAAAACGGCGTCTATCGTATATCCACCCATCCCCTCCCCCCCCCCCCCCCCTTTTTTTTTTTTAGAAAAAGACGAAGAAAAAGAAGAAGAGAAAGAAATCAATGAATCAACTTCTTGATTATTTAGACATAGAGTTACCACCAACACCCACCAACACTAACACCAAAACCACCATCACCATATCAATTTACATAACTAATTAGGTAGATAAGTATCTACTTAGTTGTATGTATGTAGTGCTAAAGCTGTAGGATGTCAAAAGTATAGGGATAGGTATTATCCCGGGCCGCGGAATTTAGCCATCCAAATATCAAAGATTCAATATTTGTTACTTGTTACGTGGACCCTTGAGGAATCAATAGTTGAAGAAGGTGAAAGAGTGATAGTGTAGTCTACTTTGTAGAGCGGGCTGAATAGGTACGTAGGTCACGGTAGGTGCATTAGATTTTACCCCAGTGGGCGCCCCTTGCATATAGTTGGAATTGGATTGATGCGGGAGGCGCTGATCCTGGGAGGGGCCTGAGCGGTGAAACCTTCATACGTAGGTAGGTAGGCACCTACATATATTATCTTGAGAAGAGGGGAGCAGGTGATGATGATGGTGATGATGATGAGGGGATATATGGACTGGAATGAATAATAAGTAATTAGGTAATGTAGTTACATCTTATGATCTATTAACTGACGCCTGCGCATTGGGAAAATCTTGGTACGGTGATCCTGATCATATCACAGACACACAGACAGCAACACTAGGTATATTTATTATACATATAACTAAACTACATACCTAGTAGGTAGTAGGTAGGTAATAAGTCAGTGCGGCCTAACCTACCTAACCTAGTGACTTGCACCACCACGCTGCAGGTACGCCATGTCCACCTTTTGGTCGTTCAACCTTTTTTGGTTTTAGTCTATGTAGCTTTTCCCCTCCCCCCGTCATACCTTACCTAACCATAGTAGTTATATGCCTACATATATAACTAGATATCGGTATGGATGCATAACTCCAGCAGGATTACTACTATGTAGGCACGGCCGAGACCAAGATATGGGGGGCAGGAGGGGGGAAGGGGGAACTCGGGTCTCTCTTGGCAACCTAGATTCGTTCGCTGTAGGTAGGTAGGTAGGGTTTATAAAACCTGCAAATACGTGTACCTGACTTGCTTGGCCTGGGGTGTTGGGACAGATATGTAGGTACTAAGTATGGATGTGTATGCAGGTACAGTTAGTTAGACTACATACAGTTAAGACTTAGCTTTGTTCGTGTTCGCGGGAAAAGGAACAAAGAAAAAAGACAAGACAAGATACAAGACGGAATACAAACTCTGGTGCAACGAAATGCTCAGACCGCTCATGTAGGGTAGTTAGGTATTATCTTGTGTTTCGACGAGCTTTGGGGAACGAAACACCCGGCCGGTCCGGGGCTGGGCGGGTATTATTGAATTATTGAATGGTGCTGGCTGGCTGGCTGGCTGGCGGTCTGTTGGGTTTAACTACCGAAAAAAAAAAAAAAAAAAAAAAAAAAGGAGCCCTGGAGATGATTTGTGACAGGTAATTATCTATCTATGGATGTTTGTTAGTTACCTACCTACTCTATCTCATACCTAGTAGCTACCAAATAGGAGGAGACGGACAACTTCTCCTACTTAGGTAGGTACTCCTCGTTTATATATATAGAAATACATAGAAGGGGGTTCGGGATCATCACCATCACCATCATCATCATCTACCATTGATTGATCGATTAATTAATCAAGTAAGGCAATCAATCAACAGGGGAAAATCCACATACCTACCTACCTACCTACCTACCTAATAATGAAAAAAAAAAAACCCAACGTGGCCAAAACCAGGACAGGAGAAGGGAAAGGGCAAGAGCAAGAGAGAAAGACAGGCCAATAGAATATCACGGGTGAGAGTCGACGTTGTATCCCGAGCCCCGAGCACGCTGCATGGGGATACTTGCCCTACTAAGGTAGGTACGTGATGCATACATATACATACTTGCCTACATACATGTAATTCGTCAGGGGGGATACGACTTTACATACCTACATAGTAGTGTAGTATAACTTAGTATTTGATCTGTTTGACTTGGCCCATACTATAACATACATAAGATACCTTACCTAGCATGCCTACCTAGTAGGCATATGGATACCTTGAATAGTACCAGGGGGAAGGGGTTCGTTAATCTGTTTGCCACGTTTCGTTTCACATTTACATACATACCTACCTAACCTACATACACCTCATCATTCAGCATAAGACGATACGCCAAGTACATACCCATACATACCATGACCAAGTTCTCTCCCGAAGACCCGTAGCCTGAATGCACACTTACTTAGGTTAGGCACCTCTATACTAATGGCTACAAGTGATGGGATGGGTGTAAGTTGCACACAGTAGTAGAGGCCACCCAAAGGCGACAACTAGGTCCTTCTCCTGCCTTAAAACTACACTACATGTACATAGGATAACCAGGCACATAGGTAGGCAGGTAGGCTACCTACTACCCTTTACATGAGATTATGACTTATGATTTTTCCTAACAAACCCCTACCAATACGCCTCTCTGTGACTTGAGAATACATTGAATACCTCCTTTGCTTCCTACTCCAAACACGATTTTAAAAGAAAAAAGGGGGCTTCCACCTCTTGTTCCATCCCTTACACTTCTTCGTCGCTGTCATCGCCGAGAAGCTCGCCTTCATCTTCGTCTACAATCGCGTAGTCGCCTCTTCCTCGGGCAAAGCTATCTCTAGTCGTAAATCTCCGCTGGCTATTTCCACGTAACCAGTCATAACGGCCACCGCCGTCTCTCCCGCTCCTGGCCCTGTCCCATGCTGAGCTTACCACACGCCATAGGCTGCCAGCTAGAAGGGGCAATGCACCGACTACAGCCACCACCCCCGAGACTGCTATCACTGGGTATTTGACCCAAGGCGCGTCGCTGCCGAACCCGTTTTGTTCTCCGAGCCGGATTTGACCAAATTTCCCTCGCCAGTTACGGTATACCCACCAACCAGCCGCTGCCGCCAAACTGATAGGGATGATAATGGCAAAGAAGAGGCCTACACCCGAAACCCCCCGTTTTCTTTCGAACTCTTCCTCGTGTCCAGGGCAAGGGTGAGGCGTGAGTACTTTGTCCGCTTCGAAGCCCCCTGAGCATGTCGTCAAGGGAATTCGACGGAAGCCGCTGGGTTCGTAGTACTCAAACTCGTCGGGGTTTTCCTTGCAAACCTGCACGGGATCCAGGGGTGTAAGTCCTTCCACAAGGCTACAGTGCCCATGCTTGTCCAGTTCGAAGTTATAGTCACTGTAGCAGCACAATTAGCATCTAGATAATGATGAACAGAGCACCCTCTTCTTCCTTCGTTACTTACCATTCAAAGTCTTGCCGAGTGCACTCGCAGTTCTCGACACTGTATAGATGGTTAAGTTTGCCGCCGTTGTAACATTTCCTGTCCTTCTTTTTACGTAGGTAGTAGTTCTTGTGGCCGAATAGGCAGTGGTTTGACTGCAATGGATGCTCCGGAGACCATAGCTCGTAGTCAGACTTGTTTCTGTCCTCATCGTCCTTGCACGTCTCACTTGCCAGGCCTGAGAAGTCGAGATTCACGGTAAAAAGCTTGTCTCCTTGGTGACCCCAGAGAAGGAAGTTCCTAGATGAACCAGACCGCAGCGTCGTTATATCAGTGATAACAACATCGCCTTCCGAGAAGGTGTAGGTTTTCCAGGTATCACCTTGGTCGAGTGAGTATGATACCGACTTGGTTTTCGTGTTTCTTTGTGCGAGAACTATGATAGACCCTTGGTCACCAAAAGACCACGTCCAGCTCCCTCTCTTCACCATTTTCCAGCTGAGTCCAGCATCGGTCGTCATGAATGTATCAGCGTCCTTAGCCTCGCCGAGGAAAGGGCCAACGTTGCCAATGCCAAACATGATACCAATTGCCGACTCCGACGAATACGTCTTTCTAGCGTCTACTCGTTCGGTATATCCGTGGACATGGAGAGCACACGAGGCATGGCCGATTTTGCTTTGGCAGCTGAATGGTTTGCCGTCAAGGTCCCGTTCCGGAGGAGGTAAGAACCCCCATTCGGCCCCGTCGTTGTGGCTAATCCTTGTCTGGAGCTTCTTGGGCTCCGAGTCGCTGTCCCTGTTGGCAACCGTGTTGACTAACACAACACCCTCTAGACCGAGCATCTTTTCGAAATCTACGTAATAGCTGTCGTCGCAGTTCACGCCCGCAATGCTCAATACATAAGATGTCCCATTCGAGTTGCTCTTGAGGATTGACCCATACCGCAGCTTTTCTTGTTCCTCGGTCACGACAAACAGATTGACCGCGTGGGTTGAGCTTTCTAAAACAGTATATGCATTCGTATGTGGAACATCGATGTTATATGGGAAGCGAGCCGGTGCATAATCCCGCCCATTCAAGCTGGCCAGCGCATTCAGCGACCTGTCCGTCGTGTTTTCCGTCGCGACAACGATGAACTCGGCCATGGTCGCGAAATTGCTAACATTTTCCAAGGCCACGCTCATCTCATACCTTGGAAACTCGTCGCTGTACAGGAGTTGAAGAGGGTTGTCGCTCTCGTTGTCTTCGCGTTTGCTTGCGAGACAAACTATTTGTGTGGTGTTGCGGAATTTATATGCCGATGAACCAGTGAACTCACATTTCTTCACATAACGCTTGATTGTCTGCCAATTATCGCCACGGTCCTTCGACAGGGACGCTTCCAGATAACAGTCGTTGCCATGACACTTCTTTCCATGCCATATAAGCCAGTCTCTCTGATCGGGATGGAAAGCAAGGGGCATCGCCCTGTCATAAGAGGTATCAGGCGGATCTCGTGGCTCGAAATAATCAAAATGTTGTCCGTGATCGACGGTGTAGAAGACTTTATTTTCCTTCGTGAGGAAGAATGCCATATCTTTGACGTAAGGGTGGGTGATGATATCTTGAACTCCTTCCTTTCCGGGCAGCTTCACCTTCGTCCAGTTCTTTCCGTGGTCATGTGTGATAAATATATCGCCAACCTCGCCCGTGCTAGCTCTATACGGCCAGGCGAGTATTGTTTCATCACCTTCAGAACTTGATTCGCCACGTTCAAGATAATGCTTAGAGAATCGGTCGAAATCACCCTCAAAGGGCCATTGAGTATGTCCCGGCTCATCGCTGTTGGGGGCATTCGGTGGAGTTTTGGTATCAGAACATTTCCATTCCTTCTGTTTGTCTTTTTGGTCACCTCCAGAGCGTTTACATTCATTTCCGGGAATGAGACGCCAACCGGATGATCCCATGAACGTCTCATCAGACCCATCAGCTTTGCAAGCGCCTTCGGGAACCACAACAGGCCCAGCTGGCTTACATTCATCGCCGTCTCGCACGAAGTTGAAATCACACTCAAAGTCGGCGTCCGTGCATTCACAGGGCGTAAATTCAGGAACAGGATCCTTGAACTCTTGTTTGATGAAGCACTTTGCATCCTTCTTACGTCTGTGATACTTTTGTGTGTGGCCCATTACACAGCTTGGCTTGCCGTCGTCATCTACCCGCGCAAACCAGTCCTCCATATCGCTTTCCTTGCAAGTATTTTCATGTAAGCCTTCAAAGTCAATGGAGATGACAAAAAATCCATTTGGTGAGGCCTTTGACCCCTTTCTTGCAGTAAGCAGAAACTTCAGGCTGGTCGAGTCTTGAGTGGTTGTCAGGGCCCAAGGAAGGATGCTCAAATCCTTTGGCAATTTGGCAGTGTCCCAGTTCTTGCCATGATCCAAGGAGTATCTAATCTCCTTAATATCGGCTTCCTTGCTATCTCTGACGGCGAGAAGGATGGAACCCTGATCGCCAAACTCATATTTGTGCGGACCCTCGGGACCCTCGATCCAGGTTCTGCCAGCATCGTCTGATATATAGAGACGCGAATCCCAGTACCCCTTTAAATGACTGCCATGGTTTCCAATGCCCATTATTAGACCTGGGGCAGGGCTCGAGAAGACGGGGCCGACGTTGCTAATTTCTGTGACGGAATGTAAATGAATTTCGTCGTCGCCTGTCTTGATGAGTTCAAATGTTCTGCCGTCATCAAAGGTGATCTTTGTCTTAATCTTCTTCTCGTCCTGGTCTTCCTCTACTTCTTTCCAGTTGTCCACCTGATTAACCAAATAAATGCCCTGGATATCGGAGACTTTCTCGAAATCGACATATGACTCCATATTGCGGTTTGTGTGCTCAATGTTTCTCGTAAAATATGTACCGTTCGAATTGCTAGTCAGCAGGGTACCCATCGGTTTAGACATCCGTCTGCTTGATCTAACATCGATCTGAACACTATAGTTGGTGCTTTCCAATACAGTATACGAGGCTTCGAGGAGCGGGTGGTCGTGAGGGAAAATGGCACGATGCCACTTCAAAGTGTCACCACTCACGTAGAGGGCCATCTCTGCTGTATTCCGGGAGGTAACGGCTACTAAAAGATATTTCTTGACCTCGACTATGCTTACGATACCCTCAACGGCACCTTCACCATTCAAATTAGGCTCGAATTCCTGGATAATTCCATCGGGTCCTTGGGCAAAGAAGTTATCGGATATCAAGAGTCGGTTAGCTGACTGAGGGGAGAATATGCCGCCCCTTATGATGCACAATATTCTCTGTTTGTCCAACTCATCCTGACCTGTTGTGAAAAGTGGTGAAGACTTGGCCCACCAGCAAGCCTGAGTGCGCCTGCGTAGGGCCTTGGCTTTGTCCTCAAAGCCGTTTGTGGTGTACATGACAAGCTCCTCACAGAGACCCTCACATTCCATACCGGTAAACAGAATCTTGTCGGGGTCATCAGCATGGAATTTCATCCATCGACCGATAGAGTCAGCGAAATCGCTCGTGTATGCGCCGGTAGAGAAGGTCTGCCACGTTTCGCCTCTGTCGTGAGTCTTCCAGTGAGTATCGCTAGCAGTCAAAACGTAGGCGCGATTCGGATCGTATTCATGCATGACCAGGGCAACAGCCTTCTCATGTTCGATTCCTTCAGCCTTAGACCAAGTAGTACCGCCGTCAGCTGATCGCCAAATGGTCCGTCCATAGGCTTCTTGAAACAAGATGACATTGGAGTCCTTGAAGTAGCTAAGGCTGCTAGGAGGATCCTTGAATTCGGTTGCGACAATGGTCGGTCCATCCTCAGCGCGAACCATCGAAGCCGTCCATAATAGAGAAGTTAAGAGGAGGATAGCCGACCATACTGAGGCCGACGCCCCAGAAGCTCTCCTGACCCTCATGGTTTCGTGATTTTAGGCGTTATCGTGGATGTCATGACAATGTTCTTGCTTTAACGCCCCGAGTGAAACTCGAGGAGATAAGTAACGAGGAGGGGTGGTCGATGAAAGGGGTAGGGGTCGGGATCGGAATCAGGATCGTGGTCGGGATAGGGATAGTAGACAGCTGTTATTACAAAGACAAGAGAGATAAGAGGGAGCTATTAAAGTAAACGATAACTAATGAATTATTCAATGATATCCACCTTTCTATTCTCCCAAGATAAAACGAAAGGAAGAAATAAGGAAGATGGGGTTGGGTTTAAGATTTACTTTCTCAGTAGAAGCCAAGTAAGCTTGGGTGGTTGACGTTAAATGGGGGTCATTGAGATAAGTGTCATCAGTTTTTTTTTTTGGTAAAAGCTACAAGTTCTAAGGTGCAAGTTGCAAGTTGAGTCTCAGCTTTCCCTCGCCGCGCGGACTTTCAAGGATTCCATTACGTTAGGTACCTGAGATCATAGGAATCCACCTGGCGAGGCTTAGCTCGGGAGTTTCGGAGCTTTGCCACAGGTAACCTGACGTGTGTACATCAATGATAGTACTGTGTACTGTGTACTGTGGCTCAACACCAGCACTAGCCTCAACTTCAATGTTGAATTCACCAGTGCATGGCTAGTAGCTACTAGGTACCCTATCATATGCACTATGTAGCTTGAACATTGAACACTGCACATCCATGATGTGTTGCCTTCAAAGCTTCAAATGTTCCTACATATGTATTTACATACAATGACATACATACATACCTAAGGTGCCTAGTACGGAGTACCTACTTAAGCACGTATGTCTTAGTATTACGCTCATACAAGAAGATCGATCTTGCACTGAAGCATTGGCTTTTTGCATAACCACCCGGCACGGTTACTTAGGTAGGCAGTGTACTTAAAATAAGCATATCTGAGAGTAGCATACAACTGAAATCAGGTCCATCGATGGGTGCACGCCGCAACCCAGATTGATAATAAACTGTCAAAACAATACGTGTACAATATATTGTATTATATATAGAAACATTTGAAATCTAGAATCCTACATAGCACATAACTAGATAATACTATGCATTGTTTGTGTCTCTATTACTACGTAGTAATACTCCGCTTTAATATTCCGCTTTATTAATATTCAATGTTCAATGTTGTTGTGCGCACGTACATAGTATATATACTGTGTTCAAACTGTAAGCTTGACGCTGCCCTTCTATTTCGTTTGAAACAAGTAAAGCCCCTGTAATACTGAAACAGGCCTTTCCCAAAATACATAAGTGCATTTTGCACGCTTTTATCAGCACGCACGCGGTAGTTACAGAATGGAGGATAATAACACGTATGTAGTTCCGTATTATTATGTTGAAAGGTGAAGTAATTATCAAACTCTTACATTTGGCAATTGACGACCGTAAACAAACAGGTATGGTCTTATCCAAGATCTGCTAAAGTCAGTCCCTACTTATATGTAGCAGTAGCTAGATAGTATCCGTACTAATCCGTACATACATATGTACGCAATACCTACATACATAGCTAGATCCACGGCTTATCTTACCTGGGTTAGAAGGCTACGGTGGGGCTTTGGTCAAAACTCCAGAGTCCTCAACCCCTCGCCCCACTAATAAAATCTCCGGGTATGAAGTGGTAGCAACGATGCGATACCCAGCAGAAGGATTTCACTTCAAAGGTCCAAACGTTAAGATTTATACTACACACGTGTAGTTTAGATTAATGGAATCCATGGATCGTGTCTTGACACAAAACATATGCCTTCTTGGTAGTCGTAAGAACTTATAGAGCTATTGACATATATATGATATGATATGATATGTGTACATTGAAGTCTGTTATCACGGGCAGTTACATATGTATAGAAGGGAGAATTGATATATTCGATTTTGAATGCTAAAAAACATTGAATACCCGGGCCGTGGTAGCGGGTATTATGTACCTACCCTATGCATAATACTACATATGCAGGTAGGTAAACTTTAACTAGTCCAAGATATCAGGGGAGACGTACAAGGCAGGGTTCCTGAATGTTAGGGATGTTAGTAAACAACAGAAGACAACAAGTGTGTGTCAGGTTTCTTCTAGGTTCCTTCCCTTTTTAATAACCTGTGGTTGGCCGGCGAGGGTAGGGAAAGTAGGGAAAGCGCGAGTGCCTAAATAAGCAGGCTCTACCTACTACATACCTACCTACCCTAGGTATATGTATATTCAAGTTCTTTTCTTGAGAAGTGACGCGACGTACATAGTCTGCCTCCCCTTTTCATCCTACTTTTCTCACTCCATTCTCATTTTCCCACACTTTCTATTTACTTACCCTTCCTAATCTTTAACTCATCTTCAACATCGAAACTTAACATCGTTTCGCTACTTTATATACTTTGCTCTTCTCTTGGTATCAATCGCAGCTTTACCCAAAACAACGCGTATCGCGCACACGTTTGAGACAGAGACAGAATTAATACACATCATCGTCATGGCGCTGGCAACTGTATACAAGCAGTTCCTGGCTACACCCGATCCTACCCAGCTTGCTGCCGAAGCTGCCCTTCACTACATCACTACCACGACTAGTTACAGAGGTTCTGCCGACGTGCTTAAACACCTCAACACCACGGCCAAGCAGCTCAACAAGAAAAAACAGGAACTTATCTCAGTCATCGAAGGCCAAAATGCTATTGCTGCTGAGGTCGATACCGTTCTCGAGTTTATTACTTCTGGTGGACCTTACCTACCGGCTCTAGATGACAACTTCTTGGCTGATCGCACCGTTTATCTTCCCATGGTACGTACTGCTTCTTTACAAACTAGGCAGTTATGCCTTTACTAATACGCGACTTAGATCCATATCGTCACCTTTGACAACGACCACAAAATCCTGCAGATCCGCCAGACATGGGATCAAGGTTCCCTGCTCAAACAGCTCGACGTCATTGGCCGAACCGGTCGCAACTGGCCAATCCGCGACAGCAAAGAACAAATTAGGCTGATTGAAACTTGTATAAAGTCATCCAGCAATGGTATCGCTGGCCAAGAGCCTAATGAGTTTGCCGTTCGTTCCCGTGGCAACTCGAATAATGTCTTGCGCGACCCTCACGCTTCACTCGCCTTATTCGCCCCTCGCGATGACTCTGACCAGACCATAGCCTCGGTCATTTCTCCTAGGGGCGGAGCTCGGCCACGACAGCGCGATTTCGTCGAGATTCTCGGCGACGAACCCGTCGAGGGTCCCAACCGCGACCGATCCGAGTCGCCGAGCAAGGCTGTCGCTCCCAAAGCTGGCGGCGACAAGAAATTCCACCCGAGTCGCTTATTTGAGGATAAGGAATACGTGGAGGAGAATGATGAGTCTGAAACGGGCGCAACTTCAAACCGTATCTCCTACCGTCCTCACCCGAAAAAGTACAATCACTTCGACTTTAGCGATGGCACTGGTGAACCACAAGACGTTCCTCAACCCAACCAAACAACCCCAAAGAAGACGAAGCATACCAGCCAATGGTGCTTTGACGATTTCGTTACCCCACAGAGACCTCATCCATCTAAGACTTTGCGAAATCAGGAAGTGCGTCACTGGGGCACTGAGAATGACGAGAACCAGGAGAGCCCCGAGCGCAAAGCGGTGCCAGTCAAAGCCCGCCGTGATGCCGAGACCCATTTTGAATTCAAGGATGACGGCACCCCCAATGTCGAAACTCGATTTGTGCGCCCTCGTGGCACGACTCATAATGATGGTCTAGGACTATACGAAAACAATTTGTATAGTGAGGATGGAAATGGAAATGCGAACGAAGATGGAGCAGATTCTGCGGGCGATCCTCATGCTCTAAGCGCCATTACGAATCTCAAGGATCGCGGCCGAGATTTCGAGGCACACTGGGAAATGAAGGATAACTCACCGGTACAAAAGCCGCAGCCCAAGCCCACAGTTAGTGAAGACCGAAAGAAAGTGGTCAAAATGATGGAGTCCAACTGGACAAATTACAACAGCTCCCCTCTTCAGAAAGAGAACAACCCGGTAGAGGTGCCTAGCCACTCTGGCGCCCATGGCGACCGTGGAATACACATCGGCGGCGATGGAATGGGTGGTGGCCGAGGCTCCAACCGCGACTGGCTATTCGGTGACGAAGACAACAGTCAGGCTGTCAAGCCGGCAAACCGAAGAAAGCCAGCGACTGCGACCTCGGGAGGCTTTAACTGGGATTTCTAGGCGACCCAACCCAACTTTCGACGCTGAAGAGACCTTTGACAGCAACACAAACTTTCTACTTCTCCGTGACGAATGAAAACGCCTATATGCTGTTTATGAATTAATGAGGGGACTGGTGGGAAGAGGCCCGTTTTATTCGAGTCTATCTTGCGGCGGTGGCGGTCATGCCTTGGACAGATGTACTTGGCCGTCGGATTTTTGTCTTGGGTCCTCAATTCACAACTGGACTGGACAAGACCTGCCCTGCTGGACGGAAATATAATAACGCTATGAAGCACTTACTATGCTAGGTTTGCCATAGTGTTTATGAGGTGGAATGAACATTGGATGGCATGATAATTAGGTGTATCCATCTGGCGTGCCCCTTTCTGTTCTTGATCCCTCCTGTATAATCTCAATTTTCCTTTATTATACATATTCCGTTGACTGGAATAATAGTCTACACCTGTTTTATGTATCTTTCTTTGAAACTCCAGTCTCTCCCGTTGGTGCAGGCTGAATGACGAACAAGAAGTTTAGTAGACTCAAGTCATAATATGCAAACAACTTCTCTTCGGGTGTGATTTGATTTGGTCATTGCCTGGCTTTCTTCTAATAAATAGACCGTTGCCCGTAGCAAAATGAAAGAAAAGACTGTTCTTTCAACCCGAAAAGTACTGTGTAGACCAGCACCGAATATCAATACTATCGTACTTAATGCTCCTCGCTGTTGTAGATTTTACTTGATACAAGTACCTAATTATTTTTTGGTAGAATCATCGATCACGATATAGTGTTGGTTACATCACTCGGTAATGTAAAGGTTTTGTGACCGCACCAGGGAATAGAAATGCTCTTTTTGCATCGTAGACACAATAAAAACCAAACGCCTCGCTCCCCTTTCGTGGACATCAAGCACCTATCCTGTTGGTATGATACAAATATTGATTACCAAACGCCGGAGCACCCCCTTCAAAGTACTAGGTAGTCTCAAGCTGTACCGAATCTGCTTTTTCATGATGCCCATAATCATAAGAAAACTCTAGAATACACCTCTAAGATAGCGACCAAGTAGCTATGCCAGCTCTTTACTAGCCGTACTAAGACGTAGATTTCCAAGCATTAATTAATTATATCAACAAAAGAACCTGTAGAATCTCTTCCACTTAGGCCAACCCCTCATCTCCTCGGCCTCGTGCGCGAGGAGGATTGGTAGATTGAAGTCTCGACGTCCAGTATCTATATCCATGTCGGCGACTCGGATATAGGACGCCCTAGTGTAGAGACGGTGCGCAACGTAGAATATCACGACGACGGGGACGGCAGAATACTGGAGAAAGAAGTTCTTAGTCATTTCGCTGGCTGACTGGTCCCCCCAGTCCACGGGCCATGCGCCAACCCAAAATTGAGCTATCAACACCAGGACGTTGAAAAGGAAGCCCAGGTAAGAGCCGAGTACGCCGCACTGAGACTTGAAGGCCAGTTCGCGCAGGCTGTGCCCTTTATGTGCCCAGGCCTGGCGAAAGCGAATATGTGCCAGACAGATGGATGCCCAAGTGAAGACAGAAGATAATCCGGATATAGCGACAAGCCAATCTAGTACAATACCTTGTTTATTTAGATCAGCAAGATATGCTAGGAGACCCATGGAGGATGCGACTATGATAGAAACCAAGGGTCGTCCGCGGCGGTCGACATAGGATAAGATTCTGGGTGCTTGGTTCTGGTCAGCTAGCGCAGCAAGGGTTCGTGAAGAACCGAAGACAGAAGAGTTTCCGACAGAGAGGACAGCGATCAATATGACGACGTTCATAACAGATGGTAGCACTTCGATGCCAGCATTTTCTATGGCGATGACGAAAGGGGACGCTGCTGCGGACGCGGAACCGGGAAGAAGCAAACGAGGGTCATCGTACGGTACAAGGAGTCCGATGAGAGAGAGCGCCACGATGTAGAATAAAGTAATTCTCCAGAACACCTGCTTGATGGCCGTAGGAAGGGATTTTCGCGGGTTCGCCGTTTCGGCTGCGGCGAGGCCAACCAGCTCTGTCCCAGCGAAGGCAAAGGCAGCCGTAACAAAGACGCTGCAAAGACCTTTAAAGCCATTATGAAAGGCACCCGGCTCCCGCCAGTAAAGGCCTCCGATATATCCGCCACCAGGGACACCTCCAATATTCAAAACAATCCCTAGTAGGCTTCAGGGTAGAAAAGAAAAGAAAATTAACGTACAGTCTCAACAAGTGGATGTATGATTTGGGCTGACTTACATAAAACCAATCACAGCAATAACCTTGATGATAGCGAAGACAAATTCGGCCTCGCCATAGCCCTTGACGCCGAATAGATTTATGGCAACTACAGCAATTAAGAATATAGTTACGAATATGGCCTTGTTAAGATCTGGGTTCCAGTATGTTATGGTTATAGATGCCGCAATTATTTCGAGTGGCAATGTCACCAGCCATTGCAAAGCGTAACTAACAAATCGTGGTAAGCCGTCATAAAGTTTTCTCGATATAAGAGACGGATAAAGCCGAGAAGATTGAAACATACTTCCAGCCCATTGCAAAACCCCACGAGGGATCTAAGAAGCGAGTAGAATATGCAGAAAAGGACCCTGCTACGGGAAAGGAGACGGCGAGTTCACCGAGGGCTTGAACGGTGAAATACAACATGGCACCAATGAAGAGATAGGCGATGAGCAGCGAGGCAGGGCCACCAATTTGGAGAGCACGGCCAGAAGCAACAAACAAGCCCGTCCCTTTAAGTTTTTGTCGATTGAGACATCAAGTCAGCCTGGTCGTGGTTCAATTTCAGATTGGGAGAAAATCGAAGCGGAGGAGTGCGTACCTATGGAACCGCCTATAGCGATCATCTGCAGATGTCGGCCTTTCAACTTCCTGGCAAGGTGGGACTGTGCGGTTTGCAGATTGGCTAGTCGTACGTCGTAGTAGTGAGCCTGTGAGCTCCTCCTCCCTAGCATGGGCCGGTATAAATGGGAAGCCTCCATAGAGTGGAGTTCGCGAAGAGAGTCTTCGGGAGTGATGTGCTGAGCGGGGTCACGCCTGAACCCGTCGATCAAGCGATCAAAAAATCGTGGTGGTGCCGTCTCATCATATCGAGGCTCGCGCATCGTGTAGCTACTACCCGGCGCGAGAGAACCCTCCTTGACGGGGAAGATGTTCATCTCGATGTCATGATTGGACGATGACGATGTCATGGTGGTTCATTGGAGATTGCGCAACCGCGCGCTGGGCAAGGCTGGTTCTGAAGCAATCGATGGAGATAAGTGTATAGAAGGCAGCAATTATATGAATTATAGATTGTAACTGGATAGGTGAGTTTAGATAGATAGATAGCCCGCAATAGCTACTATGAGGAAATAGTCGATATCATCCATAGTACCAAGGTGAAGTTCTAAAAGTCTGCGGGGAGGTTTTAGAGGTTATTAGAGATTTAATACACAAAGTTCAAAGGTATCCGGGAAGATGTGGGTTCAGCCTCTAGCACCGTAGTAGCACGAGCTGGGGTAGATGGGCATGTGGGTCTAGCTTATCGACCAGTGACGACCACACGGTCCACACCAGCTAACCGGGTATCAATACCCTGTTTAGCGTGTGTAGTGGAACCATGGAATAGATAACATTATAATACCTAGTAGTTATATGGATACTTCATGACAGTTCATGTAGATAATATTCTGTATGTGTACAAGTACATAGTTACTACATATGCATGCAGGAACCAAAGACATCAATAGTAATTATTTACATGTGTAACTACCTACATAACTAGTACCTAATAAATGCGTACTACCTACATGTACCTACTAGGTAATGCGCATACACATGCAATCAATTGCAACAAATAAAACTTTGTACATTTTCTTTTACTCTACCTAAGCCTTATATACTTACTACGCGGCCAACGTCAAAGCAAGACAAACATCCCCCACCTTCTCCCCGCTTCCCCCCCCCCAAAAAGACACATTACGCCAATGATGCTTCAAAACCACATGTACGTGGTCTTGATATATGCAATGTATGTGCTCGATAACCCTCTCAGCTCACAACTTATGCAATAATGTTTCCTTCCGAGTCCCTTGGCTTTCGCTTCCACCCCGTCGAGAAAAGCTGGCCCATATCAAACCGCGGGAAGGCATGTGCCTCGGTGTTGATGACGACCTTATCCAGTGGGAGGACATCGTTTGGTGAAAAGAGAAGATAAAAATATTTCAGTGTCTCAGCCTGGTAAGATTGGGTTAGAGCACATAGTCACTGACATATACACATACCTAGGTAGTTAATGAAAGGGAGAAGTGGGATAGAACATACCAGCCAGAAACTCTCCATGTTGTCTCGCATCGGTGCCGGAATCTTGTTTGCATTCGAGAGGCTCGAAAATCCTCCGCCATCCGGAACAGCTGTGTGATTCATGAAGGACTTGAACATCTCCCAACCCCATTCTCGATACTTGACATCGCCAGTGATCCTCCACATGTAGAATAGACTCTCCACCGTCTCTGGCCGTTGTAGATTGTGTGTGTCCATACCGTGGACGTTGTAGTCCTTTCGCCACTCCGCCTCGGGATCCTCGTCGAACTTAGCCGGCGGATTGTGCGGAGCAGACTCGGGGAGAGGGGGATCTGCAATGTTGAAATAGGTAATCTCAGCCGCTAGGCCAGTTGCCATCCATTTATACATGCCCCAACATGTCTGCATTAGCTCTCTCGCTAATTGCATGTCGGCTTCGTTTTTCTTGGTCCATGTCGGCTGCTTTTTAGCCTCTGCTTCTGTCAGTCCACCCGTGGCGGCAAGGGCAATCGTGCCCGGCATGAAACAGACCAAGTGGTCCATTTTGGGCGAAAGAGCATTCTTCAGACCATCGGGTCGCTCTCCGATGATGGTGAAGCCGGAGGGTTCTGTATAGGTAACGAGATGTTTGCGAACTCCTCGCAAAGACTCATCCCACATCTCTAGATAGACAGGTTCCTGCTTGTTTGTTTGCAGGTATTGCTTGATGAGATATTCATAGTAAGAGTCTCCCCGGCTTCCCAGTCGGATATTCTGGCCTCTGAAAGTACCGTCTGTGGCATAAATGAAGATGGGAACCAGACCATCCTGAACACCATTATTATCCACAACTTCCATTACCTTCTCGGCTTTATCCCAAAAATACTTCTCGCCGGTAAGCTTAGCGATATACTTAAACTCGAGTTGTAAGGTAGTCGTCTCAGCTGTAGACGAGGCACCTCCCTCATCGTGAGCTGGTAGGCCTTCATATTTGGCCAAGTTAACGCTTGCATAGGGAACACCCGAGGGAGAGTCGAAGGCGGCCACAAGCCGATCAGCCAAATCTTTAGCCTTCTCGAGATATAGGTCCTCTCCTGGTGCGCCTGGATCATCATCGGCTAACGGTGCAAGTTCCGGGAACTCGTTGGAGAGATAATGGGCTGAGAGTAGGCCACCTAACATACGTATGGTGGTTTCGAAGGTGCTGACGTCTTGGTCTTGGTCATAGGATAGAGAGGTTGAAATCCATTGCCTCGCGGTGGCGACACGGGAAGTCAGGTTCATTAGAATCATGGTGTCTAGCGCATCCACGATAATCCAGCCCATCCCTTGCGGAGCCATTTGATGACCCTTCTTCGATACGGGATGAAACTCGTCATAACCTAAAGATGGGGGTTAGCAGCACGTACCGGGTATGGTTCATAGCTAAGAACTCGCGGTCAGGGCTCATACCCATGGCATATCGCTCATATGCATCCCAACTTAAAGTAAAGGCTTCCACTACGCGCTCCCTCCTTTCAGACCAGTCAGCAGTACTTGCCGATTCCGAACCGGTGAGCCAGGCCCATACAGGTGCCGAAGACACGGGGGTATCATGGTTGCTACCAAATGCACCCAAGTAGTACAGCACAAAGATCAGCAGCAGGACAGGGATGAGTAGCCGTTTTCTCCGCCAGATGGGTCTGGCTCGATGAGAAGCCGGGTATGCGTAAGGCTTATCCTTGTACATGGGGAGAGTATTCCGATCGTCAAAGAGGTTATTCACTCGATCTTGCACCCCTCCGAGTATTCCTGCGTTCTTGTTGGTGTTCGTGGAAGCTCCTTTTCCACCTCGTGAGGTAACAGCAGTGTTGCCCCAGACACGATCCTCCGCTAGCCTCTGGGGGTTTCCAAACGAGGGAACATTTTTAGGAACGGAAAATGACATGTCAAGTTCATCGACGGCTTGTTTGCTCTTCTCGATGGCATGAATACTCGCCTCGACGGCGCGTTCGGTAAGATCGACAGCAGCCTGCGATGCGGTTGTTCTCAGGATAGAAAGAGCACTCTTTCGATGGAGGCCGAAAGGGTCGCGAACGTTCATGGAGCAGGGAAATGCGGTCAAGTATCAGAACAACCATGAGTATATCTGATGATTGGTGAAGCGGATATCAAAGAAGGAATATAATTCAGGAATGGGCAATCGTTATCATCGGTGTTGTCGTCGTTGTATGTCGTTGTAGTCGCAAGGCGAATGATGGAGAATAAGCTTAATAAAACAAAACCAATACCAGCAGAAAAAGCTGCGGCAGTGGATAAAACTAATAAGACGACATGTGGGTGTTTTGTCTTTCTATCTCTACAATTAGAAATGATCTAATCTTCTCCTCGCGCCCACCTTCTCTAAACTTCTCTCTAATAAAACACACAAGCAAGTACTAATTCAGATTTGCAACAATGGAGATGAACAAAGAAGAGGGAGCCACCAATATATAATATGTACAATAAGGACACCCAAGCCAGATGTTCTAGTGCTACAGCCTACATGTACTATGTATGTACCTACCTAGTACAATTCAATCCTACAACGTGTGCTAACTTCCGCATACGGTACCTAGTAACATGTTACGAAGACTACCTAGTACTACATAAGGTATGGACCTGTGAGGCTTAGCGTTCCTTCCAGTCTCAGTGCTCTGTTTAAGATCAATCATTGCCGAGTCGCATTTTTTAATCGGCAGTGGCTTCCTTCAAAAAGCCACAGTTAGTTTTGATACTGTACTACCTAGGGTAACTGGCACTAGACTGGCACCCAATCAGATACATCTTTGGTACTACACTTTCAATGTTCATCTTGAAGTTCAACTTTCAACATGCTCATGTGCTCAGGTGCTCATATACTCATATTCATATTTGAATATACCTGATTGATCAGAATTCGTTTTTTTTTTTAAATATCCATGATCACACTCTGAATTCATTCTTTTCTTCCTCTCGAGGAAACATATCATCTCGTCAGTCAAAGTCGCTCAGATCAAATCCTCCTTCTCGCATACACCCCACCGCCAAGCCCTGATATATATACTTGCCTCATTACAAATTTACAATATTGAAGTTGGCGGTTGCGTATATCGAAATATTTACTTCGATGGCAATCACCCCAACTCAGGTGAATAGTGCATAGGACATACAGCAGGGTACTTTTATGATTTGATCGGTGATGAACATGAATCCATCCGGTATTCATCGCCCAACCTACACAGCATACCCCTACTTGACCCAGCCAGAATTCTCTGAAGTATGCCACCACCTCGACAGAAGATACTGCCAGGCTACCCTGGGTCCTCTGCGAAGACAATGGCGCCTCCAGGTTCATACAGCTTTGGGCATGTCATTTGAGCCTGGCCAACGAGGTTATACTACCTTCGTACAGATCACCCGACCTTTGGATGACGGAACCGCCGCCGACAGTCTCGCCACTAAATTTGGCGATGTTCACCTAGGTGACGAACAAGATGATGCTATGGATCTGACTGCTGACGATGTGATGATGAAGATGGAAGACTCGGATAAGGTTAGTACAGCCATGCTGACGGCTCCTGTTCAGTAGAAACAGGCGCTTATCGTTAATGATCATGATCTTGTAGGAAGTCCTTACCAGGAAGCGAACTCGGCCCAAGTACAATGCCAGTTATGTTAAATACGAGATACATTATCATCCCACGTATCGTGCTCCCTGCTTGTGGTTCAGTCTACACAATTTACCATCTGACGAGTCGGCCTTCGATGTCGAGACCGTCTTCCGCCGGCTAGTCCCTGAACAGTACAAGGATTCTCTTCGACGAGTGGGATCCGTGGGTGGCATGTCAATTGACGTGAGTGAATATCCGTACTGTCCAATGAGTCAATTATTTTGCTTCTCTAATCGGGTATTCTTTATTCTCTACCTTATGACTAATTGTGATCCTTACAGCATCACCCTATCACCGAGGTTCCTTCCTTTTTCGTCCATCCTTGCATCATTGGAGAAGCCATGGAGAAGTTTGACTGTCCTCGAGAGGATTACCTCATGGTATGGCTGGGATTGGTAGGGGGGTGCGTTGGACTCTGGGTCCCCAAGGAGATGGCAACCATGAGTGTAGTATGAGGGTCTGCTCGGTCGGACAGAAACGAAAATGGGACCAGCTGCGGCTAACAATGTTACAATCGCGAGAGATAGCCCTCGCTTAAACGTCCAATAGACAAGCCGTGTCATATACTAGCAGGCAAGTTCTTATTCGTCATCGCTGTCCTCCTCCATAGCCACGTCCTCATCACTGTCTTCTTCCTCCTCTTCGTCACGAGGCCGCTTTTGCCCCCGGGTATCAGGGCTGTTTGCATCAGGCATTGTATGGTCCGATGTCTGGGCCGGTTTCGAAGGTAGGCCAAGTGAGGTAGAAGTTGCGTCTGTCGACGCCCCACTAGTTGCTCCGGGCGCCGGGGCATTGAATATGTTATGTTGAGCTTCGGTCATCTCGACGTTGGCAACGGCGGATCCTGGTAGCTTGTATGTGCCGTCTAGCTTCGCAATTATATCTGACTTGGACTTCGCGTATTGGATGTGCTACAAGCGCGGATTATTTTAGTACTACTTGATATAGATGGGCTTGAGAACTCATATGCTTCACGTACCAGTGGCTCGCCCAAGAATTGGAACCCCTCCAAGGATCTCATGGCTTGGGTTGCGGCGTGGAGGTCGCGAAAGACAATATGTGCCTGGCCGCGCATCTTCATGGTCTTTAATGCGACGACATCAAGCACTGGACCGTAAGTAGAAAATAACATATAGAGGGCCGTCTTTAGGTCTGCCTTGCTTATTTTATTCGACCGTAGGTTGGTAACATAAAGGCTAGTCACGGTATTAGATCGGTTCAAGCAACGTAGGCAATGTAGGCAATAGAATAATGATTACTTACGTTTGGTTTGGAGGAATGGGCGGTATCTTGCCACCGGGTTTGGAGGATTGGCCTCGAGCAGCGACGGTTGTGGTAGAAGTAGCGGCCATGGTGACGAAGAAGAGGAATATCTGAAGAGATTGATCGATAGGTTGGTTTGTTATTTTTGTCGCATTACCGATATAATTTCCTGATCCTTTTTGCTAGCAGAAATCGTAAGCTACGCCTGGGTAGGTATGTATGTAGTAATAATAAACAGGAGAATTGTGATTGATAATGATCATTGATGTTTTTCGAAAATGCTTCAAGGATAGTACACCTAGGTAGTAGGTATTATGATGTATCATATATGCAATATTCTACATAATACATACCTACTAAGTACATATGTATAGTAGCACAGACGTGGTGTACTACTAGTAGTACATTGCTAGGTACATACATAGTACGTTAAAGTGTGGTTAGCTAGCGTGGCTTAGCTTTCCCCCAGCCAGTGGCGGCACGTCTCAAGCCTCCAACTGGGAATCTTGAACCTTTAACCTCTCATCTTTTGGATACTTACATTTCTTCTCCTCTTCTCTCTCTCTACCTTCATAACCACGTTTTACCAAGCATCACCCTAGTCTGACGTCGTGGTAGTAGAGTGCTATACTCCTATCATTTACGTGTCAATAAAAACCCTCAAAAAGGAGAAAACAAAAGAGGGTATTATAGCAATTGAAAAGGAAATAAAGGAAATAGCTGGTTATCATGGCAGCTCCCGAAGTTCATCATCTCTTCCACCACCCTATCGCCGACCATTCTTTTTCCGCCGATCGCAAAACGCTAGCTGTAGCCAAGGATACGAGTATCGAGCTCTATGAAAAGGTCGGAAATGCCTTCAAGCTAAAGGATGAATTGAAAGGTCATGATAAGACCATCACTGGTGTTGATATTGCTCCCCAAAGCGGCAGAATTGTCACATGTTCCCAAGGTCCATCTATCCACTCTAAGGAGCCTAGAATGAATATATTCTAATGTGATTTTGTAGACCGCAATGCTTTGGTGTGGGAACCGTCCCCTACTGGATATAAGCCCACCCTAGTGCTTCTTAGAATTGCTCGGGCCGCTACCTTTGTCCGATGGTCTCCTTCCGAGACCAAGTTTGCTGTTGGATCTGGCGATAGGGTTATTGCCATTTGTTATTTTGAAGAGGAGAATGATTGGTGGGTTTCCAAGCATCTGAAGAAGCCTATCCGAAGCACCATTACCACTGTCAACTGGCATCCCAATTCGGTCCTTCTTGCCGCCGGCTCCACAGACGCCCACGCGAGAGTCTTTTCAAGCTTCATTAAAGGCGTTGACGCTCGTCCTGAGCCCAGTGTTTGGGGTGAGCGTCTCCCTTTCAACACTGTCTGTGGCGAATTTTTGAACAACTCTGCTGGTTGGGTGCATTCTGTTGCTTTCTCTCCTAGCGGCGACGCCCTAGCGTTCGCCGCCCACGATAGCAGTATCACCATTGTATATCCCACTGCCCCTGAACAACCCCCAAGGGCTGTCATCAGCGTCAATACGCAGCTCCTCCCCTTCATGAGTCTGATATGGAACGGCGAGAGCGAGATTATTGCGGCTGGCTACGATTGCGAAGCCTTCAGATTCAAGGGCGGCCCATCTGGCTGGCAGCTGAGTGGAACACTAGAATCTAAAGGAAGACCCGGCTCAGGGGACGCCCGAGAAGATTCTGCTCTGAATATGTTCCGGCAAATGGACTTGAAAGGCAAGGTCAAGGATGATACTCAACTAAAGACCGTTCATCAGAATACCATCTCGACCGTGCGCGTTTACGAGACCAATGGCGAATCTGTCACTAAATTCAGCAGTAAGTTCTTTCCTGTGCTCAATCGAGTTCTTGCCATGTCAAAACACTTGCTAACAAATTATAAAGCAAGCGGAGTAGATGGTAGAATTGTCATCTGGCACACATAGACTTATAGATAGTAAACCCCACGAGCGAATTGAGGTGTCTCAAACTCCTTCTCATCCTTTATCCCTTTATCTGCCGTATTTATCACTTCTCTTCAGTTCTATTCTTGCATATACGCGAGAAGTCTAGGAGTTTCCCGTGCGTAGAAAGGCCCTTGATTGTGTTGAGCGTTAGAAGCCTACATACAGCCCATCCTACCCAGTTGTCCGTGTCTTCGCCGTGCTATTAATATGCAGCAAGTCCCCTGTTTCCTAGTTCATCTAGTTCACCAGTCTACAACTAGATCATGCCAAAATCAGTGACATCGCCAAGTGATTTTATTTATCGAAGGCCTCGAGGTTCATTTCCTAGTTCACCTGCCCAGGACGAACCAACCATGGATCTCGGGGGTCAGAGAATATCTGATACTTGCCTACGTTACGAGCCCCTGGCACTGGAAACCCGTAATTCGGGTTCCCATGACACAGTTGGTCCTGTATTACCTGGAATGTCTCAAACAACTCGGCGTGCTACGTGTCCAACCCCCCAGATCGCCAACGAGCATGATAATCAACTATCGGCATTCTCGCCTAAATGCCGCAAACCTCTGCCGGGCGTGTTTTATCAGTGCTCGACTTGCCATCGCGGAGTTAAAACATCGAGTTCTACGTCCACTACAAATCCTTCGAATCCTGCTCCTCATCTCCCACAGGCATCCGAGGGTTTTCCTCCAGCTAATGCTGCTTCCCAGGATACTGCCACCGTCACAGTTTCAGATTTCTCACCTCGACAGATCTCCGGAGACACGACGTTGCCTATTGACTCTACCCAAAACAGCATAAGCCAGCATTCTTCAACAGACACGTTTACTCTTACCAGTCAGAGCACGAGTCCCCCCACCAGCAGCACAGAACACGCATACTACATCTGCGCCACTATCCGCGCTGTCTACGACATCTGTCTCCAATCCACGAAGACGTACCTAGACTCCCACCTTGCCAATCGTCGGGCCAGGGCAAGCCACTCCCCATCGTTTCTCAGTCACCTTTCGCATCATCATCCTCAGCTGAAGGCAGATCCCGGCAACGACGACCACAACTGCACCATGAACCCTACCCAGCAAACTGCCATCGCCGCCACAGCCAGCCTCCACACCGGATGCAACAGAACAGACGACACCCCTCCTATCCCATCGTCAACGAACTCGCTCCTCAAGAACGTGAGCGCCATCTGCAGCATGCTGTGGACAGGCTCGCAGCACTCGCGCCTCGACGTCCTCAACATCGAGCGCATGGCGGTAGACAACATGAGCCGGTTGCTGTGCTGGGCGGAGACCGTGGCCCTGGGCGACTACGACGAGTGGAGGATGGCCGGGGACGACGCCATGTGGCAGGTGCTGGAGGCGGGTCGGAACCTGTGTGCCTGGCTAGGGGTCCCGGATGGCATCCAGGGCATGGAGGCGTTGGGGGCCAGCGTTTTGAGGTCAAGACATGGGATCCTCTAACCTAGGTGCCTAGATAATAGAGAGAGATTTGTGTGCATTAAGTAACTCTCGGGAAATATGAGCTACGTATAAGTTTATCACGGGATAGTGATGGATAGTCAGGACTCACCAATGAACCAAGTCTTGTAGAGCTCCAGGGCGGTCATATGCCTATTTTGTGGCCACATAGATCCAGCGTTGAGAAAATCAGTTAACAATAGAAAACGACAGGATTTCACGTGCGTTGCAAACCCCAAAAACTTGTAATTAAATCACCGTAGATGAGGGATGAGGGTATTCGTATTTAAACCGTCTTATTAAATACAGTAACTACCTACACATCAGGGTATCCATCCGATTATGTGTCTGTCGGTTACGATGATTCACCTAAAACAAGAAACCCCCAAAAGGAAAATACCCATCACTTCCGGCTCTCATTTGACACCATTTTTAATCATGACCTTAGTATCGGGCCTGCCTGGATGTATCCGGGAAAGGGGGCGCAACTGGAAATCTTGGATCATAATCTTCATAAAGAGAAGCGTCGTTCATTGGAGCCGATTCATAAAAGGAGCGTCTCGATACGCCCTCTGGCAGAGTTCCGGTCCTAGCAGTGGGCTGCTGCAAGGCAGTCTCCGTTCTGGAAATGTATTCATATCGTGATCGGTTGTTGAAATGTGCATCATTTTCGTATACCCTTTGCGGGAATATAACATCTCGATGGGAAGTGTGTCCATCTTGGAAGACGAGGGGGGGAGACTCTCGCATAAGCTCGATCGGTTGCCGAATAAAATACTCGCCTCTGGAATCCCGCATCCGGACAACTTCATATGCTTCAGAATACTGGGAGGTGGCATGGCGTACACGGGCATCATCCGTATACGCGTCGTAATATCCCCGGCGGGGGTGTTCATATGACATATCATCTCGCGGTGCTGGGGCCCGAATATCGCCATCAACTAGGCTAACAGGACCAGAAACGGGGCTGCGTTCTCTATATTGATCATAAGGATGCCTGTGATTAAGATAGGCATCCTGTGGATTCTCCACATATCTCCCTGAAGACGGCTTTCCCTCATGGCTGACATCATCAATGTGTCTAGATTGATGGCCCGAATGTTGATAAGATACGTGTTGCCGATCGAGTTGAGACTCCAAACCAGAAAACAAGTCTTCCATAGTATCCTGGTCAGTTACAAGCTGATGATGGTCTGTAATTTGAGTCGAGAATGTTGGTGAGCTATTAATCTGAGCCATTTCGGTATAGTGATTCCTCCGAGGTTCTGTATTAAACATTGCCACTGAGACGTTAGATTCTTTCGTTCCAACTAAGTACGGGGTTTTGGATGCAAGTCGGGCGCTTTCCTTGCGCTCTGCCGCCCACATGGCTTGGATCTCTTCTCCATGACGCCGCTCTTCTTCTGTGACTAGATCTTCACCGAGCTCTTGCAGTTTTCCTTTAGCCGGTGAAGCCGTTCTGCCACCTTTTCGGTTTCCCTGGCCGGATGTATTTCTACCTTTGGTAAAAGTGCCCTTTTGCTTTTTAGACCCTTTCCCGCCAGATTCTTGCCCTATCTCCGCGGATGATAAAGGTGCAGCACGCGAGTTCCGGGCCTCGCCTAGTTTATGATTTTGTATGTAATCTCGCATGTTATGTAGGGTCTTGTCATGTTCATCGATTGAATGTAGAGATGAAGGATTATTTTGAGGCATAGCTTGTGAAAACATCGTGCTATAAGACGATAGCTGATTAGTATGGGGGGGAGCGTTCGGGTCAACCAATGTATTCTGAATGTTAGAGCTTTCTTGAGGATAACTATGGTACCCTATGGCAGGGAAAGCATCAGAGATCAGTGATTGCCTTCGACTATCAATGTTCGTTAGGCGATGGAGTCTAAACAGCACGGATAGATCTGGTGTATGCACCATATCCCGGGTCCAGTCAAGATTTGGAGAGCCTATCGCTTGCGGCTGCTCTACGTGCCTCCGCTGGAAATGGTTAACTAGCTGTGGCAAAGAAAACGTCTTCCGATCCGGATCGATTGAAGTTCCGTAACCAAGACCAAGATTGCAGGCTTTGCACATGAGACCATTGACATTGCGAACGGGGCGCATTTCCTTATTATTTGAGAGGCCATCAATGAATATTGTCAACAGCGGAGTCTCAGAAAACCTGGATTGAAATCTTCGCACAACATGATGGACGACAACACAGACTCTAATATACCCTGGAAGATCTTTTAGTCCAGCCATGGATGTCCATACTTCACGCGAAGTCTTAGCCAAGAATTCAAGTTGAGCTTGACTTTTAGTGCCGATTGGACCACCGTAGTACTGTTGAGAGTTAAAGTGTGAGTTACCCTGGCTGTTGTCAGAGTTATAACTATTGAATACTTCGGCTGTAGGTGGATAAGTGGGAGGGCCAGGATGGAACCCGGGAGAGAAAGGCATAGGCGGACCAGGGTGGACAGTCCCTTGGGCACCATGAGGAGTATACGGCGACGGGTGAGGATATTGGGGGGTATAGTCATGTTGTCCTAGGCCGTAACTATTCATCGGTCCGAACCTTGGGTGTTCGTAACTGGACTGAGGCAGCGTGTAGTATGGGTATGGGGGTGGATGAAATGGCGTTGAGTTAAGAGTCGAAGAATGAGTACTCGACTTTTGGAGAGGGTGGCCGATGCTATTCTGAGCCCCTTTTGGCATTATGGTTGGCGAGTATAGGGCCTTGTTGCCCCAAGACTCAGACCTGAAAGGTGGGGTCTCCGGCCACTCAGCCCGCCAATGCACAACAACACTACCAAGACTGAGGGCATTTGTATGCTTGGCAGCATAATGTTGGATTACTCCTTCAAATCCAAAAGTTTTGAAGTTACCTTCGCACCCGTTGCAATAGAATAGGTCCTTTCGATATGACTCAGTATGAGGTTTGATCTTCGCATCAAAGAGCCACTTCATGTTTTCAAGGGTAAGCTTTTTCGTAAAGGGGCCTTCAGGCGGGTCCATGATTACTTCTTGGCCAGCAGCGCGTAAATCTGCAGACTCCTTTGCAATTTCATCGTAAAATCTCTTACGGATGCAGAGAAGAACTTCTGCTGCAAACTGCACACTGTTTTCCATATTAACTTTTCGCCCATCATCCCAATTAATATGGATCGTTTCATCAGCATATGCAGAGATTCGGGCACGTAGTGGTGCTTGCACATCATCCCAAGTTTTGTCTATGAGTTGCTTAGCTGCCATGCTGCTCTCCTCAGTATTGCGGCCCTCATCGGGTCGTTCTGGGATGTTGTAAGGCTGAATGGGAGTGTCATGCTCAGTTCGTTCAGCATCTGCCCTTTGTGAGAGCAACCGAGGCTTGAGCAAATCCCAAGCGTTATTATCGAGAGGTGAAATAATTTGGATAGCTGCCTGGAAGGAAGGTATGCGCGCGAGGACATCTACTGGCAAGGGTGGATCAAGTCCCATTGCACGTCGCTCAATCTCAGCTCGACGGGCAGCCTTGAGCTTCAGTGCCTCTTCACGAGTGCGGGCACGAGGTAGGTAAGCCTGGACGCCGTGCTGTGATAGGGGAACCTGGCTCGCTGAATTGTTTTCTGTGAGAAGTTTAGCCACCGGCAAAGGATGAGAATTATGACAACTAACGTTGGAAAGCAATAGTAGAATTATGCTTTGATTGGGATGCTGTTGTGGAAGGACTGATGTGGCTCGGATTGGAGGATTTATGCCCAGCCGTATTGCTCATACTCGAATGTGACCTGGAAGTCGAAGAGGAGATATCCATCAAAATTAACCCTTTGCTGTTTGGAACAGCTACGTTTGGGACACAATCTGAGGGCAGTAGAGTTTGCATCTGGGTAACTCCTCCGGTCGAAGTCCACTTATCCCATCGCATCGAATCGTTGAGAAGCTCCCGTCCCCGAACTTCTAGGCCTTTCAGCCACTCCTCGATGGTTGCACTACCCATAGACTTGACCGCGAGAAATTCCGCTTTGAGCTTTTCCGTATTTTCGGGGAGATATATCTTGGTGACTTGTAGATCTTGTTGGACCAGTCCCTTCTGAAGCGAATCGGCTGAGACAATTTTCATTTCACTGGTGATCAACACAAAAGGCAGAGCAGGCATGAGCAAGGATGGTACCGAGGAAGAAAGTAGCAAGTCAAGTTCCTTGTCGACAGTGAGATAGTCTCCTTTAACTCGGGATAAATGGATACATACCTTTACAGTGTTCTTTACAAGGCAGGGCCCACAGCTTCGGAGTCCAAATGCCCAGACAGGCTGAGACATACCACTACGGGAACGTGATTGCAGTGGATCTGCCTCGTCACAGAACTGACATGTTTTTCCACAAGCTAGGCGCCACATATCAAGCTCAGTCTTCCCCTGTAACGGAGCAGGCATCCTTTGCCAGAAACGTCTTCTTGATAACTGCCAAATGACATCAGGCCCTAGTAGTGGAAGCGATGTTTGTGACAGCACGCGTGGATATGTACACTGGTACTCAGAGGAGGGGTTGAGATATACGTTAAACAGCTTGTTAGTACGCAACAGATTACCCAGCGCTCTTGGAGGAGTAAAGGTAAAAATGCGATGCCAAATCTCCGCAGGGAGCAGTGATCTATCGGAGGGACAGAATTCTTCATATAGTAGTCCACTACGGGCTTTCTCTTCTACCTTCACCTTTTTAGGCAAGGCTGTATGGCTTGTTGTATCTGCTGTCTCTGATGTCTTTCGTTTCTTGGAATGGCCTTGACTTGGATGAGCAACAGAGAGGAATCTGATTCCTGGATGTGATATTATATGCCGAGTCGGAATGTGTTCGTTGCCAGTGGATATTAACGGGCCAGGCTCATCTTCTCTATCAGAGTCTGACATGGAAACATCCGAAGACGACTGTGACTCCTCAGTACTAGAGTCGAGCGGGATTTCGTCATCTTCCATGTTGTTTTCCTTAGAGGTGACTAGTTTGACTAAGTTACTTGGTGAAAATAAATCGGCACCTGGTATCGTCAATATAAGCTACACCAGAATATTTGAATCGGCTTGCTATAGTTGTTAACAGCAGACCAGAAACCCCCAAGACCAATCAACACTTGTCGAAAAGTAAATGAGATGATTTGGCTTCAAAATTCAAGTGTATGTGTATTCTCAAGGCCCGTCACACTTTCAAGCGAAAGTATGGCTCCTTCAGAGACTTGTAAGGGCAGGATGGGAAGAATAAGGCAGCATACGCTGTCCGATGAAATAGAAGAAGAATCAGCCTGACAGACAGAAGCGTGACTTTCAAGGCCTTGATTATAAGTTCCCTAGCAGTAGGGGGCGGAGTGGAAAGAAAAAAAGAAAAGAGAGAAAAAAAAAAAGAAAAGGTGCCCCGGATGTGGAATACGATGAACACGATGAACAAGATAAAATATTCATATATATTGTTCAGAGTGTCTTGCCATGTTAGTGAGAGAGGGGAGGGAAGAGACAAAGACAGAGACGTAGATTTGAAGATGCCTATGAAAACAACCTCAAGACTGTGTCGGAGAATATTCTTTTCTTGCGTATATTATGTACGTAGCAAAAGGTCAACGGTCTTTATAGTAGTGAAGGAAAAGGAAACAAATGGTGATGGTTAACAGTGGAGTTAAGTTGTGATTGCGGAAGTAACATCAAAACATGGAGGCAGGTCTGAGGTCCAGTGTCCACGGCGCGCCATGTAGTTACCTATATTACATAACTACTGTACTTGACACTCTTGTTAGCTAACTCTTGTGCATAGGTATGTACTAACTTAGGTAGTTACTAGGTAGTACTGTAGGTACAAACTTGAAGTAACTAGTTTGCAAGGATAATTGATATTTCCGATCAATGGATAGTTAACTAAACTGAACGTACATGTACGCCGTACAGTACATAATTAAGTCGGGTCCAATGCAGTGTAAACTGCTATAAGTGACTAGGTTAACCTAGGTTAGTATTGTACATGCCTAGCCTACCCTAGGTACAATAGTAACAATACGAAGTAGGTACCTAGTAGTATTGTTTATGCACATGCCAGTACGGAATGAATTATGCTGTTATAACTAACTAAATAAATAAATGAAAACAACAACTCGAACCCGTAAAAATGCCCCTCCCCCACCACCATCTGCGATTGGCATTTCTTTCGTATCGACATCTACAATCCAATCCAATTCATTGAATTCACCTGACCAAGGTATCGCAACCACAAGAGAGTTAGGTCCATTTTTTCTCTCTTTTAAGGCGCATAAATCATCATTCTTTTTTCTTTTGCACGCATACACGCACACACAAGTACAACTCTTGCGACAAGATGGCGGCACCAGACAAAGTCTTCTCTCTGGAAGGGAGGGTTCTCAAGCTGGATACTGCTCAAGACCTCGAAGCCCACATCGGCCCACTGCGCGCCATGGATGACGTCGAGGAGGTGCGCATCCTAGGAAACACTCTAGGTGTCGAGGCTTGCAAACTGCTTGGTGAAGTCTTGGCGACAAAGAAGTCCTTGAAGGTAAGCACATAAGAAAGAGGGGAAGAGGAAGAGGAAGAAGGTGAGGAAGAGGAAATTGTCATCGCTAACCTTGCTTGCTATTCATATCCAGGTTGCAAACTTAGCTGATATATTTACCGGCCGTCTACTGAACGAGATCCCCGAGGCACTCTCGTCTCTTCTTACCTCTATCCTCAACTTGCCTAACCTTCGCACCATCAACTTAAATGACAACGCATTTGGCCTTAATACCCAGGCCCCTCTGGTCGCTTTCTTGTCCAAGCACATCCCACTCCAGCATTTGTACCTCAACAATAATGGACTGGGACCTCATGCCGGCATACTTATCGCCGATGCGCTCTCCGAGCTCCACGCAAAGAAGGAGGAAGCCAGAAAGGCTGGTCAAGATGTTCCCTATCTAGAAACAGTTATCTGTGGCCGAAACCGATTGGAAAATGGAAGCATGCTTGCTTGGGCCAAGACTTTCAGCCTCCACAGCAGCATCAAGGAAGTGAAGATGGTACAAAATGGAATCCGTCAAGAGGGCATTGAACAATTGCTTACTGCAGGTCTGAACCACGCCACGGGGCTGAAGGTTCTAGATCTGCAGGACAATACCTTCACCATCAAGGGGGCCAGAGCACTTGCTAAGGTTGTCCCGCTCTGGGCAGATATCCAAGAGCTTGGCATCGGTGATTCTCTGCTCGGCGCCAAAGGTGGCGTCCTCCTTGCCGGCGCCTTCGCTAAGGGCCAAAATCGAAAACTCGAGACACTTCGCTTGCAGTACAACGATATCAATGCCGTCGGAGTTAAAGGCCTTGCGTCGGCGGCTAGGGATGGCCTACCGGCTTTGAAAAGGATTGAGCTCAACGGTAACAAGTTTGCGGAGGATGATGAATCCATACTAGCCCTCCAAGAGCTGTTAGACGAGCGCAAGGAAAAGAGCGGAGGCGACATCGTCGACGAAGACGCCTGGGGCGTGGATAGCTTGAGTGACCTCGAAGACCAGGACTCGGACGAGGAAGAGGAGGAGGAGGAGGAGGAGGAGGAGGAGGAACCCTCTCCTCATGAAAAGGCCGAAAAGTTGGCCAAGGAAGCTGAAGAGGCCCAGGAACAGCCTACTGTCCAACTGAAGGACGACGAGGTGGATGCGCTGGCGAAGAAGCTAGCTCAGACCGAGATCTAGGCAGACACACAGACAAGCGTGAAGGTCAGAGCTACGGCTCGCTCAGTCTAATTCACAACCCGGGCCCTCTGTACAAGGCGATCATAGAGTAGAAAAGACGATACCCCCCAATCATTAGGAAATCAATTCACATTAGCCTAATACCTCCAACCGGAAAGCGATGCTTGCTATGCTGATTTTCTACGAAAGGTTGTGCAACATTGGCCGCCCAATCCATCCACTACCTAAATTACCTCGAGGTATTTAGATGTCTCGATAATAGAACTTCTTGTCGCTAGTTTTCTTTGTCAGTATGTGTCTCCTCAGTTGGTATAAATGTATTACTCGACGAGTCATGTTTTGTATGTTTTGCGTGTCTACGATTATGATGCCGATCTAGGTACTAGATAGACATACAAGTATGCAATGGGCGGCAACCACTGAATGTATGATTGAAATGGGACTAGAAAACAGACCAGACAAGAGGAGTGGTTAGCATAGGTAAGATGGTTTACGCTGTATATACAAGATGCGCTTTTGAGTGTACCGGCCCGGTCCTTCAAATCAAGCAAGTGGCCGCGCCCGAACGAATAAGTAACCAGCAGCCCTCAAGAACCACGTGAAGCCAATCCATGACATGTTATCCTCGTTTAATCGTACAGATGACAAGTCAGATATCGCATTTTCTACGTAGAAAGCCGTCCATTCCCCGTCTAAGTAGGCCCCGGGTTTCAGTAAGTCGTGGGCTCTTATTATAACACTTCGCCGATGATTTTGGCCGCTTCCCGGTATGTTTGTAGTAGCTTTTCACACTTCTCGCGCTCCTTTTTGACGCCATCGTCTTCGTATAGGAGCTCTTCAAACAACATTTCCTTGTAGAGCTCGCTAACCAGCCTATTCTGTACCACATCTTTGCAGTGGTTGACGAGTAGATGCATGACGGCTTTGGGGACCTGGTCGGCAATAGACTCGCGGACTATGTTGAAATATGAGGATATGAGTGCTCGGATAAGCTCCGTCTCCATAGCCTCACGGTCACTTAAGGCTGGCTCCACATTATCACCCTATAGGAAAATCACAAGTTAGTTACTGCGAATTGCACGGTCTTGAGGGAAACTAGGCAGCCAGGCAACTAGACAACTTACCGTTTGCGGCCCAAATCCATACCCAGCAGCTTTCGAGCTTTCATCCTCACGAACCAATGATGATGAGATAGCAGGTCGATGAGTCAACTTGTCTTCGCTCCGCCGAATACTTTGACTAAAAGTAGGTTCTACACCCTGACTGACGTGACGCGGAAGTGAAGAGGGTGCACCAGCCCCTGAAGACTGTTGCGGTCCATCTTTGCCAAAAAAGTAAGTTAAAAATGAATCCCGGGCACTTCCAATAGCTTGAGGATTAAACCGACTAGGAGAGTTGGAACGCCCGCCGTTCATGGTCATGGCAGAGGCGATGCTTGGAGTTCCATTCTCGAGGAGGTTAGGCGACATACTCCGGGGTCCCTTGGAACCCTGCTTCCGCGATTGAATGACCTCGCCCTTGTCGTGGCTGCCGTCTTCCTCGTCCTCCGGTGTCTCCGTCCCGTTCGTACCCAATTCCTTGAGTCGCTTCTTTTCCCGTCGTTCCCGTTCTTCTTGAATGAACTTCTTTCTTTCGCGTTCCTGCTTATTAGTGACTACATGACTCATTGCAGCCGCGGCCCCTAAGAAATTGGGATGGTTTGTGTTGATGTATGCCCGCTGGATAGCAATTAGAGACTCGACGTAAGATGACGCCGGCCCAAGCCGTTCTCTCAGAAGGTCAGATACGACTTCTATGAGCTTGGCCTGAAGTCTCGGATATCGAGAAAGCTCCGCCGAGCCGCAGGTGTGACATATTTTAATCAGCTCTTCGTACACCAACTCGACGCATCGTTGACTAGGAAGCTCTAGAAGCTTTATCTGTGGCTTCACAAGCAAGTCAAATGCCATTTCGGGCACAAAAAGACTTGGGCGAGGACCAGTGGAGTTGCGAATGGCGGTTCTAATATCAAGGGCAGAAAGGTTGGAAGTAGGATCGATTGACTCCAACGCACTGCCGAATACCGAGTTAAAGATATAATAGATCCTTGCGCCTCCGGATAACTCTTTCGTTGATATCTCGGTAGAGGTACCATCGATAGATGAGACAAAGGAAGTGGCGAAGCGAGTCATAAGCTGGAGAATCATGGATCCACGATGTTCTTTCCCACTAAAGTGCATATCGCCGTAGCTCGCAAGCTCTTGCTGCGTCTGACCCATCAATGTGTTGAGGCGCGCCTTTATGTCAGGCAGACGCTCCCTAATATGCGACATAAGAGTTTGATTCAGGGTCTTAGCTAGGTATTGCGTTCCGCAACGCATCGCGATATTTCGATAGGCAGGGTGGTGTTTGAAAAATTCAGTTTCTGCTTTGAGAGCATCTTCCATTGGCCGGTTGCCCTGGATATCCTGCTGAGACCGATTGACGACACCGATAAAGCCTAACTTTAACGGGTAGACACGCCCCGAAAGAATATCCATGGCGTTGGTACCATGGTCCATCAAGTCTACCTTGGTGAGGACTCCGATTGTCCGTCGGCCCAAAGGATCAACATGCCTCGCAAGTTTGAGGGCCTCCGAGTTCACGATATCGACATTTGCAGGAGAGACGGCAAGAATAATGCTGTTAGGTTTAGCAATATATTCTGAAATGAGTGTCCGAGTCTGCTTCTCAATATCGGCTGGTTGATCGCCAATGGGAACCTATGATATGCAAGTCAGTTATTGGATGGGTTGTCCCTTTAATCAAGCGAGTGTAGGTACCTTAGTTAGCCCGGGCAGATCAACTAATGTGAGGTTGAGAACATGGGGAGAGTAAATTTTCAAGTTGATGGGCTGTCTGTTGATGCCTTTATTGTTTCCAGCGACACGAGAGGTTTCACTCTCTATCTCGCGCTTGACGTCTGCAAAATCAGTAAATTTTCGACCAGGTATATGATGAAACTCTGCCCATTCGGAACGGCGAGCCTGAGTAGGATTTCTATAAGCGGCTTGTAGATCAGGTTCGGCTGGGTCCTCTTCAACGTTGATTAGTTGTAAAATGAGGGGACGACGGGTGACAATGCCGCTCCCTCGAGGCAAGAAATCACGGCCGACGATATTCTCGAGTACTGAAGACTTGCCAGCAGATTGGGAGCCGACCACGACCTAAGAAGGCGATGAATGTAAGTAGCTGTAAGAGTGTAAATCTAGACTCGATAGAGCCAGAAATTTAGTGAAGGCGCGTGACCTACGATTTGAGGCAAGTCGAGGGAGTCTGTGCCAATAGTATTGAAAACCAAATCCTGAAGCTGATTCACAATCCGCAACAGGTCGTCTCCTAGGGCCGCCATGATGGGGACGAATAGCTTTCACTTAGCTTCTCGACGGTAGATAGTGGCCTCGTTCCTCTTTTCCCCTCCTTTTTCTTCCTTTTCCGGGGGGGCTTTTTTTCTTTTCTGTTTTTCAATATTCGTTTGCAATCTTGTTCGCCAGCAATCAACTTCTTTAGAGACTGATAAATTTTGTGTCTGCAGTCAACAAGAATCGCGGGCGCAACCGGCAAAGCGAGCTTGGACCAGAGACAGAGCCAAGGATCGCACAACGCAAAAAAATTGAAGAAAACTAACTACCTTGTGTATGAGGTAGATAAGTAGAGAAGGGTGAGTATGTTTGTGTGAGTGAGGGAGGGAGAGAGGTAGGGCTGGGCTGGGCTCTTAATGAAGAAAAAAAAAAGAGTTGTTAAGGTGTCGCAGCCCAGTCAGTGGATGCAAAAGTCAAGCAGCTTGAGGCGTTGAAAAATATTGGAAACATTCCAAAAATGCTACATAGTACGGTACCGTGCTGTACTAAAGCACCTATTAGCACCTATCTTCTCTAGCTAAGGTACACATGCATACCAACTTGGAAACTTCTTATTGCATTTTATGCGTACATACATACGTAGGTACATACAGAGTACTATGTAATGTATCTTAGGTACCATGTGCTACATATCATGTAGCTTTACTATGTCCGGCCACCGGGTAGGTACGGCCGAGTACCTAAGGCCGCATCTCCAATCCAGCATCTCCACCCCGTTTTTACCGGGGGCGTTGGCCCTATCCAATCAGCGACGACTTGATTGGGTCAGATAGGCAATAAGTACGTACGTACATGCCCAGATATGTGACTTGTCCCTCCTTCAAGTGCTTGTCATTAGCACCAATCAGTTCGCACCGAACAGCAAATGTAAATCATCCACATAAGTTGTACTAATTATTCATGCTATTCAATTTTTGAACTTCAATGTTCTTCCTAATTCCTTCTTCCGAGTTAATAGTACTGTAATTACCTAACATGCTGACGCAGAGGAGCATAGATATGCTTCGAAATTATGCGTACGGTTTGCCTTAAACACCACGAACATGAGTCAGGATCTGTTGAAGTCTACGCAACGCTTTTAACTTGGATGGCGAAGCTTCATTTCCTTCCAAGTCTGAAAGGCTAGCAAGCTCATCTCGGGCCACGCTCACCAGAGGACTGAGATCTCCCCAAACTGTGTCGGTATAACTCGTGAGAACGTGCCGCCATTGGCTCGTCCAGATATTTGTAGCTTCTTGCAGATCCGATGTACCGAGCAAATCAGCGTATGCTTGTATGCTGTTGCCACTCGGCCCAAAGTCAGGAAAGAAATTTAAAGCATCTTCCCATTGCCCCCTTTGTGAAAGATGCTCACGGGCTTCGCCATCATCGAAAAGTTGACACCGCAGCGCGACTTGTTCGGTATCCGACAAGAACATGGCTGTTTCCTCAACCTCGTCGTATCTCGAATCGAGGAGATCAACCACATCCATCCCATCAGTTGCCAAATTTGCCATCCCTGGTGGTGTCGTCTGCTCAGACCCAGGATCGTAGCTTTGCCCAAAGCCATGTTTCTCAATATGACCAGGTTCTATTATCTCTAACTTGTTCGTGCCATCTAGGAAGGCAGAGAAATCTGATTCACCCATGATACATTGCTCCTGTGTTGATGTGGATGCGAATGTGCCATTAGAGAATGCTTGAGCAGGTTGGTTCCTGCAAGTCGAAGTCTCACTTGCACTTACACTCCGAGTGCTTTTAGACGATTCACCCTTACTAGGGGGTAGACTTTCTGTCACACAGGTGGGACTCGGATGCCGTTGGATCATCGCGTTGGTCAATTGGGTCGTAGAAGCACCTAGCCGCGATATGAATGAAGCCATCCCTGGACCACTTTTTGAGGCATCTAGATTGGCATCGTGCTGAGTCGAAGAAGACGGTACGCCACCCAGGTCGACACGTTTACCCTTCGTATCCTTTGGCTTTGCCCTATCACTGTTGTCTTGGTCCATCATACCTCACTATGTCTGCTGCTGCGCGTGTCTGCGCGACTTAGATGACTATTGTATGTGACAACCCGAAAAAGAAAAGTTCCGTTAAAGAACTCAACAAAGAACAGGCAAAATCCGACCTTTATTTATCTCTCGGGGAAGGGACTCGGGACTTGGGACTCGGGACTTGGGACTTGCAAGCAACAGATGAGCAAAGACGAACTGACGATCCATGCCTCGGCAGACTTGAGACATTGGTGACCGTAGCTTGTACTATGTACTCGACACAACATGACCTCTACATATCACTGCATGTGTATATTGTGAGTTCCAGGTTACCTAGGACCTACATAATGATAGATATGTAAGTGCCTAGTAATAGGTAGCTGGTATGCGAATTAACCACCTAACCTTAGCACTATGCTAGGTAAAGCTCTAATGAACCGGTAAATTTCGGCCTAAATGACATGTGACGACTCAGCTCTAATATGCAAGTATCGAATTAATGCATCTTTGGAACACACCTAATCAGCTACATAGTAGGGTATATACTTACATACCTACCGTACATTAACCTTAGCTTAGAGTATCAAGTGATTAGGAACATAAAACATAAGAGTGTAACTGAATCGTGCCACGTGTGATAAATTTTCCATGCGAATAGTAATGAATACCTAGTACATACAGGTATGTTGGAGGCATATCTAATGCAGTGATTCTATATATTTCGTATATGTACTTTATACATACGTGTATTAGGTATATGTACATACATTTTAACCTAACGTGTATAATCAAATGCCCGAGCTAAGGGTTGCCCCTCCTATGAGCCCCTCTAGAGCAAACTTGGCATGCTTAGTAAAAATATTTCGGGTTTTTTTTCTTTTTTTCTTTTTCCCTTTTTTTTCAGAGTGGAAAGTGTTTTTTCGTATGGTCCGTGTTAGAGATATTGTATATCACTAAGGTTGGATTATTAGTATATCATTAACTGTTGATTAAGACAAGTATTATTCTAGAAATCGAAGAGGTTTATAACAGAGAGCTGATGATGCTTTTGTTTATTTTTAAGTGATTCAATTAATAGGTAGTATTTGATCTTACAACGTTGAAGTTCACTGCCATGTGTCTACCTACCTAGGGTACTGTATTAGTAACTGTAGATTTGCATAGTAAGAGATAAATGTGGGTGGACCTGTATATTAAAAGGATAAGATCTAAGGATCAGACCTTGCTATTAAAATGTTCTTAAATACATGACCACAGTGCTTCGCACTTTCCTCTCTGGCGTATCTGCCACCATCTACTGGGGGGGGATAATAGTGCCTGTCCCAGGCACCTCCAGGCTTCGTTTCAACAGCGCCAACAAGCTTTGATATAGACGTTCCCGAACCATACAGCCATTTAATGAGTATCAGAGATAGGTGATGCTGTATTGGAACAGCGACAAGGTGCCAGAAGTGTGGTCTTTTAGAGTAAGGGGTTAATCGGATAAATAAGGTGTAGTGCATCTCATATGGGAGGTAACAAAATGAGCCATAATGGCTAGTAAACTGTGGGCTTTTTGAATTGAATAAACGGTTTTTGGACTTTTTGATTTGAATAAACTGACTGTGGACTTTTTGATTAAACGACTTTTGAATAAACGGCTTTTGGAACAAACGACTTTTTGAATAAACGTTGACTTTTAGAACAGAGCTTTCAATCAACAATAACGTTTCAATTAATAAAAGGATCAAAACAACTTTGAAAACAATGGTCCCAATTATCAAAAAAAACCAAAAACCAAAAATGAGGCTATCACCACAGCTCTTCCGGTGGGGGGTCACCAGATAAATGTGGGTGGACCTGTATATTAAAAGGATAAGATCTAAGGATCAGACCTTGCTACTAAAATGTTCTTAAATACATGACCACAGTGCTTTGCACTTTCCTCTCTGGCGTACCTGCCACCATCTGTAAGGTGTGGTAGCCTGGTAGGTAGGTAGGTATTATCGATGTATGCATTGTACATTTGATAGTATGTAGGTACACAGTACATACATACGTAGTCAGAAATTCAATACATACATGTAGTACCAACATCAACATTGAATGATTGGAGGTACGATGCTACATATGTAAACTTACAGTGCTGGAACAAGAAGTGCTGGAATAAGACAGCCTTAAGCCCTGAAGGTCTACCTGGTAGGCTTACATACTAGGTACTAGGTACCAGGTAATAGGCTTACATAGTACTTTTCCCCCTCCAAAACCGGCAGGCCCGCACTGACTTTAAACCATCCACGCATCAACGACCATCGATCAATCATACTTCCCACCTCTCCCAAATCTAACCCCAGACCCTTGCGCATAACGTACTACTTACTGCTGCTAGGAACGTCCATCACATCACTCACCATACAACCCACGACCACGCCTTGCCGTCATTTTGCAGCTACTCGTGTATTCTTTTTCCTTTTCCCCATCCTTCCCTCCCCGATAGCCAACGGGTGCTTCCGACCGCTTGTATTGTGGTGTGTATCGATTCTTGATTGACCGGCAATATCATCTCAGCACCTTTCATCCCTTCGTCTTCGTTGGGAGTAAGTGCAGTGTCGGCCTAAGCCCTCGTCACCTTCTAGCACCTCGCCCTCGCCTTCACCCTCACCTCGTCGCCAATACATACAATACATACAATACATACGATACCCTACCATACCGACTTGTCTCTTAGCTCACTTTCTTAATACTCATCTCCCTCAAACCTCTCTCCCCGCCCCCGGTCTTATTTTGACATCATACGTATTTCCAACAATCACGACATATTCAGCGTTCCCGACCCTTAGTCATCTTAAGAGCCGCGTACCAACCCCTCCATCTCCGAGCCCACTACTGGTCGCAACCGCGATACTTTATTTCAACTATTCCCCGAACACCTTTTCCATATACTGAAAGACGGGTCGAGGCTAAAGCAGCTTCAACCCGATATCCTTCACAAATATGGTGGAAGGAGATTCGAACTCTCCCACGTGGAAGTTCACCCAGTATGTTTGCTCCCCCCAAAACTAATCAAAATTATGCCTGCAAATCGCGACAGTTGGCGTCGCTTTATCGCATTTTGCTTAAGACTACCCAATTTTATCTCCTCTTTTTTTTTTCCTGTGCTTATCTATCAGACCATAATTTTGCTAACCATCTCTCTTTACTTCTAGGTGCTTTGGTGACAAGGGAGATGTCGAGGATATTACAGAAGGTATGGCGCTTATGTTTCTCATACTGCTGGTCTCCAGTCTATGCCACCTATACTTACCAAGAATCTCATAGCCGACATCATATCGACCGTCGAGTTTGATCATACCGGTAACTACTTAGCAACAGGAGACAAAGGTGGTCGAGTTGTTTTGTTCGAGAGAAACGAAACGGTCAGTTGAGATCCCCGGTAACTATTTAGCAGAGTACGCTCATGTCTGATCCGGCATATATAGAAAAAAACCTGCGAATACAAGTTCCATACCGAATTCCAGTCGCATGAACCCGAATTCGATTACCTCAAATCCCTAGAGATCGAAGAGAAGATCAACAAGATCAAATGGTGTCGTCGTCAGAATGCCTCTCATTATCTACTTTCGACCAACGACAAGACGATCAAGCTGTGGAAGGTATTTGAAAAGTCGTTGAAAGTAGTAGCCGAGAACAACCTATCGCAAGACCTCACACCAGGCAATGCTGTCGGTGTCGGAGGGGGCGCCCCGAGATCTAATCCTCTATCCCACTTTCGAAACCCTGGGGAGTTGAGACTGCCACGTATGACGCACCATGATACCGTTGTCGCCGCGGTTCCTCGACGCACATACGCGAATGCCCATGCCTATCACATCAACAGCATCTCGGTCAACAGCGATGGAGAGACCTTCATAAGTAGTGATGATCTGCGAATCAACCTCTGGAACCTGAACATCCAGGACCAGAGTTTCAACATTGTTGACATCAAGCCGGCAAATATGGAGGAGTTGACCGAGGTCATTACCGCTGCCGAGTTTCACCCCATCAGCTGCAACTGGTTTATGTATGCAAGCTCGAAGGGTACAATTAAACTTGCAGATATGCGAGAAAGCGCTCTTTGTGACCAGCACGCGAAACGTATGAGCTCTTACCCCCCTCTTCGCTTGAGATTCGCCTTATAAGAAGTATGGGAGACCTATAGCTAACAATGTCATGCAGTTTTCGAGCAAGAGGAAGATCCATCATCAAGATCGTTCTTCTCAGAGATAATTTCCTCGATCTCCGACGTGCGTTTCTCACATGACGGCAGATATATTTTATCTCGGGATTATCTCACGGTCAAAATTTGGGACGTCAACATGGAGCGTCAACCTGTCAAGACCATACCAATTCACGAGCATCTGCGGCCCCGGCTCTGTGACACGTATGAGAACGACAGCATCTTCGACAAATTCGAGGTGGTCTTTTCGGGCGACGCCAAGAATGTTATGACGGGTAGCTACAACAACAACTTTATGATTTATCCATCAGACCCTGAGAAGGAGATCGAGGTTGTCCTACAAGCAGACAAATCCGCTTTCAAGGCGAAGAAAGTAGGCATCCCGACACCTATCAACTCGGCGACGAGCCCCACAACGACCAACGGCGGTAAGAAAGGCGGGTCGCGTGCGGGTAGTCCAGCGGCAGGGGCAGGTCAGGGCCAAAGAATGCGAAAAGAGACGGACGCAGATCAGATTGACTTCAACAAGAAGATCCTACACATGAGCTGGCATCCTTTTGAGGACAGCATCGCGATTGCCGCGACGAATAACGTACGTATATCCATCACCCCTTCTCCTTGTCTGCTGTAGCTTACATGTATTATAGTTATTCGTCTTCTCAGCCCTGTAGGCGCGTGGCGGCACTCTTCCGGTAGTGGCCGGACATTTCACAGCCAGCATACCAGATATGCGGGAGGGAACCCGAACCGGATCCGGGTAGTGAAATGCGTCACATGGCGGCCGACAGTCTCTTAGATAGTTACACATAGTCCTTTTGGACGTAGATTACTATTCGTAGTATTTGTGGCTAGGGCTGCTGGTCTACTCAACGGAAGCGGACGCCTTATAAATGAGAAAAAAAATACGTTGGGTTTACGACACAAACGATGCATACCGGGAGCTTGACTTTATCCCAGGCCTAGTGCGCCCCATTGGTGGTCGGGACTGTAGTAAGACGTTTGGAAGACTAGAAAGCATGTCCAATCGGCAATGGCATCCCCCGAGGAGTTGACTGTTCCCAAGCTGACAGACATAGGGCCAATATCATGGCAATAGACTCTATAAGGCAGAATAAGAGGTCCTTTAAGACGAGACCCAAGGCAAATGAAATCTGAAGCATATATAAGCAGTTGTGTCAAAGCCGCTTTTCAGTGAACAAGCTATTAATAGCTATTAAGACTCGATGCACCTATATCATAATCATTGATGTTAGTGAAGGGAGGAGGTAAAAGAGTATGTACGGAACCAAGCCTCCGTACTATCGGTACTATATGTACACACATGTATACCTACATAGTACCTAGTATTGTAACTTGAAGTCAACATCGCCAGCTCTGGATAGTAGATACACATGCATCAATTACAGTACATTATCATGTACCTAGGTACCTACAAGATACTCTGGAGTCTGTACTAGGTACCTAACCTAGTAAACTCGTACGAGGTAAAAGTGGACCTTGGCACCCGGGCAAATGCCTAATTTGGTTAAGCCGCCGGCTTAGAAAAAGCTTACCTAGGTAAGCTACCTAGTACATACCTAAGCAGGTTAGATCAATAGATCCACCCTCGTCTCTTTTAAGGTTTCCTGTCAGATTGCGACGGATGTGCAGGTCTAAGCTGAAGAGTGCTACCTGTCAATTCCAACAACCAAAAAAGTTGCCTCAGGTATAAAACGACAATCCACATACACATCCATTACCTACATAGTAGATAGATGTTGGACAATCATAGCATACTCAAGCTCGTCAATGTCTGCTTTTTTCCCCAAGGCAACCGGCAACTGGCAACTGGCAACTGACAAATAGATGCACGAAATCGCCTTATTTAGCGGATAACGTATCCCGCTATTGGTACGATCATTCTTTTTGTACAAATTAACCTCGATATCCTCGACATTTGAAATACCCAGGAACCGCTGACAACGCTGCCGCAAAAATAGAATTAAATCAAGCTCTCTCTTTGTTCGCACCCGTTCCTACTCCCCCTTATCCGTTATCCATGTCCTCGAGCTCCATGACGAGCCGTTCGGCACCCCGGAGACGCCAAACCCTGCGAGATTCACACGCCGCTTCGCGAAATGGCGCCGCCGTGACTCCAAAGGTTATCAATGCCGGCCCTTCCCTCGAGAAGGCCGCATTATACGGCATAGATGACCAACGACCCACCTTTTCTAAACTCATGGGACTCGCTGGTCGCATATTCATCGAGACTATCCCACAATGGCTAGCCGTGGGAGCAATGCTTGGTCTGATCTTCGGTGGTTGTTGCTCTAACGTGAGGCTGAATGGAGTCCCAAGTACCTGAAGAACATATCGTCTGAATAGGAACTAATGTATACCGATTCGTGCAGGTCTTCGTTCTCGAGGCTATAATCAAGTAAGCTCCTGCAAGCTACGTTCAGGTTCTCACCTGCGTTCTTGACTAATACTGATGTCAGGGTCGAACCAGCGAGCGGTATGGCACTTATACTATAAGACTCTACCCAGAACAAAATCAATAGCTTACGATGCTTGTGACTAGGAACGCTTTTAACCTTTGTGCAATTTCTCTTCGTTGCTATCACGGGTTATATATCGCAATTCGACTCAACGCACCCGCCATTTTTCATCAAGCCCAATCAAGTACCCATCCGTCGCTGGCTGATCAACATTGTGCTCTTTTTTAGTATTAATATTTTGAACAACCACGCTTTCAGCTACGATATTTCTGTGCCAGTCCACATAATTCTGCGGTCCGGTGGCAGTATAACAACCATGCTCGCAGGTAGCTTGTACGGGAAGAGATACTCTCGCATCCAAATTGTCGCTGTTCTCCTGCTTACTGTCGGCGTGGGTACGGCGGCCTGGTCAGACGCCCAATCTAAGGTAAGAGTCTCAGCTTCCCTGCTGAGCCGATAACTAACTGCTGTTAAGGGAACGAGTATGGATAGTTCGCAGGAGCCCGTTCCTAAGTTTAGCACCGGACTGGCTATTCTCTTGATCGCACAGATTATGTCAGCTATCATGGGGCTATATACCGAAGAGACCTATAGGATGTACGGATCGCATTGGAAAGAGAACTTGTTCTATTCCCACCTGCTTTCGCTGCCACTCTTTCTTCCGTTTTCACGGTCACTGATCAGGCAGTTCGTACATCTGGTCGACAGCAAACCCCTTACACTCCCGTCACTTATTGGCCAGGTTAACCCCTCGACTATACCGGCGGCAGTGCGCCAAAAGATGGAAGAACTCTATATCCCCAGTCAAGTAGCTTACCTGGGGCTAAACGTTTTGACACAATACGCCTGTATCCGCGGGGTGAACCTTTTAGCGGCGGTATCTTCTGCATTAACAGTTACGATCGTGCTTAATATCCGCAAGCTGGTCAGCCTACTGTTGAGCATATGGCTTTTCGGAAACCAACTGGCTACGGGGACTCTGATAGGAGCTATCGTAGTCTTCTCTGCTGGTGGCCTGTACTCGTTAGACTCCAGGAAGCCAAGCCCGAAGCCAAAACTCAGTAGCGGCAAAGCAGGATAGTTAGCCATGATATATTAGACTACTAGGCACATTGTCACGCTTCTGATGTTGCTGTGAATATTACGACTTCCACGTGGTCAATTTTATACCTATCTCAGGTCAGTGTGCTGCCGTTTATGCGAGGCGAAGGCTCGGTCCTGAAAACAGCGTCAGTGGTATTACAATAGCGTAAGAAGATAGAATTCAATGTAGGTTTTAGAAGCGCAATTGAGGTTAGTAGTATCATACAACGTCAAGTCATGCTCGTTGACTATAAGGAGATCATTTGAGTGATGAGTGTGAAGTTGTACTACGTGCGACTCCCGAGTACCTGACAGTCCTGACGACCTACATACATAGTAGTACAAATCACATGCATGTACAATACATACTACCTAAGGTACGTCTGCCGTCGTCTGGTACATAGTTTACATCAATCAATGCCAAGCATTACTCTGATACTTATTCATGTACCTATCAAGAGCTTCAACCAATGTTTGCCCCTCCTCCCTAAATGACATTGAGGTACTTATACAATAGTTGGGTAACACGTATTATGTAAAAACACAAAGTATTACCCGTTTAATCACATGAGGCGCTCTCCATATGTACATAGTAGTACCTACTACTAGTAGTAGTACTGTAGTACATAGCACTAGGTTAGCCAAGTACATCATACTGTTTTAGTACATATACATAGGTGACTATACTAGGTACATGCATACCTATATCTACATCATTGTATCGATCAATCTATGTAGGTCACGTTGGATATCTTACGTATCTATGTGGGTATGTAGATACTGAAGAAGAACATTGAAAGAACTTAAAAAGGTCTAATCTGCGTCAGGTGCGTGCCTATGAGTACCTAATAGGCAGGCGTACCTTACATACATACTAGTATCCAATGCTATCCATGGATGTATGTGGTACATCTTACACATACGTACATATGTACTAGGTAAGTAGAGACTAGAGAGAAGCGGTAGGAGGTAACTACATATTTTAATATTTTATATATCGAAATAGTGTAACAACATTGAAGCGAGATTTTGAGAATCTCAACTCCATATCAACACCTATCTACCTGCCTGTTCCTACCTACTTACATGTCGTAGCTAAGTCTTAGCAAAGTCTCAGCATTACAAGACAGGTATATTAAACCGATGTGTCTTTGCTAGATACTAGACCAATACAGAGCAGGATTCACATTCGACTGTGTCGATAGCAATACCAGCAATAATGTCTTGTCAGTCAAAACAATCACTCTACCCAGCCCCCACCTTAGCTACCATACTGCGTAATGAGATATTGTGTACTTTTCGCCTATATACTTAGTGATGCTATGCTAACATAGCAATGTTTTGTCAGCATCGCCCAAGATCCCGGCTACTCGCCAGGTATTCGAATTCGACTCGGATAACTCTGATGCTGCCGACCACGCCATAGAAAGCGACTCGGAGCCTGACTACCCTGGGTTACACAACCAGGGCGACAGTGCAAAGATAGATGTGGCACGGCACATGGGGGATATTTCCCCAGCCCCGCCCGAGGAAGGCATGCTGCTACGGGACCGTCCCAGGAAGACTACATTCCATGATGCCGTAGCTGAGCGTCAGATGACTCAGGCCGACGCCAAGCTCTTCTTCCAAAGGAGTCAGCTAGATCAATCTCAAGCCACTCCCCATGGCAGCCCTCCCGCCTCGGTTGGCGTGCCGGCCGTAAAGCTACCTAACGATGCTTCGTTTGCACACGCACATTCTAATCTGACTGCCCATCCCAGCTCCATCTCATTATCACCGGTTGCCCAGAGCTATGATTTCCCCCACATTGCTGGCTCCTCTACTAATATGCCCAACCCAGGCACAGCTCCCCGTACAGCTACACGGCCTTCCTTGGGAGAGTATATTGGTTCCCGACAAGCTAGCTACATGCGCCGTGATATCTCCCAGGAACGGTCTAAAACAAATTTACAGCCTGACATGGGGCTTCCTGACGGAGCAACTTCCAACATTGCCAGCGGTTTTGGTAGTAATGATCCTCTTATCGCAGCCGAGCTTGGCACCATCTTTCAAAATATACAGAAGATCCTAGATATTCGACATAAATATATACGTCTCTCCTTGCAAAGAGACGGTGATAATCCAAAGGACGACCCGAGCTGGGATATTTATCCTCCCCCGCCGGAGCCTGCCTGGGCCGGATCTAATAAGAACCAAGATAGCCAAGGGATGAACACCGGGAGCAATAGCATGAGCAACAGTACCGTGCTTCCAGGCCAAGCTGGCACACATCGCATTGGCCATGGGAATACGACTACGGAATTCGAGCATAAGAGAACAGCTAAGAAGCGCAAACCTGGCCACGATATCGGGGAGGACTTTGACATGGCTGATCTCCTGCCTCTTCCTCAAGAGAGTGAATTTGCCTTTCGTCTCGATGAGAACGGTGTCTATCAAGTGTTCGAAAACGAAGCGGCCGACAAGGCTAATACCCCAGTGGTGGGAGTCCCTACGATCAAGGATTTTTATCTAGATCTTGAGCAGATATTATCCACCTCATCTGACGGACCAAGCAAGAGTTTTGCTTTCCGACGCCTTCAATATTTGGAGGGCAAGTTCAACCTCTACACCCTCTTGAACGAGTACCAAGAAACAGCGGATACCAAAAGGGTCCCTCATCGAGACTTTTACAATGTGAGAAAAGTCGATACGCATGTTCATCATTCTGCTTGTATGAATCAGAAGCACCTCTTGCGATTTATCAAAAGCAAGATGAAGAAAAGTCAACATGAATACGTGCTCTTCAGAGATGGCAAGAATCTCACCCTCGACGAGGTCTTCAAGAGTATTAACTTGACGGCGTATGACTTAAGCATCGATACGTTAGACATGCATGTAAGCGAATAGCCCCCGTCTTTGCTTTGATGCTGGGAGGGGATTGACTTTTATATAGGCACACACTGATTCATTTCATCGCTTCGACAAATTCAATCTCAAGTATAACCCCATCGGGGAATCACGACTGCGGACTATTTTCCTTAAGACGGATAACTTCATCCAAGGTCGGTATCTTGCAGAAATCACTAAGGAGGTCATCTCGGACCTGGAGTCTAGTAAGTACCAAATGGTGGAATGGCGGATCTCAATCTATGGAAAGTCCCTAGATGAGTGGGACAAACTTGCTGCATGGGTAGTTGACAACAAACTCTTCTCGCCTAATGTTCGTTGGCTCATACAGATCCCACGACTGTATGATGTCTTTAAAGCTACTGGATTAATGGAGTCTTTCGAACAAGTCGTCAAGAACGTCTTTCAACCGCTCTTCGAAGTTACCAAGAACCCAGAGAGCCACCCGAAGCTTCACATCTTCTTGCAGCGAGTTATTGGCTTTGATAGCGTGGACGATGAAAGTAAGGTCGAACGACGGCTTTATAAGAAGTTTCCCGTACCAAATGAGTGGAACTCCAAACAAAACCCGCCATACAGCTACTGGATATACTATCTCTTCGCCAACATAACTTCACTCAACTTTTGGCGTCATCAGCGAGGCTTCAATACATTTCTACTCCGACCTCACTGTGGAGAAGCTGGTGATAGTGAGCATTTGGCCGTCGCTGTACTTTGCAGCCATAGTATTAGCCACGGGCTACTTCTAAGAAAGGTGCCTATATTGCAGTATATTTTCTATCTTGAGCAGATCGGCATTGCTATGTCACCACTTAGCAACAATGCACTTTTCCTGGCATACGAGAGGAACCCATTCTATCAATATTTCAGGCGTGGCTTGAATGTATCACTATCAACAGATGACCCTCTTCAATTTGCATTCACCAAGGAGCCCCTGATGGAGGAATACGCCGTCGCGGCACAGATTTATAAACTAAGCCCGGTGGACATGTGTGAACTCGCGAAGAATTCGGTCAGGCAGAGTGGTTATGAGTATTCGATCAAGCAGCAGTGGTTAGGAGAGAAATTTCACCTGCCAGGAAAAGATGGAAACAAGATGGAGAAGACGAACATACCTGATCGAAGAGAAGAATTTAGGCACAATACCTGGGTTGAAGAGCATCGCATGTGAGTAGTGGTGGTCTCGTTTATATTTGTGTCTGCATTCGCATTTTCATCAATCTGACAAGTTACTAGGATCTCGAGTTATACCTCTACAGCCGAGTTGCCCGAAGTTTTCGAGCGTCATGCTGCTACAGCTCCGATGAACACCATCGTAGCATCGCCAACTTCATCTGCTAAGATGACCACGGCGGATTCCAAGTCTCTCGCTTATCTCAACATGGCAGATTTGGAAAGCGGGTTGCCACCGCTAGGGTCCCATGCCCAGACCGGTAATCCCTATGTGGATTCTCAAGGTGGTGGGCAGCTTACTACTCTCGGGCGGGAGTCTTTGACCACGGAAGGTACCCAAGAAGTGTATCTTTCGGGACACGAGCCTAGATATGTTCCGGGTATGATGGCAAGAGTATCCAGGCGTAGTAGTGCAAACCGCAGCTCCGCACCAGATGGGTGAGAGAATGTGTATCCTTCTTATAACGTGCCTATATACAAAAAAAAATCTATAAAAATTTGAATGAAGCTATGAGTGGTAGGTAGGAGCCAAGTGTGCGGGCCTGGGTTGAGTTGAATGTAATTGCGTATGGATTTTGAGTAGGTTGATTGTGATAGACACTATTGCCTTTGTATCTAAAATATTAATGGGTTGATTTATTGATAGCTTGGGTAAATTTGTTTATTATCTAGCTACCTAGTGGTAACTAGTTAATCATTGGTAAAAAAAAAAATCAAAAAAATCATCATATATTCTTTGGATGTATGAACATAGGTAATTAGGGAATACATACTACCCTATGTCAATATTGACATTTATAAACTATGTTATAACTAACCTAGTTATGTTAGGGACTAAAAACGTTTGAAGTGTGAAGGACATTTACGTTATTATGCTTAAGTACATATAGAGTTCTTATTTTAATTGCCTAGGTAGGCAGGGTACATTTATGTACTGTTATACGACTTCGATGTTAGTAAGCTGCACGTACATACATAACCTTCCATGTCTACATCCTTACATACATACATACATCAATACATACTGCACGTCCTATCCATACATTATCACTTACGACTCTTAAACTACTAATCGCCCTCACCCAACCTCTTAAAACCACAACATCTTAGTCGACTCAGCAGCACATCCACCAATCTACTCCGTTGCTTCTGAAGCAGCACCGTGCGGTCTCGGGGTTTTCCATAACATGGATGTTTGCGTATGGCGATCTCGCATTGGTGATTAATCCCCTGGGAACCGCTTGTCGTTCTCGTGTATGTATGTGTGTGTGTCTGTCTGTCTGTCTTTCTGTCTACCCGGCTACATTTGACCATCATCCGTGAAAAAGGAAGCCTTTTTGAAAGCTATTTTATTTTGGTTTTTGTGAAATCACGGTGTTTATGATAACCATTTCAATCGACACCTCAGGTTTAATTTAGGAATCGCCTTCCTATCGCCGACACTATCTCTCTACTACGACTACGCAATTCCCCGTTAACCCTTGCACTAAACTTGCATGCGCTCATACCGATACTAGACAACTCACCCAAATATTGTCGACCTGCCCGCCACACATTTCTATTCCACGAACGACGTTCTTTATACTACCCCGCCACACTACTTTATCGTAGCCTGCCATGGGATTCCTGGGCGTCTACAAGGCCATATACGATTATGCGCCACAGTCGGAAGGGGAGCTTTCGATAAATGAAGGCGATGTGCTCTATGTCTTGGACAAGAGCGCTGAAGACGACTGGTGGAGGGCCAAAAAGAAGGCAAGCGCTGACGACGACGACGAACCAGTTGGCCTGATACCCAACAACTACATAGAAGAGGTGCGTACAACACATTCCGAATGCCCCCTCAATTGTCTTGGTGAATGAATACTGAGTTCTTGCAGGCGCAACCCGTAGGCCAAGCTCGTGCCTTGTACGAATATACTCGACAGACCGACGAGGAGCTGTCATTCCCCGAAGATGCCCAGTTAGAAGTTTTCGACACATCGGACCCTGATTGGATTTTGGTTGGGCATGAAAAGGAATATGGATTTGTCCCTGCAAATTACATCGAGATCAATGCCGCTTCAATCACCGAGCAAAAGACTGAGCCTCCACCTGTACCTGATACTGAGGTTGAGCCCGAGCCTGAACCCGTACGGATTCTAGCCCCTCCATCCCTTCCCTCAAGGCCCGCGGCTCCCGTTGAACCGAGCCCGCCCCAAAGCCCGCCTCTTCCGGACAGAGCCCCATCGGCGAGTTCTAGCACGGCTCCGGCAACCCCGGCAACCTCAGCAACGCCAACGGGTCCTGCTGCTGCGCTAGCAGGTATTATGCAAGGCAGAAGTTCAACCCGCGCGGCAACACCTCCTCCAGTTACTCTACCACCTCGTCAACAATACATCTCAGAGGAATCCGATGGTGAACAAAGTCCTGCTCTTCCCGTACGACCACAGTCCCAATCGATGATGTCGAATGATCAAACCGCAAGGTCGGCGCTTCCCCAGCGGACTTCCAGTCGCCGCGATTACAGCCACGATGACGAGTCCAACCCATCTCAGTCGAGTCGTATTGCACCAGGTGGGTTCCACATGTATAACATTAACGAGATGGTTTCTGTGATGGGCAAAAAAAAGAAGATGCCGACAACACTAGGCGTGAACTTGAAAACCGGGATTATCCTCATTGCTCCGGAGCGTGCCTCAGACGGCCCAACTCAAGAATGGACCGCGGATAAGATGACACATTACTCCCGGGAGGGTAAGCACGTGTTTCTGGAACTCGTTCGGCCAAGCAAGAGCATAGATTTCCACGCAGGCGCTAAAGACACTGCGGAGGAAATCGTCAGCGCTCTCGGTGAGTTGGCTGGGGCCGTTCGTGCAGAAGGTTTACGAGAAGTTATTATGGCCGGGACTGGCCAGGGCCCTCAGAAGAGAGGTCAGATTCTGTATGACTTCATGGCCCAGGGAGATGACGAGGTCACAGTTGCAGCCGGAGACGAAGTTTTCATCGTCGACGATACCAAGAGTGAAGAATGGTGGCAAGTTCGGCGCCTAAAGAATGGGAAGGAAGGAGTCGTTCCAAGTAGTTACATCGAAGTAACCGAGACGATAACGTTGGCCACATCATCCGGTATCAATGCCGGCAAGTCTACGGTAGCACAGAACCGATTGGAAGAGCAGCGCTTGACGAAAGAAGCAGTCAAGAAGGACCAAAGAGCAGCAGAGGTAGGACCTGGAATGCGTTTGCCTGAAAGAAACAGTAGTTTGTCAGCGAGAAAAAATGGTAACACTTTTGGGCAACAGCGAAACCGACGCGAAAACGGCCGATCCGAAAGCGGGCGCTCTGGCTCATCCAAGCCTAGTAAGTCAAGAAGAAACTGAATTGGGATTTATGGCACGGTATGCAGCTAATGATGTCTTTAGAACCAGATCCGACCAAAGTACGAACTTGGACAGACCGATCCAAGTCCTTCAGTGTCGAAGCACAATTTCTAGGACTTAAGGACGGAAAGATTAACCTACACAAGATGAACGGTGTCAAGATTGCTGTTCCTATAGCCAAAATGGCAATCGAAGACATTGAGTATGTCGAGCGTGTTATGGGAGTATCTCTTGACGAGGACAAGCCTCTATCAGAAGTCAAGCGTGCAAAATCCAAAGCTGCGTCGAATAGCAGAGTAGGTGCCTCGATCGAACCGGCCAAGCCTGACTACGATTGGTTTCAATTCTTCCTATCTTGCGACGTTGCTGTTGGCCTCTGTGAACGTTATGCCCAAGCTTTTGCGAAGGATTCTATGGATGAGAGCGTTTTGCCGGACGTGGACGCCAGTGTTCTCCGCAATCTTGGCCTACGGGAGGGTGATATTATCAAGGTAATGCGTTTCTTGGACAAGAAATTTGGTCGTGATGGTAAGAAGAGAAATGTCAGTTTTGCTGGGGAGGACGATGGAGATGGAGGCTCCGGTGGCCTCTTTTCGGGACCGGGTGGGACGCTCCGAAATAACACGCGGAAAGGTCGTCCCGCTCCGGCTGTTCAGACGAATGACAGCATAGATCCCAAAGCCTTTTCAGCGCAAAAGGACAGTAGCGCCCAAAGCTCGGAAACATCCTCGCCTGCTACGGCGCGCGCCAGGGCTGCGGAGAAGAGCAACAACGGGTTCGATGACGATGCCTGGGATGTGAAGCCGGCAAGACAGCCGGAGCCCGAAACGAAACCAACGCCTGCGCCGGAACCAAATCCAGCAACGTCAACTCAACCTCAGCGACCACCAACGCAGGCCATGCAAGACCTTTCTTTACTAACAGCTCCGCTTGAGCCGACCAAGGTGCAACCATCCATCCCATCGCCTTCAGTATCCCAGCCACCGCCACTGCAAGCTCAACCACCACAGGCTCAGTCCCAAGCTCAGGCTCAACCTCAAGGCGCGACACCGTCTTTCTTTACAGGCATTCCTCCCCAGCAAACAGGAATCCTGCCCACGGCAACTGGAGCGACTGCGCCCAGCCAACCTCTCAACCTTGGCCTTGGCAACCGGCAAAGACCTTTGCCACCACAAGCAACTGGGATCCAAGGTGCTTTAATGCCACCGCCGCCACCATCTCGACCGTTGTCAGCGCCGCAGTCTGCACAGCCTAGCGGGTTCGCGCCTCCCCCGCTGCAACCTCAGATGACGGGCATCGCACCTCCAGGGCAAAGCCTCCACGAGCTCAACCAACTACGGATGCAGCAACCGTATATGGGCAGCTTCCAGCCACAGCCGACGGGCCAGAACATAATGCCGTTCAATACGGGTACCGGCATACCGTCCCAAACTGGATTTGGACCTGGACCTGGTCAATTCATGCAACCGCAGATGACGGGAATTCCCCAGACACAAAGCCCATTTGCGGACCCCCGGCCCCAACAATTTTCCACGATTCAGAACCAACCCACCGGCTTCACGGGAGGCTTTCAACCGGGTCAGCAATTTCCACAGCCGACTGGAATCAACTCCTTCCTACCCCCAGCCTTGGAGCCTCAGCGAACAGGTATGGCACCCATGCAACCTCAAGCTACTGGTTTTGGTGGTTATGGTCAGACTTTCAACCCTGGAATGAACAACGGGGCTGCCCAGCAGCCTCCTGCAGCCCCCCTTCAACCTCAAAAGACGGGACCTCCACCCCCGGTACGCTTTGGTGTTACAGACAAGATTGCTCCTCAGCCAACTGGACGTCGTGCAAATCTGGCACAAGCGAGTAAGTCTTCACATGTTCTCTCATCGTAGTTTCGGTAAACAACTAACATTTAATAGCGCCGCAGAATCCTTTTGGGTTTTAAAGGCCCCTCGCAAGGACGGTATAGTAAATAGACAAACGCCTGTATCAAACTGATGTAATTTGCGCCAGTCAAGTTGGACACGAGTGGAGGGCTTAATGGGTTAGAATATTGACGTCTATCTCCTTTTCCCCTCTTCCCCTCCCCCTTTCCCTTTGCACGATACCCACGTGTCGCCGCTGTCTCCTCCGCTATTGTCACTCTAGCCTCCGTCCTAAAATGAAATGTACCTACCTGAGAGTTTCGAAGCTATCTAGTCTTTTCCGACACGGATCATCCTCTAAGCGTCGTAGTAGAAGTCTTGCTTTTACGTGATTAAATACTATATTACATTTGAAGGGAGTGGGAAGAATAGGCCACACCAAAGAAGCCAGAGATGTAGAAGTTGCTCGGATACAGTAACTTATCAGAATGTATTGCCACACTATATATTATTGTTATATATGTTCCATATAATATACTTACTCGGTATTCATATTAGCATACAGCTCCCTCCACCTACCAACCTTGAAATAGTTTGCGTTCATATTATTAATAGTTAAGCCCTGTAGGTATATGTTGGTCTACCTAGACACATATTAAGCCGAACTTGCCTTTGATGGATCAAGTCTCGAAACGTAGAGTCAAAAACGAAACGATTTGCATGACCTATATACCTAGTATACATATAGTAAGCGCCGAAAATACATTAATCAGCAGCTAGGTACAATAGATATATGGATAGGTAGGTAGGTAGGTAGGTAGATTAGGGGGGTTACGATTTCCTCCCCCCTTCCCTCTAAGAAAAATACCGTGCAAATATTTGGACTATAAGATGTTCTCATGCATATATCGTGAAATCCACTCGACAATCGATCCCGTATAGAGGAAACCCCGCCTAGTGTCTGTGTTCAGGCATTTCGGTTCACTCTTCAAAACTTCTTCTTCTTTCTCAACATCAGCTGTTGGTATATAATAGATTATAATAGAATAGTGGGGACCTTGTTGTCCTTCGGGGTTGAGATTAATTTGTATTGCCACTTGCCACTTTCCCCAGGTGGATATATCTGTAGTAGCGGGGGCCACGTGACATCAATATCTTGCATTCAAGCTCTCACGACGAATAATCACAACACATAAGAGGCCCATGTATAAAACCGCCGAACTTCTATTGGAAAGCCTAGATTGGTGGAGGGTCATCTACCTCCTCCCCGTCTAGTAGGGTGCCTCGGCGCGGTCGCATCTTCAACTCATCACCATGACTATTAGCTTGTACGCTAGAAGCGACAGCCTCGTCCTGCACCACCTTGTCTTCAACCTTCACATTTTTCTCTTTGGGATCGAACCGTTTACGTACGGCGTCGATCATTTTGAAGAACCAGTAGAAATTCAAGGAGTTTAGGGTCAGGTTGCTGCCGAGATAAACGGCAGCAAGCCACGTGGGGATGCTGGTTGTGTCGGATACGTATTTCATAGTTTGCGCGTATTGGGGAGGAAATGTTGCTTGGAGGGCTTCCTCGGGCGACACAGTAGCCAAGACGACAGGGACCGTGTTCAGGCCAGCCCACAGGTCACGAGCAACCATGACGGATTGGTATGTGCCCCACACGAGACGGCAGGAGAAAAAGGTGAAGATAAGCATCAGGCCGTTGTACAGCTGAGCCCGAGACCCGGTCATACCCAGCTTGTCAAAGAACCAATGTATATTGAGGAAGGGCGAGGACAGTTCCCACAGGATGAAATTGCAACTGTAGTAGTTGACGAAAGGTCGCTGCAGCCGAAATCAGTCTCGAGTAGCAGACTTTCTGGTTGGGTACCAGGCAAACTTACAAAGCCAAAAGAATAAACCAGTAGAGCACTAATGGCATGCGCGAGCATGCCGAGACCGAAAATGTTGACGTGGCTAGCAGTCATGATGAGATCCCAGAGGAAATACCCAGCAGCGAGGGCTTGAATCATGGCAGCACCACCTGTATAGCCCCAGAGACGTTCCTGCCAATCCATATTCTTACGCTCCTCGTCGACGAACATGACCCAGAGAGCAAGGACGTTTATCGTAGTACTCTGAACGAAGGAGACGACATGAACGTCCCAGCTCAGCCTTCTGCTGGGAGAGAGGGCCGTATACCGGACGGGGAAGAGCCATTTTGACAACCTAGGGGAGACGACGGTGCCGATGACATGGTAGAAGGCGGCCATTATGACGACTTCGTGGATATGAAGCGGCAGCGTGGGCAACTCGAAATAATCGGCCCATGGCTGGACAGCCTTGCTCAGGGCAGGGATAGGTGGGATGGGGAAGGGATCCTTCATTTTCTCTTCCCTTTTCTTTTTTTCTTTTTTTACCCTCCCTTCTCTTCTATTGTGTCCTATGGGCGTTGGGAGAATCCAAAGTAGAGGAAGGCAGACTAGGTTGCTAGTTAGGTTACTGGCTGGATCGCTCGCTCGCTTGCTCGCTTGCTCGTCTGGTCTAAGGTTCGTCTAGATAATACAAGGTAGGATAGATTGCCTAGGTAGCGTGTGTAGGTTAGGTAAGGTACTGTTAGGTTAGGAAAAAAAGAGGTAGGTAGGCAGATAGATGAATTAATCAAGCAAATAACGAAAGAGTGGTGGGTAGGTTGGGTAGGTAGGCAAAAGGATATATGGCGGTTGGAAGTTAATAGAGTAAGAGTGAGAATAATGATTGCTGCAGGGTTGAGGGACTACCAAGTCTGACTGTCAGCTGGCCATGACACTCTAGCAAGTAGAGCATAAGGTACCATACACGAGATATTCGAGGTGCATATGACTAACCTACATATGTAGCCATATGTAGCCATATGTAGCTACATCTGTAGTTAGGTACATATGCTAATATATGTAGATGGACGACTGACCAGCTCACGTACCTTACATAACACTTCTGTAATACATTGAATTTCTGGTTTAGGCGGCGAAGAAGAGGTCAGGAGATGCAGATAACTAGTTTACCATACTAATACAACATACAGTGGTTGTAGGTTGGTAATAGCATCATAGTATCATTTGATGTAAGAACTTAAGAGCTTGAGAACATTGAACTTGAAGGCAGCAAACGCATCCCGAGTTATCGTTATCTTCTATATAACTAACTACTATGTACTATGTAATAGTAGGTACGTACTGATCTGTTAATAGGTACTAGGTACGTGCGAACGGAAACTTTTAATGTTCAATATTGTTCATTAATGGCCCGACCCGGACTAGAGGATGGGGGGTTGTCTCAACCTTTTTAGTTTCAAATTTGCTCATCCACCAATTAAGTTTGATAAATGGCTGAAAGTACCTGTCCTCACTTATATACTTTGCCCCAACAGCAACAAGCTATAGTGGGTCTCTAATAGATACATACATACGCACTATGTATTTACTAATGCAACTGTTAATTCAATTTCGGCATCTGTATAATAGTTATTCATTATACCTTTATGCAAACACAAGTTGTACACCTGGGGCAGGCTATTACCTACTACCTAGTACCTACCTAGTAGGTAGTACCTACTAGTAGCTATGTACCTACGTAGATGCTGCACAGTGTATTCTACATGCATACATTGAACTTTACATCCTCAAAATAGTTAACATCTATCAACACAATTATATACTACATACATAACAACAACCTCATCCCATGTTGAAATTCATCCAAGTATAAGAAACTCTTCAAAGCCTTTAAAGCATGCCAACCTAAATACCTAGTACCTAATTGACAGGTACTCACTTACTACGCCAACCCAAACACAATATGGCCGATTTCTTTCAAGAATTCTTGAACCCGCCTAGTGCGGCAGATCGTCGTCCAAACGATCCTGTTGCCCTCGAATATCTTTCTACTCTGGCTTCTATGCCCCTTTCTCAACTAGATACCATCGAACACCAATCATTGGCTCAGTCTTCTCACTCTCTCCTCTTATCTCTTCAGTCGCTTTCCAAGCGCTCTCATAAATCTATCATCAGCTCCGCCCAAAATCATTCACATCTTCGCACTGCGCTTCCCATCCTAGCAGCCTCCATCAATGATTTGACGACCGCCATACCTAGGTTAGATAATGAGGCTGTTCACTTTTCAACCACCTATCATAAGTCTGGTGACAATGATATACTTAATGCTCGAAAGCGAGCCTTATTGTTATCGAGAAATGTTGAACGCCTCGTCGATGTCCTAGACCTCCCCGCCTTACTATCCACTGCCATCACCACCGGCTCTTCTGCCCCTGCCGCCAACTATGCATCTGCCCTAGATCTCAATAGTCACATTCGTCGACTACATAGCTTATATGCAGATTCATGTTTAGTCACCTCTGTATCTACGCAAGCCGACGAGGCTATGCAGGCTATGGCCAAGAATTTAATAGCCAGCTTACGCACACCCGGTCTCAAACTTGCATCTGCCTTGAGAACCATCAGTTGGCTTCGGAGGGTGATACCGGACCTAGACTCTACCGGTGTCACTGGCAATGGTGGCGGGTTAGGGGCTCTGTTCCTTGTGTGCCGTCTATCCACGTTAATTAATATGCTTGCTGCCTTGGAACCACTTCGCGAACTGGCTGAGCAAGAAAGGATCCGACAGCAGAAGAACCCACCTGGGAGCACATGGTCTGGGGGCCAGCAGACAGAACGGTATCTCAAGCGGTACATAGAAATTTTCAGAGAGCAAAGCTTTGCTATCGTCTCTATGTTTAGAAGTATATTTCCCGCGCCGGCAAGTGAGGCGGCTCCGAAGACAGAAGATCCGGACCCTCTACAGCCCATACCTTCTGCGGTATCAACATTCCCTTTTCATCTAATAGAGATGTTGATGGAGACATTGCGAATATATCTACCATCTATTAGAGATCAGCCATCCCGTGACAGTCTCCTGACACAGGTTCTCTACTGTGCCGGAAGTCTGGGGCGTCTTGGGGGAGATTTTGGAGTTTTACTGGCCACTATCGATGCTGGTGATGAGGCAGAGGATGAGTGGGTGGAGGTAGTAAGACGGCATCGACATATGGCTGGTCGACTAGAATCGATTGTCGGAGGCAAAGAAAAAGGCTCTCCAGAGCCCATCAAGGCGTGATGATGAAGACGGGTTTAAGGGGGCATGCATATATCCATAATATGTAGGTGTCTATAACTAGGTATGCTTGTAGGCCATATTGGCTCTCCTTGCTATTACCCTTGTTCTTTTTTTTTGGGGGGGGGGGTTTGGTTTTTTTTAGTCTCTCACCGATGACGTGAGGTGACTCGTCTCGTCTCTATTTTGCTCGATATGTGCCTGCCTGCCCTAGGTACACAATACCTGTTAGGCTTTCGAGACATCAATCAACTTAACATTGAAAGCCGCCCCCCCCCCCCCTTCCCCCCCAAAAAAGAACTTACGTTCAATACTAAATAAACCTCAAAGCTTTCCCAAAGAGCTCCAGCCATAAGATACATACAGAGCTATTGGCATATGTAGTTTACAGTGTCTAAATTCATTGCTTCCAAGTTGTTGCCATACAAAGCGGATGGCCTCACAATAAAACGAATCCTGTGTCTCAACAGGATTCAACTCATCTCATCCCTATCTCATATCATCCACCCAAATATACTCCATTCATCATGTCGCAAAAGACTGCCCCTAGCAAGTCTTCATCGAGTAAGCATGGCACGATCAAGTTCATTTTCTACAGCTCCAATAATATGCTCTTGGGATTTTCAAAGGGACTGACGGGCATTCCTCTTTCTACGCAGCCTTCCATTTTGTAGCCGGTCTAGGTTCCGGAACACTAGGCGCTGTGCTTCTACAACCTTTCGATTTACTCAAGACCCGCGTTCAGCAGTCAGGTTCTCACTCGATTAGAGCTGCCATAAGAGATATCGCCAAGTCTCCCAATGCACTGACTGCGTTCTGGAGGGGCACCGTTCCCTCAGCGCTACGGACCGGAGTCGGGTCAGCTATTTATTTCACTACTTTAAACGTTATTCGGCAGCATGCGGCAACCCTGCCGTTTGCTACCGTGCCCGTCACTGACTCACGTCAATCTTCCTCGTCTCTCCCTAAGCTTTCTAATACTGCCAACCTCGTGGCCGGGGCATTCGCTCGTGCTTTTGCCGGCTTTATTCTGATGCCACTCACCGTCATCAAGGTTCGTTACGAGTCCAACTTGTATTCGTATAACTCGATCATCGGTGCCGCAAAGGATATATATAGGACGGAACGCATTCCAGGTTTCTTCGCCGGTTTTGGTGCCACCGCTCTCCGTGATGCTCCGTATGCCGGACTCTACGTGGTTTCGTATGAGCAGTTCAAGAAGCATCTCAGTTCTTGGCAATTTCCGACCTCAGTCACCAATCACCAGCAATCCGACGCTGGTATGGCGAGCTCCATGTCCGCCACTATTAACTTCAGCTCCGGGGCCCTCGCTGGCGCTACATGTTCCTTCATATCAAATCCATTTGACGCAGTGAAGACGCGCATACAGCTGCAGCCACGTGAATATCGGAACATGGTTCAGGCTTGCCGTAAATTGATTACAGAAGAAGGCGTACGGTCTCTCTATGATGGACTCGCTCTGCGCATGACGCGCAAAGCCATGAGCTCGGCGTTGGCATGGATGCTGTACGAGGAGTTCATTCGGAGAGCAGAAACGACATTACAGCAAAAAAATACAACGGGGTATATATGATCAGGTACCGACACAAACTATTGAACTCAACTCCAATCAAGACAAACTCCCTACTCACAAGGCACGAACTGCCTGCTCCAAATTCATGATGTGGATAGCTCTATAGTACGAGGTATGAAGTCTTTGCTTATAATTGCTTTGTGCTTGATCTTTCCAAAAAGAAGAAAGAAAAAAAAGTGGTATAGTCGTCTCTCATCAACTGCAGATTGCAGGAACCGGATTATTATATACCTAAGGAACCCCTCTCCCACATCATGATGGCCTTCCTCCAGCCAAGTACATCAATAGAGAAGGGGATCGGCTCCGCCTTCGCTCCTTTTTGCGGACCCATTCGAACTCGGGTTCAAGATGATGATGGTGGTGTCGTTTCTCCTTATCCTCTATGGTCACTATAGTGTCTCTGATTAGCAGTTGTTGTTTGGTTTAAGGAATTTGAAACAATCTCCTGAGCATGGGGTTATATTTTTCTTATTCCCAGTTCTAGGTAGCTGATTCTTTTCCTAGCGATGGTATCATGTGAGTAACAGAGTTTACTAGAGGTCTACTTACGAATGAGTTTCCCCGATCGCTTTTCTCGAATGAGCTTGGTGTGTCTCCAGAGCATATCCTAGATTAACTCAGATTAGCCCTCGGTCTCATGCGACGAATACAAGGGGATATGCATACCTGCTCCGGCTCTGATACCCACCTCTTAATCAAAACGTAGTCGGGATCCTACAGTCCAAAGTTAGACCTAGTTGAGAGAGGTGCCATTCAATAGATACTTACTGGATCAAGCTGAAAGTCAAGATTGAAGGTCCTTAGAGTCTCTATCGACAAGTGTCGTCTGGCCATGCGTGTGTAGATAGGCCGCGGGTTGTTTTCCACCAATGTGGTATTCTCATTCTGTTTCTCCTTCTCCTTCTCCTTTTCTTTCTTCTCCTTCTCTTCCTTTCGGACCTTTTGACCGGCAAGGATAGCGTTGATCTCCTTCTCATCGAGGCCGGATTTGAGCAGTTGGTCTTGCATTTTAGCCTTATACTCCTTATCCCGGGCCTCAGCCTCCTGCTTCTCTCTCAGTCTCCGATCGGCTTCATCCTTCTTGTACTTATCGATGATCTCCTTGGCCTCTTTGTCGCGGCGTCTTTTCTCTTCGAGAGCAGCCTCTTCTGCCTTGAGTCGATCATACTCCAGCTTCTGTTTGACGCGGCGCTCATATTCGTCTTGTTCCTTAGCTCGCCTGATCTCGTCCAGCTCCTTCTTGGCCTCGCGTAGCTCGCGCTCTTCCTGGTAAGATCGATTCCGACGTTTTTCCTCTTCTTCGATCTGAGAAGCTAACTTTAGCTCCTGAAGCTCCTTCCGAGTGTGCTCGAGCTCGTACTCGCGACGCTGGACTTCCATTTCGTGCTCATAGTTCTGGCGCAAGTGCTCCAGCGCGAAGCGATCACGATCATGTTCGCGCTCCAGTTCGCGCTCCAGTTCGCGGGAGTGTCCGGAAGAGGCACGTGAATGCCCACGACGACGAGATCTAGATCGGGAGACCTTGTACTCCCGCTCGGAGTCGGAGTCAGATAATGATTCCGAGTCAGAGTGGTTGTAAATGCGGTTGTTGATGATTACAGGAGGAGGAGGCGGCGGCTGAGGCGCCTTAGTAGCTGGGGATTCAGAGTGCCGATCGCGTGAGACAGAGCGCCGAGTAGTAACAACTGTGCGCTCGTTCGCGGGGACGAGGAAACGGTCCTCGGGGCGCGGGCTGGGATCAAAACGGGGACGAGACGAGCGGGGATCGACGTAATGAGCAATAGGAGTACGACGAGGGGAAACATGGCGGTGCTCAACACGGATGTCGAGATCTGACTCGTCATCGGAATACCCCCTGTATCTGCTCATCTTGATTGTAACCGCAAGAACTACGGTGACGATATTTTAATATACTCTGTTTTGTTTATGTAAAATAAGGCCTATGTAATTGTCCGTCAAATAGATACGGGTGAAGGACAAGGACAAGTATGAATATAAATACGATAAGAAAACGTCAGATGAGTAGATTGAGGGAAGTGTGTGTGAGTGAGAGTGAGAGAATTACATACGGGGGGGATGATCGAGAGTCGGTCAGGTCATTAAGAGGAAGATGAGGGGGGGGGGGGGGGGGGTTTAAGAAGTTCAAGTCAGTACTATTGTATGCACAGCTGATAGTTGAAGACTTCCAAGCTTGTACTAGAGCGGGGAAGGCAACCTCATTTATTATTCATGGGTGTTACTTACCTGGGTTAGGTCACTTAGGTGGTATGCACTATCTAGTAGGGATAGGTACTATATATATCTCTCTCTTCCTAAGTACTACATATGTATGTAGGTAGATACCTCCCTGCAGGGCCCAGGTGAGTAGGTATATGCCATGTGTTGTGTATTCTATATCATGATGTATGAAGGTATGTAGTGAAACCTGAATGGCTCTTCTATCTTCGGCTTCCCTTCCCTTTCTTCCCTTTCTTCCCTTCAAAACCCCCCCTCCGCCATGTACAATACATACCCTAGGTAAGTATGAATGTGTCCGATTGTGTCGACCCTCAACTGCCCATACCTTAATAAGATAGGCGCTGCGTTTCATGTACCTAGTACTACTAGCCAACCACCCACTGGACTATTACCAAGCTGCTGCATCTCACCGGAAATTCGGAACAGGGTACATCACGACGGCGGGCAGCTTCATTAATGTATGTACTCATTGTACTGTACCAACACCGATGCCAAGCATCGTGGGGGCTGAAATTTGGATTTGAAGCACAGGATTAGTTGATTCGTAGGGTCAGCTTAAAGAAGTGGACCGTACCGACAATGTAACCTACCTAGGTACGTATATGTTTACCTAGAGCAGGCTGCCAAATTTATATAGTTGGTGTAGTCACTGTAGTGTAGTAAAGGTGAGGGGCTGAAATCAATGGATGCATATCATATGTATCATATAACAATAGTAGCCTAATACATGCGTACCTAGGGTAGTATGTAATACTAAAGTTAGAGCATCAATGCTTTAAGCCTTCAATTTTCCTTTCCAGGCATGCACTTTAATCAATAATATAAGTCTATAAGAGATGAACATGGACATGTAGTTAATAGGTATCGTATCCGTCATTATGTAACCCCCCCCTCTACCATTGCGCAGTGCTCTTTCGCCTCCTTGTTTGTATGCCTGTTCGTGTAGCACCCTCTTACAATTCAGACAAATACACGGATACTAGCGAGTAAAAAAAAAGCTGTCAAGAGGCGATAGATTAAATACACGATACTTGAAAGATCTGCTCTCCCCATTTTCTAGCGCAGCTGACACGCATGATTTGCAGTCCAGCCCGACTCCAGTAGGCAACGCCATGGCAATGACTATGCTACCGTGCGTAACGAGGCTCTTCCGATCTGACCTAAGAAGAGCTCACACCTCCTCTGAGCATCCGATCGATCTGATCCTTGCTGTTCTTCTGAGAAACCTCGAGGTAGTGCAACCTCTTGCCTAGCCCGTCCACATCACCCTCCACCTCCTTGATCTGTGTGTCTAATTTGCTCTTCATGTCAGAAACGGGGAGAGCGACAAACCTGTATTCGGAAGATTAGGGTTAGTTACGAGCGAACCGGGAATGCGAGGGGCAAAAGGGGCAAAAGGGGTAAGAGAAATGAAAAGAAGGAGAGTCTAACATCTTGCCAACCCCCTCGTAAACGTGGGTATCCGCCGGTAAAGAAGACATCTCGGTGCGTGTTAGCTGCGCCATTCGTAGCTCGCGCTGCTTGGATGTCTGCTGGGTTCTGACGAGCGATATTTGCTGCTGCGCGGCGATGGCCTGCGTTTCAACCTCCCGTAGCAGCTAGAAAAATTCAGAAACGTCGTGAGCGGTCATGTTCTCATCATGTCGTAACGTATATTCAGACGGCGTACCTTCTGCAATGCTTCGTTAGAAATCGACATTTTTCAGTAGAAGGATTTTATTTATTTTTTATTTATTTATTTATTTATTGGTGTTCTTCTTTTTGTATAATGGAGAAAGTTGGAATTAATAGCTTATAGTTTTTAGCTAATACTGTTTCTTACGATGGTGGGGCTTTTCTTTTTACTTACGCGCACGCGGATAACATTGAACCTTGAAGTACCGGGTACAGTAAGTACCTAGAGAGGTACCTGGCCCACTTATATGCATGTTAATGATGTGACTTGAAAGTTGTTACCTGCGTAGCTGCTACGTTACCTACAAGTACCTGCTAACTACTAGGCACATGTGCATGTTCAAAACCTCAATAATCAACACTACTAGGTATATAGTAAATGCATTGTTCGCTTTCATCTATCTGGATATCTATCTATCGCTAAACTAAAAAACAACTTACCGCGCATCTTGTTTATCGAGTAACGTACCTATACAATGATGAAGACTAATGGGGTTGACGAGGAGGCGGGTTGGTTTCTATTGCTGCTTCTTATTCCATTTGTCCTGTATGGTCACCACTTCCGGCATGCTGATCATCGAAGGCCAGTTAAGCCGAAATTTATCTTCGTCGCCATCGAGGCAACGGTGAATCCATATACGCCAAATAATATAAAAATATGCTAATAAAGCGGTTACGTTAGTCAGAGCAACGTCCATACAAAAATGCCAGGAATGTGTCCATTGAAAAGTCAGAATGTTGGGGGACAACACTTACCACCTATTCCGGTCACTAAATTTCAAGTGTCTGAGATCAGCAATCAACTCCGACGAATAAGAGAAAGCGAACGAGAAAGGAAAAGAAGAAAAACGTACTGAGATGCCACCAAGCGTGTCCTTCGAGTACTACCGCCCAGGGGAGCCCCAGTTCATGTCGCAACTCCCGGATTGCGCTACAGTACATATTGTCCAAGTTCCAGATGAGATAACCGCCTAGGAATACACTGAGGCCTATATGTACATTAACAGGACTGGTCTGCCAATCAGGCTTTCACCATAACCGGCGCTGGTGGCTTACCTGTCGCAACTATGACCCACATCTGCTTCACCATCTCATTGGCCGTCGGCAGCTTCGGAGTGCGACCTCCTTGTCGAGCATCCTCCCTCTTCCTCAGCGCTGGTCGAAGTTGTCGCTCCATGATCCATAAGTTGGAGAATACCACCAAAGCGGTGAGAACTGCGTAGGCATCTTGGTGGAACTGAGGATTTTTGGTCTTATAATATCTAGCCTAACGTCCTTTGTCAGTATCCAAGTCAACTAAGCAGAACAGAGAGAAAGGAGGTAGGAAACAAACCGTGATGAACCACGCAAGGCCGACAAGTGCGACGCCGAGGAGAGAAGAGAAACGGGTAGATCTACCATACGAAAAGGTAGCGAAACACATGAGACATGTTGTATAAATCATGGCAAGCTCATCGATGAGCTGCATGGGATCTACCGCCATGTTAGGGTACCATGGTCTTCGAAGAGTTGTAGAGTCTATGTATTAGGGAGGTTGGGCACAGCAATGATCCACCCGGTTAGGCTTACACTTAAGAGAGGCATGAAAGAGTGTAGAACCGAGGCCGACAATCATATACCCGGCGAAGGTGATGATGAATATAAGCGGGTGAGAATATTTGATGCAATTCCGGATGCCCCTATAGCCTAGCCACACGAAGAGCGCATTGGTCAAAGTCTACACGCAAAACGTCGCGCAAAACATATTAGTCTTTATATGTTCCTCATTTCTGAAGATCATCGTCACTAGGCATAAAGAGTAGTAGAGTAGGAAAGGGGGAAAGAAGGAAGAGGGAAAGATTTGTAGCTGATTTACATTGCAGACTTCGGCGCAGTAATAACTCATAACATAGTCCTAAGTTAAATATTTAGTTCTCATAAACCTAGCTGACGGTAAAAGGCATAAGTTTTCTCAACTTACCTCTTCACAAAAGTTCAAAGTGGACGTTTTCTCGCCCCAGAAACCATGCCGAGGTTCATGGTAGGGAAAGCTCAAGGATTCAAGGAGGCTTTTGATGGACATGGTCACCGCCTTACTCCTAAAGGTACTTCGAATATTGGTATAGATAGATGGGTAATTTCTAAATGAATGCAAAGGCGAATGAAGCTAAGCAGACAGACAATTCAGTGTTAATCAGAAGGAAGGGAAGAGTATAAGTGTAAATGTAAGTGTAAGTGTTGAAGGTTCATAAGCTGAACATTAAAGCTGTGCCATACAAATGTTTACTAAGCTACATAGTACTCTACCTACATAGTACCTTACTTTATACTATATACGTACATGCCTAGGTACGTAATAGTATGAATGCACCTACTTTGTGAGACACGGAACATTTTAATGTTGAAGCATCTGATGTGCATGTGAGTATAAGAGGTACCCGATACTTACATAGTAGGTACATAAATTACATATGATACATGTATTAGTGGGACTTGCTTGGATGGAAACTTCTTTACATTAGTTAATAGTAGACATAGTTAATTAACGTTGATGTCCATTCATATAACCAGTGCATACGTATCCACTGTACTATGTATCTGATACTATATCTGGTAGGGCTGTAGTTATGTACTGCGCACCGAGCCTGTTGCAACTATATATAGGTACCTATGTAGATAACAAGGATCAGTCCTAGTTACATAAGTCAATAAAGTCAATCTTCCAGCTTCGCGGGCGTATCAGATTCGTCATGCATGTTATTTTAGTAACTGACGACATCTGAACATCTGCTTTATACCTTCTCTTTCTCCCAACCAACTATCAACTACTACCTCAACTTACCATCGAGCGTATTAAGTGAACACTTCCTGCAACACTCTCAGGTAGTCGTATCCGTGCCAATTTATTCTACGGTTACACACCACACTGTTCTTTCTGTCCTTGGCACATAAATATCTACAAAGTAGACCTGTTTGAGAGACTACAAGTGCCACGATACCAAGCCGACCTGCAAACCGTTTAAGCCCCCCCTTTAAAACGACAACATAGAAAGAAGAAAATCTACATGCGAAGTTCATTCCAAACATTACTGGTAGTTGGGCGGTAGGACTGGTCTGGTTCTTATTTGCCTCATTGCTGTGACACGTCAGCAGCTGTTCAGCAAAGGAAGGAAAAAAGAGTCCTGTACGATGCGCCGACTTCATCTTCAGCACCGTGTAGCAAAATCACTTGCGTGCGATAGTATCGCCTACTGAAATTCCTCGCTTTCCCTTGTCCATCCAAAAGCCCGAGCCTGTAAACTTGAGATATGTCGGCCCCCCAGAAATCCTCACGATGGGGCTCATTTCTGTCCCAGGCAGTCGCAGGCGTTGAAGCACGTCTCGATAATATTCTCTCAGAAGAAGAGTCCTTGAAGCAAGCAGCTACCCAACGACCAGCGAGAACCCCAACGAGAACCCCATCGACGTCATCTACTACTGCATCCACCGTAGGTGCATCAGTCCGATCCACCACACCCTCCAGATCAAACAACGATAGGTTGCAGGAACGATTAGCTCGAGCCGTCGCGGCAAAAAACGCTGCGCAAAGGTCAGAATCATCCCCCGCCCGATCAAGTGTAGAAATAGGTCCCCGGCTTAGCTCTGATGTTTCTACCACATCTTCTGCGACAGAGCCACAATCAAGCGCCGAGGGAGTGTACATCTCGAAAAAAGGTGTGGCAGGAAGAGCATCTGCCCCTTCTGCTTCTAGCGATGGCGCTTTGGTGAGGCCATCAACTCCTACCGCCGATGAGGAGGCGCCTGTAAAAGATGTGGAAGTTATGAATGATGATACCAATATTTTGTTACGAGGTAGTCAAGAAGCTCGAGCCGAGGAAAATCCAAAGGCAACCGACGTGTCGTTTTCTACAGACATCTTGGGAATTGAAATCGCTTCATCATCTCTTCTATACGAACAGCGTATCACTGAACTCGAAAAGTCCCTTGAGACAAGCCATGCACAGCACCAGGAAGAACTTCACAGTCATGTTGAAAGGGTCGATGCCTTGCAGGCTAAGCTTCTGTATCTGGCACGCGAGGCGTCAGAGGCTGCAAGGAATGCCGCTAACGCCGCTCCGGCGGGCAGCCAAGAGAGAAAACTTGCTGAGAAAGACCAACAAGTTGCCCAGCTGATGGAAGAAGGGCAAAAGCTTGCAAGTACAGAGCAAAAGCATCGAAGTATTATCAAGAAATTGAGGGGTGAGCTTGCTGTGAACGAAAAGGAAATTAATAACCAGAAACTGGCGCGCCAGAAATTGGAGAATGAGCTTATCATCTTACGAAAGCGACTTGACGAGCAGGGTGACGTTGAGAAAGTAAATGCAGAATCGCAGAAGTTGATAAGCCAGCTTAGGAGAGACCTGGAAAAGGTGAGGGCTGAGATCACTTCGAAAGACAACACAATATTTGATCTCAAGAACCGACTCCGGGAAGAATCAGATCGAGCCAAATCCACGGCTGCCAAATTGAATGATCAACTGCGGGAAGCAGGCCAAGAACGCGTGAAGGAGCTAGAAGATGCAGTTGCAGCTCTGCAAGTAGAAAAGGGGTTACTAGCCGATCGCGCCAAATTACAGATAGCAGAATTACAGGAAAAGGCAGATAGGGCTGCGGAACGTTTTCACTCCATGGAGTTGGAGATGAAAGGAGAGATCCAGATACTTGAAAGCAAGTTGGAGACTCTCCGAGTCCGGGCAGAAGAAGCTTCTTCAGGCGCCGTGGGTGATACGCAAGCAAAGTTGCTTCGCCAGATAGAGACTCTTCAAACTCAGTATGCTATAGCGAGTGAGAATTGGCAAGGGATAGAAGCATCTCTAATAGCCAAGTCCGCGGCTTTAGAAAAGGAAAGAGACGAGGCGTTGCGTCGCGAATCGGAGATGAGGCGAAAAGCACGAGAGACGGTAAGCAATCAATCCTGCCGGAGAGAAATACGAGAAATATATATACCTATTGTACCTATATATGTGTATATACTGACATAAATATTATGACCAGGCTTCCCGAGCCAAGCGGCAAGAGGAAGAATTGGAAGAGACAAAGAGCCAGCTTCCCAGCGTTCAACGGGATTTATCCTCGTACCAATCACAGCTTGAGACTCTGCGTAAACGAGCCGAAGAGGCTGAGACATCTTTAGCCGAGGCGAGATCCGAGTTGGAGCGACAGCGGGCATCTTGGAAAGAAGAAAAAAGCGAGCGAGCAGAGCAAGAACGACGAAGCTGGTTGGAAGAAGTCCCAACCAATGCCTTCCGGATCACGAGCCGCCCCGAGTCTCCCCTATTGTCAGCGCCACAAAGAACGTTCAGTGGAGATTTCCTTGGATTGCAAAGCTACCCGACAAGGCTTCGAAAGACTTCTGCGCCTTCTAGCAATGGCGACCCGAGTCCGGCCGAACGACCGTCGTCGGGTAGACGGCCGTCAGCACAGCCTCCTATCCGGTCTCCCCTGTTTCCTGGGGCGTCAGCACAGGCAGGGACGCCACCATCCTTGTCCGGTGGCTTGGATATGCTAGCATCACCTACAACACATCCAGCCGATAGAGATGACGTGTTTGAGAACCTGGAGACTCCCGCTTCTCCACATAATATTTTGCAAGATATGATGTCGGTGTCAACAATGACAGCTGGGCCATCAGTGCAACTGGTTGAGAGAATGAGCGCTGTGATTCGCCGATTGGAGAGCGAGAAAGTGTCGGCCAAAGAGGAACTCGCTAGAATCTCAAGCCAGCGGGACGAGGCCCGCGGGGAGATCGTTGCATTAATGAAAGAGGCCGAGGCCGAAAAGGGGGCCAGGAAAAAGGTAGAGGAACTGGAGTTGGAGGTGGCGTCTATCAACGAAAGATACCAAACCACATTGGAGATGCTTGGGGAGAAAAGCGAACTGGTGGAGGAGCTGCGGGCGGACGTGGATGACGTGAAAACCATGTATAGAGACCTCGTTGAGAGAACGATAAAGTAGAGACAAGCCATTTGGCTTTAATTATTGCCTTACTCTACAACGTACTACGTACTACGTACCTATGATTTTGGTATAGGCAATACATGTGTAGTAGAAATACAAATAAATACTATGAGTACATAACTTGGTCTATGAAGAACCTAACCTAGGTATGTTGCTAGTAACGCGATCAATGGTAGGATCTAAAACTCATGGCTCCGTCCTATATCAGAGTTGAATCCCCTGTATCTCAGCTTCCCGTTCTATGTATTTACGAACCTCCTTATCAGGTGCTAAATCTAGGGCCAAACACCCATTTGAATCTCGCTTGTCCGTCTCTGCACCGTTCTTGAGTAGTGCTGTTGCGGCATTCCCTGGCAACCTCGTTAGCTGATTCAGGGAGGCAATCCATAATTATGCCTTCTAGTAGAGGGGATGAACGAACCGTGACCCTCAGCGACAGCGTGATGCAGGGCTGTGTAGCCAGCATTATCAGATGCATTGATGGGACTATGGTTCTTGAGTAGCATTTCTATCATAGGCACCGAACCTACGGCGGCAGCTCGGTGTAGTGCATACTGACCGCGCTTGTCTCTGACTCTTGCGGAAGCCGGCGGAGTCGAGTTGAAGAGTTTGCGGGCCACGTCGAGGTTTTTCTTGGAGGCGACGAAGTGAAGAGCTGTCTACGTTATAATAATCAGCACGCAACATTCGTTGTGTATTATTCCTTTAGCTTAGCGGCATACCTGTCCGTTGTTATCTATTGACGTTAGTCTTCTAGAGCGGCTATACAAGATGGGCAAAGGGGCGGGCCTCACTCTTTTGGTTTATATCGGCGCCCTTAGAAAGCAGCAGGTCTACGACAGCATCCCCATCTCTTACGCTCACGGCAATCATCAACGGGGTCCAGCCACTGCCATCCTATATATGATTAGATGGGTTAGAGGCAGAGCAGCATGATATGACATGACATGGCCTACCTCGACATCTGGATCAAAATCAGACTGCTGAGCCAGAAGCAAGACAATGGGATAGTTATTCGCAGATGCAGCCCAGTGTACGGCAAGGCGACCGTCGTCATCCTTGAGACGAGATAACTTTGGGTCTACCTGTCCAAGTGCTCAGCAATTAGGCGGAATACACCGGAGCTGGAGAATTTGACGGAGCTCACATTCAGTAAGGACTCGACAACGGACACTATTGTTCGATCAGTCTTGCTAAGGGATATTTAGAATATAAATCAAATCTAGATATATTGTACCTACCTCTGCCTTCTCGAGCAGCAGCATGTATGGCATATTTTGACTGATCAGTTGCCATGATCTTGGTTATCAGTTTTCAGACGTTCTACTTGTTTTTCACTACCTACGAATGCTACTGTTATATCAAAAAGATAGGTAGTGTCTTCTAGGTATTTTGGTAAAATTTGGATGAAAGTATTTGGTAGCCTGGTAGAGTCGGGAACGTTTGACTCTGGAGTTGAACATTGAATGCTGTGAATAGTGAATACACCGTATGTAGTAACCAGAAGTATTGCACCTACCTAGTATATGTATCTATTGGGGCTTGTATGTACATAGGCAGCTTAGTCCAATCTTATCTTATCTTTTCTTTTACATACACGCGCCAAACATCTTGCCGCCACGGTCATGATTCTCGATTTCTCGATTTCTCGATTTCTTGATTTCTTGCCTTTCATCTCTCTCTCATTCGCGCCATCTCACAATCCTTTCGCTTCATTTCTCAGCCCACCACAATTCAAGATACCCCATAATGGAGGTCGTCCAACCAGATCTCAGAAATCTTATGATAGAAAATGCTCGACGATCCAAAACGCTCTTTACAGACTCATCCGGCGGATCGGCGCGAAAGAAGCTCAAACTAACGACAGACACAAATGAACCATCGCAACGCGAAAAAGATGCACTATCCGTCCGCCTCCATGCTGAGTATCAACACGTCCGAGAGTTACCATCTGTCATATCTCAGAAGCAAGCCACTGCTATGAGCCTCAGGAAGAAGGGGAAAAGGCCAGCAGCGAATGAAGAAGAGCAAAAGACACAAAAGCTAATCGAAGGCATACCACAACCCCTTAGCAGCACCAATGTACCTCAACCAGGATCCAATGCCCTCGTCCAAATACGCAGACCACCACCAACTACCTCGTCATCATCCGATGCGAACTCGTCGACTGCCTTAAGCGTCGCCCGCGCTCAAGCGACACATCAAGTCAAGCCCGACTGGCATCCACCTTGGAAGCTCATGAGAGTAATCTCAGGCCATTTGGGCTGGGTTCGAAGTCTTGCGGTTGAGCCACATAACCAATGGTTTGCTAGTGGTGCCGGCGATCGAACTATCAAAATCTGGGACCTAGCTACCGGCAACCTCAGATTGACCCTGACCGGTCACATATCCACTGTCCGCGGCCTCGCTGTATCTCCCCGGCACCCTTATCTCTTCTCCTGCGGCGAAGACAAGATGGTCAAGTGCTGGGACTTGGAGACCAACAAGGTCATTAGGCATTACCACGGCCACCTAAGCGGTGTCTACACCTTGTCGCTTCATCCCACTCTTGATGTACTGGTCACGGGCGGGAGAGATGGCGTTGCTAGGGTGTGGGACATGCGCACCCGCAGCAACATCCACGTCTTATCCGGCCACAAGGGGACTGTCGCCGATGTCAAATGCCAAGAAGCTGACCCTCAAGTTATTACTGCCTCACTCGACTCGACGGTAAGGTTATGGGACTTGGCCGCCGGCAAGACCATGGGTGTCCTCACCCACCACAAAAAGGGCGTTCGCGCCCTCGCACTACACCCTTCCGAATTTACCTTTGCTACGGGGAGCACCAGCAGCATTAAGCAATGGAAGTGCCCAGAGGGTGCCTTCATGGGCAACTTCGAAGGGCACAATGCCATCATTAATTCTCTGGCTGTCAATGAGGACGTCCTGTTTTCTGGAGGAGATAATGGTTCTATGAGCTTCTGGGACTGGAAATCGGGACATCGATTCCAAGCTCTGGATTCTATTGCCCAGCCAGGATCCCTGGATGCCGAGGCCGGCATCATGAGCTCGACCTTTGACCGCACAGGTATGCGCCTTATTGTTGGCGAGGCGGACAAAACCATCAAAATATGGAAGCAAGATGATAAAGCCACGCCCGAAACACACCCACTAGAATGGAAGCCGACCTTGGGCAGACAGAAGCATTAGATGAGAAAGACGGTCATGTATACAGCGTGGTGCATCAGTTACTTAAAGGGGAGTATGGGGGTTAGTGGAGTTGATTATAAGTCACGACAACCTCTAGTTACGCACTAGGTCGGAAGGAGATAGGAACTACATAATATTAGAACGCTGTAAAGATAAATATCGTAAATTTCTCGGTTTGGTGTGGTTTACGCATATGTACACTAAAATGAGATACCCAGTGCCCTGATCTCAGGGTCATCCCTGAATGCAAGTTTGATCTCTTCGTCGCCCACGGCAAGTCTAATTTTACTTGGCCGCTCAGGTCGCTGGCCTTCCAGAATGATAATGCCAGCTCCAGTCAAGTCCACAGCTGCAGCACTGACTCCTGCTGGCCTGGCAAGCTTGGCTACCCTCCTCTGTGCGGCTGCATCCAACGTGGAATCTTTATCCTCCGTGCCCTTAAGCAAGTGAACCTGACGGCTTCCGGCATCCAATACAAGAGCCCGGTTCATCTCCCCGATTACATCACCGTAAGTGCTGTCAGGCAACCCCGTCCGTTCGTTCCTCACCAGAAGAGACGCGAGAACCAACTTGGACGCAAATGGAAGAGCACGCAAGTATTGCTGCAATGGACTGGTAGTCGCTTCATTAATAGCTCGCTTGATGGTTGCAATGGTGACCCTGCCTCGCGAAGGTTTGGCCGTCCTGTCTGCTTCGCCTAGCTTCGCCTTTGCTCTCTTGCTCGGGGTCGTTGGGTCAGGTTCCGACGCCTTGACGTCGGCCTCGGCCAACTCTACGGCCCGTCGACAAATATCAAGAGCGCGTCGTGCGTCGCCACTCACAGCAGCAACCTTGCGGCTCGCAAACTGGACGGCATCTGGCTCCACAATGTTCCCTGGCACGCCCTCGAGTCGCGATTGAATGATTTTCATGAGCTGTTCGTGGTTGTAGCCGGGGAAAGTGATGCGCGTCAACCCTAGGCGACTACTGATCTTGTTGCTGAGGGTTCTCTCGGGAAGGTCCATCGTGTTGGCTACTGCTAGCACAATAAGTCGCGAGTGTCGCAAACCAGGCCAGTTGAAGAAGTTATACATGACGCTCTGATTCTTGGTGACGAGTTGGTCGAGCTCGTCCATCAAGACGACACAGGGTACCCGACGAGGGCTAGGATTATTGAACTCACGCTCCAGTAGGTCCAACGCCTGGCTCGGGCTAACCCGTTGTCCTCTCAGTGCCTCCCAAAGCAGAGCATACGACTGGTGTGGATCGGTGATTTTCATGCCGTTGATTTCAACAAATATAAAGTCGTCTAGCTCATCGGACCGCACCGCCTCGTCTAGTTTGGATACTACCTCCCGCACCGTCGCAGTTTTCCCGGTTCCCGGTGTACCGGATATGTAGATACATGCACCAGACCCGTCAGTGATGGCGGCCTCAAGATGTGAGTAGACTAATGCAAATTCGGATTCTCTGCAAGGCAGGCTGGTTGGTACCGAAGCCACATGCAGTTGAGCCCTGGCGATCTGAAAGGGGGAAGACTGATGATAGGTGGGAGAAATAGTGCGTGTAGCAAGCGGCGTGAACTCCAACGCCCTTTTCACTACAACTCTAGTATCATAGGTCAGTTTGTCTTGTGGTTATGTCGTGAGTTTGTTGCAATATGAACCTACCGGCGATTAGAAGGCGTTACAACCCGTGTTGTTTTCTGTTTCTTTCTTGGCGTGACTAGAATTCGAGATCGAGCAGCATCATCAGAGGGATAATCCTCATCTAGTTCTTGTCCTTGCGGAGCAGCAACGTAGTCGGCTTCGGTAATCGGCATATCTTGATTACGTCGTTTTCTTGTCGACCGCGTACCGCTTCGCACCAATTCTACCAAATCATCTATATCGCCTTCTCTACCGTGGTAGACATCTTCCCAAACGAATTCGGGAGTATACGTCGAAGTTCTCGAGTTACATCCTCTTCTACAGACAAAGGTCTTATTGTAGCCTGGTGAGGTACGGGGGACCTTGCCTGTTGGGAACTGTTGGAGAAACTTCTGGTGGGATAGAATGGTGGCTTTTCCATTGATAGAAGCTAGTGGATTGACATCAGAAGAAGGGGTGATGTATAGTTCGTTCTAGGCTCAGGAGAATCAGCATGACGAATAAGTTAGCTAGGGGGTTTGATCACGTGAGATGTATATTGAAGAACGAACCGGTAAGAAGTCAGTCCTTTTTCGGTCACTATTCCTGATCTCCTTCTCGGTAGAGAACCAGAGGAAATTGGCAGCTTTATCCCCGTCTTCGTCAGCTTCGCGGAATTCGGCAACAATGCCAACCCATGCCTCATTAGAACCTTCAGCTTTTAACAGAACACAGTCGCCGACATAGCATTCGAAGCTCCCCATACGAGCACCAACAATGTTATGCTGGGCACTCCTTTTTCTCTTACTTGCCGAAGCAGAGGGCTGATTTTGGCGGTAAATCCACTCCCAGGGATGGTCATCAATACCCAGTTCATCATCCGAGTCATCTCTAGCGACCCCGGGAGCGGCAGTCGAACGGTGTCGAGCCATCTAAAATTGCTAAGGTGAGAGAAGTACCAATTGCCAATCAATTCTCAAAGTTTACAGAAAATATTTCTGTAAATCTGTTGATCTCAAGTAGGTAGGTACTCAGATTGAATACATAGTACTACATACATAGTATTATGTACGTAGGATTACATAGTATGTACATAGTGTAGCATGTATTTAAGGGGAGACCCTTGCTTAGAGTTAGTTCATGACGCGAATTGAACTTGACGTTAAGTTCCCACTTGCTCGCGAACTCACGTGTCAGGAACTCCACAGATTTCAAAGCTATTTGTTTCATTATTGGCTCACGTGATACCTATTCTACTTTAGGAAGGTGCACGTGACTAGCTTAACCTTATTTTGGTATTAATGTGCTCACAACTATGTAAAATCCATGTACCTGCCTATGCTCAGCTTCATATAAAATGTCTAAAAACATACATTATATGTACTTGGACATGTTAATGTTCGTAAAATATAAAGGTAGGCACAATGGTTATAACATTGAAGTCATGAACCTAGCTGACGCCTACCCAGTATATATTTTATTTCACACATGCGTACATAGTGGTTATATGTGTGTAGTATTGTAGTACCTAGTACCATGTACTATGTATGTAATCATGCTGCTTCCATCCATCCAAGGTAAGTACTGTTGACTGTGTTTGTGTAGAGCCCATCATTGCTATCACAAATAAAGCAACTACATGCTGTGAGATGCCTCGCTCAGATACCTCATTCAGATACCTAGGTACAAAGTTCAATTTCAAATGTTGTCAGTTACTACATGTACGAACATTGAGGCACTACTACAGACGGGGCAGTATAGTTGCTTGATAGTAGGTGCACCAGAATCGACTTCGAAAGTTGAGACCCTGATACCTAAGGAGCCAGGTCAACAGATCAACGTACCTGAAATATAAGGTAAACCGATTCACCCAATCCTCGTACCTGATTCCTAATTCCTGATTCCTGATGCCTGGCGGAGAAAAAAAATATATAAACAGAAATCACCAACCAAAACATTCCTCCATCTACCGTCTTCCTCTCATTCACCTACCATCAGTTTCCCTTACTCATACACGCTCCGTTAATCGCTATCCAGAATCAATACATTCTGTTACAAAGAAGATAACAGTTACAATCGACAATGGAGTCATTGATAGACATGTAAGTTTCATTCTAATCTTGAATGATAAAATCAAACCGCATCTAATGCCATTTTTAGTGACACGTCACCTACGCGACCCGCGACCCGCGGTAACAATGGCTCTGCTATTGCCGCACCATCGGTCGACCTCCTTCTTGAAGGCTCGATTCAGGACGAAGCCAGGCTTGGATCTTGCCCTGTCCTAGATGCCGATGCCTATGATCCACGTGGCCCACCAGCCTCTCCTAGAGAAGGCACCAATATTCAGGGCCAAGATAGCCCTAGTATGTCGTCTGTCATGTCAACCTCTACTACCACAATCGACAATGATAGCAATGCCTCGCCGATGGACACACATGCTCCTGTTCCTATTTTTGGAATGAGTATCGAGGCTACTACCTCCCTCAATGCCCTAACCCTTCCGGATTGCTATACCAATGACCTAGTAGGAAGAGCAACTCATATCGGTATCGAGGATACCCACTATGGTCAGCTAATTGAAGTACGTACTTGTAGCCACAAAAAGTCATATTCAAGTTTTATCAACTAATATTAAATCTTTCTACAGGCCAACTTCGTCCTTTCACATCCCCCAGGCGTCGAGCCAGCTGTGCTTGGGGCGGTGCATGAAGGGTTAGTTCGAATAGCAGAGGAGCACCACATTGAGCTCCAATGCATACCCCGGGGCTCCTACTTGAAGCTTATCGCCCCTAGGAAGAACATGGTGGAGCTTGTTGGTGCGGCCCAAGATCTGGCCGACAGCTTGACCATGAAAATGCCGAGCAACGTCAACGGTATTTTTCTAGAACCGCCAACTCGAGTCAACAGTGGTTCCCAAGTCATTCTGCATGACAATCCTTTGGGCGGTGGTAAACGCCCAAAGCTAGAGCTAGGACAAGAGACCGCCGTTGGTCTAGAAGTCCCAGTTGATCCCCAAAACTACTTGGGACGTCTGCGGTTTGCCCTTTACACTGGGCTCAAGAAGGCTGGTGGTGTTCCTGGGTCACTCGCATTAAAGGTCAATCTAGGCCAGTTTATCTTGCAATCGTACCCTCGAAGCAAGCTCGCCTACGAGTACCACGACTTCCAGAACCTGATGAAGAATCCCCGTGTTTCTGGATTATTGCAGACTGAGTGAGTAGCCATATATCTAAAGTCATCAATGATAATGCCACAGAGCTAACATATTCGAGTAGGATTGGGCACAAGTCCCAGGCCACGGAGGTCCTAGACTTCGTTAGACGTGGGGGCAACGGTCTTCTACAGCCTATTCGAGGTCAGATAACCTCGCCGGCGGATGTCTTGCCTGAATATGCATTCGAGATACACTCCAATCGTATCATATTCACCGCCCCAATCAAGATGAAGGGCATCGAGGGTGCAAGAGGCGCACAGCCGAAGGAATACAGCCTCTATCAGGTTACAGCCTGTAGAGGGGACGATTCCTTCCCCGAGCTTGACGTCAAGAGCCTGGGCCTTGGCAAGTGAGTTTACAATTGAACAATGTGTTAAAAGGTCGCACTATCTAACCATGTTAACAGGAACCTAGACTGGGGCTTGGTGGCTGTCACCGAGGAGAAAGGCGCAAAGGCGTTTCCCGAAGTTGTCAAGTACTTAAGATCAGCTAAGATTGAGTTGATTGACTGGGACGAGCCACACGATCCCTCCGTCTACCCTAACGTGGCACTCCCGTTCAACGAGACAGCGAAGAAGTTCAAGAATATCGCTGTGAAGACCATATACCGCTTCAGATGGAAATCGACCTCATACATTGTCCAGATCGCCATCAACCACCGATGGGACAGCGTTGCTACCATGCAGCAGCTGCCAACCGTTGATCTGGGGATCAGTGTCACTGCAGACAATTGGAATTCGGTAGATGGTGATGCCGGAAACAATTGGGGGAATGAGCTGGAGTTTCTACTCGATGGCCACGAGGGTGGCGGCGCCGAACGGGCCAATAGCTTCATACAGACGATCGGAGAGATTCGCGACTGTTTTGATGCCTTCTTTTAGATCGACTGGCCGCTTTTAAGCCCGTGTAATTTGTATTTTGGAGCAAGATGACGGTGGTCATGAGAAAAGGAAGAAGGGAAATGACGAGGAAGCTGTATGATAACAACTGTTCTACTTTTATTGGTAGCTTAATGCTTAGGCTTTACTTGAGTTTTCGATCTTAGCATGATTCAAAAAACTGTTTAAGACTAACTCACCGTTCGCCTTTTACGACGATGGTGTCTACTGAGTTCCGGTAACCATCTTTTGCCTCAGAACTAATAGTACGATCAGGTCAGCTACTTATCAGGGGAATGGGTGTGACTAGCAAATGATAGGTAAATAATACCTTCCTCGACAACGCGGACGTTGTTCGTTTTACCTTGGACGATTGATTCCAGGTCCTTGATACTTGCCCCCACCTCGCCCACCTTGTTCTCGTAGAATTCTGCTGCTGACTTGGTCTCCTACGCATTTAGATTAGCATCTGCTGTAGTATATATATGTCTTCTACATAGACTGTCGTGGTCACCTTTTCAACGTAAAATCCGGTGCCGATATCTACGACGACGTGAGATGGGTCCGAGAGTGTACCGCGCACGTAGAGGGAATTGGTAAGGGGAACAAGAATCGGGTTGTTCTCTATTTTCTCTTAGCTCATCGGTTCGTCTTCTATAACATATAAAGTCTGAGAGAATGAGAATAAGGGAAAACGCACCCCGAAGAGCAGGTGACTTGTTTTTGTCCTGAACACAGCGTAGGCATTCTCGAAATTTAGACTGGGCGGCATGCAATTGGGCAAAGGAGGAGGTTAGATGCTCCAGTTCCTCATCGAGTTGCTTCTTGACTTGGCTAAGTTGTTGGGCACTGAGGCTGTCAAGGTTGACTGTCGCGCCAGAGGAAGAAGCAATTAGTTAAGAGTACCATGATATCAAATAAGATTTTAAACAGGAGAGAGAGACATACTACTTTCACTGTTACTACTCGCCATTTCAAAGGACCGAAGACCGAGAACTCAAATGTACTGAGATAAAATAAAGGAGTGTAAAGAGGTGTGAAAATGCAACATGAACTTGTGGTATGTATGTAGTTGGTGGTATGTATGTACATTGGAGACATTCGAGATATTGAAGTCTGAAGTTACAAGCGAACTATGTACGTCAATTGCATACGCATACATATAGATGCATTTAATAGGTACTACGCACAGAAGGTACCTAGTTAGTAGGTTAAGGGTAGTACGTACTTTTCCTTTGGTGGGGTGGAAGAGGGAAGGAGGGGGAGGGGCAGGGGCTAGGAGGGGCAAGTCAGAAATCAATAACTGCTACCATGTATCATCAGTGTGTTAAACAGTCAAAAAAGTTTATGACTCAAGCTGTCTACCTATTACCCTAACTATCCTAGATAACCATTGCGAACAGATTGATTTACCTTTTTTTTTTTTTATAAAAAAAAAGAAAGAGAAATCACAGAAAGACATAGACTCAGCATTCCCAAGATTTGAAATTTACTAAAAATACTGCATGACTGGACACACGCGAAAATTCTTGATTTAAGAAATGGCGTCTTCGACGGTGAGTCCCTCTTCGGGGGATCTCACCACCCATATTCTTCAATCCCTCGACAATTCCTCTCCGCTCCTATCCACTGAAGCACTCCCTACCGCGGGCTTCGCCGAGGTGAAAGCGGCCCTAGATCGATTGGCTTCCCGTGACATGGTCAGTTACGAGACCATAGAACGAGAGGAGGCCATATTAGAACCCGAGGGCGAGCTAATCGCGGCCAATGGCAGTCATGAGGCACGCGTGTTTGAAGCTCTGCGCTCTGCAGTCGATGGCCTCACCGTGCAAGATCTAGAAAAAGCCATTGGTGACAAGAACATCGTTAAGATTGGACAAGGCAAAGCATTCAAGGAGAAATGGATATCAAAAACCAAGGGTGCGCACCCCTTGCTCTTCTTCTCGTTCACAGTAGGAGAATCTCTGACCAGCATCTTCTTTTTGCAGACGGTAAATTCAAGGCCACGGCAGAGTCGATACAGGATATCACCAAAGAGCAGATGCAAACTATAAAGGCGACACGGACATACCCCGATGTCAAGCTGCTAGCCGATTTGAGGAAGCGCAAGCTTATCAGGATGCAGAAGATCATCAGCTTCAGAATCCATAAAGGCCCCAAGTTCGCCCTCAAAATTCCCGAAGAGGCTACTGACCTGACTGCCGACATGATCACAACGGGCTCGTGGAAGACGGCCACCTTCAAGCCCTACAACTTCAAAGCTTCTGGCGCTGATCAACGGTCAGGTGCCTTGCATCCACTCAACAAGGTCCGCGCCGAGTTCAGACAGATTTTCTTCGAGATGGGCTTCGAAGAGATGCCAACTGATAGGTAGGTTTCCAGCAGATCACTTACATATTACCACGACTACGAGACTGTTCAGTCCCTTACTCTACCTAGAAGCTGCCTGGAATTTCACTGACGTGTACCCGTTCATAACAGATTTGTCGAATCTGGTTTCTGGAACTTCGATGCCCTGTTCGTACCGCAACAACACCCGGCCCGTGATTTACAAGACACCGTACGCGATGCTCACCTCCTTTACCACCCCTCAACACAACGAAATACGAAACTAACTTGGGAGCTAAATATTTCTGGATATAGTTCTATATTTCCGATCCCCAGGCCGCTGACAAGCCACGAGCAACATCACCCGAAGATGAGAAGGATTATGATGCTTATTGGGAGAACGTGAAGGCAGTCCATCAAGTGCGTATCATATAAACGTAGCCCTTCGATCAAAGCACACCACCGTAGTCCATGAGTTTATGTCCTGGAACGCTGTAGTACAACGCTACAACTTGATCAAACATGTATATATGCTAATTATGTGGTTGGGGATAGGATGGTAAATATGGGTCGATTGGGTACCGGTATCCATGGTCTGGAGACGAGTCATTACGGCTTGTCCTACGTACTCACACAACAGCCATCAGCGCGAACATGCTCCATAAGTTGGCAGCTAATAGAGGCCCCGACGGAGTGCCACCACCTGCGCGGTACTTCTCCATCGATAGGGTGTTTCGAAACGAGAGTGTTGATGCAACTCATCTGGCAGAATTCCATCAGGTTGAAGGTGTCATTGCTGACACCAACCTGACTCTTGGGGGCCTTATGGAAGTAAGTATAGATCATCTCCAGCCTGATGGTTACGCCATGCGTGATGGGTCACTGACAGCGCGTTAGTTCATGGATATTTTCTTTGGCAAGATGGGCATAACAGACCTCAAATATAAGCCTGCTTACAACCCCTGTGAGTATTGCTCTGCACAAACCGCTGCAGGGATGCTGACTTTACTAGACACTGAACCGAGCATGGAGATCTTCTCGTATCGTACGTTATTACCCATATCCTAACTTACAGGTGCTGCTCAAGTACTGTATACATAGTCCACTCCAATGATGAATCATATCAACGATTAAACAACAGTCCTTCATTCATTTTAGGCCTTTTCTAACTAGGTGCTGCAGACAAGGGCCTCGGTAAGCTTATTGAGATAGGGAATAGCGGAATGTTCCGGCCTGAGATGCTCGAGTCCATGGGTTTCCCGTACGTGCTACCCCTCAAACACATTTTGTGACGGAGCCACAATGCAGACATATGCGTACTAACAATTATTACAGGAAGGAAATGCGTGTATATGGATGGGGTCTGTCGTTGGAAAGACCGACGATGATTAAGTACGGTATTTCGAATATTCGGGAACTATTAGGACATAAGGTGGATTTGAACTTCGTGGAAAGTAGCCCTGCTGTACGATTAGACAAAGACTAAAGAGAAATGAATTAAAAATTTATCTCAGTGAACTTAAACCACAAATTTCATGTTCATGTATTTGTAAGGCCCTAAGACCTCACAAGGCCTTTGGCCCTTATGGGCCTCATGAACCCTAATGTCTCAAATGTTATGTGATCTCCTTTTATAAGATATGGGATTGCCAAGCGTTGGTAAATGGGAATAGCTTCTCTTTTACTTTTTAATAAGCTCATTTATCATATGCCCTTATATACGCTTAAAGCGTTTCTTTTTTTAAATTAACTTAGCTTAATTTAATTATATAATTAAATCTTTAAAATCTTAAAATTTCAATTAACTTTAAAAATATAAACTTTTTTAATTTATTATTATAATATTATATTAAAAGGTTTTATAAGTATTAAAAAATTTTAAATATAAGTAAAATACTTATAATATATCTTTTTTAAGGCTATAAACATATAATAAATAAAAGGATAACATATATAAAATAATAAATAATAATTAAAATAAATTTTAAACCTTATATAAAAGTGGGACCAGGTAAAGTTAATATATTAATAAAAGTGTATTTAATTTAAAGCTTAAAAAGTAAAAAAAAAGTTATTTTTATTTATTAACGCCTGGTAATTTTATATCTTAAAAAAGGGGATTACGTGACATTTAAAATATTAAAGCTTATAAAGCCTACGAGGCTTAAAAAGCCTTATAAAGTTTTAAGGTTTTACACTTTATTATAATTAATATACTATTATTATTATTTTATTTATACCTTATTTACCTTTATAATAACACCTTTTTTTATTAAATAAAAAATTTAAATAAAACGATAATATTTTCGACTTTAAATTTTATTTAATATAAAATTACCACGATATTAATAATCGATAAATAATAACTTTTATTAAACGCTTAAAATAAGTTAACTTATAAGTTTAAATTTAATTAAATTAACTTTATAATTATTAATTAAAAATGTAAATTTCTTATAAAAATTTATAATTAAAATATAATAAAAAGTTAAAAATTAATAAAAAAAACATGAAAAAAAGATATAAAAATTAAAAAATCGCTATTTTTATAAATAAAACGTTATAAATAAAAACTTTAAAAATTTTTTAAAAAAATTATTAATTAAGTTTAAAAATAAGTATTAAAACATAGCCATGAACGTGGATAGCCACCATAGTTACTATTATATAAGCATTTTTATAATTGTTATTATTATAATATATTAAACCTTATCGGTGTATATAAAGTTAGCTTAAAACGTTAAAAGCTTAACTTTTTTCTTTTTTTTTATATTTTCATTAATTAATTAATTAACCTTTTAAGTCTTATTAATAAGTGTTAGTTTTAATATAAGTATTATAAGATTAAATTAAAAAAGCTTTATATTAAAAAAGTTAATTAAGATTTAAAGATTTTAATTATTTACTTATATATTTAATTATTTTTAATGGAAAAAGCGTTTAAGGGTATATAATAAGTGGTTTTATTATTATCTTTACGCCTTTTTTTTTTTTTATATATATGTTTATAATTAAAAATTATTACGATTTAATTAAAACTATCGATTTAAACATTTATTTAATTTATTTAGCCTTTTTTAATTTTCCTTATTTTTTTTAATAATATAAATTATTTTTTAATCGGTTTATTAATTATTTAAAAAAATTACGATAAAAGTATTAATATCGTATATAAGAATTAATTTATTAATTAAATTTAATTCTTTAATTAACTTTAATTTATTAAAAATAAATTAATGATTTTTATTAAACTTTTTAATAAGTTATATAACGTTTTATATTAAAAGTAGTTTTAAATATTATTTGTCGAATTTTAAATTATAGTTTTTTTAAAATATTAAATATTTTAATATAAGGTATTTTTTAATATAATTAACTTAATATTTTTTAAGAGTTTTACTATATGCATTATTTATTTTTACTATCGGGGCCTTAGGTACATTATTTTTAGGTATTAGTACATGCCTTAAATTTTAAAATTTGGGCTTAATTTAGCGTTTTTAGCGGCGTTAGCTGCTTATTTTAATTTAATCCAAATAATTTAAATAGTTTTTTAATTATATATCTTATCATAATGTAATAATATTTAATTAAAAAAGAATTTAATTGTGAATTAATTAATATAAGTCTTAAATTAAGGTGATATATGGTTGTAAAGTTATTTAGGTAGATAGGTGGTAGCTTAGGAGGCACGTGATTTCTTTTAAAGCTATATTAAGAGCTTTTAAGGCTGCATTAAGACGTTTTAAGGCTAGGTTAGGGACCTTTAAAGCCGCTTAAAAGCCTTAAAGCCGCTTAGGGTTACGTTAAGGAGTGATATGTGATTATCTTCGAGATAAATATTAATATAACTCTTTAACCACGTATTACCTTAAAATGTGGCTGGTATTAATTAATTAGTAATTAAATTCTTTTTTAATTAAAACCGGTTGTATGTTTGTAGTTATTTGTTTTAGGGAGTTATTTAAGGTTAAAGTTGTTAAATAAGGTTTAGGTTTAAGGGTTTTAAGGGCGTTAAGGGCTTATAGTGTGGTTTTAAGGGTGATTATGTGTCTTTCGTTTTGCTATTTATTTATTTAAATAATTTTATGACTATATATTACCTTAATTTAAGACCTACATTAATTAATTAATAATTGAACGCCCTTTCGATTAAATTTAGTTGCATTATAGTACAACATATGGTTGAAAAGTTATTTAAAAGGATGGGATAGATGGTTTAAATAAGCCCTAGCTTTTAAGATTTAATAGATTTATAAGATGTATAATATTTAATAATAATGCACTTAAAGGCTTAATAGCAAAAATAGGTAGTGCATATAGTAAAACTTTTTAAAATTTTTTAATTTTATATAAAACTAAGTTATCGTTATTTCCGTTAATAAAAACTTAGCTTAACTTTAATTAATATTTTAATTAAAAGTTTATATTAATAAATGCGAAAGTAAAATAAACGATTAAAACGACGTAATAAATTTATTAATGCCGTGGAAAATTTAATTTATAAGTTAAATCCTTAATTTTTTTAAGTCTTATTATTTATACCTTATAAAATTATTATTAAAGCTTATTTATATCTTAATATATTAAAAGTTTAACGTTTAAGGGCCGTTAATCCGAGCTTTTTAGCTTGTTTTTGTTAAAAACTTATTATAATTTCCGATCTAAGATTTAAATTAAAGTGTATTTTATATCGTTTAAATTAATTTAATTAAACGGTTTAAATAATATATGTTTTAAATTAATGTGATTAATGGTTGCGAAGTTATTTAAATTTAAAGATTAAATAATATTTTAAAAATAGTATAAGCTTAAATGGTCCGTGTACCACTTTAAGTTAACTAGCGCTATATTAACGATAAAGCGTTTATTTTACTCTTTTTTTAAATAATTTTATAATTATCGGTTATATTAATTTAAAATATATATTATTTAAAAGCTTTAAGTGAGACGGTTTTAATGAAGTTAAATGTATTTTAATACGATTTTTGGATTAAAAGTTATGTTAAATCTTTTAATTAAAGTTAAGTGGAAAGTTTGGATTAATAACGTTAAGACGTTAGTTTTAAATGTATTAAGGTGCGGATAAGTTTTAATAATAATTTTATGAGGTGCGAATAATAAGATTTATTTTTTTTATAATTATAAAAAAATTTACGCGTTATTTAAATTATTTTTATTTTAATTTTTTAAATAAATAATAGCTTTTATAAAATTTAAAAAAGATTTTTTTTTTAATGTTAAATTATTAAAGGTTTTATTTAATATTAAGTTTTATTATCCGTATTTTATAAAATTATTATTAAAGCTTATTCATACCTTAATATATCTAAAATTAACGTTTTAATGCCGTTAGTCCAAGCTTTTCATTTAATTTTAATTAAAAGATTTAATATAACTTTTAATTTAAGAATCGTATTAAAGTGTATTTAATTTTATTAAAACCATTTTATTTAAAGCTTTTAAATAATATATGTTTTAAATTAATGTGATTAATAATTGTAAAATTATTTAAAAAAAATGAAATAAACGTTTTACCATTAATATGGCATTAGTTAATTTAAAGTGGTATACGAATTATTTAAGCTTATACTATTTTTAAGATATTATTTAATTTTTAAATTTAAATAATTTTATAACTATTAATCGTATAAATTTAAAACATATATTATTTAAATCGTTTAATTAAACTAATTTAAACGATATAAAATATATTTTAATTTAAATCTTAAATCGGAAATTGTGATAAATTTTTAATAAAAGCGAGCTAAAAAGCTCGGACCAACGGCTTTTAAACGCTAAGTTTTTAATATATTAAGGTGTAAATAAGCTTCGATAATAATTTTATAAGATGTAAATAATAAGACTTTTAATATTATAGTAAATTTTAACGTTAATTATAACGTAATTAATAACGGCTTAAGCTTTTTATTAATATATATCTGTAAGAGTGGGACTAGGTAAAGTTAGTATGCTGATAAGAATGTATTTAGTCTAAAGCTTAAGGAGTAAAAAAGAAGTTATTCCCGTTTGCCAACGCCTGGTAATCTCATATCCTATAAAGGGGGATCACGTGATATCTGAGACATTAGGGCTCGTGAGGCCCACGAGGCCCAAAGGGCCTCATGAGGTCTTAGGGCCTTATAATATCCTTTTAAATTTTAAAATTTATTACGTTAATATTTATTTTTAAGAGTTTTGCTATATGCATTACCTATTTTTGCTATCGAGGCCTTAGGTACACTACTATTAAATACCGGTACATGCCTTAAATCTTCAAATCCGGGCCTAATCTAGCGCCTTTAACGGCCTTAGCTGCCTACATTTATTTAATTAAAATAACTTTTTGAAACATATAGCCACAAACGTATAACCGGATTTAATTAAAAACGCACTCAATTTCCAATTAATTAATGCCGGTTTTAAATAGATATAACACGTGGTCGCAAAATTATTCAGGTAAATAAGTGGCAGCCCGGAAGGCACGTAACCACCATTAAAGCCACACTAAAACCTCTTAATGCCACGCTAAAAGCCCTTAAAGCCGCCAAAAAGCCCTAAAACCGCCTAAAGTCACGCTAAGGAATGTCACGTAACTATTTTCGAAACAATTACCGACATAACTCTTCAACCACATATCGCCTTAGATTAAGACCGGTATTAATTAATTAATAATTAAATTCTTTTTTAATTAAATCCAGTTGCACGTTTATAGCTATATGTTTCAAGAAGT